ATGAAAAGGTCTCTCAATGTATTATTCAGGAATTCTTCCATGGAGAAATGTTCACGGTATGGATGCATCTCATGTAGGACGGACTCAAAACCGTAAAAACGGAAACCCTCAGAAGCAGAAATCTTCATGCACATGTTGGTAGATTTCAGTAATTGGGCTGCGTTCTGTGTTCTCGTGTTCAACTCTTGCTTTTCAAACACAGTGATTTTTGCTGCGACGCCCCCTTGTGTTTAAAGCGTTTACTCTCAGGTGTCCATGATATTTATTCATTTTATGGTCTTCTGTGGATGGAATCAATTTGCCTAATAGAGAGGATGAAGAGTATCACCAAAAGTTTGCCAATTTAAACATTAGTTAAGAAACATGAACAGAGCGCTACTCTGAAGATACAACAAACTATAAAGACAAAGAGCCTCACAGCCGTACGTGTGGCTTTTGGAAACGCAGGACGTCTGTGTAGCAAGTTGTCCACTCGGGTTTTATGATTCAGCCCGGATGGAAGGCCCATCTTTAGTAAAATTGTATTCAGTGATGCTGCTTTAAAGTCAAGTTCAATGATGTGAAGTCATCAAACGCACAACATCAGAATGCTGAAAATGATAATATTACAGGTTTGTTAAATATGGAGCTGCAACATTTGGCCTGAGAATTATTATCATAGCATAGTTTTCAATACTGTTCACCAGAGTTCATAGTTGTTCCTTTTAGCCCAAAAGATGATTTTAAGTTAAGACATTTTTATCCCTTCAACATTTGCCGAAAGTCATGCATGCTTTTCTTTCTTATCAGTGGCAGACTAAATCATTAATTCTTAATCTGCTCCAGAATTTGACCCTTAGTCTTGCTTCCACTATTAATGTTGGCTATTGCTTTGTATTTATCAAAAGCAATAGAGATGTTTCTGTAGATGTTGGTGAGCTTGTGAGGGAGGACAGCATTCTGCAGAAGGATTCATCTGCTGTCAGGAAGCCTGCAGCACGCGTACACGTGTCTCTGAACATGCGTATACACCTGTTTGTACTGGTGTCTTTGTCTACCATAAAACTAAGAGCAACGCCTCATCAGGTTTGACCACATAGCAGGTTGTGATATTTGCAACGAACCACACTTTGTGTGTGCAGACAAGAGCCGACTCGTTTGTTACTGAAGTCCTCACTCAGAGTTTTTGTACTTGTTGGTTTGTTTATAACTGCTTGTATAAATACATTTCTAATAATGCCATTAAATAAATGGTATTAATAGTCATTTATTTAATTACTTACCAGCCACGTTGCATATTCATAAACTTTTCACTCACCATTTACATGTAAACGTGACAAAAATAGCAGATTTGTAGAAACAATAACAGTATATAGTGTCAGTGCAAGAGATGAGGTGGTAGGATTTACACTGATTAAAGTTAGTTTATCTCTTGTCTAGGAATGTTTCTTAACCTTGTTTCAAAGGAATGCAAAAGTGTGTCATTCCTTTTTCCTGATTGAAGTACTTGTTGGTATCTTTATCGCACTTGACACAAGTGATTGCGAGCGTCCTGCATGAATTAACATGGTTAAAAAGACACCAACAGAGAAAAACTATTAACACATGTATCCACTTCAATGGATCAAATGGGGGAAAACAATGAAAAGTAACATTCACAAATCTAAGAACAAATCAAACGCTTTTGAGAAAAAACCCTTGAAAGTCATGACGAGTCTGGTAGGAGCTGCGTGTAACACGAGATACACTCTGCAAAACACGCTGGACTAGTTTTTGCAAATGAAGGAAGTTATTTTTAAACTGATGATCAATATTTGCTCTGAAAGAAGAAACCATATTTGTTCTGTTCAGGTTAGGGGTGTATGTAGAGCCTTTGAGACTTCCCCTGTTGTACGCACTGAAAAGAGATTGATGATGATGTCATCTGGGCCTTTTGTATATTTTTCAGGTGTAGAAAGACAGAAAAAATACAATAGAGAGGGGTGGGTCTCTCAAAGGAGGGCGCGTCATTCTCTATTTAAAACCATTCATGTCAGTGAGTCGTCTCAAATCCTCCCTTCAACTCCTCTTCTCTGCTCCAGCCTTCATACTATTTGGGTAAGTGGACATGACTTTTTAAATATCCTTTTTGAAAAAACAACATTTACAATTTTGCATTTAGTTTGTCCAGCTACATGATACCCAACATGCAACATTATCTAACTAAAATATAGTATTGACCCCGAGATCAGGGAAAAGAGGACAAGCTAACAAAAGAGCAACGCAAGTGTGGTTTGGAAACGATCAAGTTGCTCATTTAACTCTTCCCAGTGTCTTAATTTGACGTTTCAAAGCCACCCAACTCATGTGGAAGTTGGAAGGAAGGTTTTACATATTTTGTCATCAATACTTTGTCATTTCAGTCAACATGGGTGAACTCATTGCTGCAATGGGAATTATCAGGAAAGTCTTTGACAAGTATGCTGGAGAAGAAGGGGACAAGGAAACTTTAACCAAGAAAGAACTTTCCAAATTGCTCCGTGAGCAAATTGGGGAGGAAGTAAGTAGACGATAAAGCGGCACTTTAGCAAAAACAGCTATGAACGCCTCCTTGACGGATAGTTTATGTTTTGCATTAACAATTCTTTCTGATCTTTTCTTTTCTTTAGTTCAGTTCCAAGGAAGTGGATGAATTCTTCAAAGGCCTGAACCAAGATGGGGATTCTGTAATCAGTTACCAAGAGTATGTTGTTTTTGTTGCAACGCTCGCTTTAATGTTGGAATAATCTTACCAAGCCAAGTTGCTTCGGAACTTATTTGGAATATTTTCATTTGAATTAAACAAATAAATGAAATCTAAAAAATAATAATATTGTGAATTGTTTTCTGTGTTCTGAAACAAAATCCAGGTATAATTTAAAGTGAAGCAGCTAAGAGGCAGAATGCCTTTAAAATACTCTTTAAAAACATAATCTGCCTTTTCATTCAACGTACTAATGAAAAGGTCTCTCAATGTATTATTCAGGAATTCTTCCATGGAGAAATGTTCACGGTATGGATGCATTACACGTAGGACAGACTATAACATAGCTTTCAATCTGCATGAGGTCCTTAAAACCGCCCACAAGTGAGAATAAAACCAATCTTTAAAACCTCAGAAGCAGAAATCTTCATGCACATGTTGGTAGATTTCAGTAATTGGGCTGCGTTCTGTGTTCTCGTGTTCAACTCTTGCTTTTCAAACACAGTGATTTTTGCTGCGACGCCCCCTTGTGTTTAAAGCGTTTACTCTCAGGTGTCCATGATATTTATTCATTTTATGGTCTTCTGTGGATGGAATCAATTTGCCTTATAGAGAGGATGAAGAGTATCACCAAAAGTTTGCCAATTTAAGCATTAGTTAAGAAACATGAACAGAGCGCTACTCTGAAGATACAACAAACTATAAAGACAAAGAGCCTCACAGCCGTACGTGTGGCTTTTGGAAACGCAGGACGTCTGTGTAGCAAGTTGTCCACTCAGGTTTTATGATTCAGCCCGGATGGAAGGCGCATCTTTGGTAAAATTGTATTCAGTGATGCTGCTTTAAAGTCAAGATCAATGATGTGAAGTCATCAAACGCACAACATCAGAATGCTGAAAATTATAATATTACAGGTTTGTTAAATTTGGAGCTGCAACATTTGGCCTGAGAATTATTATCATAGCATAGTTTTCAATACTGTTCACCAGAGTTCATAGTTGTTCCTTTTAGCCCAAAAGATGATTTTAAGTTAAGACATTTTTATCCCTTCAACATTTGCCGAAAGTCATGCATGCTTTTCTTTCTTATCAGTGGCAGACTAAATCATTAATTCTTAATCTGCTCCAGAATTTGACCCTTAGTCTTGCTTTCACTGTTAATGTTGGCTATTGCTTTGTATTTATCAAAAGCAATAGAGATGTTTCTGTAGATGTTGGTGAGCTTGTGAGGGAGGACAGCATTCTGCAGAAGGATTCATCTGCTGTCAGGAAGCCTGCAGCACGCGTACACGTGTCTCTGAACATGCGTATACACCTGTTTGTACTGGTGTCTTTGTCTACCATAAAACTAAGAGCAACGCCTCATCAGGTTTGACCACATAGCAGGTTGTGATATTTGCAACGAACCACAGTTTGTGTGTGCAGACAAGAGCCGACTCGTTCGTTACTGAAGTCCTCACTCAGAGTTTTTGTACTTGTTGGTTTGTTTATAACTGCTTGTATAAATAAATTGCTATTAATGCCATTAAATAAATGGTATTAATAGTCATTTATTTAATTACTTACCAGCCACGTTGCATATTCACAAACCTTTCACTCACCATTTACATGTAAACGTGACAAAAATAGCAGATTTGTAGAAACAATAACAGTATATAGTGTCAGTGCAAGAGATGAGGTGGTAGGATTTATACTGATTAAGGTTAGTTTAGCTTTGAGCCATCGCTTTAGTTTTAGTTTAAACGTTAGGTAACAAATTCTATCTCTTGTCTAGAAATGTTTTTTAACCTTGTTTCAAAGGAATGCAAAAGTGTGTCATTCCTTTTTCCTGATTGAAGTACTTGTTGGTATCTTTATCGCACTTGACACGAGTGTTTGCGAGCGTCCTGCATGAATTAACATGGTTAAAAAGACACCAAGAGAGAAAAACTATTAACACATGTATCCACTTCAATGGATCAAATGGGGGAAAACAATGAAAAGTAACATTCACAAATCTAAGAACAAATCAAACGCTTTTGAGAAAAAACCCTTGAAAGTCATGACGAGTCTGGTAGGAGCTGCGTGTAACACGAGATACACTCTGCAAAACACGCTGGACTAGTTTTTGCAAATGAAGGAAGTTATTTTTAAACTGATGATCAATATTTGCCCTGAAAGAAGAAACCATATTTGTTCTGTTCAGGTTAGGGGTGTATGTAGAGCCTTTGAGACTTCCCCTGTTGTACGCACTGAAAAGAGATTGATGATGATGTCATCTGGGCCTTTTGTATATTTTTCAGGTGTAGAAAGACAGAAAAAATACAATAGAGAGGGGTGGGTCTCTTGAAGGAGGGCGCGTCATTCTCTATTTAAAACCATTCATGTCAGTGCATTGTCTCAAATCCTCCCTTACACTCTTCTTACCCGCTCAAGCCTTCATACTTTTTGGGTAAGTGTACATGGGTTTTTAAATATCCTTTTTGAAATTACAACATTTACAATTCTGCATTTAATTTGTCCAGCTACATGATACCCAACGTGCAACATTATCTAACTAAAATGTAGTATTGACCCCGGGAGCAGGGAAAAGAGGACAAGCTAACAAAAGAGCAAAGCAAATGTGGAGGTGTTTTGGAAATGATCAAGTTACATTACATGTCATTTTCGCGTAACAATAAGTGCATTTCAACCATAAGGATACAAACCCAGAAGAACAAGAAATAAGAAAGTGCGAAGTGTTTTATCTATCAAAAAGTTGCTGATCCAACTCTTCCCAATCTTTTAATTTGAGGCTCTAAAGCCACCCAACTCAAGTTGGAAGGAAGCTTTTAAATATGTTGTCATGAACACTGATTAAAGTCAATACTTCAATACTTTGTCATTTCAGTCAACATGGGTGAACTTATTGCTGCAATGGGAATTATTAGGAATGTATTTGACAAGTATGCTGGAGAAGAAGGGGACAAGGAAACTTTAACCAAGAAAGAACTTTCCAAATTGCTCCGTGAGCAAATTGGGGAGGAAGTAAGTAGACGATAAAGCGGCACTTTAGCAAAAACAGCTATGAACGCCTCCTTGACGGATAGTTTATGTTTTGCATTAACAATTCTTTTTGATCTTTTCTTTTTTTTAGCTGAGCTCCAAGGAAGTGGATGAATTCTTTGATAACCTGAATGAAGATGGTGATTCCGTAATCAGTTACCAAGAGTACATCACTTTTGTTGCAATGCTCATGTCGGTTCTGGGATAATCTTACCAAGCCAAGTTGCTTCAGGACTCCTTTGGATATTTTAATTTGTTCTAAATGAAAACATAAACTGGACGATCAAATTTCACATCATCGAAGTTCAATGTAATCAGTGATGAATAAAAACAAAAAGAAATCAAATTGTGAATTGTGCTTTTCTCATTTCTACATTTTCAGCAAATCTATTGAAATTCCCTTCAGCTTTTCCCATTTCTGTATTTTCAGCAATTTTTTCAAATTAATTTCAGCTTTTAGATTTCAGCTTTAAACTTTCAGCATTCCAACACGTTTTCTAGTTTATTTTATGGTCTTCTGTAGCTGGAATCAATTGTCCTAATAAAGAGGATGAAAAACAAACCATAAAGACATGTCCAAAGCCTCACAGCCGTTTGAGCTTTGTTTAGAAATGAATCTTATTATGCAAGGGTTCCCGATCCAGTTTGAGCACCACTGGCTGACCAGACTTGTTTATTACATTGCTAATTAGGTCATTGATACTTCCTACAATAACTTGAAAATGTACTCATGATACATTTATTCACCATTCTAACTGACTGCTTTTTAATATTTTAATTAAGTAAGCATTTAAACAAGTCATTAAAAATAATGGGCTCAATCACTTTAAAAAGTGATACAGTACCTTTAGTTGAGTATGACATTGTAGCACGTGTTCCATTGCTGCTCATGTGTCACAAACATTGCTTTTTTCCACAATAAGTAGTGATTGCCACATCTTTTAGCAAGTAAGTTGGATAACGCAATGGTCTCAGCCAACATGGCAGCCTTTAACAAGTACCGAACACTAAATAACATTTAAACATGGTTGTAAGGAGTTGGACGTACTCTTCATTTACCACTAGATGTCAGAGAAATACAATATACTTTTGGGTATAAATTCAGGACCAGCTCATCACAAACATTGTGAATGAATTCCTGGATGAATGAGGGATTGTGATGAAGGAGAAGAAAAAGACGTTGAATAAAGAAGAGCTGAAAAGGGTGTTGGAGCAAGAAACACAAATTCCTGTGTTAAAAGTAAGACTGAACACACTTCATATGCTCTGAAATAAACAGGACATTTATTAAATGCTTGCAAGCCTGAAGACAGAATTTACAACGTGCACAGAGTTATGCTTCAAGGCTACTCAAAGGTCTTCATCTTCAGGCAGGGATGTAACGCTGGAAGATAACCATAGACAAACAGGGGCTCTGGGCAAAATCAGGCAAAAGTAATACTGACTAAGGTGAAACAATATTGCAGGTTTTCCAACATATTCTGCTGGGTGGATGCAAGGTGGAGCAAGTGTGCCGAAGGAAAGCATGTAAGAGGTGCAAACCTGCCTCACCAGCAAGTCATGTTCGCTCCTAAATACTTTAAATGTACTCATTTGACCTGAAATTGGCTCCGGTATGAATATATTTTAACACATTTTGGGTTGTGGAGGCAAATCTATACCTTCTGTGTCGCCATAAACTAACAGATATCACTGAAAAAAATCCATTACCCCCAGAACATGTCGTTGGACTGTTGGAGGAAGCCGGAGTACCCGGGAGGAACATGTAGACTCCACACAGAACGGCCACTCGGTGGAGTCAAACCCCGCACCTTCTTGCTGTGAGGAAACATGCTAACCACCACAATTTCATGCTGCATTTAGACTTTTTTTTCCCCAACAGATCTTTTTTTTCAGATCATATTGATCTGATATGATATGATATAAGATATGGTGCAAAACTGCAGGCTCTTTTTGTAAAAAAGTGTGTAGAAGAGAACCGATGACGATTCCGTTGCAGCAATTCCCCACCTGAGTGACCACCTGACCACACTTCAGGCAGGGAGGAGAACCCACCCTCACCAGGTGAACGTATCTCAGCCCGTGCTACACAGGTGATCCATTTCTTTGTGTCACGTGAGGTCAGTCATTCCAATAACGGATGCTCTCACTGTCGCACCTGTAAAATAAGTAGAGTGAAACAAACAACAAACGGTATTACAGTAAATATTGATGATTTATTACTGGAGGGGACAAACTATTGTGTCCGTGGGTCTCACGTCTCGTGCAGTCCAATGATAATGTTAATTTTAACCCAATTTGTGTGGCAGGAGCAGCGTTATTCTGGTTCAAACAACTCATCTGTGGAGAGAACAAAGCTCCAGATATGATCAAAAAGTTCCTTCCTTAAAATTTGCAACCACTCACACTCTTGCGTGCAGAGGGAGTAAAATCGTCGGAACACACACACGAACACACAAACCACCGTGTCGTAGTGGAAAGATGTTTTTTTTTTGAAGAGACTACTCAGAGAGAAAACAGGTTTTTAAGTAAGCAAGAGCTTTTGCCTAAATGTTAACAATAGTGTGTATCACACTCCAGGCTTCTACTTTTAGAAGCAGAGTAGATAAAAATGATCAAATACATGCAGTTGACTAGAAAATTGGATGAAACGCAAACTACAGCTCAGCATTATTTTATTTATTATATTATTTGACCAGGCAATTTATTGGCGATCAGTCTGATTGTTGTTGAGACGTTTCTCTCCAAACTGCGAATATAAGTTTTTATTGCGGCGTTGGAGGAAACATAAGTAGGCATGCAAATATTTCAAGCCAGAAGTGAAAACTTTGGACATCTGAACCAACATCCAATCCACCCAACAGTTGCTTTTGTTCGACTGTCTATCAGACACCTTTATCATGGAAAAAAAAACTGTACCTTCTTTTAAAAAGAAGGTTTAATAAGCCTCAGTTCATGTTCCTGCAACGATTTTCCTCCTTCAAAACAATTTCACAGCAACACATTCCATCACACAGACCAACAACACAGTCCTTTTTGTTGAACAATCTCGGATTGGTAGTTCTGACTCCATTACGCTGTTTTTTAGGGTTGATACTACAGAGATGTTTCTGTAGATGTTGCTGTGCTTGTGAGGGAGGGAGGACAGACGTTCTGCAGAAGGATTCATCTGGTGTCAGCAAATATGTGTCTTGGCACACGCATGTACACTTGTTTGTACTGGTGTCTCTGCCTCCCATGAAATTTATAACAACGCCTCATTAGTTTAACCACAGCGGGTTGTGAAATTTGCAACAACCAACACTTTGTGCGTGCAGACAAGAGCTGACTTGTTTATTGATGAAGTCGTCACTCATCCTTTTTGTACTTTAGTTGATTTGTTTATTGAATTAAATTAATAAATAAAATCTAAAAAAATAATAATATCGTGAATTATTTTCTGTGTTCTGAAACAAAATCCAGGTATAATTTAAAGTGAAGCAGATAAGAGGCAGAATGCCTTTAAAATAATCTTTAAAAACATAATCCGCCTTTTTATTTAACGTATTAATGAAAAGGTCTCTCAATGTATTATTCAGGCACCCTTCCATGAAGAAATGTTCACTGTATGGATGCATCACACATAGGACAGACTATAACACAGCTTTAAATCTGCACGAGGTCCTTAAAACACTGAAGATGAGTTCAAAACTAGAGTGGCCCACATAAAGTGTGAATAAAACAAATCTTTAGAACCTCAGAAGCAGAAATCTTCATGCACATGTTGGTAGATTTCAGTAATTGGGCTGCGTTCTGTGTTCTCGTGTTCAACTCTTGCTTTTCAAACACAGTGATTTTTGCTGCGACGCCCCCTTGTGTTTAAAGCGTTTACTCTCAGGTGTCCATGATATTTATTCATTTTATGGTCTTCTGTGGCTGGAATCAATTTGTCTAATAAAGAGGATGAAGAGTATCACCCAAAGGTTTACCAATTTAAACATTAGTTAAGAAACATGAACAGAGCGCTACTCTGAGGATAAAACAAACTATAAAGACAAAGAGCCTCACAGCCGTACGTGTGGCTTTTGGAAACGCAGGACGTCTGTGTAGCAAGTTGTCCACTCGGGTTTTATGATTCAGCCCGGATGGAAGGCGCATCTTTGGTAAAATTGTATTCAGTGATGCTGCTTTAAAGTCAAGATCAATGATGTGAAGTCATCAAACATAAAAATGATAATAATACAGGTTTGTTAAATGTGGGGCTGCAACAGACAATTAGACTGTTTAATTAATCTGGCAATTCTTTTTCAGGTTATGTTAATAATTGTTTGGTCCATCAAATGTCATGAAATAGTAAATAATAACGTGCCAACATCATATTACTTCCATCCAAAATAGTTTTCAAAAGAGCATCTAACACCTTTACCTCCTTTGCACTTCTGTACGTGCTTTCAATTATATGAAAAAACCTGCACCCACACCCTTACTACGACAGGTGTTGGCTTCATCTTTTCTTGGTGGATTATGAAAGGAACACACATAAAGCAGCATAGTTCTTTGGAATTATATTCAAAGTTATTTCTTTTTCCTTTTAAACTCTTTTCCATGTCTATTGTGCAGACTGCAGAGACACAGTAGCTCCTCTGCTGAAACTGTAACTCACACCTCGGCCAGCAGGGTGAGGAGAGATGGACCTTTTTGTAATTAAAACCACACGATCCTTCGTCTCTCTTTACTTTGCCTCCCCTGCAAAGGAGAATCTGATCGTTTCAATAAGTGAAAGTATCGAGGCCAAAGGGAAGATACTTGAGTTAAACGGGACTTGGCAGGGGGGCAGCGGAGGGTAAGAGGAAGTCAGTACTGTCTTTCTGCTGCCTTGGAACAAAGGAGCCAAAAATACTTTTTTAGGCTTTTAATTAACTTAGTTGAACTAAAATGGGAATACATTTTTTAAATGTTTTCCCATTGATCTCTCTGATGGTCGCAGAAATAATTCAACCATCACAGGTCTATTTAAGTTAGAAAAATGATTTTGAAAGTTTACTGAATAGTGTTCCAATAATGCTATATACAACCGGTTGTGCTAAAACAGGATTTTTAATACTTGGCTGCTCAGAAGAAAGAATTTCTCCAGACGGCTACACTGAGCAACTCCGCAATAAAGTGTCTAATTTTAGATGATCTATGCCAACTGTTCATTCACACACAGAGACACACACACACACACACAACGTAATTAATGGCAACCATTTGGGCTACACAAGTCTAACAAGTCTGGGTGGAGGGCATTTTCAATGGATGTGTGTGTGTGTGTGTGTCAGACGTTGCATGTCTACTCTTTAAGAGGAGGCTTTCCTCTCAGTTAGACAACAGTCTCACTTGGACAGCAGGAGAAACGGACGTGATCTCTCTCCTCGCCCAGGAAACGTGAACTGGAAGGTGAGTCCTGATGAGAAGCAAGATGTCGGGAACACGAGAAGAGAAAAGAAAAGAAACAGCATTCAATCCAGATGTTGAGAATGAAAGATGCAATAGGAATGTTTGAGAGTTGTGTCATGATGTTTACTTAAGCTTTATCCAGTGCTCTGAGCATTATTCAAGTACCATATTGTACACAGTGTTATGCTTCAATGTATTTCAAAGGTATTCATCTTCAGGGGGGGATACATGGCTGGAAGATGACAATAGACAAACAGGGGGGGCTCTTGGCAAAATTTAACTACCGCGAGATTATGAACATGGACGCACAAAACAACTTGCCATCAGATGACCCAGAACACCATGTGCCTCCTGTGAAAGAGCGCAGACTGTCCGTCGTCTATGTAATACTGACTAAGGTGAAGCAGGTTTTCCAACATATTCTGCTGGGTGGATGCAAGGTGGAGCAAGTGTGCTGAAGGAAAGCATGTAAGAGGTGCAAACCTGCCGGCACACTGTTGCCCTCACCAGCAAGTCATGTTCGCTCGTACTGTAAATACTCATATGAACTGAAATTGGCTCCTATGTCAATATATTTTAACATATTTTGGGCTATGGAGGCAATCCATTTATTTTGTGTCGCCATAAACTACACATATCACTCAAATAATTCCATGTCCCTTAATTCTCTATGGTATTTTCAAACAAATTGATGCCAATGATAACAAATAGGAAGTTTCTACCAAACATAGTGAGGAGATATTTAAAGGAAATACTGCGTATGCGTTAATTGCCATGAAGAAGCCCATTTTAGATTAGACTGTTTTAATCAGATAAAGCCTCAGTGGATGAAGCAGCAGCAGCTGATGTGAGATCAATGTTTTGCTACTATTAGTTTAAAAAGCAGACTGAACAGTATGGACCCGGTTTGATGTCTGTGTAAATTAGTAAAACGTTTTTGCAACAGACGGGAAGGAGATGGTTAAAGGAAATAATTCTGCAGATGCATTTATTGACAAGAATATCCTTCCTTAATCCCAGCGAACATCGTGCCAGTAATGGGCACACCCCGAACTGGTCATCAGTTAAACGCAGGAATGGCAAAGAGACAAACAAACATTCACACACAAAAAAAAAGTACGTCACGTGAGGTCAGTCATTCCAATAACGGATGCTCTCACTGTCGCACCTGTAACAGAAGTAAAGTGAAACAAACAACAAACGGTATTACAGTAAATATTGATGATTTATTACTGGAGGGGACAAACTATTGTGTCCGTGGGTCTCACGTCTCCTGCAATCCAATGATAATGTTCATTTTAACCTAATTTGTGTGGCAGGAGCAGCGTTATTCTGGTTCAAACAACTCATCTGTGGAGAGAACAAAGCTCCAGATATGATCAAAAAGTTCCTTCTTTAAAATTTGTAATGGAACTACACTCTGTGCGTGCAGACGGGAGAAAAATCGTCTGCTTGAGCTAACCACACATTCCTGCCCACACTCACATGAACACACAACATACAAATCATTGTGTCATAGTGGAAAGTTTCTGGTGTTTTTACCATGGGAGAGGCAGGGACTACACAACAAAGAACAGGTTATTAAGTAAGCAAGCGCTTTCCCCCGAAAGTTAACACTAGTGTATCACACTGCAGGCTTCTGCTTTTATAGGCAAAAAAGTTTTAAATGATCCTTGACCAAACAATTTATTGCCGATGTGTCTGATAGTTGTTGAGACGTTTCACTCTAAACTGCAAATATCAGGATTCAGGAAACATTTATTACCATAATATTTGGTGCATGACAGCAGACAGTACAACAATGGACAACAAAACAACATAGTGCAAGAGGAATCAAATTAAATATAATACTATGGGTTAGTAATACAATGCTATGGGTTACTTTAAAAATAAAGGAATACAAGTAAAAAAAAATGTAAAAAGTTAAAGTTGAAAATAAAGTGCACCAGTTAAAAATAAAGTGCAAATATAAACTTCATGGCGGCGTTGGAGGAAACATTTTGATCAGAAGTCTTGAGGATTCCTTTTTGTTGCAATCTAATAAGTAGGAATGCAAATATTTGACTGCAGAAGTCAAAACTTTGGACATCTGTGCGAACATCCATAACAATCCACCCAACAGTTGCTTTTGTTCGACTGTCCATCAGACAACAATATCTTCCTTTAAAAAGAAGGTTTAATAAGCCTCAGTTCATGTTCCTGCAACAATTTTCCTCCTTCAAAACTATTTCACAGCAACACATTCCATCACACATACCAACAACACGGCCCTTTTTGTTGAACAATCTTTGGGAGGACAGACGTTCTGTCCTCATGTGTCTTGGCACACGCATGCACACTTGTTTCTACTGGTGTCTCTGTCTCCCATTAAAATTAATACCAACGCCTCATTAGTTTAACCACAGCGGGTTGTGATATTTGCAACAACCAACACTGTGCGTACAGACAAGAGCTGACTTGTTTATTGACAAAGTCGTCACTCATCCTGTTTTATTAAAAGCCATTTATCTATTTATTTACAAGGCACATTCATAATAATTTCACTTCCCAACTAAATGTAAACGTGCCAAAAGTAGCAGAGTTGTAAAAAACATTGCAGTAAATGATGGAGTGCTAGAGATGAGGTGGTGAGATTTATACCCATTAAGGTTAGTTTAGCTTTAAGCCATCGGTTTATCTCTTGACTAGAAATGTTTCTTAAGCTTATCTCAAAAGAAAATATTGTAAAAATGTGTTATTACTTTTTCCTGATTGGTATCATTTAAAGTGACGCAACTGCAAAGCAGAATGCCTTTTTAAAATGATCTTTAAAAATAATATCTGCCTTTTCATTTAACATACTAATAAAAAGGTCTCAATGTATTTTATATTTATATTTATTCATGTTATGGTCTTCTGTGACTGGAATCAATTTGCTTAATGAAGAAGAGAAAAAGTATCTCCCAAAGGTTTACCAATTTAAGCATTAGTTAGGAAACCTGAACAGAGCGCTAATCTGAAAGATAAAACCAACTATAAAGACATGTCCAAAGCCTCACAGCTCAGCTTGTTTGTATGGAGATTAATGTGATTATGTAAAGGAAATTGAAAATGATGCTGCTTTAAAGTTAAGATCAATCATGTCATCAAACGCAGCACATTGAGATGATGAAAATAACGTTAAAGGTTTGTTAAATTTGGAGCAGCAACAAACGATTATACTTATAATCGGGCAATTCTTTTTCAGGTTGAGTTGGTAATTGTTTGGTCTATCAAATGTCATAAAACAGATACGTACAACAGAACGTGACAACATCAAATTACTTTCACCCTAAATACTTACACATTGTCTTTAAGATAAATAACTCATTTTTCACTACGAGGATGAATATAAGATGACCAATATTCTCAAGTCAACATGAGCATCAACTGTCCAGACAAAGATTCTACATTTCACATTGATGTTTCAAAACATTATTGTACAAAAGGACAATAATGTCAGCCAGACTTGTTTATTTCATTACTAATTCAGTCAGAACAAAAGACCCACTGACTCCAATACAAGTATGTTCCTGCCTAGGAAACTAGCCGATACACTCGTGACCCAAATGGAACGCATCCTCGAGCGGTCTCGTAAATCCTCGGACCTTCTCGGCTTTCCCCGTTAATCTCGGTCGGTTAGCTAGCCAAGCTGATTAGCCTGTTACTACATGCTAATGTTTTTGGGACATATGATGTCAGCGGAATCCGGGTGGATGATACGAAGAGTGTAGAAAAATGGCGGACGTCGAGGGACAAGGAATTTGTTCAACGGTCCCCGAGTTGCCTCACCCTTCTTCTCGCAACGGCTCCGGCAGCGGTAACGTTACACCGGGCGGCACCGGCGGCAGCTGCCAGACGGCAACGACCGTTACTTCGGGCCCACGGCTAGTTCGAGTCGTGAAGTCCGACTCCGGCTACGGTTTCAACGTCAGGGGGCAAGTTAGCGAGGGCGGACAGCTACGGAGCATCAACGGGGAACTGTACCCTCCGCTGCAGCACGTCAGCGCTGTCCTACCGGGAGGTGCCGCCGACAGAGCCGGTATTTCGAAGGGAGACCGGATTCTCGAGGTGTAAGTTAACGTTAATTTAGTAACATAAAGCGGTGACGTCAACAACGTTCATTTGACACGCGAGTAGCCCCGCGAGCCATCGCGACAAGGAGCCGTTCATCCCAATGAAAGGGCTGTCTGTGTGTGTGTGTGTGTGTGTGTGTGTGTGTGTGTGTGTGTGTGTGTGTGTGTGTGTGTGTGTGTGTGTGTGTGTGTGTGTGTGTGTGTGTGTGTGTGTGTGTGTGTGTGTTTCTCGTCGCAGCCGTGCCCCGCTGCACCGACCTGCACGCATCACTACGGTTTAAACGGTGGCGATTCGGTCTCGTCGGCATCGTCGGCGTTTTGTCAGTTTAACCACACGTTGCTTTTGACGTTGTGCGTGCTGCATTTACCATAGAGGCGACAGCCCCTCGCTGCACGGAGGTCGCTCGCTGGTGTTTAGGCTCTGTTGCTATGGAGAGGGACACGCAGCGCAGCATCAGTTCTGACGCTTCTGCGCGTCTGCCTGTGTGGAATGAAGGTCTGATGGCAGGAAGGGAGGGGATGTTCTTCAGCTCCGCTCCGATAGGCTTCGCTCTCCAAAAATCAGTCTCTGATTGGCTGGCTTTTTGCACAGTGCTCTGTTAATGTGTGGCCTGCAGTAACCTGGCAGTTTGTTGACCCCGTTATTGCTGCGTGCTTGTGTGCAAGCACATGGCTATACGTGCAGTTGTGTGCACTGTATACACAGGACATCCTGTCAGTCACTTTTGCATTTTGTAGTTTCATCCTGTGTCTCTCATACTGTAGATAAGCACAAATACATACTTGATATATTGACTCAGGCCTCCCACTTGATGGTAAAGACTGTGTAATGTTAAACGGCACGGCATCTATCTTGAAGTGTAAATTATTTTGGCGGATTTAGTTTTGAGTTTTAGCGTTTGTATTCGTTTTATCGTGCATTGGTGCAAATAGCATGAGTCAACATAAATGTGCACCGTGAGAGCAACATAGAAAGCAGAAGGGATATCAACAAGAAAGTAACTGCTTCCTTGAATAATTGAAACAGAAGAAGTGAGAAAATGACACACAGAAAAAATGTCTCTTGAAAATCTTTCTAATGCTCGTAAGTGCAAAGCGCACTACATTAGGTGCTTATTTTATAGTCACCAAGCTGCTAAAATGAAGCAGCTGCCAAGATGCTTAGTCTCTATTTTGTGTTGTTGGAGACATTTGTCCTTTCTCCCAACTGCATGGTGGATTTATTTGTGTCTCTCCTATCGGTCCCTGCTTAATTCCACAGGAATAATCATCTTCAGCTTGTATATGCACCTTGGCTCAAAATCCTCTATTTACTCCCTTCGGCATTCATGTGAATTATCCACGTTATCCTTACCAAATATCCTTAACCTGTACAGAATAATATGATTTTATGTGGTTTACAGCAAAGTGCTGCCCCATTTAGACCATTTACACCATTTAAAGCACTTACCAGGGGACGTCAGTTAAGTCCCCGAGGGTTGAGGGTGGGGTGGAGAGTTGAGGGTTGAGATTGGGATCGGCACTCACTCATGCTCAGCTTCCCTGATGACATAAACACAACGTCCTTAATGCTGAGGACACTGTCCCTGTGCACGCATCAACAGAAGCGGTTTCACTTGATTCACTTTGTCACTTTCACTTTCTGCTATTTCATTCAGAACTTGTGTTCTATTTGAAGCTCTCACAATTCAATGCCTTTTGCTTGAGATGAGCCAACAATGCAAAATGGTGATGAATTTGGAGTGTATGAACTGCATCTGACATGGGTTGACTCAAGATCATTTCATTTGTGAGGTCGTGGTTTTAACTATTAATATGTTACTGATTTACGTGGAGACGCATTTTTTTTATCTGTTGACTCTTTCACAATCCAGTCGTCTTCAAACAATGTAAGAATATTTTATTATTTATATTTTATAGCCAAGACATTGACAAGACATTGTTTCTTTCAGATGATAAAAGGCAATATATAAAAGTAAAAAATCACAGCAACTGTCCCATCTCTCCCTTCACGTGTTCAATAGTAATGGTGTGAATGTAGAGGGGGCGACCCACAAGCAGGTGGTGGACCTGATCCGGGCTGGGGAGAGGGAGCTGGCGCTGGCCGTGCTGTCCGTCCCTCCCCAGGAGACCGACTGCTTGGATCCGGGAGACGACATTTCAACCCAGTCCTGCTACGACTACTCCGACAAGCAGGCCGTCCCCATCTCAGTGCCGAGCTACAAACACACCGAACTCAACCAGGAAAAGTTTGTGGTGGGTGCAACTACGGATGGATTGATAAATGACTAAGTGAGAGCAGGTTGTTGACCTTTTTGAAGGGGTGAATACAAAAAAGGGCCGGTGTTTGACTCTCATTCATTTCGTTGCGGCGTTCATTTTCAATTAGCCTCTTTCTCTGTGCTCACTTGCAGGTATATAATGTGTACATGGCAGGCAGGCAGCTGTGCTCCAAGCGTTACCGCGAGTTTGTGATCCTACACCAGAACCTGAAGAGGGAGTTTGCCATCTTCACGTTCCCCAAGCTGCCCGGGAAATGGCCTTTTTCCTTGTCGGAGCAGCAGCTCGACGCGCGACGCAGAGGCCTTGAAGAATACCTGGAGAAAGGTGGGGCAGAGGGAAGGAGTAATGTGGCATTGGTCCAGTCATTGTAATTACAATCATGCTTTTCTGGGGTTTGTAGAGTTATGTAATGGGGCGGAAAAGTGTGACTTCAGACTCTACCTCGACTAAAGACTAACAAATTGTAGCACTTAAATTGTACTTGTAACGTCACTCATCTATAGCAAATTGTAAATTGGCTTATTTGAGGAAATTGCACTTTCTTGTTTCTTGTTCTCCTGAGTTTGCACCCTATGGTTGAATGCACTTATTGTACGTCGCTTTGGATAAAAGCGTCAGCTAAATGACATGTAATGTAATGTAATGTAATGAATTGTCCGGTAAACAATACAGTCCTCTCCAGCGTTGTATAATCGCAGATAAATCGCATTAAATAATCTCTACCTTACTTACCGTGTCTGTTTTCTGCAGTGTGCTCTGTACGGATAATTGGAGAAAGTGACATCATGCAGGAGTTCCTGTCTGAATCGGATGAGGTAAAAAAGCGAAACATGTTTGTATCGTTCTGCAGTTGTCCACATGGGACTCACGGTGCAGTTTGTGTTCCCATGAAACCTAGAACTATAACGGCGTGTCTGATGTGGAGCTGAGGATAGCCATGCCCGACAAAAGCCCGCTCACCGTTAGAGTTTGCAAAAATTCTACCACTGACCAGGTGTACCAGGTAAACAGGCCCGACTAACTGTAACAATTATAAAACAACTAACAGTTTACACTCATCTCCTAATGTTTTCATCCTTCTGTTTCAGGCCGTAGTGATGAAGCTGGGGATGGACAGTGTAACAGCCAGCTATTTTGCTCTGTTTGAGGTCATCAACCACACTTTTGGTCAGTAAGAACACTATTGTCGTTTATTTATAGCCAGTAGCCCCTGATGACAGATACATCATGCTTTTTAACCATCCTGCTCGAGAAACCTTGAATTGAATCTTGCTTTCACTATAAACGGCTGCCCATTGTTTTGTAATCAGCATTAAACATTAACCACAGCTGAGGCTGACGGGAAAGTCAATAGTTTCACTGGTATATGGACATAAACAAAGTACTGCACGGACACGAGATTAATTGGACCTGACGATGGTGCTGAAAGACGAGTCCAGGGATCCCGCAGGCTTTCTAATTTCTTTTATTCAGTTGATGACGTTTGCAGTGTGTCTGTCCGTTGATTTCCTTTTCTTTTTTTCTACTGCAGACCGCCTAGATGAAAATATCAAGTACCCAGGATCCAACATATTTGACACTTAAACATTGGAACATCCTGCTCTCATTCCCTGCCTCCTTTTTGTTCCTCTGTCTTTCTTCCTCAGTGCGTAAGCTCGCCCCCAACGAGTTCCCCCACAAACTGTACGTACAGAACTACACGTCGGCCATCGCAGGAACCTGCCTCACCCTGCGCAAGTGGCTCTTCACCACAGAGGAGGAGATTCTACTCAATGACAACCAGCTTGCTGTCAACTACTTCTTTCACCAGGTGTCTCTCTTCGTTGTGTGTGTGTGTGTGTGTGTGTGTGTGTGTGTGTGTGTGTGTGTGTGTGTGTGTGTGTGTGTGTGTGTGTGTGTGTGTGTGTGTGTGTGTATTCAATTCAGTTTTCAATTAATTTATAGCCCAAAATGACAAATTTGACTCAAAAGGACTTTAAAGTCTGTACACATGCGACATCTTCCGTCCCCAAACCCCCCAAAATGAAAACAATCCCTTCACAGGAGAAAAAAAGGAAGAAACCTTCGAGAGAACGTCAGATGAAAGATTAGACAGAATGCGTAAAAGATGTACAATATGTTCAATGCATCTGACAGAAATGGTTACAATACTGCGAGTAGTACGGCAGCTGTAAGGCAGGGCCCTTGCTTTTCGTGGGTTTGCTCTAACGGTATGCCCTGTCTTTTCAGGCCGTGGATGACGTGAAGAAAGGCTTCATCAAAGCAGAGCAGAAGTCCTACCAGCTGCAGAAGCTGGCTGAGCAGAAGAAGCTGTCCATGGTCAGTGCCTCACGCGCGCACAGACACCACACGGCACTGCTGCCCCCGATGAACATACAGAGGCAGATACAGATACGAGTTACAGTTCTCAGTGGGAAATGTCATCCCTTCTCTCCCACCCGTTAAGTCTCCCTTCACACCAGGTGTGAAAAAGAACGTAGAAGGTAGAAAGCAAGTGAGTTCGCCTCTGTGTGAAAACAAAGAATAGACGATTCAGCGTCAGAAGTTCATGCTGCGTGTAAACTTCATTCAACTACACGTTTTCATCAAAAGCAGTAAATCGACCAGCACCTTGTCCCCTCTGACTCTTTCTTTCTTAGTACATGAGCCTGTTGAGGGACTGCGAGGGCTACAATGAGATCATATTCCCACACTGTTCCTGCGACTCCCGGCGCAAAGGCCACGTCATCACAGCCATCAGCATTCGCCACTTCAAGCTCCACGCTTGCACCGAGGAAGGGACACTCGAGGCAAGCGGCGACTGCTTGTCCGTGTGCGTGTGCATGCGTGTGTGTGTGTGTGTAGCACCTTTTTGCAGGAATAACCGAGTGAGTGTCTTAAAGCCTCAATGTTGTCCCAGAACCAGGTGATTGCGTTTGATTGGGGGGAGATGCAGAGGTGGGACACCGATGAAGAGGGCATGGCCTTCTGCTTTGAATATGCTCGAGGGGAGAAGAAACCACGCTGGGTCAAGATATTTACCCCCTATGTGAGTACCACGCACAGATTATCGCATGGAATTTTGCGAATGAGTGAGCTTGCTGTTACACGTCAGCTTCTGTGAGGATCGAATATACTCATAACATGCTGAGCTTCACTGGTGATAGTCGATATACTTCCTTACTCAATAACAAAGCTAGGCCAGCTGTTTCCCTCTGTTCCCAGTCTTCGCGCTAAGCTAACCAGCTGTAGTGTCAGTGTCATTACGTAACTTTTCCAATAATATCTTCCAAAAATTCAAACTATTCCCTGAAAAGAAAATATGTGAACCGTCATCAACATCAGTCTTATGTGTCGTTTAAATCCACATTTCTGTTTCTGTTGCATGGCTGATGTTCAGTTCAACTACATGCATGAGTGCTTCGAGAGAGTCTTCTGTGAGCTGAAGTGGAGGAAGGAGGTAAGGATCTATCAACAGACCAACCTGAACCATTACGAGCCTCGCTTGTGCGCTTCGCCCATACCCGCCACGTGTGTGTGTTTTTTACAGGTGGAAGAGGAAGCTACAGACAAGGACAATAAGAACTGCAGTAAAGATGGTATGTGTGGCAAGGTAAGGCTTTGCCTGCCTCTGTCTGGTACTTGATTGGTCAGGAGCCTGGATGAATCGTCCCGTTGTCTGTCCCCATGTCTTTCTCCTGATTCTCCTTTTCTGTTTCAGAATATTTTCCAGCTGCTGAGGCACAGAAGGGATGGAGGCACCTAGGAAGGGAGATTGTTACCTCCTAACTAGACGCCGTCGTCACCGACCCAGCTCAGTTCAGCCCTCATCAGGCCGCAGACCCAGCAACACTCTGCTGTTATCCACATGTTCATCATTTATACTCCATCAGCTTCAACCTCAGAAGCTGCCCTCGACACATGCAAATGAACAAATCCAATTATCTGAACCATAAACTCTTGAATCCAGCGCACCATAATCCTGCATTGAATAGAGCTCTGAAAGAGAAATGAGTTCTGTCTAGACTTAAAACCATGGATTCATCCAATCCTTCTTCTTATTGGCAAGGACTTGAAATGCAACGTGACTCGGGGGGGTTATGAGGCTCTGCAGGAGTCCTGCTGGGTAGAGAAAGCTGAAGTAAATATGGAAATATTGTTGGATTTATAAGGGAAAGTGAGGCTGCGGGTTGACTTCAGGAAGACACCTGATCTTCTCCATTGACAGATGGGAGCAGCAGTTCTTTGTCCTCTTGGCCAGTTGTTAGCGTGTGAGTTACCGTGCTTATTAACTATGCGTACAAGGGACTCCGAAAGCCAAGAAGCTGCTCAGAGTGTGGCCCTCAGAATGTAAGTCACAGCTGAATAACACACATTTCTACCTGTTTGGCTATCAATTTTCATTTACGAAAGACAACTGCTAACATTGTATTGTGGCAAAAGAGAGAAAGGAGGGAGAGAAAGTGTACGTTTATTTTTTTCATTCAGAGACACAGCATTGCTTATTTGACACACGAGCTGGAACAACGTTTAACTTCACTCTAATGTTGCACTTTATTGAACCGTACTAAATCACGTCCAAATGTGGGACATGTAACTTAAGCGACAGATATTGAGCATATTACTGGAACTAGCCCGCGCTTCTTTTACCTTTGACTGACAACACAACAGTATGATTATGTACTGCATCATCAAATGGCACGTGCAGTGTTCTGTGAGTCATGCATTCAACTTTTGTCTATTTATAATGTGAACACTCTGTGCAAACGTGTTGAGGCCATTGCAGAGCGGCCTTGATGGAGTGCGTCATGTTTACAATGTATTACCAATAAGAGCCAACAGGGGTCCTCAGCCTCCTTCCTGCAGGCCCTGATTACTTGGGCAGGGTTATTATACGCCTGTAATCCAGAAGACCTTTACAATCGCAGCACTATTTATCTCTGTAGTTCGCAGTAATGTCGAACCTCTTATGCATTCGGGGTTCCGCGTTCAATGGAAAGAGGAGTTCTTTGCAGATAAGAACACTTTATCAACCAGATAGATACAAAGATAACGGAGTATGTTCACTGAAGGCTTTTGTAGCAACTGATCACAGAGCTGTAATTCAAGGTCTCTCTAAACGAGTCCACTTAATGTTGTCGTTCCTAGAATAATATAACAGACCTAACGTCATTTGGCGTAAATTGATATTCTGATGATGCAACAATGATTTAAGGCTGACAGAAAATGTATTACACGACATAATATGATCACATGATGCCATTAAAGAGTCCTTGCTCAGTGCAATGTTATTATGGTACTACCATATTCTGTATGTGAAAATGTGACTAATTTATGCAAGAACGCTTGTAAGATAATCAAACGGATGCTCGAGGAAAAGACCTGTGTTAGATGAGATGAAACTTCATGTGTGCAAAAACAAACCCTCCCCAACTCATTTTCTTACTTTCTAATTAAGTCCTGTGAGCATTGTATGATGCCAGTGAATGTTTGTAAACGCTAATATTCCATTTTAACCCATCGCTGACTCCTGCTTGGCCTATAATGAGAATGTTGACAGTATTCTCTCCTCAGCTAAAAGCAAGTGAAGACTCAGAGGTGGAGATCAGTGGCTCTTGCTAGCAGTGCTTCTTTTAATGAAGGTGCTGCTCACTTCTGGGGTGATTAATGACCTTCAACAGACTTTGGCGGCTTTGCAAATGAGGTTTGATTGAATGTGTTGAGCCTTGAATCCTAAAGACTGAATTCATTTCCCTGGATCCTTGTCTGTTTTACTGCGCTCGTCTCCCTCTCTTTCTCTCTTTCTCATCCTGACTAAAGTTAAGTGTCACTCTTTTTATTTATTTCAATAAGAACCTTCAGCATCTTTAAGTTTTTCTCCTGAAACAGTGTGACTTTTTGAAAGCCAAACTAAGAAAGTAATGGAGATTGACAACCTGCAGGTTCTCGGACATGTTGACATGAGAACTTAAAGACAAAGTGTTTGGTTACGTCGTTTACTGTAAGAAATTGTAACATCCAGTATTCTTTTAAATAAACCAATTTATTGATGCAAAAATGTGTTTGTTTTTTTCATTGTTGTGTCTGTGGCTCTGGGAGTAAAGTCGGTTTTAATGCTCAGGGTGGCTTCATGCAAAGGTCATATTTAACTTTGTTTTGTGATTTGACTTGTTGTCCCCCCTCTTAGTGTCCACGTATGTTTCCCCCCCCCCCCCCCCCCTTGCTGCATTGCCGTCCATCTTTTCTCAACAACGCTGATGTATTTTAATTAGATCTGTGAGACAATTACCCAACAGGCAGTGAAACGGCCGTCCCGTATCGACCTGCGCTGAGTGCCTGCATCACCTAATTAATAGCTATTGACTCGTGGTGGACAGGGATGCCATCTTCAGTCATCTGAAATTTGAAAACATCCCCGGGCCAGAAACCTGTCGTTTGGAGACATCTTGCATATGGTCTGAATTCAGTTTCTCACCACAACTTGATCATAGAAAAGTGCTGACTTGAATGAGCGTTGGGCTAAATAAGAAACCGAAACGAGTCGATTTTGTTGCAGAATTGTAGACAACCATCAATATACAGGACCCTATATCAACTCTATCTTATTCCTGTGTGTGTGTGTGTGTGAGAGAGAGAGCTGCAGAAATGAGGCGGCAGAAAGCTTTAACCACTTGCCGCCTGAGTGGGTTCGCGGTGGCTCTGCTTCATGTGGATGTGGGTTCAAATTTGTGCGACAACTGCAGCCCCCACATTGTCGGGGGGGACCCCTTGATATTGCAGAATTATTCCTGCATCCCGCTCTTCTTTTACCCGCTGCATCGAGCTCCAGTGGTTTGCTTCTCCTCTGGTGTTGACACAGAGCAGGTGACTGAGCATCTTAGATTTATTGTGCTGTGTTGCGTCTCTCGCCGGTCACGAGAAGAAGGAGCCGCGTAGGCCAAGAAATACGTACGGTGATCGGCTCCGACGGGGAAATGCCCTGTTTGCACATTTACTACACTTACAATGAATAAGTGTAAAGCCTTGTTAATAGTTAATAGTGTCCCGGCTGAATGAGGGGGGTAGTTGTGCCAAAACAGCAATTAGCTGAATTCAATCATCGGTGTGTTTGAATTATTTCTGTCAATCACTTGGGGTGAAGATTATTTAAATGCATTCAATGCCAATTCAGAAAATAAGCAGTCACCGCATAATGCTGGTCTAAGAACTTTAGCAGCAGCATACAGGGGGGGGGGGGGGGGTCACTTCTCTTCTTTTCTCTACTTCTCCTCTCCCTCTCAAATAAATAAGCATATCATTGGAAACTTTATTTGACATCCAGTGGCTTTCTCATGCTTTGGTGCTCCCCCCCCCCCCTCCGCTGCTTATAAGAAACATGCAGCCAGCATGGTCTTTTTCCTTAACTACTCATTCATTTAGGATCTTCTCCATCTCCCGCACAGCCCTCCCTTCTATGCCTCTTTCTGTCTTTCTTCCCTTTGCCCTCCTCATTGGTGTTCTCCATTACCTCCATCTTGACTCTTCACTCTGTGGGTCTTTTTGCCTCTCACACCCCCTTTTCGTCCCTCCGCCAGTCCTCTGGGTAACACTCAATCAGAGGGAGGAGAGACGGATAATGGAACATTAGATGCCGTGAGTACAAAGCACGAGGGTGTTTATTTCACAATGTTTAAACATCAGTCTGTAACTCCTCATTCAAAGACTGTAAAACGCATTCAGGGTACAGCCAGGGTCATAGAGATTATATTCTTCTGCATACACAAAAAGGGTGAGAGAGTGGATGAGAGACGGTGCTGCTGGTGTGTGTGTGTGTGTGTGTGTGTGTGTGTGTGTGTGTGTGTGTGTGTGTGTGTTTGTGTCGCACAGAAGGAAAATATTGTTTCACATTATGCATAAAACCAGAGCGTTTCAATATTTACTCTAGCCATGACACTCAACGTGTAGCTAAAATTTGGGAACAATTCTGAGAGAGAAAGTTCCAGAGACAACCCTGCTGAATTATCACGTCATTGTACAGTTGTTTTGAAATACATATGGTAATAAAATCCTTGGGGTGTCGGTGTTAAACTGATGTTTGGATGCATGGCTTGTATCGCACTTTGTTATGTTACAATATTGTCCGATCTTCTGTTTTTCTGTCTGTTTATATTCATTTTTGTACCTTGTGTTGCTGCATATCATTGAGATCTCCCATTGGGAGTCTGTCATCATCACAGTGCAGGGATGATAAATGGTGTTTGAATAATAAAAAAAGAAAATATGATCAAAATTTTCAAAAAAATTTTTTTTAAAAATACTAAAAAGCTGTGTGTACCGCTGTATGACTAATATTTTGGGAAGCATGCAGCTGCATTGTTAGGAATGCGGGTTTACATGCGGCATGTCAGTGTCTCTGCTGAGCATTTTCATGTAGCATCCATAGACGGCAGTACAAACATTTCATAACATGCTTCCTAATAATCACATAAATTCTCGGATAAGTTTTCTCTCGGGATCCTCATTAACAAAGCTCTTCATTTCACTGTCAAGTAATACAAAGTTAAAAACAATCATTGCATGAGACCATTATTTAACTGATTTTTATGGAGAAAAAAACCCACACAATATTTTATAGAAAGCATTGCTAAGAGGATGTGTGAACAATATATTGTATTGTGGAAAATGTCACACACAAAATTGCTTCCTAAAATCTCTGCATCCCCGTCCACTCCGGCTTACAAAATACCTTCTGTTGTATGCCCCACTGTCTTTAGCTACCAACAAGTCCATAACATCTCTCACCCTCTCGTATCTCTGTGCTTTTGGTCCGTCAGAGGAAGTCTTTTGACAGAGCCTCTCCAAAGTTGGGTGCAGCCATGAGAATAGCGATGGTACAGATGATGTTGAAAACACTGAATCCCATCAGGCACAGCCGGTCGATGACGGCCGCAGCAAACTGCCACTGCTCCGCCAGACCGAGCTGCCGGTCTTGCTCCTTTACCCGCTCCACTAAAAACTGCACCTCCGTCAGCAGAGCGTGCAGCTGGTGTTCTACTGCCACAGATCGCATCACGGCAGCTGATCTCCCTGCTGCAACCCCGGCCTCTGGGACGCAGGGTCCAGAGGAGGTGAATGGATCAGGGTCCGGGGACAGTGGAATATCCTGTGGCGGGCTCCCAAACTTGGAAGGTTGGATCTCGTGATGGATGGGTGTATCTCCACCTGGTCCTCCTCCTGCCTCGGCTCCCTCTCCTTCCCCTCCACCTGCTGCATCGGTGAACCTCCCCTGAGTTGTGGCCCTGCTCCTCTGAACTGGCTCCGGCTCCGCAGCGTTCTGGAAGATTTGGAAGCCCATGTAAAGCAGTTGGCCGTTGGGCTGCGGGTGTGGATTGGAGGCGGCGTCTCTGTGGGCGGGATTAGGGGAGATAACAGCCTGCGAGTTGGGCCGGTGGGGCGGTGGGTGTGGCAGAGGGTGGTTGAGCTGAGCCAGGCTGGCCTGCAGGGAGTTGAGGCTCTGGGGGAGGTTGGGGGGCACTGGCGTGGGGATGGTGGTGGTGGTTGCGGTGGTTGTAGGAGAGGACGGGGTCTTGCTCTGAAAGTCTGCTTGGCAGCCGGAGAGAGTCGGGTCCATTCCCTCTCCTGGACACTTCATCCGCAGAAACCAAGGAACCCACTGCAGCAGAACCAAGTGCACCTGGTACACAAGGACACAGACGCCAATAAGAACAACACACTTAAATGTTTCTTGTACTCTTTATTGGACTGCAACATATTGCTCATCAGCAATATAATTATAATTATAATACCATATTAAACTCAAGCTTTTAATCTTGGTATAAGATGTTATACCATATTTAATATGATTAAGCTTGTGTCATCTTGACTTTGGTTAAGAGCCACTGTGAATCTTATCTAAAACTTTATTTCCTATTATTAGTGGGCGTTCCACCTGCCTTGATCCAATATACTTGGACAGGCTGGGAAACTTTTAACCAGAACCAAGAGATGGAGCTTATTACCTGCCCTTCTGTTAAGGCCCTTAACAGACTCCTTAACGATCTGGTAGCCTCTTTTAAATTGCTTCTCAAATCACACTTTTATTTTTGGTGTTTTATTTTTGATGTTTTTGACAAGTTCTCTGTGGGTAAAGTTTATCATTGTATTATAATAATTTCACTCACCCAACGTGGCATGTGTCCACTGTTGGGGTTGTGGTGATGGAACTGAAGAACGATGACTGTGGCCACTACTGACGTCCCGACAATCACCATGATGCTGGCGAAGTACTGACCTGTGACCAGCGGGATGGAGGCACGTTTCACTCATTAGGGTGCTGACAATCTATTAGCTATGAACAGGTCAAATCCTCGACCCAGAAAACTCCACAGACAGACACGCAAATGTAGCGCAGAGGAACTGACCTATCAGGGGTACAGAATCTGATGTGGCGGGCATAATTTCTGCAACCATCAGCATGAAGACAGTCAGAGAAAGCAGAACCGTGATGCCTGGAGGCAGAAACAGGACCCCAGAAGTAAGATGAGATAATCCTCAAAAGAAGAAAGCAAGTGAGTGGTACGGTGCCCCAGACTTTTCTCCACAACCATCGCTTTGGATGACAAACCAAGGAAAAGTCATTTGATTTTAGTCTTTCTCACGTTCCCTCCGTCTCTCCGTCCCAGCCCTCCATAAACCCTACAAAAGCTTTTGACGGTGAACTATAATATCTTCATCTCACACATCTGGTATTATATATTTCATATATTCTCAACCATTCTCATTATACATCATCCTCCCAACCCTGTTCTTTTCCACCCTTCTCGCATCGTTCCTCACCCAGGCTGATCTTCTCCCCCGAGTTGGCGGGGAGCAGGAAACACACCAGAGTCATGGAGGAGAGAAGCACGCAGGGGACGAGGAGGTTGAGTGCGTAAAACAAGGTCCTCCTTCGTAAGGTCACCACGAAGGTGACATCGGGGTATGGCTGTGGACAGCAGTCGTAGAAAACTTCGTGGCGACCTCCAGGGACCCCTGGGGCGGCAGAGAAAGGGGAGGGTGTGAAATGAGAAGCATTTGAAGAAGATCTGACACAGGACCAGCATCAGAAAAAGATGTTATTGAAGACAGCCGAAGTAGAATGAGGAAAGATCTGCTTTCATGAAAATCAATGATGGTGTCTGCAGGGCGGAATGATGACGGTTGTTTGTACAGTACTGTTTTGTTGTATTGTATTTTTATTGAAAGAAATGTTCACAAGGCTACAGAAAGCATTGGCTGTGGTGTAAGCTCTGTTGCTAGGCAACACTGTTGGTCTTCCAAGGCCTCAACAAACCGGTCTTACCCAGAAGGTCCCACTCTCCGTTGGTCATGTATCCTGACACATCTGCCTCCTTCATCTGGAGGTCCAGCAGCCAGCCATCAAATGTCCAGGAGCCAAACTTCAATTCACAACGCTGGATGTCAAACGGAAACCACCGCACATCCACAGTACATGTGCTGACGAATATTCCTTAAAAGAAGTGAAAGGGAAGTTGGTATCAAGGTCAAGTCAGTTCATCCCAAGATATTTCTTGCAGCCATCTGGAGGCAAGTGAAGACAAAAAGTGAAAGATTAAAGTCAATATTTGCAGGATCCATTAGCCGCAGCATGAGCGGTACTGTACGTGTGCAGAATGAATGAAGACGGAGTTTGTTTTTGAGGACAAGATGGGGATTAATAAGAACTCACCTGGAGGCAGATACTCACAGAAGCCACTGGAATTCACCAGCACGTTGGTCTTAAAGGTGGCATCAAACTTGTCATGAGCACTGGGGGATAGTAACAAAGAGGCAGCTAGTTAGTTTAGAGCTCAGCCACTGCACTGGGAGGGCAGGGGGGACTGCGGGGGGAGGGGTGGGGGGGGTGTTAGTTCACACATACCTGTTGTAAAGCAATATGTCAGGCGTCCAGATCTGGTCAGAAGTGAACCGGAGGTTCTTTACTCCGGGATACTCTGACTGGTTCCACTGGAGGTAGTGGTCATACCACTGCTGAGAGACACCAGCGCAACACATTTTTACACATGAACATGTTAACCACGACGACACGTGCACACATACATGGACGCATGTATTTACTGTCAATATATATCTAGAAGATGGATCTTTTGGAGGTATTTTTTGACCACTTTTTTTTTTAAAGGACAGAAGGTGTTTGTGAAGCCCTCTGAGTGGTGTAGTGATTTGTGACACTCCTTAATTCAGATTGACTTGACAGGGACAAATTCTCATGATATCCACATTAAGGGCATGCGAGTGATGGCAGGCATACACAAGGCTTTTCACCGCACAGATCAATACCATAATTAATGTTATTCATAACACTTACCATCTGCAGCCAGGCATTCGTGGTGAGGATCTGGTTCTTTTCATCCTTGCATAACACAAAAAAACACCACAGGAACTATGACATTCATGCCCATAATAATAATTTTAAATTAATTGAATTGGGAGAGGAAGAACTTGATTCCAAATTAAGGGGCAGGACAAAATCCACATTCCTCGTTGGGTGTAAAAAATGCATTGCTAAATTTAACTAATGCTAATACAATCTGAAAAATAATGTGGGTATATTTTTTCTAGCACAATATTCCCTCTTTATACTATTATCCCCCCGCTGCTGCTCAACAAGGAAATGCTGTCCTTAGAAACACGCACGCTACAATTCCTTTAGGTTTGGGCCATTATACTACAATGACATGACAAGAGCTTCAACTGAACTTTTGAATGCACTTTCACATGGAAATCACATTCCGGGGAGATACACAATATTATTTCTTGTTTGAACCTATTGCATGAGTGCATGTTGACATTTATAATCCACGTGTGCCATGCGTACCACATCCATGACTTGCATGAGAGTAAAGGAGAACTGCACGGTGAGAATCTGGGAGTCGTTGGCCACCGGCCTCTCCATGGGGTTGTAGTCCCTCAGCAGCTCCCTGAGCAGAAGCCGCTGGTGGGGACCCTGCAGGGATGCTGGACGAGGGGAGTGGGAGGGAGTTCCATGGATGTGATTGGTCAAATGGTGGAGTGTTGCATCAGAAAAGAAGAGCGAGAGAAAAGGTGTTACAAGGAGGAAGCTGTGCCTGGGAAGACTAGAAAGCACAGAAGGGAGAGCAATAACAGTAAAGTGGTCTTGTTACGAGGATTGGTGGATAGTTCGAAGGAAATTTGGGCGAGAAATTGAAGGCTAGGCGAACGAAGGAGAAGGAGAAACACTGACAGAGTAAAAAGAGGGCGGGCTTTCAGGGTAAAGGAAAAGGTCATGTTTTAGAGATGCACCACAGCGATATATAAAGCACAGCAGATTACACAAGACAAGAAAAGAAAACACAACATGAAAATGTGTGTGAATTGTTTTTGAAAAGAAGGCAGGACACCAGAGAGAAAGACTCCTTTTTGTTCTTATCAATTAAATATCTGTTAGATCACCAATCATACTGATTGATTTAAAACTGCTGGGAAAAATCTGCTTAATGTAATGCAGAAAATTGTGAGGCCACGATACACACACACACACACGCACACACACATCCCTCGATGAGAGCAGAGAACTGTCTCCGTCTGTTCCTGTAACTCCACCAAAGCCCCACATTCACTTTTGATTCATTCTCAACAAGGCAATCACTTTGATGTAGAGAACAATTTAAAAAAACTAATGTACACTTGAAATAGTCTGTTCTGGAAAATAGCCCATACTGCTTCAGTGGGATTTCTAAATGGTCTTATATGAATGCACTTTTTACTGCGTGATGTCAAATCTATAGTCATTTCCTCGACTTTAATTCATATCCATACGACTCCACCGATATGCCTGTAATTCAGGTCGATAGTCCGTACTGTCAAGCCAGTGTAAATGAACCACTAGCTGCCTAATTTTCTATCTATCAGTCCATCCATCCATTACAGCAGTGTCATACCTAAAAAAAACTGCACAGCTCAGCTCTGCAATTTGCAGTAAAGATGATTGCGATTCCAACTGCTGCTTACTCATTAAAAAAAATTGTTCTGTCTGCCTACACACCAACACATTCTCTCTCCCTGTGTCGAGGTGAGCTGCTGTGCAGTTATTAAGAACAGAATGCTCGCTTGCACAAGACATACACACAGCACATGCACAAAACACACACAATCGGGAGACCACAGTGTCACTCAGAGAACCAACCAAAGTCACTCACCTCGGAGCAGAGTGGCAAATATCAACAGCCAGAGAGCCATAGCCTTCCACATACTGCATTCCTCAGGATAAACAACGAAAGAGTGGAAGAGGGAGAAACAGGGAGGAAAAGATGAGGGAGGAGGGAAAAGGGGAGAGTGAGGAGGAGAGATTGCGATACAGGCAGAGAAGGGGAAGGGAGGGGAGGCGTGCGCAGGAGAGCCAGAGAGTGAGAAATGCAGTGAAATAAATACTCCTCTGAAGAGGGAGATGTTGCGTGTCAGATACTGGGATCCGTGCACATCCCCTCCAACAGCTTCAATTCACCCGTCATGCTACTCTGATCCTTCATTCTTGTAGACTTTCTGGTATGTGCTTATCAGTCACCGCATCAGTCCCACTCTGTTATTCAACCATGGACTCGCTTGGTGCTTTATCCCACGGGGTTGTTAGGGAGCTCGAGGAGGACGTTTGTATCTTTGAGAGTATATGGCTCCAATTCCTGGGATTGTATTGCATCAGTAATCCAGGTGTGTTCAATGTTTAGGAGGAAAATGAAAGGAAAAAAATGTAAGAAAACACGTGGAAAGGAAACATCACTTATTTTGAATAATTGATACAAAACTATAATACTATATAACATATGTCATGTTCTAATATCCACCAGCAAGCACTGCTTTACTTTTTTTCTGGAACTAAGCTGACATCAGTATTCACAGAGTACTGGTGACACCCACTGGACATGTTAGCAAAGTGCAATGTGGTGTGATAAATATGATCTGTGTTCTCCTAAGAGCTCTATTGTGAAGATATTGATTTGGAATTCAACAATTATCCATTGATTTTTACTAGAGGGCGGTTGAGGAATACACAGAATACAGAATATATCCAGTCTCGCTCTCTGTGTTTATTGTATTTATGGTGGAGAACAACTACGGCCTTGGCTCTAAAAACTGAATTTATCTTGGGGTTATTGTTGCCCACATGAGTATATTGTAATCAAGTTAATTTGACCTAAGCCATAATCTTTTACTAAAACTAACCAAGTATTTCATTACCTTAACTGAAGGTTCTCAACAGCTAAGACAACGAGATTGTGAATATATGTGGAACCCCTTTTTTTACTCCTGGAATAATTTAGATGGAATAATAGATTTTACTTCTTTGTAATAGTAATAAATAATGACTTTATTTAAACAACAAAAGTGTCCAACTCTCAATTATACAGTAAAGCATTCAAAGGATACAGATGAAACATGTTTGAACCTTGCCGATCGGGATACGTCATCCACAGGCGACGCGTGGCTTTGTGTCGGTCGCAATCAATAATCATCACTTTTTCGTGCACCAGTTCTTTGATTGTTTGTCCGTGGTATCAACGTATCGCCGCTTTAAATATTGCACACCGACAAGATCCCGCCGTGACGACGCTCTGCGAGTTCAGGTAATCGATTAAAGCCATTGAGTCGCTTTCGGACGTTTATGGGATTTTGCCAAGTGTGGTTTGTATGTTTCCCCGTTTGCAGGCAATGTGCGGCAGGCGAGAGTTAGAAATGGTGCAGTGCACTGCTACTGGCCGTAAGCTAGCAGGCTAGCTAACGTTAGCCTGGAGGAGGGACCGTTAAGTACTGCTGTTCCGTAACGCAGTGCGAGAGTTACATGTCGGAACACATGTGCGGTGTTGGTTTAGAAATGTCGGCAACGCGTCCAACCTGTAGCCGCTCAAGTCAACGCTTCGTGCTCCTTCTAGAAATGCGTCAAATAAAAACAAGGGACAACAGCAAGAGATTCCGAGTTTCGTTCGCTGCCCTTGGCGATCAACGTTGCCCCTGCTACCGTCGCGTTAGGCTTTTTAAATGGCATCCATCTCTTTTTAATCACTTAAAGCTCGCTGAGAAACGCACCAGTGTCAAGTTGCCAAGATGTAACGTCCGTGAGGAGTGGATCCGGGTTGGGTCTTGAGTTAGAAAACCGCTGCAAAGACTTTTAAGCTAACGTTAAAAGTCTGGTGCGTTTTTGTTGATGCATGGGCTTCAAGTTTGCAGGATTGTTTGCAGAGTGAGATGGAAAACAACTAAAAGACATCATGTTATTTCGTCCATGCTAAGTTTGGAATGATGCACACATGTGAACTATGTGTAAACCATTTATTTCACGTAAATAGTTTTTTTTTAATATTCACTTTACTGTCATATATCCAGTAAAAGTCTTGGATTCATTTGTATTGGAAATGTAAAACCGATTTCATTGTATTAAATAAACTGATATCTTATTAGCATATTAATAAGGTAAGAAGCCCTTATTTGTCCTGCAACGGGGAAATTCACAGGATTACAGCAGCAAAGGAAGAAAAGTGTACAGAGAGACATTAAAAAAACATGATCAAACAATTATAAACAAGTTATAAAAAGCACTAACAAGAATACACAAACTCATTGAAATGTTATATACACAATATATATTTTTATATAAATATATATTATATACACACAACAAACTATTATGAGGGTTTTTATTGCACAGGTGTTTCTGTCCTGCGTGTGGTGTAAATAAGCAGAATGGCTCCTGTACAGAATCATAACCTGTAGGAGATCATTCACTAGGTTGGCAACTGTACTTTGATGTACTCTATCACGTATGATACAATTTCAGTGAGTTTTGTTGCTACTCTTCTTTCTAACATTTTAATGAGTGCTGTACTTATTTATTTGAGGAAAAGGGCTTTATTGTTCCCGTGTATGAGATGCACTTATTTGTGATAGTGACCTTCACCTTATAATACTCTAGGTTGTTGTTGTTGTTTTTTGTCAATCCTAACGCAAATCCAGTAACCCGATCTCAATGTGTCACTGCGATATTTGTATCCTGTCCCTCTCTGTGTCTCCCTCTGTCTGTCTCGTGTGTCTCTGACGGTGTGATGTCTGTGTCCTCTCGGCCACAGCGTGCTGTGTGCAGCATGCATTCTGCAGGGGATGCCCTTGTAGCTCCACGGTAACACAGTGGCCGTTGCGGTACACAGAGTGACCCCCTTTGGGCATGAAACGAAAGCCAGGTGACTTTTTATTATTTTCTATAATGCAACTTCTGTCCGTCCTTGAATCCAACCGGTGCGTCACGTGACCAGCAATGGAAACCTATCGTGTCGTCAGAAGGGAAAGCGAAACTTAACTCGTGTGCGATGGCCTCTTGTTTTCTTTTACTTAGCACGGTTCATGCTTTGCCCCCGGTCCCCCCCCCCCAGCTTTTCTGGTGCAATAGAGCGCAACGTGTTGTCCGCACAGCTTATAAGCGCGCGCCGTCACCTGCGTTGACTTGGACGCGACACGACGGACCTGCTCGCCCCCCCCCCCGCGGACCCTTTGTCCTTCTGTCTTCTGGTTCCCTGCTTTCTTTATGCGTCTCGGTTTAAATCATATGAACTTTGGGAAGAGAAGCTACTGCTGCTTTTTTGTTTTTTTCGCCGTTGCCTCTTTAATTTGCGATACTCGAGGTGAGATCCGCGGTGCTTTTTTTTGGGGGGGGGGGGTCCACTGTGCCCACTGTGCCTTGTGGTTAACGCCAGTAAATGAGTGTTTGCGTTGAATGCTAAAGAGTCTGTTTCACCCGTCGTGTGACCGACAGCGCGTTGTGAAAAACCGAGATTTTATTTTGTCTGTCACCTGCTGCCTCGCATCAGGGTCAGGATGACTCCGCTTCAGCCCCGTTGCCCCCCCATCCGGGCTGTCAGCCCCCATCACCGCGATGTTCTGTGTGCTCAGGCTCACTCAGCCCGATGTGGCTGCTGACCGGGCCGGCAGCTCTGTATTGGGTGTCTCCTTGTTGTCAGTCTCACTGTTAAGAGACATAATTGAGTGTGTTCGCTTATGACACCTGACGCCGAATCAATTTCTCGCTGTGCCAAACTGAATCCGCCCATTTAAAGGTTGTTTTTTGGCCGATGGCATATAAGTAGCTCTGCAAAACTTGTTTTTGTTGTCGTCTAGTAACCGCACAATTTTTTCTGTCTCCAGCTCGGCCCTGAGTGTTCTTTTGTCCTTGGTTCTGTCCTTCCCGTCCGCGGTCGGTGTCTCGTTGTTCCTGTCCGATATGGATCCAGATACAGCAATAATTCGTAAGGCCAGAAATAAAACAATAGTCAGAAGACGTTCTGAATTATTGATCGGCATCCTTTTGCCCTGGGATTAAGTTTCAGTGGGACTGGCAGCGACGATGTGTCACCCTGCCGCGTGCTCGTGGAGCAGAGCGGCCCGTGTGTAATCTGAAGACGCGGCGTTAAAGGTTTCGCCGTACGTTAGAGCTAATTTCTGCATGCGATCTTTTTTAGTCCCGTCTCAAATTTCAGTCTGCTGTGTATTTTATTCTACGTTTCGTGGAGGCGGTTTCAGCTGGTATTTAGTTATCCAAGGACCCTTCTTTCTAATACTGACATCTGCTGAATTTCATTATCTTACTGTTACTTACTGGTATAATTCTCATTGTTGTTGTTTTTCTGGCGATCTGCTGTAGTCGGCCCGCCCTCCCGTTCCATCAGGCTCTGCTGTTTGCGCTGGAGGACCTGATCTTCTCAAGGAAGCTACTCCTCAAGCTGCACGGCCCCTCTTCACGCTCAACCCCTGCGCTATGAGCAGAGGTAGAGGAGGGCCTCTCAAAGAACGCTACCACAGGCAACCGCCCCCGGACTACCAGGCCAACGAGAATTACAACAGACCGGGCCCACCCCCGTTTTACCCAAGAGGTGGCCCACAGCAGAGCCCCTATTCAAGTTACCACAACAGCCCTGCCCGTCCCGTAGCGCCCATACCGCCGCCCCCGGCTCCTTCTCTCGCCCCCTCCGCTCCTCACGCACCATGGCACAGTAAAGCGGCCCCTAAACCGGAGGCTCCCAGCGGCTGGTATAATCACAATCGCGGCCCCCCCAGTTCCTTTCAGCTCCAACAGGCAGAGTTCCTCAGAGGACGCAGCTCTGAGGCGCCCCAGTTCAGAGCCGGCCCACGCGGCGGGGCAGCGGCACCAGACCGGCGTCTTGGTTCCTCGCACCAGCCTCAGTCGGGCAGCGGTAGATTTTCATCGTACCCCAACAACAGCTCAAGGGGTCGATGGGGGTATGATCAGGACCGACCGCTTGTGTATCCAGTGGACCCACGCAGCAGCACAGGTCCTCGACACCTAAATCAAAACCAGTTTCATGGTACAAACCACGAGCCGTACTCCAACAGGCCGCGTCACGACTCGGCCGATTCCGTGTGTGAAAACTTACAAACTTTGTCCCTCCACAAAGTCCGGCCCGGCAGAGGAGGGGAACGGTTCGACAGACATTCCGCCCCGAGCGGCTCGGCGAATTCCCACATCACCCTCACCCCTGACATCCAGGACCAGGTTCACAGGGCTTTGGCTGCGTTGAAGCCAAATGAGAGTATCTGTGCAAGATTTCTAGCCAAAAAACTGCATCTTCCCAAGAAGGTCGTCAACAGGGCTCTGTACTTGTTGGAGCGCTCGCAGAAAGCCTCGAAGCAAGGACTCGTCCCTCCCGAGTGGAGTCTTTGCAGAGAACCTTTCAGAGGCGAGGAGGATCAAAACTCTAGAGTGCAAGGTCCACCTTCCCGTCTGTGCGTCGGCTCAGGACGGCCCGCAGCACCCGGCGCCAAGGTTGAGCTAAAAACAGAAAGGGCAGAAAATAGGGGACAAAGAAAAGAAGAGGACTCTGACACCGAATCCAGTTGTTCTTCCTCCTCCTCCTCGTCAGAGTCGTCCGACTCCGTAGAGTTCCAGCCTCCAGCAAAAGTTCAGCACCAGGAGCAACAGCAGCCTGTCTCTGCCAGCTCGCCCGATCCGGCGCTTCCCACAATGGCGGAACAGAAGGAGCTGGTTCTGCAGTACCTGCGGACGTCAAAGGGGGCAACCGCTCTGCTCATGGCCAAAAATCTGGGTCTCAGGAGCGCCAAGCACATCAATCCCACCCTCTACTCGCTGGAGAAGCAAGGTGAGATTGTTAAGAATAGTGCCGCCAACCCGCCCACCTGGGAGCTCTCCGCCCACCGCAGAGAGAGGATGGAAAGGAGCCTCAAAGCCTCAAAGGGCGCCCGCGGCGAGGGGGACCCGATGTTGGAGGAACCCGGTAGAGATCGGAAAAGAGGAGAGTCTCTCTTTCTGTCGTCGTCACCAATGCCACCAACACCAGGCCTCGAGCCGCTGCCGCTGCCAGAGGGTTTGATGCCCGAGCAAAGTCACAGCGAGGTGGTGAGTCAAATTTCTGTGGTTCATTAAATGTTACTAAGGTCTATGAGGGAATGACACCGTGTGATGGAATGGCACATTCTTAATTTTTGTATTTAAAACATAACTAGAAGTGACAAATTTTATTTTATTTGACCGCGATATTTCAACTGAAATGTCTGCCAACAATTTCAAGGTAATTAAAAATATTTTCTGCAACAATTATAGGAATAACATGTTTCCTGGAAATTAACCTAATTTCCGTTTTTAGTTTTAATGCTGCTTTATGCAACTACTGCATGAAGAGTGTATTGCTATTCCGCTGATGTTACTGAAGTTGGACTTCCTTCTGTTTTTCCCTTGAATCCCAATCCCCATTTAAGCCCCCCACCTTTACCGCATGTAAAGAGGAAGAGACCAACGAAGGACAGTGGGCTACGGATGACATCCCGGAATTCCTCAACGCCATTCGCAGAGAGACGGACGCCGGGAAGCTGGCGGCAGAGAAGGCCAACTCTGTGGGGACTGTAGCCGTGTCGCTGGCCGCTCCGCCTCCCCAGAACCTGTGGGCCAAGTTGCAGGAGGTGAGGTTGAAGAACCCCGTCAGTGGCCTCATGGAGTACGCTCAGTATCTGGGCCAGAACTGTGAGTTCCTGCTCCTGGACCAGTCCGGACCCTCTCACGACCCCCGGTGAGTCTCCTAATCTGTCGTGTTTTTTTTTACTGTTACTTTTGGCGAGCAAAGTCAATTCTTCTGATCTTTGTCTGTGTGATTCATGCGGGGTGTGTCCACATTAAATACATTATCTTTGTCAATTTAGCAATTCCAAGAATTAAGTCGCAACAGTTAGTCGTTCTCCTATTAAATTGTCCCATTATGATTAATGTTTAAATTTTGAAAAAAATGCTAATGGATATCAAAGCAGTAATCCGCATCATCTAATGCTATATTGGGAAAGAAAAAGTTGGATCAGCGTATCCATGAATGCATCCACTTTACCCATTGGGGGTGTTGTACAGTTTTATTACATCATGTTTGTTGCCTTCTGTATAACAGCTGGTGAGACAACTGTTGATTCAAAGTCTGAGAAATAGATCTATTGTCGTAATCAAGACGTATGATGCTGCCTGTTAGCAACGAAAGCTGCATTTTTTTGTGACTCTTTAGTGTTGGGAAATTGTAGCGGCCCAATTAATCCCGTCTTGTTCCTCATCTATGTCCCGTCTCCTGTCAGATTTCGCATGCAGGTGATGCTCAACGGTAGGTTGTTTCCTGTCGCAGAAGCCTCCAGCAAGAAGGTTGCAAAAAAGGACGCCGCTGCTGCCACGCTGCGTATTCTCGTCGCGGAGATTCAGGCGGGGCCGAGTACGGGAGACGAGGGAAATGCTGTCGGCGCGGACCAAGTGATGGATGTACTGCCAGACACTAGTGTGGGTTTTTGGTTTGAATGTGCTAAAACAAGCCATTGTCGTCCACCTGAAGACAAATTGTGCTTTAAACCCCCGAGAGACCACCGTATTTAATGCAGATCAGAGCAAACGCTGAACCTAGAAGCCATTGTACATCAGTCAAGTCGAAGAAGAAAAAAAAAAGTGCCGCCATCATTTTTAATGTTTTCTCCTCCACTGACCACTAGGGGCAGGCTGAAGGCGCGGGGGGAGGTTTTGGGACGAGTAGTGTGGAAGGAATGGGTACAGCGGAAGGACCTCGCCAGCCGCTGTCCCGCTCGCTGCCTGGTGGGAAGAATCCAGTGTCCGTCCTGATGGAGTACAGCCAGCGCAGCGGGAACCCCATCGAATTCATCATGACTGGCCAGGCAGGCCCCCCACATGACCCCCGGTACTGTAAACCCTCCCAAAATACATGTCTGTGTATGTTTGTTCCCCCTCAGGGAAGCGGTCAATCGGCTCTTTCTGTTTATTCTGTACTCTGTCTTGTCACTCTTTCCCCCTCTTTCTGTTTCTTGTCCTTCAGGCAGCCAGCTGATGGATGCAATAAAACATTTGTGTCCCTTCTTACACTTTCTAAACACTGAATTCACCCGTCTGGATCACTGTTACTTATTTATCTATTGTGACGCACGTGGTACAATCTATGATCCCGGACAACAACCGAAACCAGAACCCCCCCCCTTCTCTCTTTCCACCATTCTTTACTGTCTCCGCCCTGTGTTCAGGTTCATGTTCAGGGTGAAGGTTGGAGAGAGCTTGTTTGGAGAGGCCTCTGCTCCGAGCAAAAAGGCAGCCCGCCAGCTGGCGGCAGAAGAGGCCGTCAAAGAACTAATGGCTGACGGGAGACTGCAGCTCAACAAGGTGAGAAAAGGAGAGGGTGCGAAGCAAAGTGACTTTAGGGACAAAAGAGAAACGACCTCAGTTCTGCTCATCATCTTGTCCCCTCCCTTTCCAGCCTCAGTTGCCCCTGGGCTCTTCCAGCGATAGTGACGGCAATGGTTCTGGGACTACGTGTCCCTATTTGCCGCCTCTGACTGCGGACGAGTTGCGAGCAGCACACGAGGCCGGGGTTGGAGATCTCATCAACCACTTGAACAACAATGCCGTGTCGGGTCTCCTGGAGTACGCTAGAGCCCGGGGCTTTGCCGCTGAGATCCGGCTAGTGGGCCAGTCTGGACCACCACATGAGCCCAAGTATGTGCGAACTGAATGATATTCCCCCAAAAACCCACGCAGTTTAAAATGTACCAGTGTCCCCCCACCCTCCCCCCATCCAATGACCTTTTTCATCTCTGCCCCTGTATAGATTCACCTACCAGGCCAAGCTCGGCGGGCGCTGGTTCCCTCCGGTGTGCGCGTCCAACAAGAAGCAGGGAAAACAGGAAGCAGCAGACGCCGCTCTGCGGGTTCTGATCGGAGAGGCCGAGCGAGCGGCCCGCACCGGGGAGCTCATTCCAGCTGAGGTACCGGACTTTTCAGCGGGTCACATCGTCTATGATGAAACACGGGCCGTCTCTGGCTCAACATGGGGATAAGGCAGGACATGACACCTGTATGTCATTATTACCCCCTCACTTTAGCAAGTGTCAAAACAAGATGCACCCTTTGAGTAAAGCACACACATTCACTCTTTCACAGTAAGCAAATTGGTTCTCCTCATTGGAAGGCCGAAGCTCTGTAGCAGCTATGGGAACTAAATTTGTATCGACGGCGTACAAACATTACCCAATCTCAGGCTGCACTTGTGTCTTTATTTTCTACCGAATACGAATATACATTTCCGACTTGCATAACATTCAATAAGCCTAATTTCCTTTTTCTATTTGTCCTATATACATCCTTTCTTCTAGCTTCCAGTGAGCGGCAGCACCTTGCATGACCAGATAGCCATGTTGAGTCACCAGCGCTTCAACGCCCTGACCACACGTATCCAGCACAGCCTTCTGGGACGCAAGATTCTGGCCACCATCGTCATGAGGAGGGGGGAGGGCCTGGGGACCGTCGTCAGCCTGGGAACTGGTACAAACATTACCTGAGCTTATAAAGCAATTGTGCTACAATTTACACTTTAACTTTTTCTGTAAGATTTATTTAATTAAATTGTTGTGAACTTTGGCGTTGAATGTGTCCCCTTTTTTCTTCAGGAAATCGCTGCGTAAAAGGGGAGGAGCTGAGCCTTAAAGGCGACACCGTTAACGATTGCCACGCTGAGATCATCTCCAGAAGGGGATTTGTTCGGTACACACTGATCTGAGCGTTTTACTATTAATAATTCCCTTGTGAATTTATAGACCATGTCTGCAGGACACTATCTGTAAGTCTAACTCCCCGTTTCCTTTCTTCTCAGGTTTCTGTATATTGAGCTGCTCAAGCACTACGATGGAACAGACGACAGTATATTTGAGGTGGCGGAGAATGACTTACTCCGGGTCAAATCTGACATCACCTTTCACCTCTACATCAGGTGGGAGTGTGTCCCCACCACCACCACCGGAGTCATCGATATGGTCTCTTCTTTTAGGCTTTGTCATATTAACACCTTGTGTCCCGTCGTTCTCTTCTCTCCGAAGCACGGCGCCTTGCGGGGATGGTGCTTTGTTCGACAAGTCCTGCAGCGAGTCGGGGGATGAAGTCGAGGGCCATCAGCCTCTGTTTGAGAACGCCAAGCAGGGAAAGCTGCGCACCAAAGTGGAGAACGGTGAGCGATGAAATGGACACGCATCGGCCTTTACAAACGTGTATTAGTGCAGCGCATGAAGGCCAATTCTGTAAGCCTGTAGGCAACACCGGTGACCTTTTGTGTGTGTGACTGTGCCCGTGCCAGGCGAGGGCACCATCCCAGTAGAGTCGAGCGCCATTGTGCCCACCTGGGACGGCATCCAGCACGGGGAGAGGCTGCGAACCATGAGCTGCAGTGATAAGATCCTGCGCTGGAACGTGTTGGGTCTGCAGGGAGCGCTGCTCAGCCACTTCCTGAACCCAATCTACCTGAAGTCCATCACGCTTGGTGAAGCATCCCGCTGTTCTTGACTTCATTCACCAGAGTCAACGAGTGAAATTGGATGAATTGACAGCCTTGCATTGCGTCCTCTCTGTTGTTCCGATCTGTCAGGCTATCTGTACAGCCACGGTCACCTGACGCGTGCTGTGTGCTGTCGGCTGGCCAGAGACGGCGAGGCCTTCACCCAAAGTCTCCCGCCTCCCTTCATGCTAAATCACCCAGAGGTAAACAAACACATTTTTGGCAATCAGGAAAATGGTGGCGGAATTACCATCACTCTGTCTGGAATTACTGACTCACACGGAAGGGCGAACATCAGATTGACCTGAGCGTTCTCTGTAGGTGGGCAGGGTGAGTGTGTACGACTCCACGCGGCACACAGGAAAGACCAAGGAGTCCAGTGTGAACTGGAGCTTTCCCGACCAGCACAGCGTGGAGGTGCTGGACGGTACCAAGGGCAAACTGGACGGGTAAGCAGCCAAACCGAATGTTGTCTCCTGATCACAACACGCATGTGTTTGAATAGCTTTAAAAATCTGTTAGTGGCCCTTATGATTTAGTAGTTGGTCTTCTCTTGTGGTTAACGATCATTAATATGATTGTTACTTAAATAAAAAATAAAAAACATTCTGAAGAGACAATCTTGAAGATGTATTTAGAAGAAAACAGTAACAATAAATTAACACAGGTGTTTTTTATATATATAATTTTAGTAAGACACATTAGTGTAAAAAAAAAGTAAGTACTCAGTAAAAACTCAAGTGACCACACGCTTCATTGCGTTTGATTTGAACAGTTAGCTGCAGGCCGTTGTGGAAGCAGAATCAGAGGGAATGTTGCTCTATGAACCCTGTTACTAAACGGCCCGCTAACGTATCTCATCCCTCTCCCCAGGAACAAACTCAGTGTCTCCAGAGTGTCCAAGTCCAACCTCTTCTGCCTGTTCCGCTCCGTGTGCCAGCGCAGTGGCCGCGCCGACCTCCTCACGCTGCCCTCCTACTCCCAGGCCAAGTTGTCGGCCACGTCCTTCCAGCAGGCCAAGCACAATTTCTTTCGAGCACTCAGCGGCCACGGCTACGGCGCCTGGATCGGCAAGCCGCTCGAGGAGAAGAGCTTCGAGTCGGGGGAGGGAAACCGGAACAATGGAGCGAGTCTGCCCGTGGGGTACGGCAGCAGTAGAAATGGAGGAGCAGTGGAGTTCAAGCAGGAGGACGCGTAGGCCGCTGCAGAGTGCGTTACTGAGAGGGGGGATATGAACATGTGGGGGAGAGAAAATAAAAGCACAAAGGCAGATTGGAAGCGTGGACGTAATGGGGCGGGGGGGGGGAAGACAATCAAACATCACTGAGAAGGGATGAACACGGTTAAAAGCTTAAGAGAGAGAGCGGTGGAAGGAGACAGGACGTAGGAGACAGGTGGAGGTGTGGGGAGACCGAACCAGTGTTCGGAGAAGAAGGCTGATTAATCACCATCCTAAACATTGCTATAAATCTGATTTCTATCAGTTTGCTTCTTATTACTTCTGTTTTTCTGTATTCAGTTTACAACCGTGTTGGTTTTGATTTGTAATGTCAGTTTTTCTTTTGTCATCGCAGTGTTCAGAACATCCTGCCTTCATCCTTCTCTCTGTTGTCATCTCGATATGACCTATTTTTGCATCGTATGAGATGTGTGGCTTTGACCCAGGTGGCTTGGCCTCTTCCCATGAGAACTTAAGTGGCTGACAAGTGCCGCTATTTGACATTCAACCTGATATTTCCCACCATTGTAGCAGTGTTGTAAGTGTGATTACGCTCCTCACAAGTTTGAATCCTCGGTCGTGTTGTGCTTCTTATCGTTAACTGTTCAGTGGCGAACCAAACACCCTCGATCCAACATTTTGCTCCCGAAGCCTTTGACCAGGCCCTTTTTTTCTTTCTGAGTCGAATTCAAATTTACTGTACACCCTCTGCTGTTAATCTAATCATGTGTCGTTGCCATGGTTACCAATAGCATTCCAGCAAATGCCAGAGCGTCCGGTAGATCATTTTAATATGGTATTCCTGATGTCAGGACCTCCAAGAATTACAGCTTTTCTGTTTATGGCTTTTGTATTTTATCTTCACTTCCAGTGAAACGGTTCATAAATATCTGGCCATGCAAGCAAAACCTAGAGTATCGCATTACTTTTTTTTTTTTTCTTTCTTTATACAAACGGCTTTTAGGTTCTCTTGCTTGGCCAGTTTCTGCTAACTACTATACAAAGACTGTTTTGTTGTCTGTGTTCTTAATTTGCTTGTATGTAGATGGATGGTGCAATATATACATCAGGTATACAAATACATGATCACGCAGATGTTACGGTGGGGTCCAAAAGCCTGAGTCCAGTTCCAGAATCTTATAACGAACAGAAGTTAAACACATTTCTCAAAATATTGCATGTTGTTTTCATGAAGTGAAAGAAATTTATACTCATCCAGTTTTACATCATTTTTCTGTTCTGTTTGAGGCCATGTCAGTCATCGCTGGTGCTTCGACCATTGGTTTTTAGCTTTTAACTGTGAACAATATTTTGATGGAAACGGAAGGGTTTTTTAAGCTAGATGTAGTTAAGCCTCTTAACTACTTAGTTCTGGAGAGTGGGACCTCTCCTCCTGCTGCGGTTGGGTTTAATTGAGGACTTTAAGTGTTTTCAGCTGTGATTCCAGCTCTCGTTTAGGCCTTAATAGCGACATTAGAATCTGACTTCTAAACAAGTAGACAAAGGCCTTTTATCAAGCTTCAACACCCAATAGTAATTTCACATGCAATCTAATATAGAACCATTATTTTTGGTCTTTGTTTGCTATTATTTAAGGATTAAATTCATTTGATTTATACCAGCCCATATATATATATATATATATATAATATATATATATATATTATATATTATATATATATATATATTATATATATATATATATATTATATATATATATATATATATATATATATATAGGAATATTAAGCTGTAAGAGAATTCTGTTTATGGTTAACAGGTTGTTGGACTCTGACTTTTTGACCCCACTGTGAACAAAGGGGTGTTTTCATATAAATATGTATATATATCTGTGTGTATGCATTTGTATAATTTCAATGTATATATTTTATAAATCATCTACAATTGCATTTCTATATGTTTTAAGTAAGCTACAAAGAAATATGCTGGAGTTTTTTTTACTAATGATATTTGGAAAGTTCAAATTCATTAAAGAAGTGAGTAGCATTCTTTCAGTGGAGTGATGCGTTTCTGGTTTTCTCTTTCCGTCTGTGTCATGTGTTTATTCTTATTATCTAAGAAAATTTTCAATTGCATTAATGCCGAAACAAAGATGGGAAGAAGGTTTTCTAATCCCGACAGTCTATGAGAAGCAAATTACTGCAGGGGCGGTGTTTTCTCAGAGAGCCAAAGCGCCTCCTGCAATGCTCCAAAGGATCAGCAGATGGAAACATGTCCCCACCGTAGGCCAGGAGGATGAGTGTAGAAGGGCGTCATGACAGCTGTGCACTACTGACATTCCGTTTATCTATGAAATAGTGGCTTAAATTGATTGCATTTTTTTAAGCTTGTGTATTTTTGTCCTTATGACTTAATTTTCAGATGGTGTAAGTCTTGAGTGGTGCATTTGCATCAAATGTAACATTGCACACAGCAAGTAGCGTCAGGAGTAGCTATGTGGATATATAAAGAAAGGATCAATAAGCCATTTGGGTAGTTATGTGATATACAAAAGATGTACTGCAGGTAATGAGGATCAAAATACAAAGGGTGTTCTATGCAAGAAAGCGTGCATTCTTTCTGAGGATAGTTAATGTGCTGCATGAGGTTTAATCCACTCAGCAGTGTGAATGATGCAGTAACAGAGTTGGCTCTGATGTCCCACTGGGAACAAATAGTGATATTGAGTGTCTTAATTGTGAATCCGCTCAGTGTAGCATTAGATCCGGTATTGTCTCTTGTCAGGGGACGGGATTATGGCAACAGTATTGCCATCCAATCAGCGCAGCGCCTTGTAAATCATTGTATTGTTAATGCCTCCCAAACAGCTCGTTTCATTAGCGGAGGCTGTGTAGCAGTGGAATCCCACTGCTAATTATGAAAAGAAGATTGAGGATTACCCCACAAATAAGTTTGGGCTAAGAAATTAATTAAGAAGGTTTCCTCCTCGTGGGCAATCGTTATATGAACGTGTAAACACGAGTTCTGTGTGCAACAGTGAGGGGATTGTTTCAATCAGGGTGGATTCATACAGTCGTGTGGTCTGATGTACTTTGAAAATACTGTGGAATTGAAAACCAGGAACATTTATACAGAATCTGTATAAATGAATACTTTCAAAACAAACATCCTAATTCAGGAAGGATATCATTAAATGTGTTGCTTGTCCATTTCACTATCACCTATTCTTCATTTCTTATCTCTGCTCGGCAAAGCACCACAAGTTGGTTTGAATGAATGTGCACGTCTGCGTCTGCCCACAGCTAATAATCCTTTATCCTGCTGCGGCAAACGCCAGCAGAAATCGGGTTGTCTGGTTATAAAATAGCTGCATTCTTGCATTCACTCACTTTTTCAAAACGCCTTTTTTTGCTGAACGTTTGCACCGCTGATTCCCTCATACGCATCTTAACCGGCCGCCATTTGGTAGCAAGTGGTGACACAGCTAGAGTGCTCGGCCGACCCCCGGCCCGGGAGGGTGGGGGGGAGGTGTAGAAAAACACTTTTCTCTCTCTTTGACGGTGTGTTCGGCTAATAACTGCCAGCTAATGGAACTACTCACACAGATGACTGCATCGCAGGCCCCCAGCAGCTGCTCTGCGTCCACAGACGCAGGTATTCCAGGCCTTTTCACGACGCGTCAACATGATGTTTACACAGATATTGCAGGAAAATAGGCCAGGCCATCTGCCTTCAAACGAGTCCATGTCAGTGAAACCTGAAAGTGGAAAAACACGCCTGATGCGCTTGTGGTCTGGTCAGGGGGGGGGGGGGTTAGCCAATTGTGGGGCATATTTATTCAATTAAACATCACAGCAGTGTGAGTGCACGAGTATTCAGATCTCCAACATGACGTGCATGAAAGCGTGCGCAGCGGGCACGGCAAAGTGAAACAAAGCGAGGAGAAGCTCGGATAACAACCCACACAGAAGGGAGAGCAGCTTCCCCCTCTGCTCAGGTACATACTGGCCCACTATGTCTTCACATGGGAAATAGTGGTTTCATTTAGCTTTACTTTATGTTCAGAATTTAAAACTCTGCTCTTTTGCATTTTCTAGCTAAATGTAATGTTGGTTACTCACCACGTCCTATTGTAAACCAAAGCTAGTGCTTCCGTAATGCTACAATAATTAGTCAAATTGGATGCTACCCGCGAGTGCACAGCACCTCCTAAAAATGCCATTATGGCACAATACGCGACGTCTAGTAGATCAAGTCAACTTGTCAGTTTGGCACGAATCAGGCGTCTCCACTTAGAGAGATCGGAGGCCGCCGACTCATGACGACTGCAGTCACCTCTCAGGCAGACACACAAGAATCAACCCGGCGAAAAACGTTACTATCAGGCACTCAGCGTGCGATCAGAAGGTGTGTGAGACCTGGACCCCCTGCTACTTGTACATCGAGAGGACCGTGACCACGCAGAACCGGCCGTGGAGCCCTCGCACCACGTTGTGCCACGCCGCTGCAACAGCGATGGACAGAGGAAAGAGCTTTGAGCGGTTGATCAGTGGCCCGGTACGAGGAGCCTGTGGGTCGTTGTCTGAACTGTTGCTCGCATCTCAGGCCCGATGAGGAATTGAAAATGATTGTTCCTTCAAACAGCATAAACCGTTTTCGATGAGCACAATCGATCATTCAGAGGTTAGTGGTATCCGTACGAAATGTCATGTCTCCAAAGTAGATCCAAACAATGTTAACTGTAAGATAATTCAATTCGCCCACTCTAAGGAAAGGAACCTGACCATTTAAAGTTTCACGAATAAGTGTGTATAAGTGTAAATGCAGCAGTGACACCAGTCTGCTGACGGGTGTCTTTTGGTCTGCAGAGAGCTGACACCAAACACTCACCCAGCACTACGACGGCAGACACTTTCAGGTCATGCTGACGCGGTGAAAACGCTTGTTAGCCGTCTCAAATAAGCACCCGTATGGACCGTATCACAGCAGACGTTTGAACTTGTCAAAGTGGGAAAAACAAATGTGAAATTAATCAAATTAGCAATGACTCTGTACCATTGAGTGCCCCAGTGAGCTATTCCAGTATACGGCGAGGCAGCCAAGATTCCAGGGTACTCCATGAGTGGAAAGCATCTATCATCAATGTCAATGGATACACCTGCTTTTCCTGCGATCACATGCCAAACGGGCTAAATGCGGAACGACACGTGTCTGCAAGCTCCGTGCACTCTGTTTCCGCTTCTGTCTTGTATATTATAAGGCAGGAGCATTTTGTTTGGTGTCTGGTACCATTTCTGACTTAAATGATGGAGCTGTATCAATGAGGATTGTGTGTGTGTGTGTGTGTGTATTGAGGTCTTTGTGTGTCACATTGCACACAAGCACACAGTTTTTTTGAAGGCGAGATGTTCTTCCTCGCCACTTCAAGCGGACGTGTTCCCCGCAGCTTTCTGCCAACTCTGCCGTTCACTCCTCCCTTTCAACACCTCTCTTTTCAACTGCCTCCACCCCCCACCCCCCTTACAACCCCCCCCCCCTTTCCTCCTCCCTTGCAGTCTCCCACTCCCTGTATTTGATTAGGATATCTCAGGACGTCAGAGGGCTGTGTGCTGTGCACAGATCCATCTGCGGTCGTTTTTATGCTGCGGGTTCGTCCGCGCTGCTCCCAGGCCCCTATAATGCAATCTGAGCCATTAGGATACAATGGAGCCGGTGTAGGGCAGCGTTTAAGGGGATGTCTAATGTGGGCAGGGGGGGAGCCCAGTGGTCTATTAAGAAGAGCCATGCAGCTACGCAATGTACTCACTCATCACCTCGCTGACATTCATCATATGTCTGCTAACAGCTGTCCGATTTGGAGAAAGAGAGAGGGAAAAGAAACCTGCTTCTCCTTTTTCTTTTCTTCACTGACTGACCTTGTTGTTCAGTCAGAGTGTGGTTATTTTATTCAGTAAGCAACAGGAGTACAGCTTCAAGGTTATTTTACTCAAATTTGGTTCCACTTTAAGTCCACTCCTTTCAGAGGGACATAGAGGAGGAAAAAACACTTAGCATGCAGACAATTTTATTTAGTGGATACACTACAATATATGTGTGTGGTGGGAGGGACTTTGGTCCAATCCGTCTTTCCTTTCACATCTGTGCCTCCTCTTCCAAATGCTCGCATCTTCCACACACTACTGTATAGACAACGCTGGTGGCTGGGCGATGAAGTCGGCAAACACGACATCCTCTCCTGTAGTCGAGCTTTTATGTGACTTTAAACGAGATAATAGAAAGAGGACTCATCTGTGTACTACAACGTTGGCATGGCAACTGCCCCTTTATTATTCCTCTTTGTATTCTATTATTCACTTTCCTGGTTGACGTATGTGTCACACCATACATCTGACGTAGGCTGCGGGCCAGAACTGTACACCAACCTTTATACTGAAAGGGCCCATCATTACTCCCCTGTCACTCCCCACGCTGTCATCGCTCCAAACTCTCCATCTTTCTCGCCTGCCCTCTAACCCCTGTCGATAACATTAAGCCCAGCGAAATATACTGCCACCGTTGCTATTTTCTGTCAGTCCTAATGACCCCCTGGACATCTGGCAGACCTTTTTTTTCATTTACTGTTCTTTGTTGTATTGTGTTTATTGAACCTCTTGCTCTGTCGCCCGTGTTTTATTCACAGAACAGCTGGGAAGAAACTATATCTCCACAAAGCAAATAGCTGTGAAGAAACACTGTGAAGAAACTGCTGTCGGAAGATTAAAGGAAAATTGTTTACCATTCTGAACATTAATATGAAAGCAAACCACTATTTTCTGTGCAATAGTGAAGTTAGCTCCTCTGCCATTGTGCTGTTATCACAGTAAACAGGGACCAATAGACCCTCCATCAACATGTTGAGGGCCAATTTATATATTCCCATTCGCAGTAAGTTTTCTCCATTTACAAACACAGATTAGTGCACTTCATCTTGATTTCCATTGGGAGTTTTATCTGCAGTGGCGGCTTTGAAAAGAGCAATTTTAAAGTGTTTCTTTACAGATGCGCTACAAAGGGCTTTCCCTTTGTTTTTAAGCTCCTGGAGTAGAAGCATCTAACGATTATTTAATCGTCATTGATTAATCCAGTGTATTATCTTGATTAAAAGACGTATTGTGTGTCTGCGTATCTGTTACATGATGAGAAATCTGTAAAAATGTTGTCTTTAAATGTCTTTTTATTTTGTCTGACTAAAGAAGAAATTCTTACCATAATTCCCAAGTGCAGCTCTACCAACAACCTATAAAGAATACATTTATAAACGGCTTTGCCCAATGAAGGCACAAACCTGACCTTTGACCTTTGCCCACGCCTTTCTGTGAAGAATTTACAAGCCGCTTTCCACCTTTGACTCATCGTGAATCGACCCGGGGCAGAAACCACTCGCTGTATAGAAACCTAAAGCCTTCATGTTTCATGTTGTCTGCACCGGAAATTATCTTTCACGCGATGTGATTTGCTTTATTGATGCCTTTCAACTTGTATAATCACAGGACATGTTGTTGACCTGTTATGTGCAATTCGTTATGTACACCGTTATTTGCCAGTGCTTATCCAATTGTGTGCACACTGCACGCATAATTAGCACACAATTTTGTGTGCTAATTAGGGGGATTGTATAAATTTAGTAAAGTTAGAATTATATGTAATAAATATAATAGTCTCCCAGTAATTGAATTGAAAAAGTGAAACGAAAATTGCAACATTTATCTTCTGCTAATTATATTTTGATTGTTTTGATCAAGCCTATATTAAGGCAATAATTCGAAGCCTAATAATCAAGTCCAAAGCAACTTCATCCATGCTTAAGAGCAAATGGCAGCGCACAAATAGATGAGGAATGAAAGAAAAACAAATGTATGTAGTGAGAGTCCTTAACTACACATGTTATGATAACCCAAACCATTAATTAATTAAAAGTATTTCTTATATTTACCAATCATAAAACAAGTGGGCAGGTGCTTTCTCCACATCCTCCTATACGTCACGTGTTGGAGTTTTTTGCCACAGTTTTGTTTGCCAAATGTGTTCACGTGCACATTATGCAGATATCTAAACACTTCTCACTATGCCTTTATTTTTAACCAGTGTCATTTTACAACAATACCAAATCGGCTTACACTTTAATTACAAATACCGAACGGATCAAATGTTTCCTGGAGTCACGGCAAAAATAAGAAGAAAATAAATAAAGATATTCAGCGGACGTTCGTTTTGGCGCACCTGACGAGCCGCGCCACCTGCTCTGCGCGCTCATTGCGCTCCTCTGATTCCTCCAATGGGAACGAACGGCGCGGCTGGAGGCGGAGGAAGGGGGAGACAAGTTGGAGGAGAGAGTGAGAGACGGATCCGGGGACACAGTGAGTGGAAGCCGGTGGAGCTACATATTAAATCACAGAATTCCCCGCTCGTGTCTCAAACACTTGACGTCCAGCTTTTGCGTTCTGTTTTATTTTTCTCCTTCTTCTTTCGTCTTGTTCTGCCAGCGCCGGTGTTTAATGTCTCATCTTTGACGTGCACGCAGCCACAGGTTGACCGATGCCATCCAGCCCCTCCGGAGTATCCCTCTTCACCTCGGGCCGATTCCCGCTGGACAAACCGAGATGGGCTCCGTCGGGCGATCGCCGGTGCTTGATTGAGAGAGAAGACGAACCGATCGCGTCGGCTGGAGCGCAGACGGAGGCAACATCTGTCCGAGCGAGCGACGCACAATTTCTAGGGACAAGCGAGGGGGGGGGACCTGTGGAGGGACTTGAATGCATGAATGAATGAGTGAATGAGACGAGGCGAAGCAACAACAACAACAAAAACAACAACAAAAGGATGATGGGATGGCCGTGACAACATGAAAAAGAAAAAGTCTATTTTCATCCAGCCAGTGATTCAACACAGCTAACCTGGGGGACAGGGACCGAGAGAGAAGAGGTAGGAGGTAGGTGGAAACACACCGGGAGGAGGGGGCCGTGAAGGTGTCTGGTTATATCATATACTGAAAGTAGGTTATTTTTGGGGGGGGGGCGATCAATCAAATGCAGCCAACTTATGGTTAACTGAGGGAAACACAGAGTCACCGTCACTTCTCTTGCGATGGTGTGGGATCGTTATTCTTTTAGTCTCTCAGCTTCGTCTCATTTCGATGCTCGGGGATCTGCACCATGCTTCTGGCTAACGTCAATGTAACATTTGACATTTGATGACAGATTGAGACATTAAGGGATGTGGGAGAAGGACAGGACACTGGGAATCGGCATGAGGGGGAATGACAGAGCAGCTGACTCAAATGTGACTCGTGGAATACAGCAAATTCCCCAGTTAGGTCCACTTTTCTTCACTCCGCTGTCATACATTTTCAGCTTTTGGAGTTGCCGTCTTTACCCTGGTTTGTTTTAACTAACCGTTGTCAATCACTGTCCTCCCCTCCCCTCCCTGCTGCTCGCGCTCCGTCTGTCTTGTCTGCCTTGCTGCTGTCATGATAAATAGTCGGTGTTCTCTGTTCATCCTGGGTTCTTCTCTTGTTCTTGTGTTTCGCCTGTAGACCGGTGTGTGGCCACGTCCGTGACCATGGAGCCTCCCCCTTCTCTGAGCTTGTCTCTGCTAGGAGGGAGTGAGGATGAGGACCAGCGCTTCCTCCTCCCTCTGGGCAGTGTATCCCATCCCTCCACCACGGGCAACCAGCCCGGATCCAACCATTCCAACCACTTGGGAGGGTCCAGCCTCGACCGCCTCAATGGCAGCACCCCGTCCCCGTCTTCTGCCGCGCCCAATTTGCCGCCGGCATCGCTCCCCAAGTTGCCCCAGTCGTCCTCTGGAGCCCAGCCTCTGCCCCCACCCATCCCCAACGCACTGCACCCCACCAGCACCCCGCTGTCCTCCTGCCTGGGCTCGCAGCACAGCCTGAGCGGGGAAAACTCCCCGGTGTACAACGCCCTGTTCTACTCGTCCCACTCGCCCTCAATGGAGCGGGACAGGGACAGGGAGAGGGGCTGCAAACACAGGCAGGCCAGCCCTCTGGTTCACCGCAGGGACAGTAACCCCTTCACGGAGATCGCCATGAGCTCCTGCAAGTACACAGGCGGGGTCATGAAGCCCCTAAGCCGACTCAGCGCCTCCCGCAGAAACCTCATTGAATCAGACAGCAGCAGCGAAACCAAAGAGGGTGGCGTTTCAGCTGTTGCCGGGGCAACGGCGACCGGGGGGCACGACCGGCAGCGAGATGCCCCACCTACCTCATTGGTGCCGCAGACCTCTGCCAATCAACCCCTCATTCAGAGCCCTCCAGAGATTGTGATTTCATCCAAAGAAGACTCCCCGTACCCCAGAGCAGGATATGACATCACTGACTCCACCTCTAACCAGTTGTCCATCTATCACCAGAACCACGCGCTGGTGGAGAGCAGGCGCGCACAGCCGGGGAGAGGCAGCAGGCAGGCGGGGGTCGGGGCGGTGGGGTCCGGGGCCAGGGGGAGCACTTCCAAGGCCTCCAAACGGAAGAATCAAAACATTGGTTACAAACTGGGGCATCGCAGGGCTCTGTTCGAGAAGAGGAAGAGGCTGAGTGACTATGCCCTCATCTTCGGGATGTTTGGCATCGTCGTCATGGTGATTGAGACGGAGCTGTCGTGGGGCGTGTACACCAAGGTGAGGGGACAGACCAATCTTACTTAACAGGGTACTCCACTGCTTGGGCACATAAAAGATCCCTTTGCCAGTCATGGTTATTATCCCCACGGGTACATTGTGTTTTCTTTCCCTCGGGAGGAGTAAGTAGCCCTGATGGTGTCATACTGATGTAATTTGTTTTTGTATCTACTCGGGTTACACGCTGAGCTGTTGGTTCAGTACAAACTCAACAAATCTTTCCACCAATAATTTCCCTTATTTTAGACTTTAGACTGTCAAAAGCGACAAGCCAGCACCACCAATTGTTTGGTGTTTTGGACACGTGATGGGCAAGATCATTGGAGTCAGCTTCCCCCAGTTAACCATTTCATTCACAATGGGTACTGGGGATTCATGTGTGTGCGTTTATGACCGGGCTTGACAGTCGCTGCTTCTGGATGATGTAATACAGCGCAGCAAAGGACACGGGGGTGCAGATTATCAGCAGCAGGCCAGGATCTCATTTGTCTGTTTAATATGAGGTGTAATAAGCTGAATCTGCCCCTGGCTGCTGTTATCGGTTTATTTTAGTTGTGGGTGCTCGTTTGTATGTGCTTGTACTATCTCAGCGAGCCATGAGCTCACCTTTTCTTTAGGTTTTCTCCTCCTGTCTTTCTTTAGATAATAAGGTGTAAGCGCTACTTCTACCTACAGCCTGACCTGCATGGATCACTGGTCACGTGTGCAAGCGTTTGGGATCATGTGAGAGCACAGGTTCACATTTAGCCAATGGGAACAGGCCAGTTGGGAGTGTGAATGCATTGTTTCTCTGTTACTACTCCATTCGATACCTGGTTCTTCTCTGTTATTGTCATTGCGAGAGAAATCGGCCTTTTCTTTTTATCTTTGCCTTTAGTTCCCGCTCGTTAATGAAAACCTTTTTGCAGGCTATTTCCATTTATTAATGGAAATTTCTTTCTCTAATGCCCCTTCCTTTCCTTTCGGTCAACGTATTCTCCTCCCCGAAAGAGACGAAAGACTTTTTCCGCTCTTTCATATCTTTTTCAATTCAACGCTTGTCTCTTATACATTTTTTTTCGCTGTCGCTGTCTCTCTCTCTCTCTCTCTCTCTCCCCTTGCTCCACTGCTCTTCCAGTGGGCGTCAAACTGGGGGAGTGTGATCGGAGGAGAGACCGGCTGGGAGAGAAATGAAAGGCTGTAGAAGAAGAGAATAAAGGAAAGGCGATAATGAAAAGCAATATTTAGGTTCTTAAGCGACAACTAATACGCTCTTCATCCGAGTCGGGCAGCATTGTCCGTCTGTAAGAATTGATGGACAGCTGTGGATTCCAGCAGGGGGGCCACACGTGTTTGCCAGTGTTCACAGTCTATATTGGTTAACCAATGTTTATTAAAGAATTTAGTTCTGACAGTTGGAGGAAGAATAGTATGTTAATATCTTTGCACGTGTGCGATCAGGGTTGAGAGTTAAGAATGGCGGACAAAACCTCATCAAAACCCAATTTTAAATCCCGAGTGCCAAGTTATATATAGATTATTTTTCACGTTTTGCACATTTGGTTCAACTCCAACAAATAGTGGAGTTCTATCAGATATTTCAAACCCTCACTTAGATAATTGAGATGGCAAATGACTATCGAGGTTGTGAGGATGAAATAGAGAACGGCAGGAAAATATAATGAGAGGACGGCAGAGAGGAAACTTCATGCAGTGCTTTAAACCAGTCGGTGGGAGGACTTGAATGATTTCGCATATTGATTATTGATAATCCCTCACCCACACATGCACTGTCTGACATACTGCATGGTGTGCATCTTTGAAATATGTGTATTTTGAGGTATCATGTGTGTCTGTTTGTATTATTGCTGTAAACGTAATGTGTGTCAATTCGATCTTGCTACCAAAAAATGAGACTGGAAATTACTAAACAGGATGGTTTGGATTGTGTGAGTGTGTGTGTGCATGAAGAAGAAGTGGCGGGAGGATAACAGACATGGACGTAGTGTTCGTGACTGTGGGTGTCGGTACAAAGCAGATGTATCTTCAAACCCTTTCAGCACATACTTGAGCTGAAATGTTTCATTCGTTGTATTCCAGCTTCTGCTTTCACTTATTATTCTGTTGGATTCCAAGTCCATCATCAAGGCCACTTTTGAGATCAGCATGATAAGTTTTCATAACTGAATACACAGCAGTGGTGGAATATACTACTCTGCAAACACTTCAGAATGAGGACACTACTGCCTTTAAACACTATCACGAGGCTCTATTATTGATTTTATTAACATCAGGTTAAAAGGGAGGGACATGTGTGTTAACCTGTCCGATCAGTAGATCGTTTCACGAAGGCCCCCGGCGGCTCCCTGAGGGCCCCGTCTCAGGCCTGCTGTAGAACATGGCTATTCTGCGGGAAGGCACAGCTGCTGCCGACTTCACCTGTCACACTGTCAAAGTGCACGATAAGGCTTCGTGCGCGTGCACAAGCAGAGGGACGGGGTGTCACGTGTGAGCGTTTGCCCATGATTTCACAGACGATCAGCAGCGTGCGCTTCTATTCTTCCGTTTCCTCTCACTCACTTCTCAAAGGGAACCTTATTATTTCTCCCGTGGCGCTCCTTGAATACGCCTCCATTTTTCCCCGAGGGGACATCCGCCATCTCCCACGTTCCCCTTCCTCCACCTCCGTCTCTTCCTCCCTGCGCTCCATGCCCCGTCTATGAAATTTCTCACTGACATTTACTGGGGACCTTTCCAGACCTTTGTCTGTGCCGCTGCTGTACACTAAGATGATCAGAGAATTAAGCTCCCCAACTGCCACCAGATTCTCTGAAGGAGGCATCAGCCATCTCTGCACACTTCCCCTTCTCTCGTCCACCTCCTCCTCTCTATTCCTCCACTCCACTCGGCCTTCATCTTTAAGATCACAGACTTCTGAGGGACGGTAGATCCCACAGGTCCTGCTACTAACAGGGACAAATAAGCTCATTTTCTTCAGCGTAACAAGGCTAGGCTACCTCTGTGTGAGCGTGTTGGCCGACATTAATGTGTCATCTGCCAGTAACTCAAAGCCATCCGCTCATAAACCATGCTGGTATACGCCACTTTCTGCCTTTATGCGCTGCACAAAGTGAGCTCTGTCATGTTAGTACTCATGGATGCACCTGCTGGTGTGTTTATACTGGTGAGGTGAGATGGTTTTCTCTGCCTACTGCCTGTTTCCCTGGAGACTGATTGCAATAAGCCACGGCTCTGACAGGGAGGGACCCCCAAGGCAAACTCATTTCAACACACACACTTACAGACACACACACACGTACATCCACCTTCAAAGGCGTTATCAGCACATGTGAGGAGAAACTTAACACTGTGTGAGAAATGTGTTGGTCAGCAACGTGTGTTTTCTCTCACATGTGTGTGTCAATGAGGTGAAGGTGAGCACTTCTGTGGAAAACTACAAACTACCCGGTTTTGTGAATGTGAAGTTTTACTTCTTCTTACTTTTGTCAGTGAATCGAACTAAAGAAGCTCAAAAAAAGATCATTATCTCGGCATGCTTTCACGCAATAAGCCATTGATTCACACCGTTAGCTGGACAAGAGTGGAATACACAAACTTAAACACATACACACACATAACACATGCACCCACGTTCAAACATACACAGTAAATGTCACGGTATCGGTATTCTCACTGTGGAAACACCGCTCCACAAAGGTACTCTGCTCTTCGGACAGTTGTTTTCCCTTCATGCTAAACTGAAAGCTAGCTTGGTATGTTAAGCAAGGACCTTCAAGCGGTATCGATTTACTTGTCTCACACTTGGCGGGAACATTTCCCCCCCAAAATGTAGAACATTTGCTGGTCAGAGAAACAATTCCAAATATTTATAACCCAAAAAATCCACGCATCTGCATGGCCACGAGCGCCGACTGCTCTCCCGCTACAATAGGCTGGGCGGAGGAAGGAGATCTGTTATTCACAGCTAAACATTTCTTCAATAAAACCTTTTCGCGGCCTGTTTTTCAGTCAGATGCAACAGAGAAAGGCGCTGCCACAGATCGTAGAATGAAAATAGGCAAGTCAGCATCTGCTGTACACTGTAGTCTGCAGCCGCTCACACGCCTGTTGAAGTCTGAGCAAGTTAGAGTTTATTATCATTACTTGATGGCACCTGCATTTCTAGTCAATGGAGCCCTGCCAGCCAATTACAATCAAGAATTCTCAGTGGTTATGGTTTAAAAAAAAAAACGAAGAACCAAATTCAATGTGCGCAACATATGTCTCTGTCACAGTCAAGTGAGCCACTACATAGGCAGAGTAACTAAAGTGAAAACAGTTGGAAACTAAATGCTCTTGACAGTGTGATGTGCAGAACAGAGAGAGAGAGGCCTTTTGTCATTAGCACCACAATGTTGGCTTCCTTTGCACCTTGTTTGCTTCAGTGACTACAAATGAGACGTTAGCAGAGGAGAAACGGACCACGACGGGAGCAAGTGTGGGAGCAAGCAGAGAACCAAACAAAAGCTAAATGGGATTTACCCAAAGCAGTGCAGCGTTAGGCAATGAACAACACTCACTTGATGCCTTCCATTAATGCCATTAAGGCCGTGGTGAATCTGCAGAAACCCTAAGTAGACACAGTGACACACTAACGCACTCTATTTTCCAGAAGGCCGACTTGCAATATATATTCATGAACCCAAAATGCAATGTAGATTCTGCTTTAATGTCATGAAGGAAAGGCTGAGTAATATGTGTGTAAACTCAGAGTGCACTCTCAGATTAAGAGCGTTTGAGGATGAATACTTATCAGCAGAAGTATCCGATCTGAGATGCTACAGTCCTAAACCAACAGCAGGATGTTAAAGGCAATTCTCTGTTGAACAGGAAGCCCGGTTCTTCGTTCTCCGAGCACCCTTCATTGCCCTTTTCCTTCCATCCACCAGATGTCCTCAGACTTTCCCTCCTTTCCGTCTCACCTGACACACGCGCACACCCACCTACGCACCTGCTTACAATTTCGCCATCTGCTCTACCTGGCTTTCCCCGCTCCCCACCTCCTCAGCAGTATCACCCACATGTGTTCCACTCAAAATATCCAAATACATCTATTTTGAAGGAATGGGAAATCAGGAAATAATTGGTCATATTTCCAATTTTCAAATGTCGATTCCACCAGCTGAAAGGTCAGGAGATGCGTTTCCTTTGTTTACGATTCATCCTCTGGGGACTATGCATAACTGTATCAAATTGGATGGCAAGTATCCCAATAGCTACTGAGGTATTTAAATGACTATACAGCCAACAAAGAAAGTTGACGGACCACCAATATCTGCTGGACTCTTCCTGTGTGGATCATAAATGTGTGTAGGAAACTGCATGACAATTAATGGTTTGTGGTGGATTAACACACAGACCCACCAACAGACGCACAGTCATCCCTAGTGAGCCAGAGCGAGGCTACCGGCATAGTTAACAAGGTGTCCTGATGCATAAGGATTATGGATGAGGGAAAGTAAAGGACTGCAGGAGCCACAGAGGTATAACATTATCTTATGTTCGTTGGTTTACCAAAGTGTATCTGAAGGAATAATCAAATGTGGAAACTTACCAACAAAATAAGCTTTTTTTAAATGGTGACATGCACGCTTTCTTACAATCACAGCGGTCTGAGTAACTCATGTAACCCATTCGGTTGACACACAACCAAACACGCTCTTACCAGTGAGAATATATTCCGATAATGAACACACAAACTCACCAGAGAACAGCTGTCAAACAATCTAATCGCTTTTCTTTTGCAATCCCGTCTTGTATTAACGTGCTAATGCTGGAAGCCCTGTATGCGTGCGCTGGATGTAGGAGGTGAGGGGGTTAAAGAAGCCACTGAAGTGCTATGAGTTTTATTGATCGGGAGTTCCCCAGTGCATCGATTTATAAGCTCTATGAAACTAGACGAGCTAGAGATTTAAAACGCGACTGTAGTGCTATTGAAGGATGGAATTCTTCCCTGTTACTCCTGCTCAGCGTTTTGAAGTCTGTTTTGTAAATGTTATTACTTAGTGTCTATGCTGAGGCAGTGCGGATTGAATGCACTTACGCTTTTAGCCGATGAGTGACAGCACATAGTGGGACGTTTGGGAGTCTCTCCAAGTGGAAACTGACAGATACTGTGTGGGATATTTCATAAATGTTCTTTTTGTCATTATAATGACTTCTTCCTTTTAGGTTTGTGCTGCATGGTTGTAAGAATGTGTGTGTCGATTTCCTCTCTGCAGAGCTCCATGTATTCTCTGGCCCTGAAGTGTCTGATCAGCCTCTCCACTGTCATTCTGCTGGGCCTCATCATAGCCTACCACGCCCGGGAAGTGCAGGTAAAACACGTGCACGTGCATGCACAGGCAGACACACTCGTAGGCTTGTATATGCTGACACAGAGTCCCTGAATTGATTTTACTGACATTTTGATAATCAATACTAAACTCATGTCTGAAGCTCAATAATTACACAATTTATATATATTTTTGTTTCGAGTCAAGGTACGCTAGAAAGTTTAACTAATGTCAAAACAATCATCTTTGGATTTACGTGTTTATGACTATTTCAAGACCACGGGAAGTTACAGCAGCTAGAATGAAATCAGTTATTGCAATGTGAAACCACAACTTTCTTGAAATTATGAAGCTACAGAGATCTACAAATCGCACACCTTTTGTTTTTATATTCGATTACGCACTGCAACTGCCCCTACACGCACACCCTACACCTGTTACATGCTGCATGCCTACAACTGAGTCATCTTTCATAGCGTTTCACTTAAGGCTCCAATTAGGTCATTCTGCAGGTGCAGAGTACTGCTATTTTTGAAATATTGCTTTTAAAATATTTATATTGGTAAAAAAAAAATTCTGACATACTTAATTTCCTAGTAGTATTGAAAAGCACCATACGTTACCTTTAGAGAGCACGGCTTAGCGCTGTATGCCAAGCTAACAAACTGCGCGTAGCTTCCTATTTAGTAGTTCTTCTAACTTTTAGCACAACGGTATATTTCCAAAAATTGAGCTTTTTGTTAAGGAGAGTTTTTCTTCAAATATTTAAGCAGAGGCACATCTGATCTCTGTCCACAGTGTAAATGATGCTCCTGTCCCTCAGGCTCCTGAGATACAGCAAGTGACCCAGTTGTGTGTTGGCCCCAGACATTTAATGACTTTAATGAGGGTCTTAGTGGGATTGATGAAACCGTCTGCATGGTTTTGCGTCGAGTAGATACGCACCGCTGAGCATTAAACACACACTCGCACCGTATCAAACCCGTCATTCAGCAGAAGAATCGACACATTAACACACCAACACACACAGCAGCGACCTCTTGTACGGCTGAAACAATCAATCAGAAATGCTTTCATGCTTCTCGATGTCTGTTTTTCTGCTTGTCATTTCACTAATATAATGGCACCACAGTCATTTAGCCCAAGTTTTCATTTGACACCATTTGCAATCGATGCATTTTGACTATTTATGGGACGGTCGCGGGAGCCGAACCCAATGAGACTCCCCACACCGGCTATTAGTCCCACCAGCAAACGCACGGAGCAACACTCATCCATCGCACCACATATAGTCCTTACATCCTTTTTTTTTATTACATCACAGATTAGATGTTGCCGGAAATGTCTACTACAGTTCCAGTTGTGATGGAGATTCTGGTGCGTTCTGCTCTGAGGGTCAGGTGCTCCGTCTGCGGATCAATAAGCAGATGGCCGTTGCTTATTCACAGGGGCTGATAGACCGGCGATTAATCTGTAATGAGCAGCCGCTGAGTAATGACTTTCATGATAATACGAGTTTTTGTGTTTATTTGACAAGCATTCAAATTATATTGGTTGTGCTTACACTGTAATCACTAAAATTGCTGAAATCTGGGGACACACTGACATTGTAATCAGATCAGGTTTCAACCACTCCATGTAACACCAAAGTGGAGCACGGTAAGAATTCCCTGATGCGCAAAGGGGAAACCTTTTGTGTACACAACTAAGCTTCTTTTGGAAGTCGGAACAGGAAGTTTGAGATATAACCGTGATATGATTACCAATGGGAATGGAAAAAAAAAACCTGAGCCATAATATCATTTATGTTGTGTTGTTTGGTGGCAGCAGAACAAACTTGATTTGTTGGTGAATAGTTGCTTTTTAACATATCCAGCAGTCATAGAGAGTCTACAAAATTGTAATTCCACAGTTTGGCCACTATGTATCTGCTTCAAAGCCCTACACTCTTTCTGCGGGTTTGAAAACTACGTATGTTTGCACGTAGCTTGTAGGCAGTGTTTTGCGTGTCATTTTGTGTTGGAAGCACTGCTAAACAGCACTAATAGTGTGTAGCATCCTTTTCATATATGTAGGCTACAACTATAACACTATACACATGTTTCATCAGTTGCATGTTCCTTTTATTATTTGCCACCTGCCTGCCGGCGCCGAGCCTGTTTTTTTAGGCTATATACATGAGCAGCATAAGAAGTGCCAGATTGTCTTCTCTTTTTATTGTTCAATGCTTCCAACACACACACACACACACAGACACACACCAGGAGAAGTAATGCTGTGCGAAATGAAAGGCATTGTTCAATGAAGATCTCATTCTCAGATTATGACACACTCTGCTGGAGCATTTTTTTTCCCAGCATGTAACAGGATACATAATGCATACGAGAACACATGCGCATGCACAGACACACACGCAACACACACTCACGCACGCGGGCTACATCTTCACAGAAGACACAAGAGCCCTGATTGATGTTATCAGGTTTTTCTGGCATGTATACCATCTTTCTCTCCCTCACACTGATCTCTGTTTTCTCTCCCTCCTCATGTCTTTTATCTTACAGTACTTTCTCTTTTCCACCATCAGGGTGCTTCTCTTTTTCTTTCATTTCTCTTTCTTTCATCTGCTGCTTCTTGGTCGTTATAGATTAGATCTGTCTCCTTTCTCCTCTGCGGGACCTCAATTCAATTCTGTTGTTCGGTTTTGCACCCCTTCCTGCTGACTCCTCTCCTGCCTCCATTCAGCTTCTCACTTGAACTCTTCTCCTATTGTACTTTAACCTGCTCCTCTTTTTTTCTGCCTTTTCATTTTTCTTACATTTTATTCCTTTCATGTTTTCTCTCCCCATCTCTTGCATCTTTCGTATTTTGCATTCCACTTTTTTTGGATGTTTCTCTCCGCTCTTCCTTCTCTATCTTCTTCTTTACTGTCTCTTCTAATCAGTTAGGGGAGAACTAAAACCAAGTGTGCTCAAATTACTGTAGAAATTCATTGTTAATAATTACACACACTACTATTCACTGCCATCAAAGAAGATCTTTAGAGTTCATGTTAATTGTTGGTAGGAATTATCTTGTTACATGCAAGAAAATGTTTATCTTGCATAAATAAAAGGCTCAAGCCGATTTAAACAAATGTAACAAATGTAAACATAATTAAAATTTGAAACAGAAAAATCTGTATGATCAGATTAAATCAGTCGAGCACATTGCAAATCCTCTACATTGTTCGGCTGTGAGATGTTTGTGTTCCAGGATTCTTCTCATAGCTCTTTTAACAGATTTGAGTCTGCTCATGTTTTCTCTGGTGTTCTTACATACTTCTTCTTCCTCAAGAATCCTGCTTAAACTTTTACCATTTCATCACATTGTATCAGCGTTGTGGCACAGATGCGTCTGTCTGTCTTATAGCTGTTAAAAAACTATTAAAATATTTGGAATCTATTAACGTGTTTTTAAAATTCTATTCAAACAATTATGATACATGAATAATTCTAGATGTTTAAGAACGTCATAATAGTGATTTTCCATAGTCCATACTTCAAATATATTCTTTCAACTATTTAATCAACAATTTGATCATCAGCCTGTAGCTGTTAAAATCCTTCATCAAACATTGATCATAAATAAATTCATTCACAAAAATACATGCCAATTGAAATGCTGAAAAAAAGGGCAAAACTTAAAGTGAATTGAAAGAATTGCAGTGCACTTTCTCTTCCTTTGCCTCTGGTGGAGAATCAAGCAGATGTGGTTGTTCAGTTGGTTATTGGTGTTTCGGCTGGTATTTCCCGCTCCGCTGTGCAATTTGCATGCAAGCTACAGATTGGACCGCGAGTGGCCATCAGACCCTGTCGGCTCCGGCTCGGTGAAATAGTTCTGACATTTCATTGGAAAGCAATCAAGAATGAATCATTTCAGCTCTTAACAGGACGGTTTGTTCCTCCACAGGTTCAGATGCGCGTCGCATCAAGCGGAGTGAGATTTTGTTATGAGTGGTTATATTAGGATTTCTTCAGAGAACAATGAGCGTTGCAGTTTTAAATTAACTCACGTTACTTCCACACGTGTTAACAAGTGTTAGTCAGTACATGTTTAACAATGATGAAACATTTTGTGGTTACAGTGTTACCGTGGAAACACCACCAGCTCGACTGTAATAAGCCTACCTCAGAATCTAGTTGAGAAGTTTCTTTAAACATCTTACGACTTTTTAAGGAGGAGACTCGTATCCTCTGTTGCGTGGCTCAGTGGACATTGATCTTCACATTAAAATAAGCACTGAATAAGATTGAAATGGATTAAAAAAAAATAGTTTAACCCTCAGAGTTCCTTAACTCTGCACCGTAAATCAATTTTGTGTAATACTATCATTGTTATTTTGTCAGATTATTTGTACCTTTTGAGGTCTAACCTTACTTTTAGTTTGCTTTTTTTTTGTTAGTGGTTAGTTGTTACTGTGTTTAGACAAGAGACGGAAACGTGAGACAACAATGGTACAGACAATATTAGTGTTTGTCCAGAGATTGTTATCACTCAGGAGGCATTTCGAGAGAGCTGTGATTGACTGTCCAATCTGAGCCACCCGACACCATTACTTTGAGTCAACACTCTAAAGACGGCTGTAATGATGAACCGAGGCTTCCAATCGGCCCTTTGGACAATCAGAAAGATTAATTGTGAAACCCAAACTTGTGTCATCCACGTACGCCCATGCACGCACATTCATATGTTTGATGTTTTTGTCTGTTGTGTGTCTCACTAATATGTCTCACAGACTGTCGCACACGCACACTTTTCACATTTCCAACAACAAGAAACTGAGTGAACCGATTCATTTTAGCCCATAAACTTGCAAGAAATTCCGACTGGAAATGCAAAAATTGAATTGATGTTGAATCTAATCCAATAGAAACTCTCAGAGAGGGTGTGAGAAAGGGGCTTTTCTCCAGTCCATTAGTGCACTTAGTGAACTTGGTTATCCAGTTACTTTTAGAGGATTTTAGAAGCAGTTCATTCATCAGAAGACACACGCTTGGCACTCGAGGCAGGCAGATTGTATTAGTCAAATAAAGGGAGCCCTATTCTTCCAAAAAGGATCGTCTCCTTTAAAGTGAACGTCCTGAGATGTCTAATACTGAGCCGGACATTTCATGATGTCGTGTCCTGCAGACTCTACATAAAGTACACGGCGCCCTGGGAACTGTAATGGAATAGAAAATGAGAGTGAGGTAGAACCCAAAGCATCCTCCATAGACTGTGGAAGCATCTCCAAGAAATATATTATTAGACGCCACTTAGTAGCCCCTGGACATTCTTAGTAACGTCTTAGTTTGTTTTGGTAGTTGCGCTGAAGGAAGGAGACCCCCGGTCTCAAGACACCACTGGTGGAATCCAACTGCTATTTTTGGACCGCTAACCTTTCCTTATCTCTCACGCTTTCCAACACTTCCTTTACTCCATCCTTTTTCTCGGCCGTCTGCGTAGAAACGGTCCCGAGGGTGTTCCCTCCGAGCCGCGATTACAGTCCAGGAAAGCGTGTTACCCTCTCTGCATATTTGCGTCTATGTGTGTGTATCTGCCTCGTCACAGTCATTCTCCTACTGCTCCAGGAATTTCCGTGCTGTACGACCCGAGTAAGCAAGCATACAGTGTTCCCTCCGTCGTAGTCATTGAGCCGTCTCCATCCCAGATTTAGGTTTAGCTCCCCCCCAATGACAAATGGCCAGCACTGTGTCTGGTTCCGTGATGCGCGGCATCTGCAATCAGGGACGTAACATGATTACTAGGGTATGATGGCCGCGGGCACTGGAAAGGGGGTCGAGCCTCGGGCGGAGGGGCGGAAGGGAGGGTGTAGCGGAGAGAGACGTTGGTGACAAGTCTATCCGGCGGGTCGCAGATGTAGAAGTAGGGGACACTTGAGGTGGAGAGTCTTCTCTTAGGCCGTACACATGAATCTGTCCGTCTTCGGTGCTGTCATTTTCCACACATTTATACTCCCTTGCCTCCGTACTCGCCAGGACGCCTGCTGTTTGTTTGTCTCTCCTCCCTTCTCGTCCGCTTTCTGTTCGCTTCCTTCGGCCCGCTGCCCTAAAATGCTACATTTAGTTAGAATTAAGAAAATTAACAGAAGACCTTCTTCCCCTTTTGTCTCATGAAGAAGTCGGCAGGTCGCGTTTGCTCTTAGGCTCATACACACGTATACATGCACACATGCATATTTACATGCATACACACACACATGCATATAGTCTTCCTCTCCAGCCTTATTCCCTCCCTCTGTCCTAGTCCTGTAGGGCCGGTGGCACTCACTCACTCCCATTGACAGATGACTTTCCTAATGGAATTTAATTATTTATCCCTTCCTCGTGGCGATTTAGCCAGGAAAAGACCAACAGCAGCAGCGCGAGGGAGGACAGGGCAGGAGGGGAAGGAGGGCGGAGGGAGGAGGAAGGGAGAGCCGCTCATTTCCTTCAGTGGCAAGAAACTGGATCACCTCTGTTTTGATTTGGAGAAATGTCATTCAGAGAGAGGAGGAGGAATAGGGAGGTAGACGGGGTGAAAAAAAAGAGGCAGGGCTGGATGAATAATGACTCGTTTGCAAACGAAGAGCAACGTTCTGAAGTGTAAATGAATATACATGAAGTGTGTCCACCTCTCTGGCTCAAACAAGCCCACACATTCTATTTGTGTCGCTTAAGTCGAAACTGCGTTGACTTGCATCCATTTCCTGGTGAGTTACCGTAACTACCATCCATCCAGGAAGAAACACTTAAATTCAGTGGCCTAGCACCATGTTAACCAGCATTTTGTCCCCAAATAGTCCCTGCAGTCCAGCTGTGCCAAAATTAAACTACACACACACACACACACACACACGTGTAAACCGCTGTGAGTGTAAGTCAACCCATCTGTGCTTTCCTCTCTGTACCTCTTCATTCACTGTCACACCCATTTCTTCTCTATCACTCACCAGATCTCCCCCCCTCTTTCTTCTTGCCTCGTCTCTCACTACGTTTCTCTCTTTTTGACTCCCTCATGCTCTCTCTCTCTCTCTCTCTCTCTCTCTCTCGATGGGGATCCTAATTAAGCTTGGCTCATCTTTGATGTTGTCGCCTTGGCAACAGTCACCATGACAAGTCTGGGGCTGCACACTCTTTCTCAAAGTCACTCAGGCATACACAAATGCACAATAGGCGTGCACAAACACACACACACACACACACACACGCTCACTGGAATCATAAAAGAGTACAGGCGGCGTTTGACCCTCGGTTCAAATGACGGCTCACACAATGTCCTGGGAAAAGGCTTAAAATGTGTGTGCCAACATAGAATAAGGGACACTCGCTTCCTGCTGAGCTGGATTAAGATGATAGATGAAACCGAGAGAGTGTGTGTGTGTGTGTGTGTGTGTGTGTGTGTGTGTGTGTGTGTGTGTGTGTGTGTGTGTGTGTGTGTGTGTGTGTGTGTGTGTGTGTGTGCATCCGAGGGCCGAGGATGTGGCAGAGCTTCAGCCGGCCTCCCCTCTCCCTCTGACTCGTTGGCCGTCATGCCTGCTTGTTCCAACGTTTCAAACATTTCACCTGTAATCGTAGGCTTTTGTTTTCCAAAATAAATGTTTGTGTGGGCCAAAAGCCCTCGACATGATTCACGTGTTAAGGAGCAGTTGTTGGCACCAGGTGTTTCTGGAAGCAGCAGCTTCTGGTAAACTGCTGATTTGCAGCAGAGTTTACGAGAGACATCTTTACATATTTTTCTTTTGAGGATGTCGTGCTTCTCGCTCTCCTTTTAAACCTCAGCTTCTACGGCAAGACCCCCTCTGAACACTTGTTCTATTCTTTATTAGGAACTAAACATTTCTTTTTTTTTTAATAAGAGCAATTTCCCTGCCAAATTGAGATAATACCGGATTTCCAATGTCAAGGGTATTATGGAATGTCTAAAGATACAAATTCCTGGAAATTGTCCATTATTCTATGGCCATGGCAGAAGTACGTGCATTTCCTGGAATTTACTGACTTCCTATCTTTCATCTCTCTTTCATTCCTCTCTTTCCTCATCGAACACACGGCCTCCCCACCACACAGTAAGCTGCATCGCCCCTGTAATGAGCCCTTGCACTTATCTGTGCTCTGTAACACCAGCTTTGGTAACAATACAGTAGAGTAACCACAGCAATTAAAAAACAAAACAATCAACAACAAATAGACGGAAAACTGCTATTAAGTAGGCCGGTGCTCATGACACCGGAAGAAATATAATGGACTTGTGTTTTTTATTAATATTGTGATTGATGTTATTATTAGGAACCTGTTTTGCACTTTCCTATGAATTTGGTCTTATTTTCAGAGTTGTGGCTGACATGAAAACGAGCCGACACATTATAGAAACTGAATAGATTACTGATTGGATGGCTGGTGTTTTACATCTCAGGAAAGAGACATTCACTCTAAATTGCTCCTTGTTCCTCTCAATCGATGAGTGGACTCTGCCAGCGGCGGGTGCTGATTATAACAAGTCCAACTTCCTTCTCTAACCCCCCTCATGTCCCTCCTGTCCTCGCAGCTGTTTGTCATCGACAACGGGGCCGACGACTGGCGCATTGCCATGACCATGGAGCGGGTGCTGCTGATCTCTCTGGAGCTGCTGGTGTCCGCGGTGCATCCGGTGCCGGGCGACTTCAAGTTCCAGTGGCGGGCGCGGCTGGCCTTCTCGTACGCGCCGTCGCAGGCCGAGGCTGACCTGGACATGGTGCTGAGCGTGCCCATGTTCCTGCGCCTCTACCTCATCGCCAGAGTCATGCTCCTGCACAGCAAACTCTTCACAGACGCCTCCTCCAGGAGTATAGGCGCCCTAAATAAGGTCAGTGGGGGTTCCGTGCTCACGGATGCATTTGCGAAAAGGCGCCGTTGTCAAAGCTTCTGGGAGAGAGCGGGGCTGTGGAGGTATTAAGGTCAAGAGCTCTCGCCTCTAAATTAAATCTGTGTCCACCTTGTTCCCTTCGCTCTTGGCCTCGATCTCTCTACCAATCAAGTGACTCCTTCTGCTCTGTCCTTCTGGTCACCCAGTTTGTTTTCATCAACCCGTTCAAAAGCCCTTTCTTCTCCATCGTCGTCCATCACTGAGGATGGAGACTTAGATTTAATCTGTTGTGGCTCTTTTTCTAATACAATGCGAGATGGGAGCGTGAAATGAGAACAAGATATTGCATACGGTTCAAATGGAGCGTGAAAAGGAGTCGAAATGAGCAATACCAGCGGGGAGAAATGTGTGCCAGGTTTGTAATGACTTGAAACCACAAACGCGTTATCGTCAAATCAGGAAGAAGAGATTTAGCGTGGGGCGGAGGTATGCAAACTACAGGACCCCAGGAGGGGGACGGCGGCGGGAGAGATGGAGCGGATTGTAGATGAGTCGTTTAGTATCGATGACGGCACTATTCTGACCCTCGGGTCACAGTGCAGCGGAGGACGGGAAGCTGCCGCTGAAGTGCACCTCTCGCGTGGCAACTAATTCATCAGCTGCTTAACCCTCCCGGGGCTCAACCGTGGCGCTCAGATCATCCATCTGCCAGAAGTTGATGACCAATGTGCCGCGGATAAAAACTACACTGAAATAGGCCAATTACTCACACACACCGTACAGCCTGACCCGAGTCGAAGGGGCGAGCCCCGATCTTGACTCCAATTACAGGGGAGATTCTCAGAGAGCTCCCGCTATCAGAAGCTACTTCGAAAACTAATTAGTAAAATGCAGTCTGGGTGGGGAGCTACTCGATACTAACCCGAGAAACAATGTGTGTTATGTTGTCGTTATCGGCTCTGCTCTACTGAGTGTGTGTCCTTGTGTGCATTGCAGGTGCATTTTAACACGCGGTTTGTGATGAAAACCCTCATGACTATCTGCCCCGGGACGGTGCTGCTGGTCTTCAGCATCTCCCTGTGGATCATCGCTGCCTGGACCGTACGAGTGTGCGAGAGGTCAGTTGCTAAGCTCATTGGATTGGATTTGTTGTGTTTAATCCTCGCGAGGGCGCGTGGGACAGAGTGACAGACCGACGGGGCTGTGATCAGACGAGGAATTCAACCGAGCAATTCAATATAATTGGGGGGAATTATAATCTGGGACATTTGTGCAACACAAACTATCTTTAGACTTCAGTTTATGAGGCTTTCCCGCCAGTTGTACAGTTAATTTGATCCAAGCGATGGAGATGTTACTTCGTATGTCCGTTTTGTCTTATGAATCCTCAATATATTTGTGTCCTCAAAGACAACACTTTATTTTAGCCCCACGTGTAGCATTTAAGACAGATATGACATTTCTATTTGATGATTTGTCAACAAGGGTTACCTAACATATATATATATATATATATATATATATATATGACAAACACACATGATAAAAACGATTTAGCATGTTGAACTGTTTATGAAGTAACTGGTCACGGGCCTTTTGTTACCACTATGTGTGCTACCATTGTTACCCCTGGTTAAAAAGTAATTATAGATGAATAAATAATGAATACATTTCATAAATAAATATAATTAACAAACAAATTATATTTTGTTATTAGAACTGCTGTGTACATATAATTCACCATTCATTCATCCTTTAGCTCAGAGGTCTTCAACGGGGAAGGTACTGCGGGGGGTCGCAACGTCTAAAGAGCGCAAAGCTCAAAAATAAAATATGGCGGACCAAACTCCGTAGAATAGGGGGTCCCTGCTCATCAGTTTGGGGGTCCTTGGCCTGAAAAACGTTGAAGACCCCTGCTTTAGCTGCATCTATATGTTACAAAGTACATCATAGATGGAATAACAGTTCTTACATACAATAATGAATATATAAAATAAAAACACTGAAACTGTGTTGTTAACTACAGTAATTGTTTATTCACTGATTATTAATGCATTTTTTCGGGTTCATGTCCTGAAAGTCTTTTGCCCAAACAGGAAATAGCTGATATAATTCTGTCCTTGTATTAAGGAACAACATGTTATAAAATTGCGAGCCTATATTAAAGATGTATAATCATATTTTAGGAATTCATTGTAATATTCTTGATTTACTTGCGAGTCTAATCGCTTTTGTTGATAATCAGGGAAATGGAAAAATGTTGAAAGTTGGTTAATTAGCTTGATTATATGCATGATTGCCCAGCTGCTCTGTAAACCAAATTAGCGAAGGAAAAACCATGTAAGAGTCAATTAAACTCCAGTCATCTGAGGCTAAAATGTACTTTTTTAGTTTGGGTGAAAACAACTTTGTTTCGGATCTGCATCGAATTCGGTTGCTATGGCAACAGTGTCGTGCATAGGGAGCAGTTTGTGTTCTGTTTCAGGTAACGACAACAAAAAGAGGTCAGGTGTTTGAGGTTTGACGCCCACATTTGCAGACACGGCCAGTGGGCCAGTGATGTTGTTGTTTGTATATTTCTTTAAATATTTGACTATTGACTGACTCTATCCTCCGAACACGGACATTGTGTACTTTAGGTATCATGATGCCCAGGATGTGACCAGTAACTTCCTGGGAGCCATGTGGCTAATCTCCATCACTTTCTTGTCCATCGGCTACGGAGACATGGTCCCTCACACCTACTGTGGGAAAGGAGTCTGTCTGCTCACCGGAATCATGGTCAGTACGTTTTCCCTCTCCCTCTCTCTCGTGGTCCTTCTTCTTGGCACTGTCATTGCCATGTTCAAAGGTCAGCAGATTAGAGAGCATGCTGTCATTTGTGAGAGAAAATTCGGGCCATTTGTATAATTTGGGCAATCCTCCCTGAATTAGAACTGCATCTGTGCTTCTGTGTGTTTTGGGCGTGTGGGCGTGCAAACAAGAGCATGTGACGTGTGTGTGTGTGTGTGTGTGTGTGTGTGTGTGTGTGTGTGTGTGTGTGTGTGTGTGTGTGTGTGTGTGTGCATGTTATTCCCCTGTCTGTCCTTGTTGCATAATGAAGGTCCCACCTTTCAGTGTGCCATGTCCTCCCACTCTCTCTCTGTCTCTCTCTGGCGCTCATTTTTTCTCCTAGGGCACTCTTTTCCTCTTTGTCCGTCTCTCCTTCCCGGTGGCCATGTGTTTAATCCATCTACCGTCCATCTGTTAGTATCAGTGTTTAAGCTGCTGACTTCTCCTCTATTTGCATCCCTTCACAGGTGTTATCCCTCCTCAAACTGTTCCTCTATTTCTGTTTCTGTCTGTTGTGTCTTAATGGTGTTTTCTCCTTCATTTATAGCTTCCTTTTGAAATAACAATACGCTTGTAGTAAATGTATCCAATTAGTCAACTCATTTAAACAACATTGGAATAACCTTGAAACCTTACCTTTCTACATCCTTACTTCTCTACATCTGCTGTTCTGAATAATTGGAGGAAATGGTCGTCATTTTCAATTCATCATCAATTCTTTTGCAGTAGTTTTAAAGCTAAACGTCAAGTCAATGAAAATGTAAATTTTGTGCTGACTACATTGATGACTTTTTTGGATTCTTCATGGTCAACAAAAGAAAAGAGCTCAAAATATGATGCTGGTATGTTCCCGGGTAATATTTCATAGGACTCTGTGGGTGGTATTTTGCCAAAAGGGAGAGGATAGTCATTAATAGGAAACTGTGTGCAGCTAAATAGATGGAAATCACTTTACAGTGAATACTTGGCTAAGTTGGGTATAATGTAGTTATTCAATGTAATTGTGAAGCAATGTGTGTGTGTGTGTGTGTGTGTGTGTGTGTGTGTGTGTGTGTGTGTGTGTGTGTGTGTGTGTGCGTGTGCGTGTGCAGCACTACCTGGATCATAGAGTCCCTGCATCCTCCACACACTGACACAGAGCTTTACACATGCTCTTTGTGCGACTCCCACACGCTCTCCTCTCCTGTCACACAAACACACTCTCCACTGCTCTCTTCAAAAGGGGGTGTGTTTGCGTTGATCACCGGAGAGGGAACGAGGATGCTGGTAGAAGGTGAGGGAGTCCCGGGGCAGCAGGTCGTGGGAAAGCAGAGCGGGGAGAGAAGTGATGGGGAGACGGAGGACACGATATGAGTTTGCTCGGGAATTGTTGTAATGAGTTTCTACAGGGGAGAATTCTCCACGTAGTTACTATGACAACACATGAAGGCCAATACTGTTGTCATATGACTGCCCTGAGGCTACCGGGGGGAGTTATCGTGTACGTGTGTTCTGGTGTTTAGTTGTGTGTAGGTGGATGGTGGTAGACTGCCACAACATATCGATGTTCTTATATGCAGCAAAAAGGTGCATGGTCTTTAAATGAGGGGGGGGGGGGGGGTATAAAGTAAAGTCATTGCATTTAATTGTATGTTCTGGCTTGTCTGCAGCCTCTTGATAAACTACTTTTTGAAGAGCTGCACAAAAAGTTTTCTGCCTATAAGTGCTCGTGCCCGAGCAACTTAAATGTCACATTTTTCTGTGTTAAATATCTTTCCCACTTTGCTCTGCATTCCTGCTGACCTCTTTGAGGGAACTTACCTCTGCAAGAAGCGTTAAAAGATGCAGTTTGTACCTGTAGCCTGTGGGTGTTGCACAGATCACAGATGGGAGATTCCCTCCCCGCTTTTCTGACAGCTAGACGTAGATTGCTGCGCTGTAATGGAAGAAGCGAGGGAATCCCGGGCGTATGAAACAAATCACGGCAGCACACAGCCATCATCAGCTGTGTCACTCTGTGGAGATTGCAAAGGGAGCCCTGCGAAAATCTAATGGATGCAGGCGTATACACGAGCAAACTCTCGAGCTCCTGCACACGCATATGGCCTGCGATGACAAACCAATCAACACCCAACTGTGTGCATGCGTACACACACAGTTGGCTACGTGCACGTATGCGCTTGTACGTACTGCACTGAGGCAATTCGTCACAGTCCTATTTTCCCTAAAGCACAGGCATGTATGAGCGCTCTCAGGGTTTTCCATCAGCCCCCTTTATATTTTATTCATGGGTTTTGAATAAACACAAATAGAGTGGATGAGTGCATAGTCGTGGGCACTAATGTGTTTGTGCATTACATTTTACCGAACCCAGCCAAGTTATTTTTGGTAAACCTGTCATTTAAGAGTGTGCACGATGCAGTCTTACACACTTGAAAACGTTGCATGCTCTCTTGCTTTGTTTCTCTTACTCCCCGTTTCTCTCCTTATATTTTTATTCTCTCTCTGGGTACTTTTTCATTTGACACTCTTAATCCTAATGTGTTGCTCATCAGGAGATAAGTGACTTATTATCATTCACTTCTTCTCCATCTCTCTTCTGTTGTGTGCACACACCCTTGACTCCTGAATTTAACCCCTTCTCCAAACGCCCTCCATGTTTCCTTCCTTCCTCATTGATGTTTACTCATAGCGCTTCACTCTCTTTATCTTTTTATCCCCTCAGTGCTTTCCCCTTCAGAGGAACCTGTGAGCACTCAACAGCCCCTTTTGAAAACAGTGTCTAAGCTGAAAGTTAATTAAGTCCGCCTTCCTCCCCGCTGCTCCTCTTCTCCTCTGGAGCATGTCTTTCTGGTTGACAGACTGCTGTCACTCTCTCCCAAATTAATTTACCGTTTGTTCCGTGTGGGTCGAGCTGGAAAACAGTCTGTGTTTCATACCTTTACACTTCCTGCAGGTCTCCATCCTCCGTTGACCAGAAAAGACTGACACCGTGTATTTCAGATAGGCAGCCTCCAATTCTATGAAATGAGGTGCTGTCAATCTTTTTTTTTTTTCATCTATAAAGAGGATATTTTTAAGCTCAATGTAGAGGCGATATAGAGGGGATCTCACACCAGATGGATTGGAAGTGAAAATAGACTTGGCGCGCCGCTCAACGCGAGGAAATGTGGATGTGGAACAGAGCTATCCCTCTTAATCCCCTCCCCTCTCCAATTCACTTCTCCTTCTGTCGTGCCGCTCCCTTCCTCATATTTGTCCTCACTCCCTTCGATCATCTGAGCTAATTCCCCGACCGAAAGCCACAGATTTACCAATTCGTCCTCTTAACTGACTCAGTGCTCTGTTTTCTCCTCCCTCCCTCCCTCCCTCTCTCCCCTCTCTCAGGGTGCGGGCTGCACTGCTCTGGTGGTTGCCGTGGTAGCCAGGAAGCTGGAGCTTACCAAGGCCGAGAAACACGTGCACAACTTCATGATGGACACGCAACTCACCAAGAGGGTGTGTTGAGTGTGGATGAGTGTGTTTTTTGCGGGAAAACATGGAGGGATTTTAGTTTACGGTTTTGGTTCGGTGTATTCTCCGTCCAGGTGAATTTATAGTGTATTTTTCGATTCTTTCAGGGGTTGAAAACAAAGGTGGTTGCCGTGGCTTCACCAGCCCCCACCAGTCCCCGCTACGCCACCCTATCACCCTGTATTGTTGTGACACGATGCTGTGTTGTTTGAGTGAGGGAAGGCAATGAAAGGTCATATCTTTCTCACTTTCCTGTTCCGCTCCCTCACTTAGCGTCTCTCTATCATCCCATCAACAATCTTTTTCCTCCCCCGCAGCCTTCCCTCCACCCTACCGACTCCCCTCTCCTCTGACATTTATCTCTCGTATAGTAAATCTCTCCCTTTCGTTCTGTCTTTCTGTCACTTTCTCTCCTCCTTCCCTCCCTCCTTTGCCATCTCCTTCCCCTCATGCCCCCACGATTCCTCCTCCCCTCAATCCCTCACTCCCTCCTTCCTGTGGTCCTCTTAAATCTTTCATACAGTTGAAAGTTCCAAGTTTTAAAAATAGCTCCCGTATCAAATATGTAGGGTACATTGTGGCAGCAGGGTATCTGGGTGACTGAACGTGGTGAGGTTATCAATGATTTCAGCTCCGATGAAATATCGACAGAAGCGTTTGAACGGACCGTTTGTCTCGTGTAATCCTCCCGCAGGCTGTGTTCAGGTCAACCAGAGTGTTTTCACAAGACGTTTAACACCTTGAACAGCGTGTGTGTGTGTGTGTGTGTGTGTGTGTGTGTGTGTGTGTGTGTGTGTGTGTGTGTGTGTGTGTGTGTGTGTGTGTGTGTGTGTGTGTGTGTGTGAGGGTTTTTACTTTTTAATCAATGCTACATATGGTGGGTCAGTCCATCCCCCACTTTGGTCCAGACTTTAATATCTCATCCATTCAATGGATTGCTGGATAATGATCACATTGCAATTTACATCTCTGGCTTTGAGTAAAGAAAACTTTTTATTATAATTATAAAATTAGCAAATGATAATGAGACGGTGAGTTTGGTAAGAACAAAAAGAGCGTTCTTGTGAGCGCTTGTAAAAGCATTTAGCGAGTCACTCGCATGGCTGTAGACTCCAGTTTCAATGGTCTTGGTCAGGTTTTGGTCCATGCTTCTCAAACAAATGTAGACTTGGTACAACTGAAGTGGGAGAAGCTGTATGGTAAACGTACGCATTCCTTTGGCTTCCTGCCCTTTGAATGGCTCCGGCTGTCCAGCTGTCACAGTGAAACCGACTCAGGTTGGTTGGAGTGCTGTTACGGTTGCTGGTTATTGTGACTCTACATTTTTATGAAAGACCAAACTCACACTAATGAAAACAGATTTTAAAATAATAATACAAATGATGTAACTTTTATTGCAAAATGTATAGCATGAACACAGCGGAAACTGATCCCTCCCTAGATCAATAAAAGGATCATACCAGCCGTGGTGACATTTCTATCAAAGGCTTTTTGGTTTGTGCCGCGGTAATCATCTCTTGCCCTCTCTTACTGAAAGATTAATCATTGAAGCAGATGTTTGCACACTGATCTACATGGCCGGGGCCATTCTCCGCAATATCATCGTAACAAGAGAATAAAATCACTCACGATTTATGATGAATAATGAAACAATAGACATTCTGCTGTCATATGTGCATGTGCACACGCACACACACCCACACAAAGGCACACACCCTGGCTTTCCACATCCATGAAATGGCGTTTCCTTCATTTTAAAGAATTATTAAAAACGCAAATGAAATGCCAATCAGGGTCGCTCTTTGCCTGTGGATGCTGTAGTCAGTAACGTCTGTGTTTGAGGTTTTTATTTTTACTTTTGCTTGTGTGTTTCAAGATAAAAACTGGTTGGTTGTAGTTGTACATAGTCCAAAAACCACAGGAAGGTGTACTTCCTCATTTTTTTGTCAAAATTAGTTAGCTGTATTTGACACTCTCCGACACACCCTTAAAGATTCTACCCTTCATTCGCGAGTTTCACCCCGTTCAAAGGATTTTCCTTCAGTGTTCAGTGCAGGGTCCGTTTCCCTTTGATCTGAAAAGTTCTTACAGCGCTCAAGTCGTTCGTGTGTCTGAAGTTGCAAGTGCTCATGTTTGAAATCACGACTTGTTGCCTTGATGCAGAGTGTTAAAATGTTTAATAGGCTGACACTGTGGTTGCAGCAGTGTGCTGTGGCTCAATATTGAAGTATTGGTTAATTCAGAGCACTGCTGAAAAGTCCATGTGGTCGGAGCATCGCTCTGCGTATGACAATCTCAACACTAACAAAGCCGGAGACATTTGCTGTCAGAAGAGTGGAGCATTTCCTCCATCCTTTTGATAGCAAAAAGTCAAAGCCAATTAACTGCATTAACATGGCTGTTTATGAGTTCAGTACTTTCATTTCAAGCTTTTATGTCGCTTTGCAAAATCTTTGCCTAGAGTGGCCCTCCAAATGTGTATTATGATCCCACTCGTGGCGATTGGTGAAAATCTGGAGCACTTTTAGCCAAATGGGAGCATTCTACCCAGTAGGCTAGCTGTCCACTAAGCACAAAAAAAAAATCCTGACAGCCTTCAAATGGATCATTATGGGTGTGAATTCATTTGACACTTAGTGAAGGCGTTCTGTCCCACATTTCTCTCTTTTTACCAATTGAACTGGAGCCCTTCCTTGATCTGTCCACAGTCAAGGGACGAACAAAATACATACACTTATAGTTTAGAGGCCAATTATTATTTTGATGTTTTATGATTTGATTGATTTCTTTGCCCGTTTTTTTTTTTGTGCATTCATGGTCCTGTGACCATGTCCGTTTGTCTGCGTGTGCCTCGTCTCTTCTGTGTGTCGTTGTGTCCGTGAGACGAAGGTCGGAGCCGGTGTGGCGACATGTTGCCATGGCACATGCATGAGGTGGGAGGTGGCTACCAACGTCATTGGTTTGTTTGTTTACGTTTCCTTCTCCATTGTATCTCACCACATCACCTAATCAGACTACTAATTGCATGCATGGGTCATCAAAGTCTCTCCCGGGTCGTACGGACCGTACGGGTTAGTGTGGCTGTACGGCTGCGTTGTGGGAACCTCTTTTGTTAACAGTTCTCTCATGTAACCGCCATAAGGTGTGCCGTGTAGGGGAGCAGCCAGAACAGATCTTTGACCCTAACCAGCCACACGACCCCAACACGGATGCCCAACTTGCCATATGGTCGAATAATATCTGCTGCTCATGTTGTCTGTCGATGAGTATTTTTAGCACCATTTTGGTTCTTGCAAATGGAGTTTCCTCAGTTTCTCTTTTTCTCTTATAGAGAAATACAATTAAAGGATGGTGGCAGATTAACTGCAACATACTAACAGTGCAATATTATCAGTAACTTGCATGTGATGGGTTCCCCTGGGTTTTAAATTTAGGATGAAGCTTTGTCTAATTAATTGGCCTGAGGCAGAGCAGCAGCTCACACCGCTGCACAGATGTTGGAAGTGTGAGTGAAAATCTTCACAGCAAGCAAGCCAGACAGACAGAAGATGCCATCATTCGTTATATTTCTGTCACCTTGCACTGATCAGTCAACTGACCAATATGACTTGACAGATCAATTTAACAATGGGCCCGTAGACCAATGGGATATTAAATTGCCTCTTCAGTAATTTGGCCCTTGAATGAAACTAGAGATAAGACAGTGCGGTTGCAAAAATTCTCTAAGCAGTGCAGTTGTGACCATACATTTTATGTTAAAAAAATATCATTATTCCAAATAAATGCAAAACTACCATCAAGGTATTAGCATTGATGTTGGTGTACAGTTCTGTAGTCACACAGACAAGATGTCTTCATTTGGATGAAGCCTCCTCACGATCTTTGCAGCTGAGTCAGTGTGTCCTCGCTGAATGGAGTTTAGTTAGTTAGTTCTGCAATCCTATGATACACACAGGAGATGAGGCTCAGAGGGAGAAACATTTAAGGATGTACCTCATACTCCAAGCCTGTACCTTCATCCAAATCCCTTCTGTCGTGCCATGTGAACCAAACATATTATATCGGCATTTATATTTATTTTGTTGGGTATAAGATATACACAATTCATTTTTGAGAAAACAAGTAAGAAATGACAAGCTTTTAATAGTAAATGTCAAGTGATTGGTAATATGATGAATTTATGACTCAATCGCCTGAAGTGTTTTATATACATTGGATGAGCTCTCTTCGGTTTGACTTCCTCTCTGTCATTGAAAACAAATCTGCAAGGCGCAGGGACTTCTACTCTTTTCATCTGTGGCCGATATTGTGTGTTTGTCTGCATGTGTTTATTTGTCGGCGTGTGTGTTTGTGAGGAGTCCTTGACTGCGGCGGATAGGTGCTGATTAGTCAAGCTGCCGGGTCCTTTTGTGCTCCTCAGTCGCGGGTATAATAAATCTTTGTTCAGTGTTCGGCATCTCTTTGAAGTCTCTCAATCAATTCATGTCCTTTCAGATTATCCCTCCCTTCTCGCTTCACTATGGTTTGGTCTGGCCCCTGTGTTACAATTACACAGCAACCTATCGAGATGTACAGTACATGGAACATAGTAGAGCAAATATGGATTTGAATATGTTTTTACTAAATTAAAGGAATCTCACCTATATATGGCACAAATAAAACTGAAGCCTATGACGGACCAGTAAACTGGAGATGGGTATAAGGCTTTCCACAAGTTCATTTATTGTTTTTTTTCTTCATTGTTAACCGTTTATCCGGGGTCGGGTCGCGGGGGGAACAGTTCCAGCAGGGGACCCCAAACTTCCCTTTGCCGGGCCACATCTACCAGCTCTGACTGGCCTTCGCCTTCCGGCTCAGCTCTCTTTTCCTTACAACAGTGCAATACCGCCCTCACTGCTGCGAATCTTCGGCCAAACTCACACTCCATCTTCCGCTCACTCGCGAACAAGACCCTGAGGTACTTGAACTCCTTCACTTGGGGTAAGGACACATTTCCTACCCGCTGTAAGCAATCCATCGGTTTCCTGCTGAGAACCATGGCCTCAGATTTAGAGGTGCTGATCCTCATCCCGACCGCTCCACACTTGGCTACGAACCCCTCCAGTGAGGGTTGTAGATCACAGACCGAAGATGCCATCACATCATCTGCAGAAAGCAGCGATGAGATCCGCAGCCCCCTCTTCAATCCTTGGTTCGACTATCGGCCGAACCTTCCTTTCCAGAACCCTGGAGTAGACTTTACCAGGGAGGCTGAGTAGTGTGATACCCCTGGAATTGGCACACTTTGAAGTGAAGTGAAGAGAGGTACCACCACTGCTGGAAAAATCTCTGAAAGAGAAAGAACAGGGCCCAAGAGGCCATGTTGTGAGGCCCCAGAGAGAAACCAGGGCAATGGCCAGAGAATAAGGCAGAGCCCCAGAAAACAAGGCTCGGCCGTAGACCCTAAGCCTTCAGCCGGGACCGGAGTATAAAAGGAGCTGTGATCATGGGTCGGCTTCTAGAAAACAGTGGTAGGGCCACAGGAAACCGTGCCAGACAGAGAATACGATGCTGTTAGAGAAAACCCAACTGGGCCCTCAGGGAACCGGGTGTGTTTCTTCTCTGAAACAGGTTTGCCCAGCCCTGTAATGCCTTCTCAAACCTGTTGCCAAGGACTACCTGTTGGTAACAATGTGTCTTTTTGCTTGTCTATTGTCTGCGAGCAGATAAAGAATGCAGCAGCTAACGTGCTGCGAGAAACCTGGCTCATCTACAAACACACCAAGCTGATGAAGAAGATCGACCATTGCAGAGTCCGCAAACACCAGCGGAAGTTCCTCCAGGCAATACATCAGTAAGAACACACCTCACGTCCACCCACACACTCAAAAGCACTCACGAGCACATGAGCCTTTGAATTTGTACTTGTCTATCCACCCACAAGTTGAATCAACGCTGATAAACAGATGCATGAATCTCTACACACAAAATGAATCATCCACTAACGGGCAGGTATACTTCAAGCTAACGTAATAACAGTTAACACATTATGTAATATGATGATTAGAGACTGACCATTACATCATTTCTAAATGCAAATGCATTTTGTAGACCTTTATCACGCTTTACAATTTGCTTTGTCACAGCGTGGTCTGGTTGTATTTGAATGGCTAGTTGTCTTGTTGAATATTAAGAATACCCTGTTTGCCTACTCAAAGGATTAAGGTCTTATTATTATTTTGATTTCAAATATATGTATAGTTTTACCTGCATTACAACATTTTTCAGAGCACGTTTCTAGTATGTACGTTTGTATTCAGCCGCAAACTGCAGGTAGAAATAAGGCAGAATTAGGCGAGGCGACCGCCCACCAGCGCTGTTCTCTGGACCCGGAGGGGTTCGCTCTCTGGACGGACCACTGTGTATTTACAACGCTTCAACTTTGTGTGCGTGTATTTAACGTGTGTGTATTAATCTGTTTGCAGATTACGCAGTGTGAAAATGGAGCAGAGGAAACTCAGTGATCAGGCCAATACACTAGTGGATCTCTCAAAAGTGAGTCTCTCACACACACACACGCACACACAGTTGATATACACATGCATCCCTGCTCTTTATTTATGTACAACATCCACCTCACAGACAATGTCAACACAGGGTAGTAACTCATACCAAACAAAACAAAAGAATATTCCTCCTTTTCAATGATGACCTGCCCGTTTCTGTGGCTTTGTGTCTCCTAGCAACAGGAACAAGTGTTAAAACAGCGATGAATGTGAGAAAGAGCGAGGAGGAAATAGGAGGAGGGAGGGGGGTGCTCGTGTTTTTCTGTTATCATGTGGGTGTTTGAGTGAGAGTGTGAGTGCACGTGTGTGTGTGTTTGTGTGATTGTGAAAAGAGACCACAAAGAGGGAGTGAGTGATAAGAGGGGGGGGAAAAATCGAGTGAGGGTGTGTGTTTGTGTCTTTTCTAGGAGCGATGCCTTTAGCACCAAATTATGCTCTCTCAATGACTCCATCTAAATTGGCCACTTGTGCGTTTACCATGGTTACGGAGTCCAGGCCGTGCGAGGCCTGGACATTTCATTCTCGCTGCACACTCTCTTTCTTCACAACGCTAGGATGCCCACCTAGAGACTTCCCTCCAGCCTCCTCTTCGTTCCAGCTTCTGCTCCGTCTTGGACCTTGTTGCTCACGGTCTTACTCACTCCTCCCCAGCCTCAGGCTTGTCCCCCTTCCCACTTTTACAACTCTAAACCCCTTTTTATTTCCCTTCTTATTCATTCCAAATACATTTTCTTTAAACAGGCTTTAATAAAGCAACCAACATAATACTCCTGTTTACCTATTAGCAATCTGTCTCACATTTTGCCCCCCTCTCCTCTGCTCTCATCTCCTCTCCTCTCCACAGATGCAGAGCGTCATGTATGAGCTCATGTCAGAGCTCAACGACCGCAGCGAGGACTTGGAGCGTCAGATGCTGTCCCTGGAGCAGCGGGTGGAGCAGCTCACCGCCGGCTTCAACACCCTGCCCGCCCACCTCTCCGCGACCCTCAGCGCGCAGCACGCCGCCCTGGTCCACCTGCTGAGAGAGAGGGACACGAGGGACTGGAGAGGAGGTGCTGTGGTCCCGATATCCCCCGCGGCGTCCATACCCGCTTCGGTTTCCTCGGTGCACGTCGCGTCTCCGGCACCCCCCGCAGCCCAGGTCCCTACCTTGGCCTTGGAGTCCCCTCTGTCGCCCCCGTCTCTGAGCCCAGAGGGGAGCCTGGAGGCTGGTCCCTCACCAAACAGCTGCACTGCGAGCTGCTGAGGAGACTGCTCTGAGGACCAGGAGAGGACAAACGTGGAAAGAAAATGGGGAGGGAGGAGGAGAGAAACGTGAAGTGGGAGGGAGGGTTGAAGACGGGACCGTGGTGAGAAATAATAGGACTAAGATGGAGGGCCAGTCTGAATGATGAGACCTGTTAAGGCTTTTGGGGCACATTCCCGAAAAAGGGGAGGAGAAGAATAATGGATAATCTAAAAGGTGGGAGGGGGAGGAAGAATGTCAAGAGAGTGAGAAATTGTGGTAGAAAGGAAGAGGAGGGTAAAGGAGAGAAGAGTAGGAGAATAAGGAGGAATAATTATATAAACTCAGAGCTCCTAAATGGATACCACTTCAATTACTGAACAGGGCCTTTTATTCTATATATTTCCTCTCTCTCTCTTTCTCCCCTTGCTCCCGATCTCTCTCTCCCTTCATCAGGAATTAATGACCATGACTTTTTATCCTTATGATGTATTTTCTATTTGAATGCTAATTGTACGTTAACGAGCATCCCTTTAACAGAATGTTCAATCAATACGACCGAGATGGAGAAAAAACAAGCTAGTGACATGTACTGCGCACACACACACACACACACACACACACACAACTTGTTTCAGCGCCATCCACGCAATACAAGTTAACACAGCACAAACATGAATACACAATCTTTTACAATGCAGCCCTATTTACACTCACACAAAGAAATTGTGTGTAGTAGTTCACAAGATACTAAAAGCCTATACTGCCAAACACTGCCAAGCAATGTAGACACACTGTAAAAAAATGTTCATCCAAAAGACTTCCGCTGCTGTGGCCTAATGCATAGTTGTGACATTTGAACTGCTCCCTTTGGAGAACCGCATCTCTTTACTGAACACAAAACACAGATGAAGCTGAAATCAATTGGTACGACACTGAGGGACATGAGTCATAACGTCTGTTTTTGACAAAGAATAAAGTCGCAGATTATAAAATAACCAAACACAACTGGGAAATAACTTTTTTATTGGGAACCAATGTGTACTTTTAGGTTTGCTGTACTGAAATTAGACTGAAAGTGTTGTATGAAGTGCATTGATATTGAAATTTGCTGTTGGGAGAAAGAATAGATTACAACAAAAACATTCATAAACTGCCATTTAGATCTGCGTGATTCATTTTGAAGAAATTCTTCAAGACACAGCGTTGCTAAACATAATGCTAAACATTTGGTAAAAGTGTTTAGGGGAAACGGTTGAAACATTGGCCATCGATAAATTATCTGCTTATTATTTTACTTGTCTGAAGTCAGTGGAGTCAGATTGACTGGGATGCCGTAGTATCCATTGTCTTGCTTAAAATCTACATCTTAAAATTAACAAAATGTTGTAATTCAATGTAAAATCCAACAATTGTTTGACTATGTGATCATAAATTGGGGTCATCCATATTTTTTAACAGTGTATGGTCGTTTCCATGCCCCTATGGACCTTACTCACTGCCATTATTTCTCGAGCTTGCGGTCCAAAAGCAGCGCACTGTTATCATGAATGTATTCTCTGTTAAGAAATACACTCAAACCCACTTTCTTGCTCGATCACTTAAACTGCCTTGCAGAAACAGGAACAACCACCTACACGCACGGTCACGCCGATATACACACACCTCGACAACCAAAGTGCTCTCTCTTAAATGGACTTCAATAAGAGGCAGGCAACGCCGCTGTCACTGGGGACAAAAGATAGCAAGAGGCCTTGCAGATGTCTTGACAATATTTCTGAGGGAACTGTGAAAATCTGGATATGGAATTGTTACAATGCTGTACATGGACTGCTGTTCACTGCTTTCAAACGGATCAAGGTGAACCATGGATGAACACAAAGGAACACAAATAAACCGTATAAAGGGTTGTTCAAGGAGCAACACCTGTTTTCGAAATAAATAAAATATCGAAAGAAATTCTTTGCTTTATCTGAGAAGAATTCTAATGGTATTAGGGGAAAGAGACAAGCCTACCCATCGGAGACACTAACGATAACTGTCTTATAGCGACATGCTGTGGCCGGAATACTGAATTACATACGCTTGGAATATTGTATAGTATGCTATTAACGAAATCTAGCTTTGTATTGCTTAGTCTTTTCTACCAATATGATTAAGCGCAGTTATAGCTGATATTTACGATTACAAAACGATAGTATTCTTCTCATTTGTCACGAAAATTATGATCTATGTATTAACGATACATCAAAGAATTTTAAACAATGAAAGTGCTGTTTGAGGTTGAAATTATTTTGTAATTTTTATTTTATCAGAGAACTAATAAAGTATATATCTATAACATCACAGCTTCCGCGTTTTTCATTTTTGTTTGGAGTGTTTTTTTGTTACGATGAGCTGGCTAGTGTGATGCTTTACAAAAATATAAGACATCTTAATACTAATTCACGCAATGAGTTAGTTTTATTCATCTGTAGACTAATTTTCCGTCGCTCATCCCATTGCAATATTTCGAGGAAACCCCGAGGACTGACAACCAGGTAACGGTCGAAAAGTTAGCTCAAGTATAAAGGTTGCTAGCTTTCCAAAATTGGCTGTTTTTTTAAATTTATTTATTTTTTATCTTTGGGAGTCAAATTGTTAGTTGTTGGATTTTTGAGCTAGCTAGGTATACTATTTCCCACCTGGGATGGAGAACACGATAAATAATTAAAGCTAACGTTAGCTAGACGTAACTAGCTAATGCTAAATTCAGGTCTGTTACAGTAAAGCTGAGTCTGTTGAGTGAACATTAATAGGCCAACAACACATTGAGAATTGCAATTCTGTGAGTCAACATTGATGAATTGAGCATTTGCACAAATATTTTTGTCTTTGCGTGAGTGTTATCAGTCTTATGCTTGGGCTCTGTGCCCCAGGAATCCACATTATAATAGCATGGGACATTTGGCTGGTCAGTACGTTTGCTTTATGTTTTTTTTCACATAATGTTCAAAAATCAAGTAATATGAGCGAAACTAAAAGAAGTATTAATTCTAATTCCACCAAGTGGATGTTTGTGCCAAATGAAAAAATAATATCACGGGTCACGGGATTCTTGACCTTTGACCACCAAAATGTAATTAATTAACAGTCTTACACGAACATTATGGACACACAACTTGAAAACATAATGCCTCATGCATCAGCTGTTCCTGTGGTGTAGTAAATATTTAAATGTACTTTAAAAAACAGGCGTTGTGTTGTATGTTTAGCCCGGGGTGAAATTAAAACTGTAGGAGGGTTGTGAAAGCTAGGCAGTATGAGGCAGTGCTCTGCCCAGGGAACGGCACACATCCAGATGTGATGAGCTTGTTATCTGGGTTATTTACTGGCTGATGCTCTGTTAGCTCCCTTGACGTTCATTATCTCCCCTGCTATGTGCATTTTCATGATTGTGTTCTGTAATTTTAAGTTAAGGGTTATGTAGCCCACATTTTTAAAGACTCGTCAGTGCTTATCTCTTCCCTCTCTACCTGTCACTCAGTCCTTCATTTGCAGGAAAGCCAATTAGTCTTTCTGGATTGCTGAGCAGAGGATTGCAAAGGACACAGAGAAAATGGAAATTGGGATAGCTTTTTTTCCTCATATTCCAGCCAAATGTTGCCAGAAGAATATGACTGCAAGAACATTTTGTCATACATTTTAAAAAGCCAAAGCAGTAGATGGCCACAGCGTACACCTGAAACAACACATTTAAATAAAGGTAAACAAGATGCATTAGTAGAGTTACAAATAGTGGCACAATAGTGCACATTCATGCCATTTCAAGCAATTTATTACAACACACAATACTTACTATTAACACTGCTGTTTATTCAGAAATCCCAAATGGATTTGAATAGGACTAATGTGCGCTCTATGGTGCTAATGCAATGAAAAATAATCACTATCTTTTGACAAAATCAATATTCCCTGAAGACAGTATTGACCATGTAATTTCTAACAAAATGCACAGCACATGTACAGGCCTTTACATGCACACAACGGTGTCTTTCCCTCTCGTTCTTTTTCCACGGCCTCAGTGTAACAAGGACCAAACCTCAAATGTATTTCCAATGCATTTGAGTGCATGCAGCTTTACCAATGGAACAGGAGAAAGTGCTAAACCAGTCAACTATAATTTAATTATAACAGACGGTACAAATGTCACCAGATTCTGTCAGTGGGAGACCGTTCCCATCGCAACAGGATCACTTATCTCCAACTCGTCTTTGTGCTGACGGTAGAGATGAGTGGTGTGCTGGATGCTCCTACCAACAAAACAGCTTTGGGAGGAGATGTAGCTCTTAAACATTTTTGCAGGTGACAGCACACACACAACACAGGAGCAAGCACATACCTAAAGATGCAGTTTTGTGTTCTCCCTCCCTTTTTAGAAAAGTGAAAACCTTACGATGACCCAGTCACAGTTCACCAGGAAGCGGAGAGCTATGAACCACCCATTGTGATAATAACCTGGTGTTTCCCTGGCAACCAGAGGGGCAGATCTACCAACACATACAGGTCTGTACATGCATGCATGCATGAATCTGTGATTACAGTCTATCACATTCAGAAAGATTGTATTTTGCTAGGTGTTTTTTAGGTTTCCTTAAAAGTATATTCGGCTGGAAATGGGGAATCAGCATTGTGAGCTAGCCGGAGTGCCAGGGATGTTCCTGTGATGATGAAAGAAGAAATAAAAAGAGGAAAGAAGCTGCTCTAGACATTCAGATTCGAGGATGCACTGCACACTGGCTCTGTGAGTGCATGCACACACAATAAAAAAAAAATAGTTACACCTGCCTTTTCTTTGTTCTCCATCCCCATAGCCCCTGTATCTTTTCTGACTATGTGAGTCCATGGCTGCAGTCTCTTTTGATGAGGAGTCAAATGACCCGCAAGTGGTGGCAACTCATGCAATGATGATGAAGGAATGGTGCTTCAATGCTTCCTTTCTTAGCTCTACTACCATAAGAAACACCGACCTTTAAGAAAGGAAAGAACATAATTCCATCCCTATAATTTGTGTGACGACTTTGACAACCATTTTGTTACAATGTCTTGATCTTTATATATTTTGAACAAGTAACAATTGATAAAAAAAATAAAACAAGTAAATAATGCCAATAGAAAGTACAGCCATTGGACAGTTTAGTTCAAACTGCTCACGAAGGACTTGTCAGTTTTGTTGTGTGCAATCTGCTGGAAGCAGTGTTGATTGTAAAGTGTTGGCGGGAGTTGAAAGGAAGCACCTGCGGCATCTTTCCTTGACACGTGAAGCAGCCTGTCACTGACAGAGCGATTTATACAACCTTATTCAAGAGTAAGTGCTAATTCTATTCTTAATTTTGCCATGCCAGCCTTGGCTTCACAAACACTTTATGTACATAGAGCTGCTGGGGATTGCTTTAGGCGTTCTGTAGCAATAAGCATTCTGCTGTTCTGTTCAGGCCATTAGAGACTAGACAGGGTAAGTGGGTCCTCTAACACTTACACTCAATCATGGAAGTGATTTATAAAATATGTTGTTGGTGTTTGTTGGTGTAACAGATCATCATACAGGCTCCTAAATGTCTACCAGACTTTAGTGGGCTATCAGCTTCCTGGGAACCAGAGTTTCATTTTTTTAAATCAATAAATGTTTTATGTAGTTTTTATGCCGTAAGAAGGTTAGCCAGCAGCGCGCAGTAGGGCAGCCGACATTTAATATTTCCAGCCAGACAGTTTAATGAAAGGGGATTATAATTCCTCAAGGCGAACCAAGCTTGAAAAGTCCTTTTCATATTTTCCCCCATGTACTAGTAACCACGAACAATGAGGTAAATTCATTGGGTTTTTTTACATCCTGCGGAAGGATTTGTTTTATTTGTTGTCAACATCAACTGTCTTCCTAATATGTGTAACCTGTTTGTAAACCTTGGTCATGGTTCACATTACCGTGCAGGTAGGAGTAGTGGGTCCAGGGAACCCCCTGAAACGGGCAATACCAGCTCCATGGCAACACTGGCCTCCATCACGCGCCAGAGCCGTGCCTGTGCACGTTTAGGAGAAAAGGAGTAACAGAGCAGAGGTTGTTAATTGATGTATTTTTCAAAATGTTTCATTTTGCACTGACATAACTCCTCTACGTCCTTCATCTTCAGCCGGTAACCAGTGCCACTCATACATTTAAGCTTTTTCTTCGGTCTCTGACTTTTTTTCTCTCGCTCTTTTCTCCTTGGGTATCTGGGTCTGAGGCTTTTGCCGACCGATGTAAAGAGAGGGCCGGAGGTTGAGAGAGTCAGCCAATTAGAGTGTAGGCTCAGCGGCGTGCCAGCAGTGCTTCCTCATCTGGCTCTCAGCGGCCAAGTCAGACCCTCGTAAGGGATTCAAATGCAATTAGACATTTTAAACATTGCTACCATACTCTACAGTCATCTCTTGACAGCAGCACGACTTCAGGCCCTTAAACGTCGGGAGGGGAAGACGCTGAAAGTGAGCTGTAAGTCCCCAACCTCTTCGTCTGTGTCCTCCATCTTCCTCCTCCTGCCTCCAGTTTCAGAATCCTAAAGCACTGCAAGTGTCTTCATTACATTTTATTTACTCTTCTTTTTTCTGTCTACTCTCCATGCTGCTAGAGCCGCACCTTCTTCTGCTTATCACACGTTTGCACTCTTAGACGGACGCTGAGACTCGCACACACACACACACACACACACACACACACACACACGCGTGCACACTCGCACACACAGGCACAGGGGGATTACATTAGAATTTCTCATTCATTTGAACTGCTTTAACACGCCTCCCTGTCTCTGCCTCCTTCCATCCCTGCCCAGTTACTGAGAAGTGATGTCGGTTTCCATAGCGATCGTCTGTGTCTGAATCAGAGGGGATTTTCCTTACACTGACTGGAAAGGATGCCGAGCAAGTCGAGTCACAAAAACACACATGAATGCGTTTGTGAAACCGTTGATTGGCAATCAGCTTATCCTTCACACAGACTCTTTATTTTTAATGGGTTAGAAGAAAGCTGTTGATTGGTTGTTTCCAACAGCAGTGAGCTGGGTGTTTTCCAAATTGGGCATCCAAGTTAATTTTGATGTTGAGGGTCATGATGCAATTGAAAACCCGAAGTATTTCCTTTTTCTTTTTCAATTCATACTACACTGAAGTGCCAACCAAAACCGCAGACCAATTGTTCTGGGCTTTGTGTGACGAGTCATTCAGGAGCCCTTTACTGTCTAACGTTTAAGTCTACAGGCCATCAAAGACATTTCGAATGATGTCCCTTATTTTCCCGGATTGGATACTTCACATGAGTCTAATGTAATGAATTTAATGTGGCTGCTGTTGTTTGTGTGTTCCCAGTCTTCCACAAAATGCATTATGGATCGATCCTGGCTTGCTGTGACCCGGAGTAAGAATGAATGATTACAGACAGTGAAAGAGTAGAATCAATGCAGGGATGGACAAATAGGACCTAGGTGGACCTTTTGTAACAGCTGTGTAAAACATAAGAAAATATAAGTAGTCTGATTTATTATTGTCATACTAGGTAAGTACAATGTCAATTAATTTTTGACCTAAAAACTACATTTGATGTAAACTATTGCTGGAAATATGTATAGCCATACACAGATTCACTGCATAGCTGTTCTGACGGGGGAAATGAAGACACACAGCTACAACTTGGCTAATCAAAACCACTGAGCAGCATCTGGCTGGTGCTCATGTGTTTGCAGTTTCCGAGTCTCCCTTGCAAACTATTGAGGACCGTCCTAACCCATTGTCGGTTCCATCCGTTATGAGTAGGCTGCGTTCAGCCAGCACAGAGAAGTGTTCTCAAACATTCTCGGTAGGTCGTAACAGCCTGTGTTGACATTTGCTGTCTGCCACTGACTGTTTTGCTCCCTCAAATTGTTTTGCCTCTTTCACGTTATTCACTGCTTTGCTGAAGGATCTGAACAAATATTTTTGGTACTCTTACCAAACGTAGCCTGCTCCTCTCTCATCTACTTAGTGTCGCGTGAAATGGATGTAGAGACATAGTTACTGCTCCTCAGATTCTTTTTCATCTCCCGAGTTGTTCGCACACACACACACACACACACACACAGCAAGCAGACTATTTAAGCTACATGGTCAGAATAATTAAAGCAGGAAATTATCACAGGCACAGGGATGATTAATTTCCAGCTATGACGAACTGACATGACTGATTGTTTTTTCCAGGTCTCCGGGCTTTTAATACTCGCGGCCATTCGGGGACAGCATCCATCACGGTGACCCTCACTCCTGCACTGCTGGTGTGTAACAGTGCACAGATGTCTGTGAGTGTATTTAAGCATTTCTTTACTAATTTATCAACTTTCTTGATGTAGAGCCCAAGGCCCAAAGATTCACAGCAAAGCAGACCCACCCTAAACCTTTGCTACCACCTTGAAGAGAGACATTACAGCCATTACCAACACAACAATCAATTCAGCTGCGATTGGCTGCAAGTGGTGTTTTACCTTTAGTTACTACCTACATTTCTGCCTTAATTGTGTTTTAAATCAATCATTTTAATCTTCAAATGGGATACCAATGGCTTCCATGTGTACGTGTGTCTGTGTGTATACGTGTATTTGTGAATGGCACATATGGGCAACAGATTAATAACACGAGGACTCTCTTTAGATCAGAAAAAAAAGGAAGAACAAAAGCGTTTTTCCTGAAAGATGTGAAAGATTCTTGCAACGAAAGATACGTTTTACCCGGTTTGAATAGCCGCTGTGTTGAGGCCATCTGCCCTAATCCTCGCACTCTGTCAGTGTGTGACAGGACTCGGCTCGCCTGTGTTGACCTCCTGCGGATTCAGACGAGTGGCCCATAAACTGGCTCTGCTCTGCCGGAGGTCGTTGCCATGGCGACGTGGGGTCAGTGAGACCCCGCTCATCAGTGTTCAGGTCAGTTAATTGTGCAAATAATGTGTAATGGCGCTGTCAAACCCAAACAAACAAATGGTGTATGCGCATGCTTGATGTAGATCTCCCATTTACGGAATCGTGGATTTTCATCCCCATGCAGCATTAGAAGGTAAAGTCGTCGGTCTTTCTCTCGGTGAAAGGGTTTGTTTCACCTACACATACAGCCTTGTGGTTATTTTTCTTTCTGTATTTCTCCTCAATCCTCTTTCATATCACCTTTTCTTCCTACAACATTGGCTCTGCCACAATGAAAGCTGGGATAAGAATGCAAACTGCTCAGATCAATGCAGTAAAAACTCATCTGGCCGCGTCTCAGACTGATTTTACAACCCGTGGCTATCGATCCTCCCACTCAGACACCACCTGCCGCGGACGACTTTACATGTTGACAGCCACCTCGAGAGTTAAACATTGCCAGTGTAGACCCTACTGACACCTCCCTCGGTGACCACACTCCCCTACCTGTCCTTCCTGCTGCATGCCTGTCGGAGGTCAGATAGGGAAATGCACCGTACTTCAGTCCCACACAAACAGGAGAGGATACAGCACACCAAATTGCTGGTCTGAGCAAAATAGTTTATAATCAGGTGTCTCAGGGCAGCCCTGAAGCATCTTGGGACAGATGCGACAGGGTTGATTGCGTTACATTCTTCAGACACCGAACCAGAGCGCGTAAGGTCCTGAATAAAGCAACATTAACCAGCAATCTCACCCATGTGCATTGTACGTCTTCCTAATGCTCTTAATGTGTTTATTGCCTTCTTGTACCTTATTAAAGAGGACGACTAATGAGTGAGGCACTTTGACATTGCACTGCAGCGCCCCCTACTGACGACTTACAAAACCAGTGCTAATAGCATCCCAACCATAACACACAGCCTTTTATAATCCATAGCTGTGTAAGATTTCATTGTAATGAAGTACTTACTTTACTTATTGGATTTCTCTTTTCCTGCAGGTGTGTACAGATGTTGAGTGCACTGTCAGGAGTCCTCTAAATTCTGCCTTAGCCACCTTGTTGCCACCTCTCCGTATCTCACCCCCCCCCCCGCAGGGTAGAGCTCCATGGCCTTGCTCTCAAGGTGTGTAAGACAAGCCGTGACAAAAAGACAGTTCGCCCTGTGAAACTCAATGGAACTTAGTGTTTAAAGTCTAAAGTACCTAACAATGGAATGACGTAAAATAGAACATTGATGTTAATTAATTCTGCCCAGTTTGGTGATCTACTTTAACTTTTGCATCCTTAACACTGTCTGAGCCCTCCTCACAAATTACAGATAAATGGATTAATTACCCATTTAAAGAGTAGTCTTAAAGGGACTGTATTTTACATGTACAAGTCACTCATTAACCAGGAGACAGGTGAAATAATATCCATATAATTTTATTTGTAAGCAGTGTACAATCAGGACGTAAGAAAAGTGTCCCCATTACCAAGTGATCGTTCACACCATCTGCTTTATTAATGTTCAATCTAGAATTATGATAAGGACCCAAAATGAACAATAATCATTCATAATTACTGTTATAGTTCAGAGTTTAACAACCATTAGAATCAGAACCAGCAATGACTTTCCCTGAATCAAAATCCCGAACTGGTGTGACAGCGGCCCCGGACCAGCGCCACATCGTGGTGTACCGTTTCAAATAAGGTACACAATGTGTACTAAGCCACAGCTCAGTGTACACCCAACTTTCTGTTACGATTCGGACGTTATCATGGTCATGTGAAGCAAATCGCTCAGTCCTGAACTACCTGGATCTGTATCAGCACATTTTGAGGGTACTGACGTATAAGGACTCCTTGGATGCACAAAGACATTTTACCACAAAACAACAAGGGGGGTTTAAGAGGGGTGCACAATTGTATATGAGGAGTCTCAAAAATGCTAAGCCTTTATCTGTGCATATTCAAAAGAGACTTCTAATATTACATGATTGGTATTTCCGCCCTCCTATCCTCGTAGAAGCATCGTCTCCCTGGCAGTGTTATTCTTCATGACCCCGAGCTCCGTCCAGCCACAACTGCGTCCAACCACGTGTGGTCAAACTAGTGCTGTTTCCTCCTGAACGAACATCCTGAGGAGAGACAACATTTTTAAAAGACTTGTCACATTAGTGATAACTCGAATAATCAGGATAGTAAATATCTTAACTTGGATATTACAGAGAACAGCACTAAACCCCTCGTGCTATTTGCCTTTTCAAAGACCTCCAAAAACATCACACCTTGTAAGACACAGAGTGCCCGGAGAAGGGTTTAGTTACCACGGCAACAGAGCTAGGAATTGAGCAGGTAAAGACAAACCTTGACTTTAAACGTTATCATATTTTCAGTGTACTCTGAATGGTGAAGGAATTCTGAACCATCTTTTATCAGAAAACGAGTATTTCTTGTTGCACTTGCTGAAAAGTTTTCATAAGTGCCTGATTGAAAAGGCCTTGTGCTTGCAGTTTACAAATTCATCAATACAGGTTGATGAATTTCTGTCACCACCACAAGAATCACTGTATGCCTTAGTCGACACCCTGTTCATGGAGAACGCAATGAAAGGGCAACACAAAGGCAAATAGAGTTGTCGGCCAGAGGTGCACTAAGTATACAACAGGAGTTTATTGTACATGTCTGTTGACTCGCAACCCACTTGTTCAATGAACCATCAGGAAATGCTTATTACACATTAACAAAAATAATTGATATCTACACAATGTATCTGTGCATTTCTGAATGCTTTTACGTGGATGTAGAGGTCTACGTGTAAAGTAGCACAAACAGGTGGACACGTTCTTCGCTGTGCACGTAGGTTACCTTCCGTGAGGCGAGCTTTCCCCCCCGTAGGCTGACAGAGGACGGTGGAGCAGCCGACACACAGCACGACCGTCTGAGCGTGACTGAACACTGTGGTGATCTTGTAGCAGCCTGAAACACAGACGGTACAAATCATTGGATGGGACGACACAAGCCCGACTGACTCAAATCAACTCTCGGGTTACTCAAATGTCCTTGCAGCTGTTAATGAAAAGAAGTCACGTGAAACCAATTTTACCAAACAGCCACAAGTGTCATTGTATGCCTTATTTGACACCCCGATCACTAAGGGAACAATGAAAGGGCAACACATAAAGGCAAATGTTTTAATAAAATTAATGTGGGAGATATAACTCAATCCATGCTGAATCATAACAAATAGGTTACAAATCCTAAATTGAGTCAGGTTCATTTGTATTGTTTAAATATGATTCACGTTTATAATGTGGGAAATGTAATAAAATTAATATTCTAGTCAATTTAAGGTATAGTTAGGTACAGTACTTGTGTACTTTCCACACACATTTCTGTCTTCGGTCTTATCCGTGAGGGTTTGGTCAGGTTGCCACGTAAATGAACTGACCTGGACATTTGACATCCATAAAATATGAATTTGGACTTTGAACGAGGCGTTTTTTCTTGTGTGTCCTCTTCTCGTCCTCCAGGCTCGGGTGTAACAGATCCTTTGCAAGCTGGAAAAAAAAATCACACCGCCGTTTAGCTGTATACTAACAAATACACACACTGAACATAAAGCATGGAGTGTAATTCAAGGAATAAGTAGACAATTGTACAGTTTATAAATTAAAGATTAAAAAGGGTAAATACTGGTTTAAACCATACAAAATAAACGACATGTGACCGGTGGCCATTGACGCGTGCCTCTGGCCTGCTTTGTCGCACACGTGTTTCTCGATACTTTGTTCGTTTCTTCCGTCTTCACGGTCACATTTCAGCGATAAAACGGTCGATTCCACCGGAAACAACTAGGACTTTAATGTCGCGTTAGATTTCCTCCGTCAAAACACTAAAACAACCGCTGATTACTAAAGAAATGTGTAGCAATACTTACAGGCATGTCTGCGTGTAGAGAGCTTCACCGGAAAGTCCAACTGATGACGAACCGGAAACCGAACTGATGACTCACCGGAAACGTTTAGGTGACGGACAGCGACCCGGAAGAAGTAAGAGGACTTTTACTTATAAACACATGGATACATGTATAATAACCGTTGATTGCATTGGTTTTTGCTCCTTGAAGTAAGTAAACATTAAAATTTGCTCTGCGTACGATGTTTGTGGTCATTTAATATTTACAAAAAACATAAATACAAATTGGACACAAATTAAATCATTTGCATAATATGCAGTAAATTCTTAGTTGACAAGTAGGCTTTCACAAAAACATTATTTGTTGTTGTTGTGATTCGAAGATATGCAGAGGAGGAGCATATACAATTATCACAAAAAGTTATCTAAAAGACATTTCTGAAATAATAATAAATAAAATGAAAAAACACGTGTGTTATGTCATTCCTTGTCTCCAGTTGTTGTCAGCAATTTACATTATTAACATTTGAAAATAACGTCATACACAATGTTATCACGTCTTCAACAAAACGCTCAAGAGGTGAAAACTTAATATTGTCACTTCCCGGCGATAATGCCACGTGAATAGTCCGCTTCATGCCACGGTTCGGTTCGCGTCCCTCTCAGGTGCGTGCGTGGCTCGCTTCCCGGTGACGCGGCGCCCTCTGGTGGTCGCGCCGAGCAGCTGCACGCACGAGCCGCTGCTCCCATAAAGCACTCCCACACTGCGTAGTCTGCGACCGGGTTTTTTTGGGGGGGGAATCTGGTTGGGTTCCGAAAAAAAGACAAACGCGTAGCGAGTGTATATGGAGTTAAATTTGGACGTTTGCGGGAAATCAAAGAGAATCTCGTGGCGGTTTTGTGTTGAAGACCGACCCGCAGCGGACAGTTAAACTTTGGATGGAGTGTTTTTCTTTATCCGGCGCGGTCTAAACTCAGCACGGAGCCTCAGAGGGGGATCGGAATTCACCGGTGACAAGAAGGGGGGAAAAAAAGGAAAAGAGGATCCACTCGTTACATGGAGTTTTAAAAAAAACAAGATTTCGAAGACGTCGATGAAAAGCGCCTCCAGGAAGCGACAATCCCAACTTTCCCCCAATTAGCTTTAACTTTGAAGAACTAAGCGACCATGGCGAAGAAGTATGATTTCCTTTACAAACTGCTCCTCATCGGGGACAGCGGAGTGGGCAAAACCTGTCTGATCATTCGTTTCGCTGAAGACAATTTCAACTCCACATACATTTCCACCATCGGTACGTGTTGCGTTTGATTCTGCTTCAGCTTAAGCTCGGCCTCTGACTTATAAATCAGACAATATAAATAACACAAAGGTTTGCTGAATGCTGGACTGTCACCTAATTAATGTTCAAACTGGTTTCTCAGACTGCTCTCAAGTCTGAACAAGTCTCTGTTCTCTCATGTCCTTTTCATTTTTCATTATGTCTCATCTCTTTACTTTCTCCTCTTTTTGCTTCTCTCTCCTGTTGAATGTGTATGCAGTCTTTTCCCCTGATCTCTCGCTCTGATCTCATTCCTTCCCTCAGAGGTTCCACCCACCCCTCATTCCTATCTCCTTCACCATCATGTTCCCAGAAGAATGGTTGGCCTTCTGGAAAGCACTTTTTATTTTTTCACAGGACAACCATGTCCTCTTCCCCTCACTGTCTGTCCGCCTGTCAGCTCGTCCGTCCTGCAGGGGAAACAAAGACATAGCACACATACTTCAGCGTGTCGTGCTGGCCTGTACGTCTTTCCAGAGGTCTGTTTGTGGACGGGAGGGCAGTGAGGGGTCAAAATCACCATAAATTAGTCTACGCTGCTGTGAGGCTGACCTATATATGCTGTCATATTTGTGTGTGTGTGTGTGTGCGCGTGCTTGGGGTATGCATGCAACTCTCTGTCCATTCATTCTCCTCTCTTCTCTTTTTAGGCATCGACTTTAAAGTAAAAACCATTGAAGTGGAGGGAAAGAAAGTGAAACTACAAGTCTGGTAAGAAATGACAGTTCGTCGCTTTTTCTCTGACTCATTTTCCTTGGAGGAAAGAGGAAGCTCCCTCCTATTCTGCAAATTGGGACATTGTGGCAGGTTTTAAGGTTCAACATCCATTACACATGAGTCGTGCCAGTGTGTCGCTACGGCAACATCAATTCAGCTCGCTATATTGCGGCACAAAATGCAGGTCGTCCTGCACCCTTCAACTATCTTCGACGGTTTTTATTTGAAATCTCTTGCACGATGTGCATGGATTAGTGCACATTTTTCTTACTTGCACTCTGTGCTTTGTGTGCAGGGACACAGCCGGACAAGAGAGGTTCAAGACCATCACGACAGCCTACTACAGAGGAGCCATGGTGAGCACGGGACGCCTGCGGAACCAGCAGACTGGATAATCACGGCTGACATCACCGTCCCTTTGTGCTGGCTCTGTACCTTTCTTTTTTCAGCGACTCATTCAATCCTCCCTCTGTATCTCTGTGTCAGGGCATTATCCTGGTGTACGACATCACAGACGAGAAGTCCTTCGAAAACATCCAGAACTGGATGAAGAGCATCACAGAAGTGAGAGTGTTTCCTGGCAAAGAAAAAACTGGTTATCAGAGGAAAATATTGTTTTTTAAATCACAACTCACTGCAACAACCAAGTAGGGTCTTAACTTTAGATTTTTCAATGGTCAGTTTGCCTTAATTACTTGAACTTCTTTCCAATGAAGAAATTGAGCCTGCAAACGAACATACTATTCATCTGATAATTTCTAGATCTACAAAATATATTATTTCTGATTGTGTGTGCGTGACGACCCACTCGGAGGCCTTTGGCTTCGTGACTGGCAGTTAGACAGCAGCTCTCTCTCTCTGCTTTGTTCATTTCCCTGATAGTTTTGCTTATTTTTATTACAACTCCTGAGTGGTCTCCCCTCCTTTGTCCATCCTCTACGAGTTACTAATTGGCCGCTTGACTGGGATCAGATTAAGTCCAGCCTTTGTCTTCTTTTTGCATGATTCGCTTTATGGTGTTGCGACCTCCTGTGATTTATTTTTTTATGTGACATTCCGGTGATTAGTAAACGCTGCTGACTCGTTTAGAGTCAAATTTCGCGAGTGGGTTCGGTGACATGTATTTGGTAACGATCTCTGAACGGTGACTTTGTTCTAGCTCCATCATAAAGGCGCAGACTGTACGCTTCATGGCTTTTAGGCTAAACTGCAAATCCGGTACGTTCTCGCCCCCCCTGCTTCCCAGAGAATAACTTATTTAATTAATCAGTTTCTCCAATGGTTTCCTTGAGGTTGTCCTTGTCAAGGTTAATCTTTAATTCTAGAGTTTTCCCTTCAGACCAGCTGCTGTACATGCGGCTCATTCTGGTTGCGGAGTTCAGACCTGATGTAAAAGATGTCTGTGATCCTGCTCTTTGACTTCTTCTTGAATGTGACCCTTTCATAAAGCAAACCGTCTTATACACACTCCCCCGACTAATCTAATAAGTGCATTCCCTTCTCCGCAGAATGCCTCTGCTGGGGTCAGTCGAATGTTACTCGGGAATAAGTGCGACATTGAAGCAAAGAGGAAAGTTTCTCGGGAGACGGGAGAGAAGGTGAGATGACTCCACCAGGAACACGACTGTTATTTTCATTGCTGTTTCTAGACAATAGGCAACAGAAATGAAGGCTTGTTTTTCCCCTTTTTCTGCCGGTTACAGGAAGTAATTATTGAGTAATCATCCTCACCTTCTCTAATCTGCTCTTTATCTGTTGTCGACAGTTGGCAAAAGATCACGGCATCAGATTCTTTGAGACCAGCGCAAAGTCCAGCATCAACGTGGAGGAGGTGAGCCGGAACACAACACCACCTTCACGACTAGCTTATGAGTAAGTTGTGTTATGGTGTTTTTAATGATGCAGATTTAACTTCTTTTTTTTTTTCTTAAGTCTTTTCTGTCTTTGGCAAGCGACATACTTCAGAAATCCAGCAAGAAACCAGTGAGTTATAAAGAATCCTATCAGATTGAATTATTTGTTCTTCCCCTGAATAAGTTAAGTATCAGTTTTAATGTTATATCAAGTGTCTTTCTAATTTACCGTCTTTGTCTGCTTTTCCGTACCTGACAGGGGCCCACAGGGCGAGAGGTGAAAATCACAAGCAGTACAGAGAAGAAATCCTCCAAATGCGTCCTTCTCTAGATGTTCACCGGCCAGCACACGTAACGGGGAACCCTGACGGTTCAAGAGCGAGTCACTATTCCAGCGGAGATCTTCAGTACAGCAGGTTTTCTGTCGCCATCTGGTGGGCATCATCCAGGTGTTACAACTATGTTTTTATACCAAAACTGGTTTTATTTCCCCTTAAGTGTACTTTGCACCCCCCCCCCCCCATCGCCTCCCCTCCCGTATTCCTACTTTGAGCCCCCTGCCTCTTCCACAGTGACAATGTTGTTATTGTGATCAAATAACTGAGACCGCATTCCTCTCACCGTGCTCTACATTATTATTTCCATTCTTTTATTTGATGGCTTAACACCACATTTGAATCCTTTCAACAGCACATCTTTGGTTAACCGTTCGCTTTTGCTTGCGTAAACAGACTGTTGGAAAGTCAACAATTTGTGTAACATTACATCAAAAGCTCAGACAAGTTGACATCCGGTTCTTGCAGAACAAAAGGGTTTAGTGAATCCTAGATATATTGCAGCAATTTCTTGTTTGTATTGTGCTCATCCTTTCAGGATTGCTGAAATACTTAAATTCTGCAAAAGTTAGTTAATTCACTCAACAGAATCTACGGCAACGGATGCCATTCATGAGTTTGTTCATTTTAGGGTTTACATGAGAAGTTAAAAAAGCTCATTGCAATAAAGAAGTTGAGGAGAGCACAAAGTTGAATCTGAAGCAAACACTGGTGGTAAACAAGCTTCGTTTTAACAGATGAATGGGTTGAGAATGTGAACAAGAGGAACAGAGATAAGTACAATATGAGAAGATGAGTGGAGAGATGAAAGAATGATGCATAAAAGTGACCGGAGGTGAGTGACGCAGCAGTGCTCGCTTTGAATGGATTTAGTGGGTCGTGCCTTTAATCTGACGTGCCTGGTTTGTCTCTTTCTTATCACGTTTTAGATCATTCAAACTTATTAGAGATTTTGCTCTGATCCGGACGGACTTTATTTTCTGCATCTGTTTTCTGTGCATTCCTTTCAAATTCTGTGTCTTTTCAGAAATTCCACAAGATTTTATATGTCGACCTGTTCATTTGCTAAATAAAAATGCCAAACAATTAGTTTGTGTGTGTGTGAAACAATTGTTGGCAATTACATTTTATTGATTCCAAATGTACAAAGCATCCCTTTTTACTTAAATAAGGAAAAACACCTCAGGAAGTGAAAAATTCAAGGAGACGATGAAGGTGCCTTTATGTCTCAAGGACACCAAAAGGAATATGTTGACAAACCGTGTTGGTTAATAGGCCCTAAATTAGACCAGGCACCTATATGCCCCACCCCTTCTCTCCGTAGGACCCCACTGCTGCTGGACAAGCTGGAGCCTGTTGCTATGCAACCGCCCCTCCTTCACAGCATCAGCACCACGGAGGTGTCACAGACGGTGTGCGCGCGCTCTGCCGCATCTCCGAGCTGCATGCACGTCGTGCGTGCTTTGTCATCACGCAAGGCACGGTTTGGGTTTGCAAACACGATATATAATTCTTCCTCGGTGCCGGAGCTGAAGCGACGAGCAGAGGAGGAGACGCGGGCCGCGGGGGGAGGGGCCATTTAAGAAGAAGAAGAAGAATCCCAATTCACCCCGGATGGATTTAAAGACGTTGTCGCGGACATTTCGAGGATGCGCGCTATGCTGTTGTGCTCGTGGGACGTACGGTGGGAGGCAGTGAGGGGAACGTCCGGGATACAAACACACGGGCTGAACGGGATGCCCGCGTGACTGCAGGGACGAAAGAGGTGGAGGAGGAGTGGGGAAGGGTGATCTAGGTGCGGGTGTAGACCACCGCAAGAAAAAAAGAAAAAATTTGGAGTTGTGGAAGATCGAAACCTGCGAGGAAATAATCGTTTTGCCCGGTTTCTGTTTTTGGTGCGATTTGAGGAAGCCGTTGAGTAGATGTATTTCCTGTTCACGTCGAGGTGACGAACCGGTGATCTCTGGGCTGCGATCTCCACGCCACCTTTTTTTTTCTTATCCTTTGTAGGACGAGGACCGCGACGTAAGGTCGCGGAAAGGTGGCGCGCACATGTTCGGACGCTGCTCTTCCTGATTGGACACACGGACCGACTCGTTAGCGTCGGATCTGCTGAAGGGAGGAGGGGGGTTAACGATCGGGAATCAGCTGCTTTTCTGTGTGGGATGCTTTCAATGTGAGGCCTGTTCCGGGTCTCCAGTTACTGCAATGCCACCGGCGGGAGGAGGGAGAGGTGGGATTTTAGGCCCCTGTGTCACTGGTAGTGGCCTGTGAACTGCAGGCTGTGAAGAGAGACACTATTATTGGCTGAAGCTAACCCTGTCATGGCTGCAACCTAAAATGAGGTGAGTACGGTGGCTGCGAGTGTGTAGCCGCTGCTCAATTTCTCAACTTTCTGCTGACAAGGTTCTTGGACCCACTCACTGGACCACAGTGCGCACCATGGGGCGTTGGACAGAACCTATGACACCTGCCAGTGGCGAGCTTGGTGCATAATTGGGAGTCAAGCTCTGGAAACCGGCATTTATGTCTCTCCCTCTTCTACTTGCTTGCACTTCGGCCCACACAAATTGAAACTTTGTTTTATGAACCCAGAATAAGCTTGAAACCTCGCCCGGTCACCTCCTCCACACACACACACACACACACACACACACACACACACACACACACACACACACACACACACGCATGCCAACGAGCCTGGCATGCCTTCGCCGTCAGACTCCAGCAGCGTGGCTTCGGCCTCGGGGTCTCGCGGCTGGTCGGACAGCCGCAGGGGCATGTCGGGCCGGGGGCCCGGCGGGGCACGCCTGCTACTGTACCTCGGCCTGTGCCACCTGGGCCTGGGGGCCATGGTCCTGGCCTTCTCTTTCACCAGCATGGCCTTCACCTCCTCTGCCCGCGTCAGGCAGTCCTGTCCATTCTGGGCCGGCTTCTTTGTAAGTGTAAATGTGACTGCAAAACCCCACCGTATTAAGAATATGACATCAGAGATCTTGGAGGGTGTGTTTTCTGATGTGTGTGCTGTCTGTCTGCAGGTGGTAGCATCAGGGATAGTTGGGATAATCTCATGGAGGAGACCTCTGACGCTGGTGGTATGAATATTTGAATCTGATAAAAATAGTATTTAAGTCTCTTCGCTAGGTGTCATGCAGCAATGCTTGATTACTAATGATGATTACAATGAATATGCACCACTAGTATAGTGTATAAAGAGTAAAAAGGTCACTTTAGAAGCCGTCCTGGTGTTCAAACATATCACATGATCCTCATCAGCAGAATGACATTGTTAAATTTGAAGTACTTTTCGTCCATTAAGACCCTTAAGGTAGCTCTTGCAGACTATTTTTTCCTCCAGTGCTTATATTTTGTGTATTCACGTATTGATACAGTAACAAACCAAGTAATCCTGAGCGAATCCGCCTATAAAACCAGTCCTGGTTTGTGCATCAGTGAGATCTCCTGGCGTTGTCTTTGGAGGGTAGAAGACGTTTTTGAGCTCCCTCCAAAGAGAAACTTGGCTCCGTGTTTCCCCGCAGGTGTCCCTGTTCATGCTGCTGTCCGCAGTGTGTGTGATCCTCAGCCTGGCCGGCTCAATGCTCTCCTGTCAGAATGCACAGATGGTCAAGTCTATGCTCACTTGCCAGGTAAGCTGCATTATGCGAGCGCCGTGTTCTGCAGTCTCACGCTGAGGCCGTGCTTCAGAGAATGTGTCAGGAATAGTTTTTGAAGATGTTTTTAGAGTTCTTGAAGCTTCATACCAATGCTCTGTGTGTAGGTGGAGAATGGTCTGTGTGTGTGTTGTGCGCCTCCTCACTCCTGCTCCATCACAGAGGAGGACACCCTGGTCCTCTACCTGAATGCTGACTGTCACTCAGTCAGACACCAGCTAAAGGTGGGTAGGATAACTCTCTCTATTGGAGATTTTAACGCCCACGTTAACCATTTAAGGCTAGGTTCAACATTTTTTAAGTCTGTCTTAAAATAGTGGCCATGGGCTCAAAGTAACATTGAAACCGTTTTTCCCTTGCTGTTAACATCCCCCATGTTCACTGGCCAATAATGTAAGATGTAACCAATGGAGGACAAAGTAAAACACTTTTTGTTTTGAACAAAAATGTATTCAAAAGACAGCAATGAGAGGATGCAGCATTCATCTGAGTCGGACAAATCGAGGGTTTGTCACAAATGTTTGTGTTTTTTAGTGCAAATTTCTATCCTTTCCCTACTATCCTTGACAGAGAGACACTGTCCAGGGAAAACTAAAGCTTAAAAAATGGTGAACCTATCACATACTGTAAATATGACATATTTCCACTGATAAAATGCCCTTGCGTTGGCAAGATATTGATATTGATTTTTTTATTTCTCCAAAGGACCTTCTGTTCAGTGCATGTGGTCTCAGCATTCTCTCCACCATCATCTGCACTCTGTCCACTGTGACCTGCAGTATCCACATCTTCTCTCTGGACCTTGTGCACCTGGTGAGTAAAGACACATTTTACATTTACCAAATTGTTTTACAGATTGAGATCTACAAATCTCAAGTACTCTGCAAGAAACTGTACTTGTGCATATTTGGGGACGTTGATACCTTTGTACCTCTTGCCTTTATCAGTTGTATGATATCCGTGTGTTTCCCATTTCCCGGCCTAGCTGGCTCCACATCGCTCTCGTTCAGTCAACCCAGAATGCACCACTCCTCAGGATGCCTTCCTGACCAACATCATGGACTTTGAGGAGTTTGTCCCACCTATCCCTCCGCCCCCCTACTACCCTCCTGAGTACACGTGCAGCTCTGAAACAGATGCTCAGAGGTACCACACATGAAAAGCATTATCAATATTCGTCACACGTGTGCCGTATGTCAGTACAGTTTCATGTTTTTTTTGTGTTAACGTCCAGCATCACCTATAATGGCTCCATGGAGAGCCCCGTTCCGCTCTACCCCACTGACTGCCCCCCTCCCTATGAAGCTGTGATGGGACAAAGAGCTGCAAGCCAGGTGGGTGTGTTTGTGAAGGTATCTGTGTATTGTGTGTGTACAATGCTAATCCTTCTCTGTTTTGGCTGTCAAGGCCACAGTGTTCGACCCCCTCGGCACAGAGGTGTCTTGTGAGAGAGGAACTTCTACTGCCTTCAGTGGAGAAGGTGAGCAGATGTTGAGCCTCACAATGTGCCGGAAGAAAATGTTGAAATATGTAGATTCATTTGGTTAGCTAAGAGCAAATTGTGTCCCTTCATAATAAATGATTACCTTTCTTCATTAGTGTCCATGGACAGTGGATCTCTGTTGATGTCAGAGATTGTGGACATCCCTGATGACTCCTCCCCCTCTGACGATTCCTGTCTGATGGAGGTTGGGCTGAGGACACAGGGGCAGAGGGGCCACAGGAACGTTGGTGAGATGGGAGACGACGGAGACGCGGGGGAGTACATCGGCTACCGTGGCCCCCTGTCTCAGACACCGGAGAGTCCCCTGGCAGGAGGGCCGAGAGCCAGGCGCTTCCTCAGGGGAGAGCGATCCAACTCCTGCTCTTCACCCAGCACGGCGACCATCACATACAGGTGAGGACATACACACGCATACGGACGCGGCTCATCGATGTGAGAGCTCCACGGTTGACCGTTTCGTTGTGTCCCGCAGGTCTCCAGTTTTGCATCGACAGGCCGTGCTGGCCAGCAGCTGTTCTCAGCTGGAAGCTATAGCGAAATCCACTTCTCCACAGCGATCCTCAATCCCTGAGTTTCGAGTTTTCCCCTCAACCTTTTTGCGCCATGGAGCTACCCCGACCCCTTCCGCTACGCCTATTTTATCCCCCTCACCCGCCAGCGAGCAGAGCGGCGGTCCGGGTAACGGGCCACCCCTCCCGGGCCAACCGTTGTACCTTCGACACAGTGCCGGAATGACTGAGAAGGACGGAGGGAGTGTGAGAATCCTGCGTCTTGTGAGGTCACACAGTGAGCCAGGAGGCCTCGGCGTCTCGGCGGACACAGGTAAGTCAGAGGCAGAACGGTGAACATCTCCAACGTTAGCGCTTCAATGTCCATGACTTCTTTCTGCTCCTCTCCAGTTGACTTTGGCTCTGGAGGCAGCAAAGTATCTATAGACACAGGTAACAACTTGCATCTACAGGCCTTTAAACTTAAGTAAATAGCTGCCTTCTAGCACAAACGTGCATGTAAACAGCAGTGGGTCTCACCATCTCATTCATTCACATCCCTCATGATGTCCACCTGAATTGCGTAAGCTCCCATTGCCCGAAACTGATACGGTCGCGCAAAATCGAGCCTGGTACTTTGAGTGCGCAGTGATATGGAACGCTCGGGTCAATGTGAACAGGTACTGTACATTATCGCTGAAAAATGCACACCCAGTGACTCAATCTCAACCAATCAGAACGCTGGATTTTATCTACCCCGTATTATAATTTGGCCTTTGGCTCTCCCAGATTTTAAATTTGATCTTCTGGATTGGGATAAGGATGAGTCAATGTGCAAAATGACTCCTGATAGTCTTCATCTGGTTTTATGTTACTCCTCTAACCCCAAAACCAATGTAATGTTGTTAGAGTTGAATGAGGAAGTGAAATCTGTCTCCTCTCTGACTCCGTCTCTCATAGGTCCTTCCTTTGATGGGTGTCTGTTGCCCCGCACCTCCTTGCCTCCCGCTGCTGCTCTGCCAAGGAAGGGCGGCGTGAAATCAGCAGCCACGGGGGGGCAGGTTCCCTCTAAAGCGCCCCCCACCTCACCACTGCGCTTACCTAAAGACTGCCACCGTTCCCTGGGGGACCTTAAAGTTAGTCATGAGCAAACCCCTTCTAGATTGTTTGGTTCCCTTATTTCCTCTTCCCTTTTATTCATCTTTTTACTTTAATTTCAGGTGACTCGCAGCCTGGTGGCTCGCTTCCTGCAGCGCTCCAAACGAAACCTGTCGCCCTCCTCGGAGCACGCTGGGAGCACTGGGCAGGGGCCTAAGAGGAGGAACGGAGTTGAGGACTCTGATCACAACCACCTGCCCCTGGATCAGGTATGTCACGAGTTTTATTTAAATATTTTACCTCTGCTTTCAGTTCACTACATCTGACTAATTAAGTGCTTCTGCAAATAAAGCAGATTTCACTGTCTTTGTGAAAAACTCCTCTCCAGGTGTTGCTGAACCCTTGGAGCGGCAGCCGAAGATACCCCAACCATCACACCCGTCACCCTCATTGGCGTGGACACCACCATTCCCACAGTGACAGTCGACACAACCGGCACCACAGCAGTCTGGCGCCGGAGGGGATCCACCTGCGCAGCTGTGGCGATTTAAGCTCCTCGTACTCGGCATCACTGCGACGTTTGGCGACACCTCGTCCACCGCATGGGTCATCCGGAGCTCTTTACTCAGAGTCTGCACTGTGAGGAGAGAAGGAGGCACGGGGGAGGGGCCGAGGACGCTTACGGGACGACAAGGTTGTAAGGATGATTGGATGAGGCAGGCCCGAGGAAAAGCAGAGTCTGTGTCGTGGAGATGGTTTGAAAGTCTTCCCTCCTTTTCCTCTTCGTCACCTCCGTTTCCCTGAAGCCGACCGTGCAAATGGCCTTAATCAGTGGTGCTCTTTATCACTCCGAACATCAGCCCAAAGCTCACACTATTATGTCGACATCAGTGAAACCATCACCGGATGCTAATTTCCTAGCAGTGTGTTTCAACTGAATAAATCCGCTACTGGCCGAAAGAACCAACCAGATACAACTTTCCGCTCTATTCTGCAATGGTAATCTGGAGACGTATTTCCCTCAAGACCTAAAGCAGAACTCAACCATCGTTCATGCTACAACAACCGATAACTCAGATGTAAATTCAGTCCATTGCATAGTTATGGGTTTCAATATGCTTCTGTCCCTTTTATACATTTCCATTCACCCAAAGGATCGCTCAGAGAAGTATTATAGAAACCCATAGTTTGTCTTCTATTGATCGAACACTCATTAGACAGAGTTGATGTAAGATAAACAGATTAGGTTACACCCGAGGACAAGTGGTCTCACGTGGAAAGCCCCTAACTGAGTTGTACATTTTTGTTGTTTTCTTCATGCAAATCAGATCCAACTTTCTCCACGTTTTTCCACCTCCACACTGGCCTTAGAAATAAGGCAGCCAGCATTTTTAACTTTGACATTGATGCATGCCACAGACACATGCTAAGCGTTTGAAATGTATATTCTGTGAGTGGCACCTGGACACAGTGGTTTGATTTGCATATGTGCATGTTTTGCTACAGCCTCCCGAATACAGCAGGAGCCTTGTGCATTGGACCTAACTACGTAACACGTCCTCAGAATGTCTTATCTGCATGTTTTGACAATGCTTCTTATCATTTCCCTCTTGCATTTGAAATGTGTTTGTGTCAATAGATAGCTGAAGAGGAAGGTCAGAGTCAAAGATGCGCAGTGCTTCCAAAAGTATTTTGCCAGATGGCTTCAAACACATCCTAGTTTGATTTTGGGTGGGTTCGAAAATGTTTCAAGTGCAAAGCATGTCTGTGACACTGGCTAACTCAGCCTGATCTTGTAAAATAAGTGGCGTGAATTTCACTGTGACCGAAGAGTCTCTTGCAGTTAATGCACGGATAAATTAGTTATGGGGTTGGGCTTCACACTATGCTTTGGCATGGTTCTCCTTGGACTTGAAGGGGTCGGGGGTTGGGTTATTCATGAGAACAAAGGCTGCTGATTGTGAACATGTGATGGTTCTGGCAGCTCTTGGTACTGGGTTTGGAGTATATCAACATTTAAAGTCGGATTGGAGTTTTTCTTCGTTGGAATTTTTAGTGATGATATTGACTCGATAAAGGCACATTTTAGATGTATTTATCAAATTTTAAAAATGCACATGGACACATATTTGCAGGCACACCCATACAATCCCTTATTAAGGCATTGAGCTGTATCTCTACCTCCTGTCTTGCATTAAACATTATTTATTAGAATAAATGTATATCTGTATGTCAGGCCAGGCTAGAGCCTTGAAACCTGAATAATAAATGTATAAATATGACACGTATTTCAGATTTTAAAATGCAGTATCAATGGCAAAACTTTTAATGCAAGTAATGTATTTAAAAATATGAAATAAATGATAGACAAATAAAAGACCTTTGTTGATTTTTGTACTGATTATGAAGGTCATAGTCCCGGGGTCTCTGTTTAATATTTCTCCCTTCTACTCTTGAAGTTTAGCTATTACTGTAAATATAATAGCTGAGGCTGACACTTTCCCCATCAATTCTCCTCACTCCACCTTAACCCCACCTCTTCTTCAACGCTATTGGTCAGACCGTGGAAAAGCCCATCCTGGTTCGATGCTCCCGGCCAATGAAAGGCTCAACGTCAGATGGAGCCTTCCACAATCCACGCCCATATGCACCACTCACCGTGCATGTTGGGTAATGTAGTTCCGTTGCCATGTATTTAATCAGACAGAAGCACGGCAGCAAACTACAAACTGCACATCCTGGTCGAAGGAGACGTTCACAGACTTCGGTTTGACCCAAGACGAAAATACAGAAGAGAAACTTCTTTTCTATTGTAGATCAAACCGTTTGAGTTACGAGGGCAGTATAATCATGGTATGTAAAAATATATGTATAAATTAATTGTATCCGGTATGATATTGCTAGCTTGAAGTAAACGTCATCCACTGTCACCTACACAGTGATTCATTGATCTAACGTTAATCCTTAAGCTCTTGTTCCCTCGGTTCAGTGGGCCAAGAGGCTGTGATGCTGTTAAGTTTGTCAGTCTTCCCCAACCGGTACATGTTTTTAACGTTATGCGGTTTAAGCCATTTAACTACTCTCACGTTAGCTTGGTAACGCGGCAGTCCGACGGGCGTTAGCCGAGCTAGTTCCCGGGGTTAGTCAACGCGAGTTGACGTCCACGTCGGGAGGTCTGGACGGTTGAGAATGAGACTCCCGCTGAGCTCGCTCATCAATGCCCCCAAAACCCTCCGGGCCGCGTGGCGCGGCGCGTCCCGGTTTCGGCTCAACACGACGCCGGTTCTGATGTGCACCTCGTCCCTCCAGGGAGACGGCGTTTGCAACGGGAAGCCGCGGCGGTCCGACCCTCAGCTGTTCGAAGCCCAGTTCGACGAGCTGGTGACGGAGCTCGCGGAGAAGGACCTCGCTGACCCCGCGCTCGCGGACGCACTGAGCAGGTTCAGAGAGGCACGTGAGCCGCGTGTTTTTGACAGAGCTAACTTCTGGCAACGTTTAGACCATCTTTTTCTTGCTGTGACGACGTGCCGCCTCCCCCCCTCAGGTGTTGGTGTACAACTCCCCCGGAGGCAAGAGGAACCGAGGACTGTCCGTGATCGCTTCGCTGAGGGACCTCGTGACCCCCGGTGAGCTCACCCAGGACACCGTGCGGCGGGCTCTGCTGGTTGGCTGGTGCGTTGAGTTGGTAAGGACACGTTACACGTGCACGTTAAAGTCTGGCAGCTGGTATTCAACATTTTTCTTATTGCAAATGAATGCCGAAAAAATGCTAAAGGCATTGCCTATTCCTGCATTTTTTGATCAACTGTACGTATGAATTAACCAGATCTCTCCACTTGGTGACAAGGTCCTTAATCATGGCCGACACTGTAGTTTGTTTTGAGTCAGTCCCAACACTCAATTTCCAACAGTGCTCCAACTCCATTAATAGTCTTCATTAAATCATTTTAGATGGTGGTCATTTATAAAGGAACCAATCAATATACACCATCCAACAATACTACTTATGTAAGATTTTCCACAATAACTACATTGGGCCTTACAAATAACTTCGTACTTACTATATCATTCTTTTTATTGATTTGGCATCAAGTATAACAACTACCTCTGTGGCTTGCAGCTGCAGGCATTTTTCCTGGTGGCAGATGATATCATGGATGGATCAGTCACTCGGAGAGGACAGCCCTGCTGGTACAAGAAGGTGAGATCCGAAAAAGAGAGACCGTAATGTTGTTGTGTGATATTTCTTTCTGTTACAAATGATGTGGTGAGTTTTTCAGGTGAATCCTGTCTGTTTGTCTTTTAAGGATGGAATCGGTCTGGATGCCATCAATGATTCGTTTCTCTTGGAGGCGGCGATCTACAGACTGCTTCGCAGACATTGCAGGGATCAGCCGTACTATGTCCACCTACTGGAGCTATTCACTGAGGTACTGCACGCTCCGACGCAGTACACGGGCACACAGATTAATACAGGATTCTTACTGGACCTCTTTTTGTTTCAGACATCTTTCCAGACCGAGCTCGGACAAGCTCTGGACCTCATGACGTCTACCTCTGGTCAGATTGACCTAAACAGATTCACCTTGGAGAGGTAGTGAAGATCCATTTGCAGAGAGGAATTTTGTTTACAAGAGAAAATAGGTGTCATTTTGTTCTCTCTCTTGACTTTCAGGTATAAAGCTATTGTAAAATACAAGACTGCATTCTACTCGTTTTACCTCCCAGTGGCAGCTGCAATGTATATTGTGAGTTTGTTTGTATTCTGCACACATGACAAATAGAAAATAAGAAATGAATGCGGTAGTCCTTCTCGTTACTACCGTGCCTTTGTTCTACAGGCAGGCATACAGAGTGAAGAGGAACACAAAAATGCCAAACACATCTTACTTGAGATGGGAGAGTTCTTTCAAATACAGGTACTTTTTCAGATGCGTTACTTTTACACGTCCGCCAGCTTTCACGCAACGCATTGAACAACATGCCGCAGAGTTCAATAACCGAGAAATGTGGATCATTCGCAGGACGATTACTTGGACTGTTACGGAGATCCTGCTGTGACGGGAAAGATCGGCACAGACATCCAGGACAACAAATGTAGTTGGCTGGTGGTGACAGCGCTGGAAAACATAACTCCTGAGCAAAGAGCAGAGCTCGAGGTGAGACTTCATGAAAATAAAAAATCTTTTATGTTTAAATATGCAGTTGTCTGCAGGGATTTTCTCGCAGACAGTAAGATGACAGTATAATGTACTTTAAATTTACTAAATTTCATCCACATTTACCATTTCAAAGACCTCAGACCTCATGCACTATGATTTGAACATTAAAGATGTGTTGGGGGATCTATTGGCAGCAATGGCATGTAATATAAAAGATCATATTCAGAATTTTTGTATGTAGACAAATAATACAATAACAACCTTTTGAGAGTGGGCCATTTTTTCAAAAAAATGTATTATGTAAAAGATTTTTCCAGGTTTGACCTCCTGTGTACTTCCTGAATCTCTCCAAATCACATCGCTGTACTATAAGTAGAGATGGTCACTAATACCCTAACGAGAACTGGCAACCAGTGAAGTGAATGCAAGAGATCGGTGGACGGAGGGTGCGACACCTAGTGGCTGAATGTTATCATTGTTGGTATAACTTTTGTTTCCCCTCGTATTTATTCACCTCTGCTATGCGGTGCCGCCATGTTTCTACAGTAGCCCAGAACAGACAAACTGAACGTTGGCCCGAAAGGTCCATTCACCTCCTAGATTTCCTACACACTGGCCTTCAAATACAAGCAATACTTTAGTAATATGTCTTTGCCGTACATTTGGAATCTGATCATTTTTTTTATTTTACATACCACCGTATAAGTGTGGTTATTTACAAGGTAGTAGCAGAAGTATATGACGTCCCGTTTGAAAGATATTTTTGGGACCTTCCCCCAAACTCTATACTTGGCAAAATCCTCATTCTACATACAAACAAGTATGAATTGCCGCAATGAAGATATTTATTATAAAATAACAGTGAAACTTAATTTAACCTTCACCTCTTCCTCAGGAATGTTATGGCCGCCATGATGATGCCTGTGTAGAAAAGGTCAAAAAACTGTACAACAACCTGCAAATGCCAACATTGTACCACAAATATGAGGAAGACAGCTACCAGCGGTTACAGAAGCTCATTGCTTGTCACGCTAAGAACCTTCCTCACTCCATCTTCCTCAACTTTGCCGAGAAAATCTACAAGAGGAACAAGTAAGAGTAAGAGCGGGAATGGTGGTCGCCTACAGTGTCCGGTGCATCAGGACCCTTTTGACTTTTAACATGATGCAGGGAATAACTTTTCAGTGGTCTTGGTATTTGGGTGCAAATGTCCTCAAACTGCTTTTACCCCATTCCACATTATTGAACCCAGTTCTCTTATGTGCAGTGTTTCCAGTTGTTTTGCAACTGGAAAACACAATGGATGAAAGTATGACACTGAAATGATAGAAAACGCATAGAAAATCCAATTTTTGGAACTGTTTTAATTTTATGAGAATGTCATCAATCAATAGATATAATCTAAAAGGAACATCCGTGACGGTAGATGTATCCTGATAGAGGACAGAGGGCCAAACCTCATCAGCTTTCTAATTTCATGTATTTTTATATAGCCGCTGTAAAGTCTGTACTGCGGTGAATGTTATTGCTTCAATAAATAATGTATGAACAGTATTTTTCTCTTTCCTCTTCATGTTTTAGATGTGTGTTTGTTTGTGTGTTGGTTATAAAAAAAAAAAAGGTGACAAATGTAACACCACTCGTGATGTTAAATATAACCCGGTACGGGAAGATTGGAGAGGGCGAGGCGTTTCCTTCTCACCTATACTTCAGCGCCCTCGCTTCCACCTTCTTTCTCTCATTTTAATCCATCTACATTTACTTTTGTGACGATACATTTTGTGGGGCTGCCACACCATCGCTGTGAAAAATGATCACCACAGACCCGACAAAAATACCTCCAACCTTTGAGCCGAGTCCCGCTGCTGCAGGTGCCTCCAGCAACACATTTCCCCTGATGACTCACACACAGTGTAGCTGTTGCAGCTTCGCTAAATATACTCTTAAGAAGTCCATTCAAAAGCAAAATATGACAGTTTACAGCTTTTCAAATGTTAGAATTTGGTGCTTTCCTTTTATATACTATAGTAAACTGACTAATCAGTCTTCGGGCCAAGATAATGGTCATTCTAACTTTCAAGAAGGTAGATGAATCGATGATCATATCGATAAGATTGGGTTAGTTATCTCTGTAAAATATCAATTCAAGGAATTCCTCACGTGGATTTCTGAGGATTCCAGGGAGCGTCTTCTTTCCAAAACCAACATTTCTGAAGGAGAAAGATTGGATGTGATGATAAAGCAAGTACGGGGTGTGGCTTGGTCTGCGTGTGTGTGTGTGTGTGTGTGTGTGTGGGCGGGGGGTGGGGGGGTCCTGGATGCTCGCGAGAAGACAGATGCTGAGGCCGTCACCGTGCGGAGATTCACATTCACACGGTGATGCGAGCGAGCCCGACGCGATGGAGACCTTCGTCCATCTTCACCTCAATCTGATCGTGAGTCAAGTCCTCATTTCTTCTCTTTTAAAAAAAAATCGTACCCGCAGCGGCGGCTCGTCGTTTTGAGCGAAACGTTACGCGCTGCGGCGCGCATCCTTCCTAGAAACCCGCAACGCCGCTGTTAACGGTCATATCTCTGACGTCATTTTTCCGCTAAAACGTATTGTGACTATCGGTGTTGACCGGAATCAACATCTTATTCGTAACATTCACTAGGGGCGGATGGGCCTGTGTATCAGGGCGATGCGGTTGGAGCTTCCCCCTCCTCTCCCCCCCTCCCCTCCTCCTCCCATCCTCCCAGTCTCCATCAGCTCCGTGGGATCGATGCACGCAGGGGTTAATGCTGCACACGGGACGGGCCGGGATTACATGTGAAGATATGCCCTTTCTTTTGTGTTATTTCGAGGCTTTGTCGGTTTTGGTGGCATTCCGACACAAAAAAAAGGCCCACAGGCGAGCAGTGGAGTGCTTTATATTGCTCAGTGGAGTGAAGGGCACTGTGCAGGAATGAATGAGCAATAGCCCTCGGTAGATGGGCTGTAGATGGGCTCACTCGGTGCTGTTCACTGCGGGATTATTTCATGCTCCAGTTAAACGTTCAGTCGTCACTCGAGGTACAGTGTTGGTTTATTTTCACATTATTTATTTTGATCTAGATTCAGACAGTCTGACTATTGTAAACTCTTGAATATCAGTGAAGATGGACACGACTGATAAGGGTGTTATCAGGCTATGAATTAGCTCATATTTATTCATGTGGGGATTATTCCATGTTGTGTGTGTGTTTGTTTGAATTTTAATATACTGCATCTGAAAACAAAGAAAATATTGGGACAGATGCAGAAAACCTTCTCTTACATATATTTTAAATTCTTAGTTTAACTGTGTGTTTAAGTGTTTTATGAAAGCTGCACAGCATTGCTCAGCACAATATGAAATATGGCAAGCAACTAGCAATTGGTTCATAATCATATACTGTTCTTGCTGTAATTTCCTTGATGATCATTAAGCAGTTTATTTAATAAAGTCAGATTTAAAAAAATGACCATAACAGTTACTCAAGGTGGCGAGTCCAAATGTCTGGTTTTGTTCAAACACCAGTTCAAAACGTGAACTATCATGAAAACCTATGAAAAAACAGCACATCGTCACATTTGAGAAATCAGAATCTCAGAAATTTTGCAATTATAAACATAGAATATTATTTCAATGTCAATTTTAGTTGACAATGTCAATTGTTTTCAGCTTGAATTATTTTGCTTAATTGGTGACGCTTGATAATGTGCCTTTTTTTTTACAGTGCTGTGTGAGACTGTTTGTGTGTTTGTATCACTGCTGTTGGGCTGCGATGAATGAAACACAAAGCCCAAAAGAAATTGCATTTTAATAGAAAGTACATACGATGAGTTTAACTCCCAAGACGTAGTCTAATGTGAAAACATTTCAAGCGCAAGAAAAGGGTTTTTGAAAAGCCGAATTATGCTGGTAGTCGTTATTCACTTTGTCTTCTTTGGTGTTACAGGATCTAGGGACTCACGCCAAGATGTGACAGTCACGACGCATCACAGTTTGGATCTGTCCTGTACAACACTTGTTTCTATAGCAACAGAAATATCAGAGAATCCTAAAAAAAAGTCACATTCCCACAATGCAGTCCTCTAGCTGCTCCTCTCAGCCTCCAAAGCCGCGGCGCTTCGACGTCAGCCGGCGGACCAATTCCATAGCTGCAACAAAGTCTCAAGGTCCTGGTTTCCAGAGGGAGGATAAAAACATGAACACAATCGCCACGTCCTCCCCACGCAGGCCTACTAAAGTCACCCCTGCACCCAATAGGACCAGGGTCGGAGTGCCGCCTCGAGCGCCAGTAACCCAGTCCAGGTTTGGCCCAAAGAAGCAGGGCTCCACATTCTCCAAACCCGCAAAGCCCAAACCCAAGATTGCTCGTGCGTCCGTGGCGACCAAGATTGCGGCAGCAGTCGCTCCGCCTGCGCTCCCCTCGGTTCTCCCTCTCGACCCGAACTGCAACGAGCCGAGCCTCCCGTGTCTGTGCTGCGATGGCCGCTCCCCGCAGGACAACAACAGCATGTTCAACCACAACCACAACAACAACAACACCATCTCTATCAGACAGCAACTGCAGCTACCCCCTCCTCCTGCCCCGCTGCCCCTGAAGCAGGATGGGAAACGGGGCAATGAGCAGCCTCGACCTCCCTCCCAAGGAAAGGCTCAACCGGTGGCCTCTGCCCGCCCTGTGGCCAGTCTGAAAAAAGGAGGCCAGAATGCAAGTGCAAGCGCTGATCTGGACAACAAGAAAAATGTAAAAGTAGAAGAAGACGATGAGGAAGAGAGCAGTGGGGATTTTGATATTGATGATGATGTTGAGGAGGCAGACAACGACGACGATGACGATGATGACACCCTGGTCCCCTCATGCTGTGACTGCCCCCCCTCCCTCCTGGAGTTTTCGCTCTCCTGCTCCACCTCGTCGTCCTCCACTTCCATCAGCTCCTGCTCTGATCTGGAGTCTGACTGTGCGGATCAATCCGCCTCCATCTGCTCTTCTCTCGACCAAGTCGCTCTGTCCCCCAAAGAGCGCTCTCTCCCACAAGCCCCTGAATGCGAGGCTCCTGCGCGTTCACCCCCGTCCCTTCCTCTTAGCCGCAATCCCTTCCTCTTGACATCCCATTCCTCAATCCCCCCTTGCTCCCCAGATGAAGGTTACCCCTCTGCCCTAGACTCGCCTTCTCCTGACTACCTAGGGGCCAAAGGGGATTCTGAGGTCACCAAACAAGGTCTGCTGGACTTTCTAGAATCTGTCGGGGAGTTTGGGAAAATGGAGCGCTTCAGCCAGGTGATCCAAGTGGCTCGTTGGGATCTGGAGGGGGAACAACAATGGGATGTTCTGAGGGATCGGCTCGATCACCTTGATCGCCTGGAGAAGGTTAACCGGGAAGTCAAGTTGGCCTACATCGCCAGACTCCACGAGGAAGGATTTGATCTGGGAGACCTGGAGGAGCAGGATCTCTCAGATGTCATGGATGAAATGGGCAACATCGACATTCCCTGGAAGTTGTATAAAAGTGTCCGAGGAACAATGGGAGACTCTCAGGAGTTTTCAGATGCAGGGGTTGACCTCACTGCTCCGTCAGACTGTGAGGATCCCCTCGTTCTTGATTCCCTCACCCCATCTCCCGTCGAGCCGCCACCCAGGCCCCCCAAACCTCCAGCGCGTCACGCCAGTGTGAGCTCCGATCTCCACACCTACATCAACATCAGTAGAGAGACCACCTCCATGGCTGTGTCTACCTCTCCTACACTGTCTACTTTCTCCCCCAACTCCTCATCCCCCACTTTCACCACTTTTAGGTGTGAGAACCCCTCCTTCATCTCTCCTTCCATCCCTCCTCTTCCCACCTCTAAACCAGCCCTTACATCACCCTTTATACGACTCCTTCTCCACCCCCATCTATCCCCACCCCGACTCCTCCCATCCCTCCCCCTCGGAAGCGCCATCTTGCCAGAAAGGAGGCGCAGCGGCTCGCTGCTCTCCAAACCGAACAGGAAAAGACCCCCTTTTCCCTTCCTCCTCCTACCACACGTCCCCCACCTCTACCTCCTCCACCAGTTATCTCTATCTCTTCCTCTTCCCCCTCTGCCATACCCACTCCTCCTGCGCTGCCTCCTCCGCCCTCCTTCCATGCACTGGATGTAGAGATTCGGAAGCTATTGATGCTTGCCGGAGTGACCCAAGCTGAGCTCCTCAAACTCAGCCCAGAACTTGGTGTTTGTGTTGGAGGATTAGAGGATGAAGTCGATGGAGATGACGTTACCTCGTCCAGGTCCGGGAACCTACATGAATTCAGACTAAAAGATCAGAATGAGATGAAGGAATGTGGCCCAGAGTTTATGGCCAGAGACCGATGGAGAAGCAGAAACAAGACGGATTCAGATCGAATAGCAGAAAAAGAATGCCAAATGAACGAGGAGAGCTCACCAAGAACAACTTTGTTCACAGAGATGGCAAGGAGAAGGAAGAGGACCTCCGACCCTTACTACAGCAGTGATTTGTGCAATACACAGGAAACTAAGAATATGAGCTTTGATTCTTTCAGGTATCCTGCAGAATTACTAGATTCTCCTCCCCCTCCTCCTCCTCGCCCCTTACCCCCAATCCCCCCATCGGTGCCGCACCACAAAGTCAGCACTCTCCAGGCCAACTCTGCACAGCCTGAGCGATTTGATTGGCTCATAGCATTCACACCTGACACTGAAGCCCACCCAAAACATCCACCGCTGTCAGTGAGAAAATCTCACGTTGAAAATCAAAAGAAGCTCAGTTCCACAGGGTCATCTCCGGGATTAGCGCCAAAAGTCACAACTTTTAAAGAGCTGCGATACCGCAATAAGAGCACCTTCCTCCAAACAAAGGTGATTACAGATCCAGACCCGGACCCCACAGTCATTACTCCTGATGCAGATATATTGTACAACCTGAGGTGGAGACGAGAGATGGCAGGCGGCGACGGCAACCAATGGGAGTACACCTCTCAGGCTCAGGCCTTCTTTATGCAGCCGCCACCGGCCCTCACCTCAATGGCCGCTTTGAAAGAAATGCTCCAGAGAGCCGATGAGGAGGGGAGACAACCAGAGCTGTGCCCATCACAGAAGATTGGCTGCTCGGCCAGTGACAACAGCCTGTGGACCATCGGCAGAGAGTGGAAGGGTGAAGAAATTAAGCGGGAAGAAAAGCAGGAGAAAGAAGAAAAAGATGAGGAGGAAAAGGTGGCGGTGGAGGTGAGAGGACGAGCTGATGGAGGAGGGACTTTTGAATCAAGAACTACAGGTGAGTGGGAATTGGATGATAATGCAAAGGACAATATATATATATATATATATATATATATATATATATATATATATATGCTTGCAGCTTTGTGCGTGCATGGGTGGAAATAAACAAATCTAAGCAACCCAGTGTAATTAGAATGACAGAATAGATCTGGAACGGGCCTAGATTGAAGTACAAAAAGAGATGCACAAATAACATCCTTAAATAGACTATAGAATAGAAAACCAACAGTTGACTCATTTATGGAAATGATAAATGAGTCACAGGCATGATACATGATATGATGGATGAATCTACAACGGATGAACATCAGCTAACAAGACAGTGGAAGCTGCAGAGGGAATATGAGCAATAGAAAGATGGAGGGATGAAGAAGGCTAGGAGAGGAAAAGTAATTATGTGAGGAGAAAGAGGAGGTTGGAAACTTTCCAGACATTTTTTTCTGCATTGGTTATTGTAGCGTGATGTCATCACTGCCTTATTCAATTATTTATCCACCCTAGACCAACGGGGAGAGAGATAACGAAGTGCCCACCCCTCCTCTCCTCCGTCTTTCTACCGTCAACGTCTCTTTTCTTTCTAACCATGTGTTTCTACCTAGTTTCTCTGCGTCCTTAGTGGTTTTGAATCACATTTACTTGAATGCGTATATGCTTTTCTCTTTCTGCCCATCCTGTCTCTCTGCTTCCCCCTCCTTTGCTCCCTGGAGTAACAAAAGATCAAGTTACTTATCTCTTTCAGGGCTGCAGTGTTCTACATTAACATTAAGGCATAGATTGTCAGTGGGTGCATGTTAGATTTGAATTGCTCATAGTCCCCAATAACACTCTGATAAAATTACTTCTCATATTGTAGAAATACCTGTAAATGATTTAACCTATTTCTATGCAACAAAGCCAGAAATAGGTGTGTACACCTTTAAGAGACTGGGGGGAGGGCGTGTCTAAGGACATGGGCCTATTGCTGTTAGCCAGTGTCAGAAAAATAGGAAGTATCATGAGTTTCAGTTCAGAGACAGCTGAAGCCTAAACAAGGTACGGTTTCTTTCTAGCTCGTTTTGTAGCCAACACACTGTCACAGGTAATTGAATCCTGAAAATTTTAGCCACAATCTGTGAATCTCCACAGAGACCGACAATGATTGAGCAGAAACGGACAGAGAAGTCTGATGTCTGTTGACTGACTCAGCATTGAACTGCTGCTGGACAGGGGTGGTGGTGTTGGTGGTGTGAAAGGAGCTACCAGGGTGGAAAACAAAAGAAGGTGATCCAGAAGGGGTGATGTCACTGCAGTAAATTACACAGCACGGTGCGACACTGTTGCTCGATTTCCATAGCTCGAAATATAAGTATCAGATGGGAGTGAAATTAGATGGTGTGAAGAAAGCCCACACTGAAATATGAATAATGTCTGCTATTTAATTTTGGTGACAATATTTCTACTGTTTAGCTACGAGTCAAACCCCCTCAAACGAAAGACTTTGGTTATCGCCCGTCATAACTCCATTGACTCTCATGCACTGTCAATGTGTGACTGTCAATCAACCTGTTGAAATACTACATTACTGCATGATGTTACATGATGATGTTTTCTGCTCATGAATGTGCATTTTTCTCTCGACAGACACTAACATTTTCTGCATCTCTCTCTCTCCTTCCCATTTCTCTGCCACACATGTTTTGGTTGCCTTTGAACTTTGTTTTCCTGGCCTGTCCGTCCCACTCTTTTGTCTCCATCGTCTGCCCTTCGCTCCACTTCGCTCCCTCATGACGCTTTGCTTGTGCGCCCGGCCTCTCCATTGTGACTCCTGCACCTTTTACATTTTTTGGCCTTTTTTTTTTTTTTTTACCCTCTCCAATAAGCAGTTTCCTCCCCGCCCCTGTCCCTCGCCCAGTCCTCCCGACCCTATTTCCTGCACCCTGCCCTCCCTCCCTTTCGTCCTGGCTACTGTAACTCCAAGCCCTTTGCCGATCCCAGACCCCACAGCCACGCAGGCAGGGAGTCCTCCGACAAACACTGCAACACACAGTGGGCCCCCGTTGCTGGCTCAGCCTGCACCCGCACAGATGATTCCAGCACTGATATAAACTCTGCCATCAACTATGAATCTCTGGATCATTTGAGTGCGGACTCCCCTTGGGATTATGGCAAGACACGCGGGGACCTTGGATCGGCCTCCGTCTGTCCCTTTGACTCTCTATACTGCAGTGACTCGGCGACCAAGTCCGACACGCCCGTTAGTGGGGCCGTGCCGGCTCCGCTTTGCACGACCCCTTATAAGAACGTAGATGTCATGATGACATGTTCAAACTCTGTCAGCGCTTTAGGCTCGCTTTGTTCAGAAAAGCCCAGCAGCAAGGCCAGGACATCTAAGGAGCTTCCCCCTCTTCCTGCATATTACTTGTACCACCCGAAAAACTGCCCTCTGCACAGGGGCGCCCCTCCTCGCCTCTCCCCTATTGGCGCCCTCTCTCCTCCCCTGCGCTCCGGTGCGCTCCCCCCCGGCGTATCAGGCTCCGGCCTCAGCTCCCCGCTTTTCCCCCGCTCGCACACCTTGCCTGCCCTCGCTGCTCCCCTTTACTACCCAAACCTCTACCCTCCCATACCGCCAAGAGCACCCGCCCTGCCCCCAAAACTCCACCAGGCTCCTCCGCAGTCACGTGTGGCGAGTAAGATCTCTCTCTCTCTCTATTCTCTTCTCTCTCTCTTCATTTATACGCTGTCATCTTGCTTGCATGCATGTCTGTCTGAGTCCTTTTTACTGTCTTTGTTCTCGGTTCTGGATAAAATGTCTCCAAGACTGTTGTTACTTTCTCAACCCCCCCCCCCACCCTCCCCGGGGGATTTGCAGATTTGAAAGAACTAGGTAACTGTAGTGGTTGTATCAGAAGGAAGCTCCCTGCAGGTCATCCTTTCAAATCTACAAAAGGCCTTCAGAGGGGTGACAGCTGTTCCTGTCACAGGGCGCCTCGAGTTGCTCTCATCAGTCTCTCTTTCCTTGTCTCCCTCTGTCCGTCTTTGTGTTTGTCTCGTCTGGTCTGCTTTCGTTTTTTGCATGCTATGTTGAAAATGGGCAGAAGCATTTCATGCCAGGCGCCACCCGAGGGCAATTTCAAAGTACTTCTGGTCCACTGCATCCTGTTCATTATATGAATGAATTTATATAACTAGTTTATATGAATCCTTTTATATGAATTGTACACCACACCTGCTCTTTGAACGTGTGTCTAAATGGATCTGACCTGTGGCAGCTTACACAATTGTGTCGCCCCCTAGTTCCGTAGTCTTTCCCTTTTGTATGCTTGTATTAAGTATCTTCGAATGTGAGTCACGACTAATGCATGGGATCCTGTTTATCCCTGATGGATGCAGAAAGTTGTCTTCACAAATCCAAATGTTGAAAGCTCACCACAGCCAACCAATATTCATAGAATGACTCCACACGCTGTTTGTTGTCAGTAGCACCATCTGCTTCTATATGCCTACTCCGGTGCTCCTCATTGCTTAATTGCTCCCACTAATAATGCAAAGATTTCAGTTATGTTATTTATGTTTGTGGTGACTCTTTGCTTCTTTTAAATTTCTATATCTGTTTTTTAAACACATTACATAGCAGGTAATGGCCCTTCTCTCTGTCAGCTGTTCGCAGTGTCTCATTCGCTGGCTCTGTGCAGAGGATAGAGGCGTCCTGGATGGGTGAAGATGTGAGGCATCCGGTGAGAGGTCCGGGCCTGTCCTCTCTGTGCCTGCAGGAGAAAAAAGGTGTGCGTCTCACACGTTGGTGCTGGTGTGTGCGCTTGTGTGTCTCTCTCCCTGTTTTTTTTAAAGCTCTTACAGTTTAAGCAAAGACCATTGTTCTTCCCTCCAGCTCTGGTCGGTGCGGTCAGTGTGGCGGTGGAAGCCATCTTGGCCCAGTTCAGTTCTTCCCGGACTGTAGTTCAGAAGGTCAGTTACTGCGAAATTCACGTGGGATTGCAAAATGCCATAATTACTTTTTTTTTTCACGAGCAAGAAATGTCACTCAAATGACAAATGTAATATCATTTTGAATTTATTTTTTTATCTTTGTAAATGCTTTTCCTCCCTTTCTTCTTGATCTGACTCTATATATGTTGTTCCGTCTCTCCTCAGTCTCACTCAGTTAACAAGGTACTAGAATATATTTAGATAACCCCATCTAGCCTTGTGAATTTCTTTGTAAACTAACTCCAACCGCCCGACTCATGTCTATTCACAACATACCCACCCCCATCGACCCCCCCCCCCCCCCTCTCTCCAACCTCCCTTTATGTGACCCCCTTTCCTCCTCCTTCCTTGAGTCATTCTCGCTGATCTCTCCCCCTGTCTCTCCCTATCACTGCACATCTTTCCCCCTCTCGCTTCCTCTTTTCTCCTCTCCCCTCCCCAGGCTTTGTCAGGAGACGGCACCATAAATCCATCTCTGGGCCGTCTGGTGCTGCAGTGTCTCTGTCCTGCCCTCCACTGCTTGCTGACCGATGGTTTGAAACCTCACCAGAGTGACCTGATTGCAGGCAGGAGGCCAAATTCAGCCTGGGGTCTCGTCCAGGCCTCCACCAGGCCAGGTAGCACTGGATTATTTTGTGGAAATTAGCATTTATAGACATAAATGATATCATCTATTATTGATTGTGTCTTGTGTTTTTCCCCGGTTGATAATAATAAGCTCTAGATTTTTTGTGCTCATCATTTTCCAAATCATTAGTCAATACTTTTTGATTTTAGTGTCTAATATGCTGAATAAAACAGGAAGCACATATTGATTGGGCTATCGAGCGCCAAGATCGCTGCCATTTTTGGTAGACCTCCGTTGATCTCACTGTCTCTGTCTCTCTCCCTTTCCCTCTCTCCATATATTTTCCTCTTCCTTCTTTCAACATAACTTTCAAGGTCCTAAAACTCAAGCATTGTTCAACCTACAAGTTTGTGTTGGTGAGCTGCCTCAGCTCAGACAGAACAAACACAGATTCAATGCATTTCTGCTTGGTTTACTGAAGTGAGTCATGTCTACGCATCCTTTCTATCCATGAAAATCAGCCATTAAATAATAGAATAATAATAGTTTTTCTCACTATATTGTAATTTACTCTGACATATTCTCTTTGGATCCTGAGTTTTCCTGTTGTTTTTTTCTTTCTTATAGTACCAAGCATCTGGATTTCTGGCTATCCCACCTCCAGTCTTGCAGCAGTAAGTTCCCATTACTTCTTTGTCCTTCTTGTGGGCATGGATGTGCTTGACAAGGATCTCTTTCCCTCAGATGTGCTGGAGACGTATTACCGCCCTTCTTCCTTCATGCATCTGTCGCTGACCGCCTGCCAGCCTCTGTTCGAAGAGCTGCTCCTCGTGTTGCAGCCTCTCAGCCTGCTGACGTTCAACCTCGACCTGCTCTTCCAACACCACCACCTAGAGCCAGATAATCCCACTCCGGAGATCCCCAGTCCACCATGTCAGGATGGCGGATTCCAGCGGCCAACAGAGGGGCCCAAATCCCAAATTGCGAGCTGCAGATATATTGAAAGTCTCTCCGAAGTAGACTTTGGGAGCCAAGAAAATCGGGCAGCCAAAGAGAAATTGTCACCACTGATTAATCCAAAGAACGGAGTACCAGGGGCGTCGACAAATAGCACCGCTGCACCCGCGAAAGCTTCGGTCATTCAGACCAGTCCTCAGCTGCTGTGGGTGCAGGAGAAGGACATTGGAGACTTGCCTCTGCCTGATGTTGAGGAGGACAGCCTCGTTCAGCAGGCAGGACAGGTAGCCCCCCCCCCCTTCACACTCTTGTGGCTTTTCACTGTTTGTAGTCAAATGTGGCGCCTGGGATCCTTTGGCGCTGACATTTCCATTAATCGTAGGTGATGCAGCAGGGATGGGGAGCGGTGATGCGCTGGGGAGGCCGGCTGAGCCAGAACCTGTCTGAGCTGAACCTGAAGAAGGAGGAGCTAAAGACGGACCTCCAGGCCCAAGCAGGGAGCGACTTTGCTGCGGTGGGCAGTGGTGCTCCGGTTCCCTGGGGTTTCGGGCGGCTCTTCGGAGCCTCTAAGAGCCTCAACAGCCCGCCGGGTCACACGCCGCCAGCCAGGTAAGCAAACGCTATGATTTTTCCTTCTGCTCGAGAGAAAAGTTTTGAATTATTGAAGTCACCGCCTGTAGCTCCAGTACCAGTCAAAAGTTTGTCATTGAATGAGAAAATGTGTCCAGACTTTTAACCGTTACTGTACATTAAGAAACTCCAAAGTTACTGATGTACTTGAACGGTAAAGTCCCGCGCTCTTACTCCCGTCCTCTTTGCGTCTGTCTCCGCAGGCGTCCCTCTCAGTGGCTGGCGCCCGGCGTCACCGCGCTCACACGAATGGTGAGCAGCAACTCCACTCCGATGATAAGGACGGGCCGGGAGCCCGAGGGAGAAAGTGAGCCAGAGTCCGAGCAGGAGGTTGACACGTTGGAGATGAAGGACAAACCCAGACCGCTCAGGTACACGAAGTGACGGTTGTGGATTGTGGAGTTATGCGGTTTGTTTGACTGAGACTGAGAAACTGTTGATGTTTTGTGACACGTGTTGTCTGTGGATTATTGTGGCCATGAAGATCTGTGCTGTCTGTCCTCAGGTCCGTACGAACGCTGTGCGATCACTCTGGAGCGGGTTCGGAGCTAACCTTCTGCAAAGGGGAGGAACTGGTGGTGTTGGGAGGAGTCGACCAGGACTGGATTCGCTGTCGTCAGGGAGACAAAGAGGGACTGGTACCTATTGGCTACACCTCCCTCATCATGTGACCGCACTCAATCAACAAAAAATAAATAAATATATATATATTTTAGGCGAGTGTTGAGAGGTTATAGTTAGGCTTCACTACTCTGAAAGGGATATTTCACGCTTTCTCAGTTTGAGTGTGAGTTGAGTGCATAACACCATCTGTTCTGCTTTCTCCTTTATGAACATATGGTAGTTTCCCCCCCCCCCCATTGCACTCCATCCAATTTGGTAGCATTAAACTAATGGATGTTGGCAGGAGGAGTGCAGCAGACGCTGTGAATTAATGACTCAAGTCAAACTTAAACCGTTTCATACTGCAGAAGAAGACCTTTTGATCTCGGAGTGAAGTATCCCTTTAGAATGTTCTTTTCTGTACGTCTGCCTTCCCCGTCAGCCGCTGATCTGAAAGTGATCGCAAGGCATCTTCTGCCCAATCGGCAACTTGCACACGTGACTGCTTTCAGATCAGAGGCTGCGTGCCGCGAGCAGGCGACATTCGACGACCTGTTGGGAGCCACCTGGATATCTCTCGCTGTCAGCTGGAGAGACTGTCGGCCTGCGGGTTGTCGGGTGGAGAAAGAATGTGAGAGTACTGGGCCGTAGCTCCTGTTGCATACTGCGTAGTAATGTAGTGAATTGTAGCTGTGTAGACCTGTGTTCTATTGACATTCATCCCGATTGACCTCTGACCTTTATCGCCTGGTTCATGTGTGTTTGACATGTTAACAAATTTGACTGTATAAATATACATACAAAATATATATATATATATAGAGGTATATACATGAGATTGATATTACCAAGATAGATAGAAAGATGGATGAACAAGAGAAAGTGGATAGTAAAACACAAGTGACAGCTTGAGGCCGCATTGAGGATGTGGATGATTAAAAAAATGAATTAATTAATTCTAAATCCTTCAATCCACAACTTCCCACACACATTAAGTGGTTGTCATACATGCAAAAAAAAAAGTGTTTCAGTATGAAATTTAAAATCTTTCCTCCTGTTTGCGTCATGTAATGCAATTGTCTTGACATCATATTTATACATTCATTAGACTTATTCTCATAACCTCAACACTGTACGCATTGTAATGTGCCATGAATGCTCTGAATGAATGACAGAAAATATAGATCTACCGATCCATCCCTCCCACACAGCTACAGAAGATAATGTCCATATTATGTTGATGATATTGTCTCTCAATTTGTCCCAATTTGTCCAAAACCTCAAGGGGCCCTAAACACCACACCAAACTACGCTCAACTCTTGTTCAACTACATCTGACCTTAAACGTAATGAAGTGAGAAAATCCCAGAGGTGTTTATGATGTCTTCATAAACGTCCACAGGGTTGTTGGCTGGTTCTTCACTTCATAACTCAGCTGTTGTATTTATCTCAACCCTTCCCGCCATGTTTGCTCATCATAATCATTGATATTAATGATAGTGGTAGAAGTGGTAGTGGTGAAAGTGATACGTTGATTCTAACCACATTGCATTATGTCATATAATTATTAGTTATTCTCTAGATTGTGTATAATAACTATGCATATGGTTAAATGTACAACTAACAGTCTTTGTTTTGATTTGACGTTGACCCACAAAGCCTAAAACAATAGCTAAGATTGTTAAAGGTAATAATAAAGAGACATATTTTGGCTGGTATAGAAAGGCTGACACTGAAGGACCTCCATTTAACCAGGTAGGAAAGTTTCTTTGCTGTTGATTAATCAGGGAAAGCTCAGTTTTCTTCAAAGTTTCCTCGTTTCATTGTGTCAATGCCATGTAGCGTGACGTTACGGTCACTATGGCAACTGTCCAGTAGCATTAATTGAACCAGTGCTCATATCCTATGATCACAATAAAAATGGAAAACAGCTGGATGTTTACAAGAAATAATGTCTCGAGAAAGATGAAATATCGGTCGACACACTGAATCGTGTTTATATTTTTTGATTTGTTTACTTGTGAAATTCTGGTCTAAATGGATTTGTACCAATGCTGTTTGGATTTTATTTATTGGATGTACAACTTATTGATCTTGAAGTTTCTGAAAGGAAAAGCTCTATCTGACCCATCTAGTGTCTCTCTATCTATCTGGGTTGTGTGTGTGTGTGTGTGTGTTTTGAGAGAGAGTGCACATGGCAGCGTATTTGGCAGTGGAAGCAGAGATATGATTGAACACTTCGGTGTGTCTGCACAACCCGCACTTTCACTGTGTGCGTGTATGTGTGTAGGGGTGTGCATGTGTGTGCCGCTTGCGTGTAACAATGAGAAGTGTGCCTCCCTCTTCTTTCTGTCTCTGGTGTCATGTAGCCTGTCGACATCTCCGTGTCCTACTATTGCATATAGTTCAGTGCCCCTCTAGTGTCAGTCACTGTCAAACTCCTGCATGTGCTTGTTTGTAAATACACCAAATAAAATGATCAGTATAAACCAAACCCGGGTCACTGTTGGAGTCATATTTTAACCATCAAGAGTTTATATTTTAAAACATCAAGGAAGGTAGGAGATACTTCACTTGTGAATATTTATGTGTCAGATTGCAAAAATGTCAATACTGAAACCCAACTACACACCTCTTTTCCCCGTTTACATTCATATGGGAGATTTCTATCACAAAAGAAATTCCAGGATGCACTTGGCTGTTGTGAAGGGCAGAACGAGGAAAATAGATCTCCGAAATGAGCTGCGGCCCTCCCCCATCTTGTAAGCGTGTTCCTTTGATTGCGTCCTCCATTGTGGGTCATCATGGAGGACAACACAGTGTGATATATACAATCTAATACCACTAGATAGCACTGTTAGCTCAACCTGATTAAAATCACTGCAGTAACATCCCAAAACCCACACGGCAAGACAAAAGCCTCACAACTAATCCAGCCAGCAGGGTTCAGTGCTAGTATACATAAAATGCTTTTATTATCATGGTTATAGAGGCAAATAGTCTTAGCTGACATTCTATGGCATTGAGTTATAACTGTTTTTGATGTTTTGTTTTTCAGATGCATATTATCAGAGGCAACAGGAAAGGTTACATGTCATGCAACTAGATAAATAACTCTTTATGTACCTTTGCTATAAAGTTAATTACCCACTGGCAATAATGTAGTGCTCTTAGTTAAAAAAAGCGAGAGGAAAAATATACATACAGCATGTAAACAGTCAAAGAAATTGCACTTTCTTGGCTTGTTATTTAAAGCCACACTACTGAATTAGAGCAGAAATGTAACACTGGAAAGACTAAATCACTGTCACTGATTGTCCAAACCAATAATTAGAAAATGAAAAATGTACGCGTAGCTAACAATAGACAAATGATGTAATTCCACAAAAAAAATCAGATACAATCATAGTCAATTCTAGGAAAAGAATTAGTGATATATTGGTCAGCTTTATACTGCGTTAAAAACATGTTGGTAAAACCAAATATTAATTTAATTAATACGTTCAATGTATAATCCCAATAGTATTGTCATGTAAACTACTCATTTCACACCCTACCGCTGAGAGAATGAAAACCGGTCTCTCTCTATGTACATTCACATCAAACTAAACGCTTATGGGTAAAACCAGTAAGTGGATTGGCCCAATGCTTCTAACATGAGAACAACCTACTATGCCACTGTACAGAAAAATGACCTCCAATCCTCAGATATTCACAACAACAAAAAACATAACGGAAGTCCTTATGTAGTCCTTATTGGATGAGATATTGCTTTTAAAGACTGTATGAGTTTGCTTAGGTAGGGACACAAGACAACATGGCACTTCTACAGAGCATTTGGGGGGGAATCAATTCTAGTTATGTTTCCTCTCTTCCCCGTAGGACATTCTGATTGTCAATGCTCTCGAGCAAAAACATTCTCAAAGGCAGTCTGAAGTAAACAAAGCGCTTTTTTGCCCCTTCCCAACGAAGCAATACTGAAAATAGTCAATAATAAACATTCTTATCGTGAATATATTTTGCTCATCTCTTAAGCAGACAGTGCTTAAGCTTTCTTTTCTCTCCAAAAATAACTTCTTTCTTAAAACCTCATTAGAAATTCTCTTGCAGTGATGCCAAAATCCCAATTACGAAGCCCCCCCCCCCCCCCCCCTCCATCCCTGCCTATTCACTGGTACATAGCAGACACTGTCTTGGTAAAGTGAAGGAAAAAAAACATTCCATTGTCTCAAAAGCTTTCAACTGGTTCATTGATCCTTGTGTTATTTCCCAAAGGTGCAATATGACTTTGAAAGCTTAATGAGTAAATGAAGGTTAAGTCTTGACCTACCTAGAGCCCAGGCTACATGTTTGTATGAGCTCCTCGTCTCTTGGAAACATCAGAGCTGTGATGCTGAGTACCATATATGTCCACTTGCAGACTCTGACCAATGTCTGTCTTTGCTTAAGGTGCCTTAGTAAGAGCAATCAAAGTGTACAGTATGAGTGTGTGTGTTAGTGTGTTTATAGTTCACTCAGCATACATACAGTCTTTAGTGTGCTTGATCATCCAGCACTAGTGCAAATTCATTCCAGCTGGTCTGTTTCTTTTTATTTCATTCATTCATCCGGGAGTTTGTCTCAGTTTCTCTCATCCTTTGCGGATTGGACCAAAGCTGCGTTGCCATGGTTTCATCGTTGGTGTGATGCCGTTCAGAGCGCGCGCCTGTGTGTGTGTGAGATGTTTTTCTTGCATTTATCAGCTGCTATAATACCCCATCACGCTTCCTCCTTTTCTCACTGGTTTCCATCGGCACTACTACTGTTGATAGCAGTACTGTGACATCTGAACGGTCGTGGGCCTGGTCCCTTTTTTCCGAGTGGTCCCACCTAAGTAAAGGCAAACCGATGTTAACAAGACAATGCGCATACGTCTCCGGGTCCGTCCTGTTTCTGCATCCGATGCTCTACTTACCTCTCATTGTTAGCTTATGAATGCTGCAGGGTCAAAAGTAAATCATTCAGACGTTTCCTCCTCTGTTCTCTGCAGCAGACCTGTTCTTCCCCTCGTTTTTCTTCCTCTTCTTCCTCCTCTTTTCCGTTCTGGGTTCTGGGCTGTGGTAAACAAATATGCACAACTAATCGCAAAAAGCAGATTTTTTTATCCTTGTGGAAATATGCTTTGTGAAAGGAAAAATGCTTGTTTTTTAGGTAGCTAGGTGTTTCACTCACACTGGGGCCGTCAGTGAGCAAGCTGGAGGTGTCCTGACTCTGATGGCGTGGGACACCGTTGATAACCGTCACCTTCCCCACTTGCTGATCTGAACGTGAGAGTGCAAACAGAATTCTGTATGTTAATGTTAATGTTGTAGGAGGGAATGACAACAGCGCATTGTTTATTTCTCAGATATATCTGTAATCATGAGAGTGTTCTTATTTCCCAGTGGTTCCCATCGGCAATTAGTCAGTGGGTATTAGATGGTTACGGTGCGGTTCCACTGCGAGTGGATAATGTTGATGTCTGCTGGGTTCTTGGACACCAGCGCGGGATGACAGAAATGGGGAAACATTTCTGCAAGCTAAAAATTCCATGGTTGGAAAACCACTTAGTTTTGTGCTGCTGAGTAATATGTGGGAAGACGGGCTGTAAGCAGAGCGCGCACACACACACACACACTCATGCACACATTGAGTAAAAGACAAGAAATCTATACAGATGTTGAAATGAAAATGCACCTACATATGCGTATGCATACACAAACACCTACAAAAACGAAAACTAACACACACACTTGCTTCATGGACCTGACTTGATGTGGCCGTCGTCCCCATCGGCTCCATCGCGGGACAGACACTGCGAGTCCTGCTCCTCTCCCTCTGCGTCCCCCTCCCCCGCTATCCTCAGTCGGATCTGTCGGTCTCTCACGAGCTCCCAGTTCCTCACGAGGAACACGCGATGTTTCACCACAAAGCTCCTGCCCCGGCACACGAGCAGAAACATTAGCTGACTGACATTAATTTGATTCGTAGTTTTAATCCGCGTTAAATCTCCGTTTTCTTTCCGTACCTCTCGCTGCTGGTCAGAGGCTCCATGTCGAGGTGCGGAAACAAGCTGCTAATGTCGCCACAGCTCTCCTGTGAGATAGAGAAGAAAATGGAGAGACGCTTTAGGTTTAACGTGTATTTCTGACCGGCTTTCTTCGCTGGAGTGAAACAAGCTTGAGCCGCATGAACCCCTGTCCCTCACCCCTGTCCTGTGAGCGGATACCGTCCTCTCCTTCAGCCGGCCTGAGTGAAACAGAGAAAGACGTTTACAGGGTAAGTAATTGCTTTGATACCGGGGATGTGAAATGGTGAATGTTGGCAACTCACAGTAACGCCGCTTTCTCTTAAGGGGGACAGCAGGCTGCTTTTGAAGCTGTGACAACGCAACATCAGAATTACATTTATGACACTCCACAAACCCTTTTGTATCACACTTTTATCTCCAAGGATGCTTTATGTTCCCGTCTGGCTTCCTGATTTCTGTTCTACGGGGCCCTGCTGTACCTGATTGTTCTGCCACAAGCACATAACGTCATAAGGTAACTGGAAATGAATCCTCTTCAGCCTCAGGTACTTCCCTGGAGGACACAAAGGCAATTTGAATAAATAATTGTAGCTACGAAAAGTTACGGCAGTTTTGGGAATTGTATTAAACACCCACCAACATTTATGGGAGCAGGTAAAAGGCTGTATTCATGCTCCCCCGGTGAGTAATCCATACTCTCTTTGCACAGCTGCCGGGCTTGGGAGGGCGGGCTGGGAAAGAGACTTAAAAACGTTAAAAACATGAACAAACCAAAAAAGTGTTGGACGTTTTTTTTAAACTTCATTCAACTTACTCTAAGGTTTTGTAATCATCAGAGTAAAGACCCGCCCTAAGGAATGTCTTCCTGGGAGGCCCGTCTGCTCGTTCCTCTCTTTGGATGGTTGCTGGTTGAGATTGAGCCTGGTCAACATCTGACGGACTAAAGCATTCAGGGGGGGTGTCACACCCGGGTTTATCCTCAGCGGCACTAAAAGGAAAGCATGAAGAGAGAGATAGAATGATAGAGAGGAAAAAGAGAAAGAGAGAAAAGGCACTGGTTTAGCACACAGTGCTGAAAACAGTGGGTTAATAAAGCAGTAGGGAGTGGTTGTATTGAATTTTCAAGTCAACCAGCTCAGGTACTCTACGATGCAGTTGCGAGTGTTTACCTCTGATGACAAGGAGATTCACCGTGTTTTCTTTTCCGTCCCCTTTTCTTCCTGGCCTGCAGCTCCAACTCGGTCACCTGCTGCGCTGTGTCGCCTCCCCTGTCTCTCTCCGGCCCTCCCACGTCTCTCCCGTCTCTGTTGCGTTCCGGCAAGAGGTCGGGTGGAGAGACGCGCAGAGCAGCTGCGGAGGAGTGCGACGCGGAGGACATGGCGGAGGGCAGCGGATGCTTTCTGGGTCGCCCTGGCCTTCGCTTCCCTCCCCCCGCCGCGCTGTCCGGCGTTGGCACGGTTTTATGCTGCCCCGGGCTTCTCGAATCACCTTGTAAACCTGCAGTCATTGAAGAGGGGGGGGGGGGGGGGAGGGGCGTACACGGTGGAGAGGAAATGAGACAGATGTGGATAAGTGATTGAGCCGGCAGGAGGTGTGATGTGAGGCCAGTCTAGGCTGAGTCATGCGGATGGGACACAGATTATGTGAGTCACAACATTTCCTCTGACCAGTTCACTTCTGGGAAATGCATCGAGGGGGGATTTATATGTGCCCATTCGGAGCGGAAAAAAAACCCACAAGAAAGGCCCCTGTGCAGAATGCATACTTTATGGTATGAACACGTATGCACTCTTCCACGCTAACTGTTTTGCTGCACGATTGGTTAATGTGGAACACAATCTCAAAAGGCGGAGCAGGCAAAGAGAGACATGTGCATGACTGTGCCCTTGCTGGCGTGCCAAACTTAGAAACATGTGCGTTTTGTTGAATGATAAATTGATGATATATGTATCACACTTTTTCAAAGACATCATTTTCACCTCATAAGCTCTTTTTGGTCCCGCTCTGACCTCTATGCTATTTCTTCATTAATCACTCCCGAGGTCAACTATATTTTTTTTAAATGTTCCTCGCAGACTGACGACTCTTTCCCTTTTCCAAGTCAGTTGGCCAGCAGTGAGGGGTAGGCCAGGCTTTAAATAGCCTATGTTGTGGTTAACTAATGACTGTGTTCACTGGGTAGCCCCGGGGGCCACGGCAGCGTGTGGTTCGCTGCAGGCCAAGGAGATTTCAAAGATATTCTGGACGGTTCCCATCCAGATGCGCCCTCCTGCCATGGCCCGTTTTAAAAATTCCAACAGAGTGGTTGCTGAGTGGTAACATTTATGTGTGTGTGTGTGTGTGTGTGTGTGTGTGAGAAAGCTCGGCACATATACTCCACAGCAGCGGGAGTCTGAAATTGGCTATAAAAAGAACAGAGTCTGATTTCCTCCCAAAAACCCTGCAGGCTTTGGTGTGTGGCTCAACAACACCTGAGAAAAAGCAATGCTGTCACTATAGTGGGCAGACTATTGGTACCAAAATCTCATCTCCACATTCTGCAAATAAAGAACATAACTGTGGAATTGTAAAGAGCCTCTCGGCATACAAGCTATTCACACAGCTAGCTGCCGTGCTTTGGCTGCTGTTGATGTATTTCAATAATAAGCACAGTTGATTTGAGATTTTCTACATTATTCTCTGGATGATTTTTTTGCCCATTAAATTATAAAATAAGTGTGCAATAAGTGTGCATTCACACAACACTGAGCATCAGTGTTGTTCTTTTGAAGCATTTGTCAGCACAGACTGGCAGAGAAACCCTAACATTGCAGTATTTGAGCTCACAGCCATCCCACTTGAAGCATGTATATTCAGTCATGGATTTATTGATCAAACCATTCGTGCGCTCTTACCTGCTTCTCTCCTCTCAGTCCACGCTGGCTCATCTTTCCTCCATGACCTGTCCCCCCGGCCTGGAGTCCTACCGGCCAATCCGCTCCTCAGACCCCTCCCTCCTGCCGCCAAAGCAGCTGACGTGAACAGGTTGGTGTGTGTCGGGGACGGCGACGTCCTGTACAGGTGTGACTCGTCCTCGCCGTCTTCGTCCTCTCCGTCTGATGCGATATGTCCGCCCGTATGTTCCTCTCCAGTGAAGCCTCTCCAGCTTGGAGTTGTATTTCCGAACCCCGTCCCGCCCATGCCCCCAAATTTTGTCCAGTTCTGGCCTAGACCGCCCCAGCTTCCTCCAAATGAAGACAGGTGAGAGGAACCGAGGCCCAGCGAGGTGAGACGTGTGTGTTTGAACCTCTCTCCTGAGGGTGATGACGATGATGAGGATGTGGCAGCAGCAGCGGACACCATTCCTCTAGCCCTTTTCCTTCCTCCCTCACTTTGCCCCAAAATGAACCCTGACCGTGGCTTTGTCAACCCCCCTCTCTCAATTCCATCTTCCTCCACCTCGTCGTGTAACTCCTCCTCCTCCTCAATGTCTCGGTCGCTGTGCCGGTGGCGGTGTTTATGCCGGTGTTTGGGTTCGCTCCTCCCGCAGGCACAGGGGTGGCTGGATGTGAACCCCGAGCTGAGGTGTGGGGTTCCTCCGCTGCCTCCTACATCTCCCTCAATCTCTCCGCCTAAAGCTCCCTCTCGCAGCAACCTGCTCCTCCGCCGGTGGAATCGGGCGGGGTTGAGGAGGAAGTGTGTATGATGGGGCTGATGGGGGGCGTACTGGTGTGGCGAGGGAAGCTGGTAAGAGCTGGGCAGATGGTGGTAAAGTGTCGTGGCTGGGGGATAGCCGCTGTAAAAGCCCATGTTTTCAATGCAATCCTGAAATTTTGACGAGCAACCACATTGCCGGCTGTCCGGCTTCCTGCTGCAATGCACCGGCTGGCAGGGGTAGAAAGGCTGCGGGGAAAAGGAGGGATTAGCGGAGTAAGATGAAGAGTGGGGAGAGTAGAAGCCGTTCAGATTGATCCTGAAGATGTTGGAGCGGAGAGAATGGGAGGACTGATGGCGCCTTCCCCCAGCAGCGTTTCTACTACCGTCAAAGCCCTGGCCGACTCCGGTCCTCACCCAACTTCGCCGACCTATGTGCACCTCGCTGAACTGAGCAATCAGATCTTCTAGCTCGGCCAGGAACTCGGGATCCTGCATGTGGAGCTGCTGGTGCTTCTTCTTATGTTTATTTTTCTGTCTCTTCAGGGCGTTAAGTCCATGACATGAGTAACAGTCCAAATGAGTACACTTGTTGTGTCCTTGGCAGGAGCACGGGCACAAGCAAGTACAGGAGGAGGGACAGTCGTAATCCCTTTGCCTGTGCCTGTGTCTGTCTCTGTGCCGCTCCATGTGAGTTGAGTTGGTGATGAGGTTCGTGTGTCTCTGCATTAGAGAGACAGGAGAGGAGGGGTGCCTTTGACCCCCCAGAATCAATCCTGGCCCCTGACTCAACCGGAACAAGCCTCTATTCCCCCTCATCTCTAGTCGCTCTGAAACGCTGTTGTTATCCGTTCCAATCCCACTATCGCTAGGCAGCGTGTCCTCGCTGTGCGACTCACTCCTAGGGGAGGGGGTGGCCTCTTTCAGGTGGCCGGGAGAGCCTGATGTGTGGTGCAGTGGAGGGGTGGGACCGGAGAGCTTACACGAAGACTGGTGAAAGGGGAAATGATGCCTTCCTTGACATGGGCAACTCTTCTTCACAAAGGGAGAGTAGGATGAGGAGGAGGGAGGGCGGGGGGAGGGGCAGGAGGATGATGGGGAAGGGAGGGAGAACGGGGGAGGAAAAAGCAGGGATGATGTTGGTTCTGTGAGGCTGCCTTCACTATAGGGGCTCTGGGCCCCGCTGGAGTGTGTGAGAGATGGAGAAGGAAATGGGTGAGAGGGAGGATGCTGGGGTTGGTTGGATGAGAAGAGCGAGGTTTCGGAGGGATTGTGAAACAGCGACGACTGCGTGCTGTTTGCTGTTTGGGCTTTAGGCTTGCGTCCTCGTCTCTTGCCCATGTAGATTGTTCCCCTCTTGCTCACATTGATCTGAGGGCCCAACTTGCTCCCGAAGGAGGAAGACAGAGCCGAGAGTGTGTGTACCGTTGTAGCCTCTATCGATTTACTCATTCTCAGCGAGGTCTCGCCATCTGCTGCCTGACCTCCTCCTGCCTCTTTCCCCACATACCCGGACAGCATTACCTTGTGAAGTCTCCTCTTCTTTCTTTTTTTCATCTCGTTAATCAGCCTCCTGATCTTCAGCTGCCGGTTCCCCTTTTCGGGAGTGTAAAAATCTTTACTCCTGTCAGTGCGACTCAGTGGGCCGTGGTCCTCGGGGAGGGGTCGCTTGGGAGGACGGCCACGCTTCTTGGGGCTGGATTTAGACTCAGCGGCGCACTGCAGTTTTGCACTTGGCTCCAGCCCAGGAGCGTTTTGAACTCGGTCACGCGCTGAAAGAGGCACCTCAGTAGGGACGGCGCTCGGCGAAAGTCTTGTGGGAGGTTCATCTGAGCTAGAGCTGTGGGATTTCGGCCGGCCCCGTTTTCTTGCGGGGGTAACGGGGTATCTGGAAGCAGGGGGACTCGGGTCTGATGCCGGATGACTCTGCTTTGGGGATGGAGGTTGGGTGGTAGAAGACAGAAGGGAGAAGCTGCTGTTTACGGAGCCCAGAGGAAGCTGTGTGTGGCTCGTCGGTCTGGTGTATAGTGGCCTTGGCCGAAGGGGACATCTTGGGGTACTGTGGGAAACGATTATGTTGGGAATCAGCCGGGGCTTCCTGGTTTTCCGCTCTCTGAGCCCGGTGCACCAGCTTGGTCCAGCTGGGCCGCCTGGCTTTGCGTTTCTTAAGCGGACGGCTGTCCTGCTCTTGGAGAGAAAAGGGGGCACGGACAGAGGGAGTGGGTGTAGGGGGGGGAGCAGGATTAGAAGAGGAGTGGCTTGGAGGCGCAGTCAGATGTCTTGAGACATCTTGTTCTTGTGATTTACCGTTGTCACATGTTGCTGTCGTTGGCTCAGTCTGTTCAACTGGTTTGCAACAGTCATCCATCTTGAAAATGTCATCTGGTCCGCCTGGATTCACGACTTTAATGGTTTTATCTGGTTTACCAGTATCACCAAATGAATTATGCTCTGGCCTTTGTCTGACTGGGCTAAATGTATCCCTATTTTTCTCTGCTTTTCCTCCTTCAGTCTTTAACTCATCCTTTCGCGTATCATCAATCCTATGTCCTTCCTCTTTTTCTTTGCTACGCCTCGATTTCCCATCCTTCCCTTTCTCCTTTTTCTTCTTCTTTTTGCCTTCTTCCTTTCTGCTCTGACTTTTTGTTCTTTCGGCTCCCAATCCATCTCTCTTTGATTTTTTGTCTTTCCGTTTGTCTTTCTTTGCTTTCCTCTCTTTGTCTCTCTTTTTCTCCAGAGAGGCTTTTGAAGGGGGATCCTGATCTTCGGCGGAGGAGTGCGCCACAGTGGGAATGGACTGCTGTTTAGGGGTGACTGAAGAAGAGGAAGGAGAGTCTACTGTACTCTTATTGGACAGGCCGAATTCTTCATGGGAGGTGGGGAAGGCTGGAAGTCTTGCCGAGGAGTCGATGGAGGAAACAGAGGAGGAACTGCTATGTTTTCCAACTTTGTTTTTCTGCGAGATTGAACTGCAAAGGATATCGACAGAGCCTTTTCCATTAGATAGTCCCTTCTGTTTTGCTGTCTGAACCAAACCATTATGTTTCTTGGAGGTCCTCCCTTCATTCCTGGTTTCCGATGCAGATGGGGCTTGGATGGATGCAGTGGAAGGGGTAATTGAAACGGTCTGCTCTGTTGTCGGCAAGCAGGGTTTGTATCCTGCAGAGACAGGCTTGCCGTTGGCACTGGGCAGCTTCTCCTTCTTCACTCTGTCGGATGAGCCATTTGGATTCACCTCTGTCTGATCGGCCAGTTTGGTAGGAACCTGGGGAGTGCAAACACAAAATCCCTGTCATAAACAACAGTGGCTGAAGCGTCCACTAGTTTGCTGACGACGACAGAGAAAGACAGCGGGGAAGAGACGACAAGTGAAATGCTTTGGTTTGTTCCTGACCATTAAAAGAGAGCGTGTGGACAGAATGACTCAATTAGGCAAAGAAAAGAGAGCATACTGAGGAGAAGACAGTGAGGTGATGGAAACAGCAATGAGGCTGACACAGAAAGGAGAAACACAAAGGCAGAGAAACAGAGAGGACGGAGTGGGACAGGGAGGGGGGGGGGGGGTAAATCAGAGCAGGTAGAGAAAAGAGGGGATGTAAAAATAGAAGAGAGGGACAGATATAGAGAACCAAAGAGAAACCAAGGGAGAGAGAGAAAGCTGTGGTGTTGGTAGCTATAAATTGACACTAATACAGATGAGAAGGCCTGACATGTCCTACTTGTCTCTTATTTTGGTATCCTGCAGCTTGAGTGGCGTTTGTGAGCAATGAGCTTCCCCCTGGGCGATGGGCACAGAGACTGATGGACCGTTGTCTGTAATAGCTCCAAGTGGTTGCCGGGCTCTTGTCCTATTTATAGGTCTGTTTATTTAAACGGTCTGCTTAGGTTTCCGTTACGAAACAATTGCTCATTTGACCTTTTTACAGATAAGCACAAAGCCACCCGATTTGGCACCACGTAAGCATGTTAGTGTGTGTGTGTGTACCCTTGTCCTTAACTTACCTGTTTGGCAGACTTGGTCCCTTGGCTGGTTACGGCGGGGACTGACACTGTCGCAGAGGCTGTTGATGATGACGACAGCGGCTGCAATGGTGATGATGAAGACGCGGTGAGAGGTGGCGAGGCGGCAGTCGCAGTTTGTTTGGATGTTGTCTGGACAGAATCCAAGCCTGAGCGTTGATCCGCGGTGGCCTCGCTTGGAGTGGAGCTGGTGTTGTTTTGCGGTCCTCCCTCTCCTGCGCCCCTCAGTGGTCCTCCCCTGGCTTGTCTCTGATAGGTCCTGACGTTGGGCTTGCAGATGTAGCTCTCCAAGATCTTGGGCGGTTTCTTGGTGCGTTTGGCCTGGAGTCCATTCCGGAGACGTACGTTCCCCTCGGGGCAGCTGGTCTCTCTGCCAGAGATCTGAAGCTGCTGCTGCCCTGCACTTCCACAGCGCCCCTCGATGAGCAACTCCAGCACTGCGCCCTTGTCTGCTTCTCTCTTTTTCAACGGCCCTATTTTCTCCTCCTCCTTTTCCCCAACATCTCCTTTCTCCTCCTCACCCCGCTTCCTTTTCCGTGCTACCTCAGAGTCTTCAGATGCAGAAATGGGGTCCAGGCAGGAGTTTGTGTTAGTAGGGGTTCCCCCATTCCCTCTGTGGTCCATCAGAGAAGTCCGGGTAGGGTTAGAGCTCCCAGTATGACCCTTTTAAATTACCCAGGCGGGGTTGTTGGGATCAACCGGAGAGACCAGAATGTAGGTGTAGGTCTGGTTATTCCCAAAAGAATATACTGTAAGTGTCCAACTACAGTGGCTGTCCTTCATCCAGCAAAGGAAAGTTTCTCTCTTCTTCTTCAGGCTTGAACTGAGATGGAGTAAATTAGGGAGAGAGGGAGAGAAAAGACAGACATAAAGAGAGAGTGGTCGGTGATTAGTCATTTCAGTGAGCTCAGATGCTGAGTATCGGCATTACAGGAATTGGAGGGAAAGTCCCACTGCTGCAGGCAGCTGTAGAGAGGTGCGAAAGTATGTGTCCACAGAGATGACCTCATCATACAGAACCCACAAATCTCATCGCCCTGGGGGCCAATCAGAGCCTCCGAGTCCCAGAATGTCGGCACAAACTGGAAGTAAGAGCTACTCGCATTCCTCAAAAACAGCTCAGCAGGTTTTCTTTAAAGAATCTGGAAACGCCGACAGCTCTGAAAGACGGCAAACACCGCTACACTTTTACTCATGTTCTGATCCTCACCGCCTCCTCTACCCGAATCAATATATAACTAAATCAGATCCTGATTAATTCAAACACTTGATCTAGTCTCCTCCCTTCCTTTCCCCACTGCCTTTGCGCCTTCTGTTCTCAGCTACTCCCACAAGCACTTCTCCTCCCCCCCCCTCCCCTCTAGTGTACTTTCTTTTCTCTCCGAAACTCCCCTTTTCATGTTTGGCCGAAAGCTTTTGCATGCATTCTCTATTTGTCCCATCCTCTCTCTCTCTCTCTCTCTCTCTCTCTCTCCCTCTCTGTAGACCACACAGTAAAATGGTCAACTTATGCACTGTATCCATGTTAATCAGAACCATATTTCCTCCCCTCCGTTCTTTTCCTCCTCTCCAACCTCAATCCCTCCATTCACGGTCCGACCATTCCCCTCCTCCCCCTTTTTCAATAGTGGTAACACAAATCCGTAGGAAAGGGTAAAACGTATTTTTGGAAAGGATACCAAATTCTTCCTCCTCCCATTGCTTCCTCTAAGTCAAGTCAGCTTTTCGTTGACCCCATTGTAAATTGACGTTTAATGAGACATTACAGCAAGTAACACACCCTAAAATAACGTTCTCCCCTCCATAAAAAAAACGTTCACTCTCGCTCGCACAGTCTTCAGCTCAAGATTTGAACATATCGAAAGGAAGCAGCACCTTCAGTCATGCTTCCTTCGTTATACTCTCTCATGCATTTTCTATTAAATCACACCCTACCAAGCCTTCTCACAGCTTCTCTCCCGAGAGCCTCTCGCGAAATTCTCTACTTGTCTCACAATACACTGAACTTGCAAGCGCATCTCAGATAATGTTTTCATTGGAGGGCTCGGTGGGCTATCTCTCCGGACCCTCGGTGCCTCCACACCCAAACCCTTTCCTTGAACCACTCAAATCAACATCTGTCCCCGTAAATGATGTTACGTAACATGTTTGCAGAGCACAACCAAGGCCAAACCTCCTTGCCGTTAAGGAGCACACAGATGGACAGTGGTCCTCTGCCCCGTTCGTCGTGACCTGCGCCATGCGGGTCGCGACCTGTTTCGCAAAGTGACTATAGAAGAGAATAAGAGCGGCAGGTTTTCAAACCTGAAAGGGGCAAGCCCGTTCAACATCAGTCAAAGTGCATAATAATAGATTCTTATCCGCTCCCGAGATATACCTCTCAAACATAACTCAAAATGATTCCATCGTTAGACCAGAAGCTATTTCCAGTGACAGGATGATGGGTGGACTTGACACTGCAGTCAACGTGGGTTTCTCTGCAGGCGGCGATTAAATCACGATAATGGCCCACCCCACCGTATTTCCAGCCATCACCACCATCCCATGACGACGTTATCATCAATAACTACAACACCATTATCCTCTACCTGACGATAGCCAGGAGCAAAAGAAAGGAAGGGGCTGATGCAATGGCATCTTACAACCTCCACGTCTACAATACACATGGAAGTTTGTCACGTGAGTCCACCGCCCCCCCCCCCCCCCCCCCATCCACACACACACACACCTCTTAGTGTGTTGGTAGCACTGATGTTGCTCTATTGTAGATACAGTATGGGTAGTATGGGGGGGGGGGGGGGGGGGGGTATTACCGCACTGGAGCAACCTATCCCCGGTTTACTGAGGACGTCAACAGGGGCTTCCTTCTCCATAATGACTTTGCGCACCTCCGAAAAACCCTCTCCGCCTCGTGCCGTCGCACTTACAAATGATACACACACGTGTTGTTGTTGCCGCTACACTTACATGCCCATAATATAAAAAAAGAAAAAAAAGAAACACATTAATGCTCCAAAAACACACACCAACTGAAAACTCGAAATGGAAGTGGGGTCGCTACGTAGTCGCCAAATGTGCCTGCTGTTGTAGTGTTTGAGATGTGGCTTATTACCCCCCCCCTCTCTTCTATCCGTCCTCTGCCAGCTCTTCTGCTGGGGTCAGCAACATCGAAAACAAGAAATATCACCACGCACGGGGAACAGGGGGGTGGGGTGGGGGGGAGAAACACACTCGGCAACGAGGGATAAAATTAGCGCACCGCGGATGCACGACATTATCAGCAACCCCCGCGGCGCCGTGACGGGCCTGCACGCATTAATACGGACTGCGATGGAACCCTGTAATAAGGCTACGCAGGCTACTTACCCGAGAGCGCGTCCCGCGGCCAACTGCGTTCGGGCATGAGGTGTCTCTCTCCCGCTTTCCCCCCCATTCGCACCAACAGCGAATCCGGACCTTCTTCCCTCTCTCTCTCTCTCTTTTCTGCTTCTTCTTCTTCTTCTTCTTATTCTGTTTGGCGCATTAGCGCGCGGCTTTGATGAGAAAAAGCCGCCTTCCAGTGGAAGTTGAAACACCTTCCCCGACGCGCGACTTTCAGTCTCGTCGGAGCGCAGAGACGACGCTGTGCAACAACATTGGCGCGGGTGTTTTCATAATGACACGGTCGACGGATCCCCGTCGGCGCGTCTCCGCAGCTAGGTGGCGGACTGGTTCCACTGGATCCGGGCTTTGCCTTTTTCTCTCTCTCTCTTTTCTTTCTTTTTCTTTTTGCCCAACCTCTTTCTGGGAAAGTTACATCGCTTCCCCGCGCCAGTAAAAAAAAAAAAAAAAAAAAAACGGGTCAGATTGCGCTCACGCGAGCTGTTAAACGTGTCAGGGTGATTGAAGGGTCGCAGCAGCGCCCCACTGTGCGCGCGTGTGTGTGTGCGTGCGCGCGTGCGTGCGTGGCCGCGGGGTTACGGGCGGTGCAGACGGGGTTGGTTGGATGTGCGGGAATGCAATTGCGTGGCCATTTTCGTGTGCAGAGGGGAGACGGGAGAGGGGCGGGGGGTAAGAAGGCGAACGGGACCTCGGTGCGGTTCGTAATAGACGTTTGATAAAATGGCGACGACTTGCGTAAAGTGGGCTGCCTGTTGGAATTCGGGGAGCGCCTCTAAAGTTGTGTCGCTGTAATGCAACGGGAGCAAAGAGAGCGGGAGAAGCACTTATCAGAAAGTTCATATGGTAAACGTGTTTTCTTCCCCTCGGTAGAATAACACATAAAGTCATAACGATGTTTAACACAGTTCAACAAAAAACACATTTGTTAGAATCAACAGACAAGCATAAATCATGACTAATAATGATTATAAGAGTTATCGTTTACATTATTATTAATGTGTATCATTGTTACTATCTAGGTGGCCTCTTGTTCCTCCTGCTGTCTATTCCCTAATTTCACATTAAACAACCACAACTTTTAAGAGGTTTGCTTATTGTGCGATAGGACTGGACAATATCACAATGAAGTGTTTAAGAAGGCAGAGCTTCAGGATAAGGTCATGATGCAGGACTCGACATAAGGGGGCTGTGGTGGTGCATTTTCCAAACTTTTGAGAGAAAATCTTAAAGTAATTAAATTACTACCCCCCAAATGACACATATTGAACTTGGGCCAGGGCACTGCGTCCGCTGGAGCTGCCCCCTTTTTGCCTGGTTTGTATACGTCTTTGCATCAACACACAGCCAGATTCATTCTTTAGGGGGCACACTGATGACCCACCGATTTTGGGGCCCTGGGTGTCTGGGAGGATGGGAGCTCTTGGATTCTTCACCTGTACATTCGTCCAGCCTGGGATATACATCTTTGGTTGTTCAAAAAAATGAAATAATGAGATGCCATCTTTATAAAATCTGAACAATAGTATTATAATTAATATTTAAAAAAAACAACGTCACAATCAAATTCAGGTTTACGGTAATACGATTAAGCAGATAAAGTAGACAAGCACAAGGAGCTTTTCTTTTGCCTTTTATCTTAATTTTCCTAGAGCCACTAGATCCATATTGGTTAACTGACATTGTACAATCAAAAATACCGGAGGTGTATTTGGCTCAAAAGAAAAAAAAGTTTGCAACGTCTTCCATAAATCCTAACAGAGTTGTGTTTGATGTTTAAAAGGAGTACTGGTCTTCTCCACACAGTTAGTCACGTGTGGGACTCTTCCACTGTGTGTTTTCCTCAAGCACCGTTCATCATTATTATTCCAGGTGAAATTTGTCAAACGTCTGACAAACTCCATTTTCTTCAGTTGTTGCCGCCTCATTGGATACAATGATTTGTGATGGTGAAACGTCACTTCCGGCTCTGGGCCGCATGATGACGGTCACCATGACAGATATGGCACATTTCTGACTTATCCTGGACGTGTGAAGTTACCCTTTCCCGAGTCCAGTCCAGCGTCATTTGAATAATACATGACCAGAACCGAAATTGTTGTGACCCAATCTGAACCGAATCGCAGCTGAGCTGCGCTCGTTTAGCAACGTTAGCTCGTTATTGCTAATGTCGCCGGTAAGTGACGTGCTCGCCGGAGACCACAGCTAGCTGTTAGCTGCTAGCTCTTAGCTAACGTCAAGTGTGTGTACGCAAGGTTGAAGGACACTGATGTGTTTTTACACGCTACATGTCTTCGTTAAAACATAACTGGTGTCCTCTCCCGGGTTTCAGATCATGGCGCTCCACAGGCTGTCCTTCCGACTACGGCCAGCGGTAAGATCCCTTTAAACAGCAGGTTGGAATAGGAATGTAGAAGCTGCAGATACACAACCTGGGCAGTGTGAAGAATCATCGATGTTTGAGATGTTTGCACCTGGGTCTGCTGCTCGGTTTATAAAGCGAGGATGCAAAAACGATGTTTGTAACGTTAAACTGCTGCACGGTGCCTGTGTTGTTTGTGCACGTAGTGATGGGCAGTAGGTTCATTTTCATGGCAACCAATACTAAGCAGTTTTAGGTATATAACACCTGTTTGAAATGAATACCAAACACAGTAAAGAACATTTTGTAGAACCTTAATCTATCTCACTAATAATGTCCTGTTCTATAATATAATATTTAAGTAAATCTTTTCTTGATACCCAACGTCATAATGACAGAATGTAGATTACAGTGCAACTTTAAATACAATGTCTTACTCGGCTGATCCTTTTGTTGAAGGCTTTCCATTAATGTGTTGTACTGTACGATGGATTCTTTGCAGGTAACGCATGTGAGGTGCCTTCACACCAGTGGGTGTGGGCAGCAGCAGGAGGCTGCGGCCGTGGAGTCAGATTCGCCGCCGCTCTCAGTTTTCAGAACACAGGAGAATGATCCAGTAAGCGAATCCCTCTGTCTCCGTGTCCCTGTCATCCTCTTGCCAACAAGCCGAGGGAATACAGAGCACAGCTGCCCGTTTGAAGATGCATACTAGCTGCAGTTGTCTGTATATTCGCGGTATTTTGGTTGTTGATGTTGCATATTTTCGTCTCATTAAAGGTGTGTCAGTCAGAGAGACAAATCGGACAGTATTACACACTGCCCTCTGCACACATCCGCACTCTGTTCCCTCACGGCCTCCCTCGGCGCTACCAACTACAGGTATGTGCTCACCTGTGCGACAGCATGGCCGTTATTTTAAACCTACTGGCTGATTGAAAGTGTTTTGTGGCTCGATTGATTTGTTTTTGGTTGAACAGACCTGCGTGTGTTTTCTAGATGAAGACGTTTAATGAGGCTTCTATGATGGTGAGGCAGCCGGCTCTAGAGGTCATCTCTTACCTGAAGGCCGCCGACTACAGCAAACCTTCTCTACGCTATTTATTCTGTATCCTTCACAACACATGGTCACGACCACACGCAGAGTACTTGTGACGCTCCTAATGAACCCGTCGTTAACCTTATCAAGTTGATCAGATGGGTTGAAGGGCAGTGGGAAGACGATGTCTCTCTGTCACACACTCCACTTCTGCTACACGCAGGGATGGTTGGTGCTGCATGTTCCTGATGGTGAGCGAACAACACGATCCCACAAGGGGCCTGGCTGCTACCACTGTACACAACGTGACCCTCATATATATGTATATATTTTTCTACCACAGCTCACATCTGGGTGAAGAACTGCAAAGAGCTGCTGCCCTCCTCCTATAACACCTCCCGCTTTGATCAACCATTACAAGCCTCCGAATGGTTGCGCAACTTCAGAAACACCAACGAGCACTTCCTTTCAAAGGTGAGGATCTTTCTGCAGCGTGCCTTTTTTATATGCATCAGACAATATTTATATAGTCTTCCATTTTAGAATAAGAACTTGACGACTTCATTGTTACAATTAAGGCTCTGGGAGCATTACATCATTTTTCACATTGTTAACAAGCGTGTAGGTATTTACTGTACTTAAATGAGCCGTGACACCATCTTCACAGCGGTTTTGGTCACATGCTGATAGACATAATTACACTGGTTTATCTGTGAATGTACCCGTATGCACAGCTCTTAAAGCCGGTGTTTGTAGCCCGGTGTCTTTGCGTGACGCCGTAGATGTGATACAGCATCAAATGGTTTGAGGGCAATATTTTATATTTGTTCAGTACTTTAGTGTGCTTTACCATGAAAGGAGTGTTGAAATATTAATTGCATGTGGTCAATGAGTGCATGGTTTCTCTCCCAGATAAAGACACGGCAGCGCTATTCATGGACAAAGAGAGAGTTCACTGAGGAGGGAAGTCCACTCGGCCAGCTGGTGGATCAGGTAACTCTCTGAGGATTTATGTGTTCATTTGATTCTTCCTTTTCATCAACTTTGTTGGTTTTTATTTTTTGTTACCTATCCGTTCCTTCATCTGCCCTACCGATTTCCCCACAAGGAGCCATTGTAGTTTCATCTTTCAACTCGACTGTGTTTTAGAGGCGATCAATAGCCAGAAAGACAGAAAATAGCAGGAGAGGTTTTTTTTCATTCAGTGAATTTTCACCTTTTTCAATCAGCCCTTTGCGCCTTGAAAGAAAAACACATTTTTCGACACCGCTGGTGTTACTGTGAGCTTTTTGTGCGCTCTAATTGGATTTGATATTATTAGCCATCCTTCTGACATCACGTCACTAGACAAAAGAAATTCAACCACTTTCAAACCTCCTGCTGAGGCATCTGTACCTAAAGAAATTAGGCATGAAATGACCGTAACTGGCTCAGATTGTGACCTAAAGAGTTATTTTTTTGTACTATACATAAACGAGTATGCCACAGATTTAGCGTTGCCCTTCTACAACATTGTCTAACACATGATGGACAATAAAAAAAGAATGTACAAGCTGATACATATTGTACAACTCTTTCACACATGCAGTAGTACTTTTCACCTTTTAATAAAACAGTTGAATCTGCGGGGTTGCCATTTGGTTGCTTTCAAAGAGATCTGATCAGGCGTCTAATGGAGTTTCATTCCTCTGTAGGGAATATCTCGCGTGAAGAGCAGCAGTGACGTGGTGGGAGCCGTGATGAAGGAGCTGAGGGCGCAAAGCGGGCAGCCGGAGTCAAACTTCCGCCTGGCTCTGGCTGTTGACGGCGTCAACGCCCTGTGGGGAAGATCCACCATCAGGAAGGAGGATAAGAGCACGGTGAGGAAACACATTAACAATCATGTCACATCTCATTGTCCTTGTGCTTCTCCTTCAGCTTATTTGCCTCTCTTTTGTTTCACTGTCGTCAGGTGGATCCGGAGGAGCTCACTTTGGTTCACAACCTCAAAAAGCTGATGACGAAAAGCTGGGTAAGAAGAAGGCTCCGACCACGGATGCATGAGAATATTACATGGTAGATATTTGTTATCCCGTTAACAGTCCCTTTTTTTCTTTGTCTCAGACTGGAGGCGCCATCATCACCACTTTGTCTCAGACGGGATCTCTCTTCACCCCAAAATCCTCCTATTTGCCTCAAGAGCTGCTGGGGGAGGTCAGAGAGAGATGTTCATTTCATTTATTTCCAGAAGCCTGTTTGTGGTGGTTGTGTTGTTAGTGTATATATTAACATAATATGAATTATTCACACAATTTGGTCTAAATGTGTTTTGGCTTCATTCCTGAAATTGTTTTTGACTTCGTCTGTTTTCCTCATCAGAGGGGGTTTGACAGCATGGACCCGTTCATCCCGGTGTCTGTGCCCAACTACAGCGAGAAGGAGTTTGAGAGCTGTTACCTCTATTATATGGACCGCCAGTGGCTGCAGCATCCACAGGGTGAGCGATGATACTGTGGATGGCTTTTTGCAAAAAACAAAAAAAGAGCACATTAAAGTGATGCAGGTTTTTTTAAACTATTTTTATTTTCCACCTCATCAGGTCGAACGGAGGAAGGAAAGAAAGAACTCATCTTTTTAAGCAACAGAAATCCATCAATGTTGGACAGAATTTGTGCCTTCCTATGAAGACTTAAATCCCAGACGCACACTGCTTTTAAAACACACAAATATCAGTGTTCTAGAAATACATATGTATACAAATGTCCATACCTATAATGTCTGTAAATGATGATGCATGTGTGTAACTTTGATAATAAAATGAATGAATCGAATAAAGTCTTATAAAATTCGACATGCAGTGTTTAATTGCAAATAGTTATGTCATGAAAGCCAGATGGATACTCTGCGAAAAGGTTTGATTCCAAAGAGTCTCTGGGAACCGGAAAAGCATGCAGGAATGGTATTATCAACCACAGATTTATTTATATATTCTACAGATAAAAAAAAAAGTTATTACAATATCTTAGATAAAAAAACGGATACTAATATGTATTCAAAAGACTTTTTAAACGTCAGAAAACCAAACAAACTTTCTGTCAATCTGTCTCCTGCTTTTGTGGCGAAGCGCCACCTGGCGGCGGTCCAGATTCCCGCACGGTTGTCACGTGACAGTTTCCGACGTCACAAGATAGAAGTCCATTTCATCGCCTGAACGGCGCGTTGGGAGGTACACTTCCGGTACGCCACATTGGTCCGAGATAAAGTGACGGCCGAGTTTGAATGTTTCTTTGAATCAACCCGCGGGACATGACAGAGTTTCTGTCAGCGTCCTCTGAGGTGAGATTATCTCTCAAATGCTCTGAATGACGTAATGACAATAAAAATGTGTGTATCACCTAAACGAAGGCAGCAGTTTGGTCTTTATTCATTTGTTTACTAATGTTTGTAAAGCCTCCAGACACAGATTCAATCCGTGTTTTATCTCTGTAGCCCAATTTTTTCTTTCTATTTCTAGATAAAATGGCATCTGCGCTTTTGGCCCTTGTGCTCCTCACGGCAGAAGTGACCCTCTCTAAAGGTAACACACCACGCAGATGACCCCCCGATGCTTTGTTTCCTAGTTCTTTTGCTTCCATGCAGTCCTATGATGCTGTGACTTCTTCTCCTCCTTCCAGGGACCAATCAATGTGTCGCCAGAAACCTGGGCCACGACTCTGTGGTGTGTGAGTGCAACTCAACCTACTGTGACAGCGTGGGGTCCGTCGCTCTGCCTCCATTGGGCCAGTACTCCTCCTACCTGAGCAGCATGGCCGGCAGCAGGCTGGAGGCGGGCCGGGGCCGGGTCCGGGTCAACGGCACCGGCGCAGGTGAGGGTGGAGCCGGGGCGGCGCGCCGTGGCGTTGGAGCAGGTGCACAGCGGCATCACGTGTCTCTCTTTCAGGCCTCAGGTTGACCGTCGTTCCCGACCAGAAGTACCAGAAGATCAGGGGGTTCGGTGGAGCCATGACGGACGCGGCAGCCATTAACATCCTGTCTCTTTCAGCTGGTACACAGGAGCAGCTGCTGCGTCAGTACTTCTCCCCTGAAGGTACACCTCCAGTGAAAGGAATCAACAAAAAGAAAAAGAAGATAAGAAACATTTGTTAGTTAGTGGATTTTTCATCCAAAAAACACTTTGCAACCAGTTTTTTTCTCCTGCAAAGCAACGGGTGGTCCTACTTCAACACATTGAGAAATACATTTCACACTTTTGGAGAGGTGTCGTATATGCGCAGGTTAGTTTGTTTCCCACATCAGTAGAATCAGCATCCACGTCGTCCATCAGGATAAGAATGATCCATTTGGAGAACAGTAACACACCAGCATTAAAAATATAGATATTATAGAATCTACTGCTATTATTTATTATTATGGGCTGAAAGCAAATAGTAAACAGAACCCGAAGGTTGCTAAGCGATTACACTGCTGTGTCTCTGGCAGGTATCGGTTACAGCGTGGTGCGCGTCCCCATGGCCAGCTGTGACTTCTCCACCCGCCTGTACACATACGCCGACACACCTGGAGACTACGACCTGGACAATTTCACACTGGCCCCCGAGGACGTCAAAATGAAGGTCCCTCTCTTACACTCCCCCCCGCCCACACACACACACACACACACACACACAGGGCCACTCTAATCTCTCTCCCCCCTATCAGATCCCTCTCCTGCAGCGCGCTCAGGCCTTGTCTCCTCGCCCCCTGGCTCTGCTGGCCAGCGCCTGGAGCGCCCCCGCCTGGATGAAAACTAACGGTGCTCTCATAGGAAAGGGCTCCCTGAGGGGCCGGCCCGGGGGCAAGGAGCACAAAACCTGGGCTCAGTACTATATCAGGTGACACGTGGGGCTTTACCTTAATGCAATGTCACGGGCTGGTGATGCGTTTTACGAGGGGGAATTATTCAGACGGTTGGCCTCTTTTTTTTTTCTTTCTTTCTTTCTTTCCTCTCAGGTTCCTTGAGGAATATGCTAAATATAACTTGACCTTCTGGGCTCTGACTACAGGGAATGAGCCCTCTGCAGGACACATAACAAACTACAGGTCTCTCCTCACATCGTATTACCCGGAATGAACCATTCCCCCCGCGGATCCCCAATCGCTCGGCTGACTGAGACGTGTCTTACTGCAGTTTCCAGGCTCTTGGCTTCACTCCTGAGGAGCAGAGGGACTGGGTGGCTCTGGACCTGGGCCCTGCCCTGCATGCTTCCTCACACCCACGCACACACGTCCTCATCCTGGATGACAACCGTCTGCTGCTGCCTCACTGGGCCAAAGTGGTGAGTCCAAGGACGGAGAGATAGCGGGTAAAGTCATGGTAAACTTTGTGATCCCTGAGGCGACTCTGCAGATAGATGTCCGCTACCAGCAGCAGGAAACCAGCTGACTTTTTTTTTATTTTTAATTCGGGAGGAAGGAGTCAAAGTATCAGCCCGAAGGAAGGGGTTTGTTTTGTGTTGCAGCGGGGAGAGCGGTTTTTTTGTCAGCGCTTCAACTAAGTAGGGATGTTGTTGCTAATGTTGACACCTCTTACCATGGAGTCATGACTGACAGCCTGCCATCCCATTCAAAAATATATTCAACTGACCTCACCTTTTCCAACAGGCAAGCAAAAACCGTTAATTCCATTTAATAATCCATCCAGAGGAAGAGACTGAAAAACGATATGATGAAAGGGGAAAGTGTCCTTCTCCTGCATGCATATTGTTTTTTTATTCTGACTTTCCCCCCTCCAGGTCCTAAATGACATTCACGCAGGAAGGTTCATTCATGGCGTGGCGGTTCACTGGTACATGGACTGGCTCGTCCCAGCAGAGACAAGCCTCGGAGTCATCCATCATCTGTACCCGGAGTATTACCTGTTCGGCACAGAGGCCTGTGCCGGCTGGAGCCCGCTGGACCGAGGGGTGAAGCTGGGGAGCTGGGACCGCGCGGAGCAGTACGCACACGACATCATAGGGGTGAGATCATTGTATCTTTTTTTTTTAAACGAGGCATGTTCAATCAGATCCGGCGTGACGAGTCGTGAGCGCTTCCTGAGAGGTGACTCATCGCCTCCGTCGACCCCGCAGTGCCGGTTTACAGGTTGCTGCACGCGGCCTTCAGAAATCACCCACAGGCCGTCATAGCGTGCTGGAACCGGTGTTTTGTTTCTTCCTTCCTTCGCTCGCTCGCTCGCTCTCTCAAATGAAACTGGACACCCCACGTTTCTATTTTGCATGGCGGCATTCAGACCTCTTGACCTCTCTAGAATCATGGGGGATGTGTTTGTGTAGATGTGCTGTCCTTTTGTGACATTTAAACCAAACCCCGGTCCAATGAATGAATTCATAATAAACAACACACCTCGGTGCAAAGTTTCTGAGTACAAACCAGATCCTGAACTGTATGTGTTTTCCCCCACGGCAGGACTTGAATCATCATGTGGTGGGGTGGACGGACTGGAACCTGGCTTTGGACCAGAGTGGTGGGCCAAACTGGGTTAAAAACTTTGTGGACAGCCCTGTCATAGTGGACGCTCAGCGGGACGTCTTCTACAAGCAGCCACACTTCTACAGCATGGCGCACTTCAGGTATCGCAACCGAGTGGCGTGATGTTTTTCACACAGAATGGCATTTTTCACCTGTTCCATTATTACAGAGTCTAATGAGATCTTTATTTTGGTGCAGTAAGTTCCTGTGGGAAGGGTCTCAGAGAGTGGGAGTGTCCGCCAGTCAGACAACTGAGCTGGAATACACTGGGTTCATCAGACCCGACGGCTCAGTAGTGCTGATCGTACTCAACAGGTGGGTGATAGGGACTGTATGCAAAGGACAGCAAATTCTTCCAAAAAATGTAATTTTTAAATCATGCTCATTTTGGTTAAAAAGCACAATTAAATGATTATTGTGGGACTTTTGATGACATGTAGCACACTGAGATGGTCTGTAGCATAAGAGAGTCCAGGTCAACTCTTTTACTAATATTGTGCCTCCTGTTATTTGAAAATTGACATTAAAATGACAATATATATTTTTGCGGACTTGTAGGTCATCGTCTGTGATCCAGTTTGAAGTCAGGGATCTCGCTGTGGGCTTCATCTCCTCGACGGCACCGGCTCGCTCGTTGCTCACGCTGGCTTGGAACACACACTGATCATTAGTACAAGTTCACATTGCAAATCCGTATTTGAAAAAGCATTTTATGTTGAGAATCTCGGTACCAAAGCTTTTTGGCAGGTTTCTATTAAACCACTCACTCAGATTGGGGATTGCAGTAGCCTCAAACATGAATTAACTCAAATTATTAGATTTTCCTTTAAAACCCTAAAATGTTTTTTATAAGAAAAACAGAATCCTATTGAAGACCTGAAAGTAATAATCAGTTAACTGGACTGACCTGTGCCAAGCACAACTCCTGCCTGGATTTTGAGCGAATGAAATCATAAATATGTACAGGAATTGTAAATGCCTTGTTATTTAATTTTAAATAAAGTGCAAATTGTTTAAAAAACACTTCAGGTATGTTTGTAGTAACTTAGGGTTGCTATTACACTGTATGTAAGGTTGGGACAATGAAAATTCAAATATGACCATTTGTCAATTTTTTAATACATCATAGACATTTTTCATATATATAATATACAGTTTGATAACCAGGTAATTTCACATTTTTATCTCCATTCTGAATGTTCTTTTCCTTTGCAAACCATAAGTTGTTGGGCTAAAATTATTTACATCAAAAAAGTGATAAAAAATGTGAAACGACAGCATTCGACGGAGGAATAAAACTGGGGGGGGGTGACTATGTTTTACTGTAAATAACTACACAATGGGCCAACTGAATTCCTTTACTGGTCTATTTAATTTTTCTTCCCCCATTTGTGGCAGCAACTGAGCAGGATTCCTAAAGAAAAAAAACTATCTGTACATTAGAGAGTGGACATAATAACATGAACACCTTTTACATCATTGCCAAAATAAATAACGAGTTCAATCAAGATATTTCCTACAAAATCCCATCAAAAAAAGTATCGATATACCCGTGATAAACTTATCATCCAGGGTTTTAGGTGTTCATGTTAAGTCCAGACTCCAACCAGTAAAGGTGTTCCCATTTGCCGTGTGGGGCTCAGTTTTAACGAATATTCTGATGAGTAAAGATGGCATGTGATATAAAGTCTGAAATTTCCCCACAATAGTGTATTGGAGCAGTGCATTTCAACATCAATGGAGTTTGCTTTAGAGGTGGACGTAGCGAAGACATAGGCTTGATCGTCAATCTAAGCTGTTTTTAAGGAGGCAAAGAAAAAAAAGATCTTCCAGACCTCAACTGACTGTTAAGACGTCTGTACGGGTTTTTTCTTTTTACATGAGGAGAAAGGCATTAAAAAAGAAAAAGTACAAAAAAAACATCAGACTTGAGATGATTAAGACGGTCACAGAGATGAAAAGAGGAAAGCGATAAGCGCTTTGTCTTCTGTGTGTTGTTGGATGGAGGCGAGGAGATCCGAGGGATGAGGGGGGGGTGTCTTAGAAGGACCATCTCTCCTGTGTGCGGGGGTCCATGGAGAGGGTGGGGGACTCTGATGGGGGCTGGCTGCTGCTGTCTTCTCCGTTCAAACTCTTCCTACACACTGGACATGTGTCATGCTGAGTGGTCACAGAACAGAATAGACAACTTTAGCTTGAGGCGGAGCGTTTTCACGTAAGTTGAGTCATTGTAGTTTTATCAGGCTGCCACGGTCATGGAGATTATATTTTTTTATTATATATATATATATATATATATATATATATATATATATATAATATATATATACACACACACTACGGACTCTAAAATTATATAATGGGGCAAAATCCTGAACTGATTGAAGTCGCTCTCCTGTGTGAGTTGTAATCCGACCTTCTTTAGGTAGCTTTTTTTTTTTAAAAGCAGGCAAATTTTCCCAACTGGTTGCCATGGTTGCTGCTCAGCCCTGCGCCTTTACGGCTATTACAACTGATAACGCCTCATTGATCTCTTTAAGTTACCTCACAAGTATTTCCTGTTCGACCTCGCTTGCTCCCCTGTGCAATTAATCCCAGTCGTTGTCATGAGAACTATTATAAACATCAATGAGCCACTCCGCAGCATCGGCCAACGATGTTCCTTCATTTCAATAAAGAGAACTTTTTTTTTGTTTTGAACTTTGGGCAGCCGAAGCTTTCGTTTAAATGACCCTTCACGTCTTACTACTTGCATGCCGTTTCCCGTGTCAGATCTATTTTGTGAGTTTATTAAACCCTGCTTGTTATGACTCACCATTTCCAGCCACGGTACTATACAGTCTGAATGGAAGAAGTGGTTACAGGGTAGCTGTCTGACTGGCTCTCCCACTGCAAAGTCTTCTTTGCACACCGGACATTCCATACAGCAGTCTACAGGAACGTGAATAAAAAAAGGTGTCTAGTGTTAACCACCAGCGGCTAAATGACTACAGTTCAGTTGGTCGTCTTAACGGTACAAAGCATTTATCAAAGATAGCCTCCCCCACCCCCCCCAAAGATGTCAGCTACTGCTAAACCGAGCACACTGTTGAAACACGGTGGGAAAATGTGACCGTGTACACAGAGGAAGTCAAGAATAACAGATCCTCAACCGATCATCTAAAAGAAATTTATGTAACACATTGTTGATACTCAAGGTTAATGGATTTTATTTTCACCCAAATAAACAGTCTCAGCAGGCTTCTCTTGCCAGGCGGCAGCGGTTTAGCGTTGTATCCAAGTGCCGCGCAGACTTCTGAATAAATAAGTGTGTATTTACATGATGACAGCTTTTTCTCGGGAGTCCCTGCTTATGCATCCATAACCACTAGTTACCATAAAATAAGTGTGCCCTTTTTCTACAGAGACTTAATAGTAGATGACAACTAGCTGGTGCAACCCAAGTTGTGCAATCAATTAACTTAAAGTTCCATGAGCAATAAGACAAATAATCAATTACTGACCTGCTTGTTCCTGAGAAATATTGACAGTAGGGAGAGAAGAGATCTTCTCTTTCTCTGCTGGAGGAGGTCCCGTGTTATCCAACTGACCTAGTAACTACACATGCAACACATTTGTAAACGGCAGAGAAATTGATAAGTGAGGGTGGCGTGAGTTTTATTACGTTTGGCTTACCTGCGTTATCACAGCGTCTAACCCCCCCTGTCCCCAGGCGTAATCTCCTGGGTTAGAGTGCAACATCCCTGTCCTGGGAGAGTAACACACACCACAGGGTGATAAGAAATTGCACTTACACTGTGACGCTAGCGCCAACACCATGGTGCTGCTGTAATGGCATCTTACCATGAGAGGGGGGGGGAGCCAGGGACTCCAGAGTTGGCAAAGAGGCCGGCGAGAAACTGTTGTACGATCCTAAGAAACGGGGAGAAAATGCACAACTGTGATTGGCGTCACCAAAACAAGTCGGTGTCTTTAGAGCATTAATGGCACTGGCATTTTTTTTTTTAATAAGTGAGAATACCCGAGGCGCAGAAGAGAGCCGGGACGTTGGCGAGGACGGCCGGTTACTCACCCCTCCACAGCGGGCGAGCGGTCTGGTCTACTGCTGCCTCTGGACCGGTATCTCCTCTGGCTGTGCAGGCGGGGGGGACGTCCTGGTCCCCAGTGGTCCCCGGCTCCTAGTAGACCGCCCATTGGTCCCCCGAGGCCTGCCGGGACCGACCCTCCGATTGGTCCCCCTCCCAACCCTCCAAGGTCACTGAGACCCCCCAGGCGCCCTCCGGGGAGCCGAGGTTCTGAGTCGGGCGTGTCACCCTCGGCTGTAAATGGCCGCTCCAGTAACAACAGGTGCCATAGCTACGGGGGGGAGGTGGGGGTTCGACGGGGGAGGGGACAGGTAAGGGTTTGAAGGAAGCGATTTTCAGACAGAATGTGGGGATTAAGGAAAGGAAAGGAGGTGGGAGTAGAGAGGAGGAAAAACAGAAAGGTGAGTCAAGAACAGGGCAGGGAAAGAAAACAATAGGTTCATTAAAAACTGAAATGATTGCAATACATCATCTTAGCCCACTTCCCCACCCGACTCTATACAAAGTCCCCCAAGTCAGCTTCTACCTCTGCAAATTGTGTGGCTGCGTCATCTATCCCGTTAGCGACACCCTCTAGGAGACTGAGGGAGGCCGCACGCAAAAAGGGACAAAAGACACATCATTAGCAACATCCACTGAACCCTGTGCACGTGGTCAGGTTTAGTGATCGCCTGGGACAAAACGGCGTAGTAAGCCTGCGGGTCTCTGCAGGACAACATCCGGCTTCTCGTTCTCGTACCCGCTTTTGTTCCAGACGAACACTAAAGAGTGATAATGAGGTAGATTCTTAAAATAATGCTCTTCTCTCACCTGGAATCTTCTGTCACTTCCTCGATGAATCCCGAGTCACATCTTGGACAGATATACTCCTGAAATATTCACGACAAAGATTGAGTTGCAGTAGATAGAAGAAAAAAAAATGGGGACATAACATTTTTCAAGAAACCAAGGTGATATTTTCAAATATCAAACACATTCACTCTGGAGAAGCCAACGCCAAGTAAATTATATGCAGTATTTGCGAGGTTGTGATACAGGATACAAATCTGAAGGGAATTATAAAAACATTGCAAGGACATTACGCAGACCGGCTTCATCAACAAAACGTAATCAGTTTTCCTTTGCATGGATACTCTTAGATTTATGTTGGTCAGTGTCTCATGAAGTAGCCCAGGAGGTGGACGGGTTCTAACGACTACGCAGTTGGTACAGCTGGATCATAGGTTGTCTCCTCAGTGGAACACATGTTTCCCCAACTATGGGACCGGGACTGAATTGGGTTAATTCAATAAACAGCAGAAGCGATTAGAAAGTAGACGGATATGTCTGTTGTATAAGATGTGTTGATGGAAAAAAAGTAGGTCAAACACATAGTATGTTCCAGTCAAAGCTCACTCAATGCTTTTGAAAACAAAACAAAAAAACAAAACAAAAAAAGAATACAATGCTCACATGACCAACACATCCTTCAGTGGGTTTGGTTTACAAACATTTAGGGATGTAAAACTATGGTGATGTTTCAAAACAGCTCATCTTCCCGGTTCCATAGATGGATGCAACACTCGTTTTATCGTTGTAGTGGGCGGATGTATCGGTCAGTTGGCTCGGTGACAACATGCCACCGGGTTGAGTGTTCTTGAGACGAGCAGAGTCAATGACGTAGCAGGCTGGAATTACCCTCAACCGTACCATGAAAATATGGATTCGGCCGACAGGAGGATAACCCGGCCGACTACGTCACAGACGCAACGACTGCCAGAAACATGGACAATGACAGTTTGTTAGTTACTTTGTGTCCACTTCATTTACATCAATGGCGATAGACTGTATACATGCAATGTAATATGTTATGGCAGCAGCTCACACCTACTTTCATTTTCACCTAATCTAACCATTCCTTTTCGTTTAATGGATAAAGTTTCTTGGTCGGGATAGTAACGTCGAGGAAGAAACCAACAGACTTAAACTGAATGATATCAATTTGGAAAACCTGTGAATCTTTACATTTGAGATATTCCACGACTAGGAAACTTCACTTAATAACTTGCACGACTATACTATAATACTAGAACATTGTAGATTTTATCTTCGCCGTGTCTACTAATCAATTTGACACTTTACAAGTCAGACTGAAAACATGACCAATAAATTGAAACAAACCCATTTCTTAAACGACTATTTCTTTCTTCATAACCTTCATGAAGTAGGATTGAGAGCAGGGTTATTGTGTACCGCTGATTTATTTCAAACTAACTTTAGATGTAACTAATAAACGAACAACTGGGTGCAAGACGTAGCAAATACACGTGTAACATACACGCTCCAGTCATTAACGTCATATGACGTGACTCTTACTTCTCAGTTTAAAACAAACTGACAAAAAGACGTGTTAATGGTGGTCAAAATTCCCCAACTTGTCCTGTCAAGTGTTCGTTTCAGCACAAACAACTGTGGAAAACGAAAGCAACCCTGGTACCAGACAGCCAGTGCTTAGATAATGAAACGGGGCCAACGTAGACCTCCTTCCCTCAGCTGTTTCTGTTGTTCCTGGTCAAAACACAACATCCCCGAGCTGTCAAAGCAAGACGTCAAGCGCAGTGCTTTCACGAAACTGCCTCCAGAAACTGCCAGACTGACAAATAGCGCCGTTCGCCTTCAATGTCTGGCTTTCGACAAGACATTTGAATCGTCACGAGTTTTATTTAGAGAGTTAACAACAACAGACGCCGCTAAATGCTAACTGGCTAGCTTGGTGTATTAGCCGTTGCGACCGAGCGAAACAAACGGTATTTCTCAAAAAGGCTGACTTGTCAACCGCGCGATTTGTACAAGAGCACGTGACGGACGAACCGAGAAATGCCTTCGCCTTACCGGGAGTTTGGGGTTTACTTCTCCTTTACAACAGTGACAGAAAAACCGATGCGGTGGAACAGCCGCAGCCTCCGCCATCTTCCCCCGGAGCAGCACAAACACTGACGTCGGTCCTCCACGAACTGAAGACAGCTGTCCGCCTCCAGCCCGGCATGCACCGCGGCACCGCCGAGCAAATCCCAACCAGCGCAGCTGAATAGCGGAAGTGCTGCTGTGTGTGTGTGTGTGTGTTTTCTACCACGGGGGGGGTTCTAACAGAAAGCCGCATGTGTTCTAGTTGTGTTGTGGCGGCAGGCTTGACGCGACCATTTGCCTTGTGTGCTGAAACGTGGCTGTAGGACCGGTTCGTGGAGCGCACGGAGGTACCGAACGTTTCGGCGGCAGTGGCGGTTAAACGAGCTAGCTTGAATGTTGAGTGTAGCTGTTGTGTTGCTCGTCTGCGCAGCGACGTTCACTCGCAGCCGTGTAGCTCATCCATAAATGAAGCTTACTTGTTTGTAATGTTTTTACAAGAAGTATTTATCGTCCGACCTGTGGGTAATTATCATTGTTAGTGTGCACGCACCAGGCTTCTGTATAACGTTATATTATGTAACGTTGTGTCAAACGCTGATATTTATACGCAACGTTACGCTAACGTTTCTCTCGCCTCGTGATTTATTTTTCAAATAAGAAGCCTGATGATGCGCTAAAGAAGTTAACGTCACGTGATTTAGTTTAGCGCCTCCATAAAGTTAGTTTTGAGTGAGGCCCAAATATTTTGACTTTGTTATTATGGGTCAAGTTAAAAATGCTGTGTTTTATTAGTGCTGGAATATCCAATATTTGTATTGTGAACAGAAAGTGAATCTGCAATTCCAAAAAATCATCCAGTTCAAGCATCTTCAATACTGAATTTGCTGTTTTTCTGTTATATTGATTTTAGGGGTTTGCACTGTTGGTCTGATAAAACAAGACATTTCCAAAATGTCACTTTGCATTGCATTTGCAAATTGTTTTGATTGTTTTTCCACTATGGAGACTGATATTGTTTATAAAGGCTCTCTATCGCAATGAAACCGAGCCATTGTATATTCTCTATATTAGTAACACCTCCGCTGCAGTGACAAAGATGCATGCAAGTTTATGTGCCCGATAATACATCACCAAAACCTGAAATTACTACTTGTTCCCTATTTGTTAAAAAAAAAACGTACTTTATAAAAAGCAAACTTTTCTTTGTAACTTGTGTTTTGCACACAGCGGAAGTCCTCCTTCAACCTAAACACATTTTACTCATTGTGTAAAAAGCATTTATTCTGATGTAAAAGTCTAATTATTTGTTTATGACAACTTGCTTCCATGTTAAGTTTAATCCTTTTGTTTGGTGACCATTAAGCGGACTCTTAGTTTGTGCTTTTGTATTGTAAAGTGAGTAGAGGCTCTATATGTGAGACCGTTCTCCATCCATTGTTCTTTCTGCGCAGATGACGGCCCAGGAAGTGCGGCTGTGTGGTCTCCTGCTTCGGGAGCATTTCGGAGAAGTTGTGGAGAAAGTGGGAACACACCTTCTCAGAGGTGGAGCACAGAACTTAAGGATCATCATTCATGAGACTGGCGTCCCTCTGGACCTGGTACCATTCCAACTCTTTTTGTTTCAAGAATATTATTCTCTTTACTAAGCACCGTTCTATGCGTGATTTGTAGTGCGTTTTGAAGTAGTTTTTTGCATCATTAGTTTAAAAGTGAAAACTAATATTTAAGCGTCTGGTAGATTTACCGAGGTTTGACGAACGGTCTGATCTCCTGAAGGTGACGCACCTCTTTGCTTCCCTCTGTCTCGTTGTAGGTAAAGAAGTCCTTGTGTGTGCTCGTGCAGCATGGAGCCTGTGTGTTCAGCTCGGGCCGCAAAGGAGCAGGAAGCCCCACGGAGTATCGGACCAGCTGCGATCGGATTCTGAGAATCCTGAGATACCCGCGTTACATCTACACCACCAAAACCCTGTACGGTGACACCGGAGAGCTAATCATAGAGGAGCTACTACAGCGAGGTCACATGACCATGAGCAGCACGGTTAAGACAGTCGCTGACCGCCTCACGCAGAACATGGAGGGTCAGTATCTCAGTGTGTGTATTAATCAAGGGCTGTCAAAGCTTTTCTCACTTTTTTTGAAGGTGTTTCTTGTGCTCAGATTTTTGTTCTTTGTAGAGATTGAATACGACAAAGAAACAGCAGCAGTTTTAATCCCCCCTTTCCTTCTAGAGGGTCTCTGCATGGATTACGGTGAAGTGTCTAATGCCTTCTCCAAACTGGTGGAGACCCATTTTCTTCAGCGCTGCCCCCCGATGGTGGCGGCAGGAGCCGCAGCCAGTGCCGCTCCAGCCACCCCTGCAACCCCTGGTACTCCGGCTGCCCCTGTCAGCACTGCTCCGCCCTCACCAGAGAGCTTCCCCGACTGTTACAAGGTGCCACACATGACACTTGTAGGACGAGGAAAACGACAACTCTGCAGTGAGGATGGAGAGGACCAAAGGAATGCGAAAAGGGCTAAAATGGATTCGCAGGTGATGTTTATTACATTTTTAACACATTGGCAGTACTTTTAGAACTGAAATGACCTCTTTTTCCCCCTGTCCCTTACATATAACGTCTTTGTCTTTCTATCTTTTGTGTGTGTCTTTAATGGTCAGGCTCATGGTGATGAGGGGATTTGCTGGCAGGTGAATTTTGAGAGGTTCCATCTCCACTTCAGAGACCAGGCCATCATCAGTGCTGTAGCCAACAAATTGGATCAGGTCAGGTTTTTACACATGAATATTTTGAAGTTTTATGGGTTTGTCAATTTGGAAAAATTTCAAAACAGCTCATCTGTTGAAAAATATTCTTTTCTGTTTGCTTCCGCCATCAGTAAGTTAGCTTGGCACGAAGACTTAAAATCAAAACAATGTTATTTTTTGCTGTTTTGTATTTTTTTATATATATAAATATATATACACACATACGAGGAACAAATATTGTTGTTGTTCATGGTTATAATAATTGTCATTTGAAATCTCAAACGCAGACGAGCAGTGAGATAGTGAGGACTATGCTGAGGATGAGCGAGGTGACGACCTCGCCCACAGCCACCTGTACGAAGCCTCTCTCAGCCAATGAGATCTTTAGGTCCCTCCCACCCAGCTACAACATAGCCAGACCCATCGTAGACCAATACCTCACGCTACTGGTCGATGACCCGGTACGACCTCTGCAAGGCACCGCTCAAATTTTACAATCTTCATTTCGTTCTGCAAGATTGGTTTTGATCACTTTGTCTTTTTCTGATTTCTTAGATGGAGTTTGTGGGAAAGGCTGGGGAAAGTGGAGGAGGGATGTACGTTGTCAGTATCCTTCTTTTTAATCTAGAGGCTCATGAGCATATGGTCAAAAACCAACACACACATTTAAATTGATAGAACGCGAGGTACGGGTGCTTTTCTAAACTCGACTCTCAGATCTGCACAGAGCGCTGGCCAATCTGGCTCGAGCCACGCTTGAGTCTGTTGTGCAGGAGAGGTAAGTGTGGTGTTTAAACGTGTCTACATGTTATTGCCCGGTAATCCTTGTTAATCACTTTCCATCTGTTTTCAGATTTGGCTCCCGATCGGCTCGCATTTTCCGTCTGTTGCTAAGGAAACGTCACCTGGAGCAGAAGCAGGTGGAGGATTTTGCTATGATTCCAGCAAAAGAGGCCAAAGACATGCTTTACACGCTGCTGGCACAGAACCTGGTCCAGCTACAGGTACAAGAAACTTCCAGGAAGCCCCTCTTTGCATTAATGCGCTCTTAGGATGATGGATCGTTGACCGCTTTCCCTCCATATTCCTGAAAAAAAAACACTTGAACAGAACGTGAAAGAGCTTCCAAAGCAGAATCGCTGAACTGTCGGCACAAATTATTTGTAACATTCCGAACACTGATGGATGTATTCATACAACGAAAGTCTCTTCAGTCTTCTTAGTTCATAAAATAAAAATAAAAAATGAAACCTGATCCAAAAATCTACTTTCAAAATTGTTTGGCTTGCTACAATAAGTGAATGAGATATTTTTAAACCCCTTCCCTATTAATTAAAGACTGTCTCTTTATTCTGTGTGTCTCTGTGGACAATGACGCAGGAATAAATAAAGCAAAGTGGCCATTTGGCAGCTACACTGAGACATTGATATGTGATTGGGCACAGTTCGAGTTATGAAATTTGTTATTCCTTTAATTGACTTACCTGTGACACTTTTGTTTTTCTTCAGGAAATCCCAAAGACTCCGGACTTTGCTCCCTCTCGTACTTTCTATCTTTACACCGTCAACCAGCTCCCCACTGCAAGAATGCTGCTTCAGAACTGCTACAAGGTAAAACACAATGAGCCTGCCGTAACCTCCGGGGCTCTGGTTCAAAGACTACAGACGACATTCTTTCTTTTCTTGCAGACAGTCGCCAACCTCATAGAGCGACGGCTGTTTGAGTCCAGAGAGAACAAGTGAGTTCATCGTGCCCAGGAAATCAAGATCATTTCACATGATGAACCCTTAAGACCCGTCTGGCTCACACACGGTCACAGATCAACGTTTGATTAGTGGTCTGCTTGACTGACAGGCGTCTGCTGGAGAAATCCCAGCGAATTGAGGCCATTTTGGCATCTCTGCAGGCCAGTGGGGCCGAGCCCGAGCAGCTGACGGAGGTCGAGGAGATGATCACTGCTACTGAAAAGCAACAGCTGGAGGCCTTACGGCTTCATATCAACAAGTAAGAGCACAAAAACATTTTTACTGAGGACTGTTGGATCGCCTCTTTGGTCAGTTGGTTAAGATTCCCACTACTGTTCTTCACCCTTCCAGGTTGGATTCAGCAGAGAACCAAGTAGATGAAAGCATCTTTCTTTTAGAGTCCTACATCAACTCCACTGCTTCCACAAGTTGAGGGCATTGATTTTGTTTAGTGTATGAATGCTGTCACGTATGTCTGTTTTATAGTTTATATGGTTGGTTTGATCCAGTTTTCAGTGCAGTAAAATCTGAATAGAGTGATGCCTTGTTTTTATTGCACTCTTCAGCAAATTAATAAATTGAGCACGAGAATAATTCTTTTCAACAGTTTTAATTTCAATGAAGACACACACAAAACTGAAAGACAAACATATGAATAAACGATGTTTGAAATGTAAAACCAGGAAGATATCTGTATATTAAATAGAAGAATTGTGGTTTAATACACATTTTCTTTCAAATAATAAAAAAAGATTATTTACATAAGTGCTCCCGACCCTGGAAATAGTGGTGGTGCATTTCCACTCTCTCTTTGGTCCTGGAGGTCCCTGTTGCATCTGTGTATCGACTCCAAACTGTCTCTGTGCCTGATAAGCGGTGCACTCCGCTCCTGTGATATTTGTCATGGTAAATTACGGTTGTCATGGCAGCCAAAGTTGGACTCAGTCCTCATGGTTCTCATCTTCTTCTTCCCTCTGTTTGCGTGCAAAGAATCCCATCTGATGGAAATAAGATAGAGATGGATATTCTTTCCACAACGAGATGTTTGAAGTTGAATGTAACATGTGATGTGAATACCTTCCATAATATGAAAATGATGAGGGCCAGTAGCAGCAAACCGCCAATTATGCTACCAATCAGAATCCACAGCGAGATGGGAATCGCGCGGCCCTTTAACACCTCCAGTACAGTCTACGGAAAAATGGACAAAGGGTTTGCTTGGAGAAAGAAAATCTAATTCTCATTCTGCCTCTCAAAATCCTGCCACGGTCGTCTTACCTCCCTCCAGGCTGTCCCTGTGCCCAGAGTAATGAGGTTTGTCTCCTTAGCTGCCAGACGATAGGATGCTATTATCTTCACTGACTTGTATTTGGCCTACGAAAGGGGAGTCAGAAGTGAAAGTTATATTCAGGCTGAAATGAGCGTCTCCGTGTCGCTGTGTGGCTCACCTTTCTGAAAAAGTCATCGTGAACTCTGCGACTGACTCGAATGGCGGCGGTCTGCCCTCTCAGAAGCTGCTGGACTTCACACACAATCTCCGTGCACCACGACCTGCTGCAGTTCTACGAACGTAAATGAAGACGTAATTATACTGACGCCGCACAGCGTTCTGCGTTGGGCAGCAGCTCCGCTACCAGAGGCCTCACCAGTATGTCGTTCTGCATCATGTCTTCAGGATGAAGGGAGCGTACGTCTGTCTGTCTGGCCTCTAGTAGGACCGGATCACTCAGCACACTGCAGTTCACCCCGGTGGCCTAAGGGGGCAAATCAAGTCTGTCAGACACAATCCAAAAAGGGAGACGGAAACACTCACAAAAGCAGCACTACTCACGTTGTGTGAGACATCGATGACGGTCATGAAGACTTGGCCTCCTGCTGCCACGGAGGGCAGATGCAGCCTCAGCTCCAGATTACTCACCGAGTAACAGCCGAGGTTCTGCAGCTGAAAAAAATAAGTCAAAGAATAATGCTTCCACTGTGACTGCGAGCGGTCAAGGTCGCTGTGACAATTTTCACTAAAATATCTAATAGGATATCATCTTGGTTTTCAAGGACATGGAGCTAAACTGGTAGGCAGAGGCACTTTAACTAGAATTACTGCCTATCTTTTTTTTTTTAGACTAAACGACGAAAAGCGCGTTAAAGGTCATAAAAAGAGCTTTACCCTGAGGTGAGTGTAGAATTCTGGTCCAATTGCCTCCGACGCCGTCCGAGTGGGGTGAACCTCATATCGGTTCAAATTAGAGTCACTGCGCAGAATAAAACACAGCTGCTAAAATATCCGATTGTTGAAATTTACAAAAGAAATGTTGTGCGAACATACCTGCTAACAAACAAATCTGGTTCATACTGAACAAAACTCTGCAGATGGACACTGTTATCCCCAAAAGTGTCCTCTCTCTCCACACTGTCACTGTAAAAGAACAACAGGATTAAAAACATTTTTTTTTTTATTTTTTTTTTAGTTTGTCAGTATTTGTGAACCGTGTATGTTGAACCTGGCAGCGTGGAGCTTCATCTGCACTCGACTGTGCAAGGATGTGCAGCTGAACTCAAACTCCAGCATGAAGTTAACCTTCGAAGAAACAGAAAAAAAGAAAAAACGCCCGCTTGGAGTGACACATTTCACCTGAAGGAACTGAAGTTTGAGCGAGCTCAAGTCCAGAGAGCGATGGGAGATGTTGGACCTACTTTTGACTGGGAGCGAAATACTGGATAGCTGACGTTGCACGAGTGGCTGCTGGCACTGAGTGCTGTGCACTCGATCTTGAAGTGGGCGGCCTCCTGCACCAGAAGAAAAGGTGAGAGACACAGAATCCTGCGTTAGTTGGTCGGTGGCGCGTGTGCGAGCGTTTGCGGTACCTACGCCGTGCTCACCCTGATGCTGAGGCTGGAGAAGTGCAGGTTGCGTGAATAGTGCACCGTCAGGCTGGTGTTGTAGGCGTTCTCCAGCCTGTTCTCAAGCTGCACCTCCACCGCCATACGCCTGCGGGGGCTGCGGATCACGTAAGGCTTCTGTCTGTGGAGGAAACAATATAGAAACTCCCATAAAATCATCTGGTCTTGACAACATGAATCTCAAACGACGTACCTCGTCCCAGAGATGTCCATGTGGGCCTTCAGCACCAGGTCCGTTGTACAAACGTCGTCCTCACCACAGTCTTTAAAGAACTGGATCTGGACAGGCGCACGTGGAGATGACGACGTATTAGATGGAGAAAACGCAATGGAGCGGAAACAAGGAAGCTATAAATCACAACCGCTCACAGATTTCTTGACCGTTGTTGGCCAGCCTTCGTCCAAAACCGGACCGCTATCTGTGTTATTGATTTTGAACTGCAGTGAGAAACTAATTGGCCGGATGTAATCTGCTGTGTCCTGCAAACAAAGACGGAAACAAATGTCAGCGACGAGATAAACCTCAAACTTGTTGGTTGGCGTGTGTTGCAACTCTCACGTAGACGTGGAAGGGCAGATCGGAGCACAGCGTCTGTCCCACGTGGACTCGAACTGGCCGCTGGGTCTGCCGGTGGGAGCTCTCGTCAAACAGCGCCCTGGCAGACAACTTCCTGTCATCCAACATGGCCGACACCCACAGGTCTGAGGACAGAGCGGTTAATTACGACCCGTCTATGGCGAAGGACAAACAGCGGGAGTTGGAAAAGTCCCGTTCTGATTAATATTAGTACGTGTGTCCGGCCCTCGTCAAAGGCGATTAGTGAGGACGTAATGTGAAGTGTCGTACCGAAGCTGTTGCTGTGGGGACCGGGGGAGCGGGAGATGGTGGTGAAGCAGGCGGTGGCCATCAGACAGGCGGAGTCTCTGCCTCCCCGCTGGCAGGTCTTCTGAATGACGTTGATGGAGTGAGGCTGGAAGGAGAGACTCACGTTGATCTGCACGATGCTCCGAGAGCTGGACAGAGGACGAACAGGGAATGACCAACGGGTTCCAAAGTACATTTCTCTAACATATGTTTGGCATTCAGCTCATTTTGTGCAATAATCCAACCATTTTTGTTAAGTGAACCAGTGGGACGCTAACTACCGGCTTGAGACCTACAAAAATGCGTCATCCCTGCAACACTCACTTCTTGGGTGCATTTTAATGTGTTCATTATCTCCAAGTGCTTACAGCCATAAAACCAAAATCTGTTCTGTGAATGCCCTTCCTTCCCTCCGTCCTTCCCTCCCTCCCTCCCTCCCTTCTTAGGCCCACCTGAGCAGAACAGCGTTGCCTTGTGCTCCAACTGCCAAGTCTATTAGCTCATCTCCATCCAAATCCAAGCGAGCACTCACACTGCGGCCAAAGTACTGCAGCGAGGGGGAAATAGATGACCCCGAGATACGCTAAGAGCACCAGAGAGGCAGGAAAAAGAAAAAAACAATAGTTGGATTATAATACTGAAATAAACACGTGAAAATGCAATTGTGGCCAAACAAGCAGCACCTGCTTGTAGTTGTGTATGATGTAAGTACGATCTCCGTGGTAGACATAAATGGCGCCCTTGTGGTCGTCCTCCAGCGGGGCTCCAACCAGCAGGTCAGTGAAGCCATCGTGGTTCAGGTCAGGGGCCGCTGCCAGTGCGTAACCAAACCTGGCGTCCTGGGACTTGTCCTCAGACTTCAGGGTCCCATTAGGGACAAACAGCTCCTCCTGGGAGAAAAGAAACGAGTGTCGGGATTCACCGGGCGTTTGAGAAACGGCTACGGACCCCTAACGAGGGTTTGATGAATGTTGTGTAAGCGAAATCCACCAGCAGATGAAGGACCAGTGCCACTGCTGTCTCACCCTGCTGAGTGTGTAGATGTAAACTCTTCCAGTCTCCTTGTTTCCTGAGCCGAGGTACATCGGAGCCGCAACCAGGAGGACGTCCGTGATGCCATTCTGGTCAATGTCCATCCCGCACACCTCACTGCCATAGTAAGATCCAATCTACAGACGGAAACATGCCCTCTCAGTTCCCTGCCACTAGGTGGAGCCCTTGATTCAATGAGATTCAGGCTTTTGTCTGTTTTGACAAACAAGTAGAAGCGGAAGAAGGGTTGAGGATAGATTTGTGACAAGGAAGCTTCACCTGTTCTCCATTGAGCGCCTGCGCAATGTCGACACCGCCCTCACTGCTGAGCTCAAACAGGATGACTTTGCCTTTGTGTTTGAACCGAGGAGCTCCAGCCACGTAGAGCCTCTTCTTGTCACTGACGGTCACCGATGACACCGTGTAACCTGCAAACATGTAACCAAGTACATGGGCATCGTGTAACACAAGGGTCAGACCAGGGTTGGAGAGCAACTTGATAAAAAGTACCTGGAGTCGAATAACGTGTCTTTTATCGACCGTGTATTTGGATATGTGATTGTTTGCATCATTCTTGCTGTATATTAATACTACCCGAACAGAATCAGCTCAATTTCAGCTTCTGTATCATTAAGAAGGTCAGTGTTATTTCTTATCTTAACATTATAACACATTAACAATTTGGTTCAATAAATATTTGTTTATTCCCTTCTTCTCTCCTCAATTAGTCTACATATTCTGGTACATATGACCCCTCCACGGATGAGTGGGAAGAAAATGGAGATGGCTGGAGTGGATTGCAGTCCCCATCACTGAGTAAGTTCTTCTCAGATTACATGTATGTGTTTGGTAGGGGAAAGAGGACACGTGCACGTGTTCATACGAGTAAAGCTGAATTAATGAAATATCATCTGATATTTTCTTGAGTTTCTATGCACAAGACAAACCATAAGCAAGAAGGATTTGTAAGGTTTTGTAAAGGATCACGTGCAGTTGGAGCTCATTTAATCCGCTAAAATTAATTATCACAGTGAATTGGTTCCAAAAAGCCCCCAGGTTTGGGTTTTGGACTGTTTTGTAACACAATGTCCCTTTGGGATTTAGGAAATGTGATCCAATACAGACGAAAAACAAAGAAACAATTAAGTGTATATAATTGTTGCAGTTCTAATCAAATTATAATTAATTGAAATTGTAGGTGGGCAAGGATTTGGGGCCCACTTGTGGGTCGCCCCGGCCCTGTAGTCGGCTCAAAGTTTCAAATGTCTGAGCTTTCAGCTGACACACGAATGCACCCACCTGGAGGAATCAGTCCCAGCAACACCGAAGATTAACAAAACAATCTGTGCTAGAGATCCGTTTGCGTGGAAAAAATGTTAGATGCTGCGTGGTGTGATATGACGGTACCTAAATAAGCTGCGTGATTTTTGAGCTCCAGTGGAAACTCGCTTTCAAAAGCCTCTCTGGGCGGAATTATTTGTCCGTTGCTCCCTTCCTTCAACACTCCGCCGTCCCAGTCGTAGGCGCCCACCATCCCAAACAGGATGCCGTCCTGAAGCACGGAGCAGGCCAAGGATGAGACACGTGCAGTTCACACACACACACACACAGAGGGTCACAGCTGGAGGACTTACATCCATTGTGTGTGTTGAGAAGCCAATCTGAGACATCTCCATGTGGAACGAGCTCTTGTTGTTGCCCAGTGTGCCTGGATGGGGAAAAAAAAAAAGAGCAATTCTGTTTCTTCACACATCTCCTCCCCTCTCTGGATCTGATCCAGACGGCCTTGTCCGACTTCTTTCATTCCTCCACGGCCTCCCTTTCCCATCACTAACCTTCCAGAGTGAAGATGCGATCTCCCAGGGCGTCCACGATGTCATTGAGCGCAGCTTCATCGGTCACGTTGAAAAAGTACTTTTCTTCGGGGGCACTGGCGATAGACTTGATCTCCGTGATGAACGTCTCTGGGTCCTGCTGCCGGCGGATGTAATGACCCAGAACCTGGAGGCCAGCGTGAGACAACGAGCCAGAAAAAAAGATGATGGATTAAGCTGTGCAGAACAGGGGGGAGGAAACAGAGCACATGTATCAGAGCGAAGGTTTGTGAATGAACAGTGAGGAGATAAATATATAGTCGAAGTCTGAGGCAAAAGGAGATATTTACTTTGATGTAAGCTGTAGGAATTGAACCGTAAACTCGATACAAACACACTTCATTGACTGTGTCATCCACAGGTTGTTATGCAATATACCTAAAGGCAACAAGTTGACTGGAAAACATAAGAGCGGAGGAAACGGTGGCCACCAGAGGTTTGTAAATGAGGAGCACAGGCCTCGCTGCGAGGCGAAGAGATGACTGACGCTGGAGATATATTGTAGCAGAGCAGTCGCCGACGGCATTATGCCTGAAGTACAAATGAGAAAAATTCCATAAGGGAAACCAAACCCGAGAATCTCGCCCTGTGTGTTCAGCTGCCAAGCAAACTAAGGAAATCCTCTATTTTCAAAGGGGGATGAGAGGGGTGTAGTGTGAAGGGAGGCCACATGAAATATATATATTAAGATGCTTTACATTCCTTTGGCTTTACACAAACATAAAAGACCGAAAAGAGATTTGTGTTGAAATTGAAAGCACAATTCCAGCACTTGGAAAGGAATTGAATTTGAATGTAATGGTATAAACACTGTGGCTGCCCGTCTCAAATCAAACGATCGATGGCCCAGCGTCACGTTGTGCACATTTCAGGTGGAGTTGTTGATTCCAGAGTGAATGTCTTCTTTGAATATTTGAAAATAGATCTCAATGACTTTGACCCTTGACCTCACCTCCAGCGCAACCACGAGCTTCGTATTTTGTCCACATCACGGTTCCACTGTGTTCCCTCTTGTGATTCCTTAATGTTTTGGTCTGGCTCTGTTACCACAGCGTCTCATGAGGGTAAGGTGGGGGGGGTCTACAACCAGTTCTTCCACGAGAGCCCCACTGTCCCAAAAATCCATGCCGCCCCTCTGTGTGTTGAGGGGTCGGGTGGAGCTAGAAGGAAAGAGCTTCACTTCCCACTCTTTCAGTAATCAGTCATCTGTGTATTTAGAGCCGTGTTATTTTTTGAGGCGGGGCAGTTTGGGGGTTCATATATTTTCACCGTACCACTTTCACACTACACGTGAGGAATGTCAGTTTGTGCGCTTCCCACAAACGTTTCCCCCGGTTGCAGAAGGTTGGATTACTTTAGGTCTGCGTGACCTCGAAGCACAAAAGTACTCACAGCGATGGCGTATCTGGTGATGTTTCTGTCCGTGCACTCGCCCAGCGAGGCTTCCAGATCCTCCCCGTCATGTGACTCCCCGTCCGTCACTACGATCATCACCTTGGTGGCGCCCTCCCTGGCTCCACGCTCCTCGCTGAACGCCTCGGTGCTAGAGAGACGCAATGGGACAGACTGAGATAAATGATGACAAGCGGCGCAGGGAGAAAAGAAAATGAAAATAGAAGCATGCAAGGAGTGAAAGAGCCTGAGGGAGAGGGAGAAAGACGTAGAGAATCAGTCACTTGGTTTCATAGAATCTCAAATAAACACACCCCATAAAAAAATATACATCTCAAGGGCTAGAAAATGCCAGAAAAAACACTGACAGATTTGAAGTTGCTTCCCGGATATATAAATGGTCCAAATCACGAGTGTACCACAACTAAATTAGTCATATTTGGCACACATACATTTACTGCCAGTTGACTCGCATTGTTCATGGCCTGCAGTGCATGTGTCATTGCACGCAGCGACCGCATCTGTGCACTCCCATCCTGTTGTGCCACGATGCAGAGAGGAAAACCTAAATGACAAATGCACCAGCAGACCCAAGCCACACCCTGTTTGTCTCCAGAAACCTGTTCACCAACGGGACGTGATTCAAGGATTGAATAAGTTTGGTAAGCCTCAGACCAACACACACACACACACACACACACACACACACACATGAACTGAGGAGAGTAGTCCCTGCGAGTGAACTCAGTCATTTTCAGTCCCAACTTCAGCCCCTTGTCTAAATATAACATGGTGGTCAGCCGCAGGAAAGTCAGAGTTAAAAACAACCGTTTCCCCCGTGCAGTGTGCAAATTACACAGGGTGCAGAGAAGGAGGGTGGAAACAGAAGAGAGGAGTAGAATAACTGAGAAGAACTAGATAAAGATGAGAAAGAAGAAATGGTAACAATTAGTCCGGAATAAAGGAACATGGAGATGAGACAGGGAAGGGCGGCTTAAAGGGGATAGAAAGTGAGTGGCGCTAATTGGGAGGCCTGGTTGTATTTACACGCCATTTATTGGAGTCACAGCAGTGTGGTAATGACACGGCGCAGCTGTCTGTGTGTGCACTTGTGAGGGTGTGTTTGAGTGTGAGCGGGAGCGTCTCAAGCGGGTGGAGCAATGTAAAAGAAATGTTTGATGTTCACGTCATCTACTCTACATTCGAACGATTGCTGTCATTTACATGTCAACATCACACTGTCTGCAGGCTTCTATTTCTTCCCTCCACGGATTCACGCATTGCCAGCTCAATTCGAGCAATCTGCCTTTTTAAACTGCGTTCTCACCATTCTTTTTTTAGAGCTGAGACCGTGTCCCTTTCAAGTCGTTCCCCCGTGTTTTATTGTGTTTGGAGATGAATTCTTTAACAAATTCGTATGGTCTTTTGTTGATTGCCCCCACTTTACCACTACACTTTGATAGCATTTCTTTTTTCTGTGGGTTTATTTCTATTAATACATTTTACCACATTTCTACCTCATTTAACTGCCATTGCAGACTGGAAGAAAGTCTGGTAAATTCCCTCAAAACCTCAAGACTTTAATCTACAGTTGTGGAGTGCGCCCTTACTGTGTGTCTGTGTGTGTGTGTGTGTGTGTGTGTGTGTGTGTGTGTGTACTGTTGGTATCTGAGTAGGTCTTTTCACAGCAGTAGGAGCACTACTTGTCTGACCAGGCCGAACCACACCTGCAGCCGTGCTGAGTCAGCAGCCCACGAGTCCAGCTCAGCTAATCGCACTGTTTTTCTACCCCGACGCTTCCCTGCACACTGCCAGCTGTGTGTGTGTGTGTGTGCGTGTGTGTGTGAGCAGGAGTCTGCCCTGTTGGTTTGTATGAGGCAGAAGGGGTTATATTTGGACATTTATTTCTTTAACGTGACTGACACACACTTCCTTAATCTTTAATCTGTCATTTTCTTAATAGCGCAGATGACTTTACAGTCAACTTATGACGGTGCAGGAAAGGTATTGAGATCGTAAGATAAAGTGTCTGGATTTCCTGTCATTTTAATGCCGAAACACTATTTCACTGGCTCCATTTTCAAGTTACTTTTTTCGACTGCCTTTTAAATGTCCCTCCATCACTTCTCCCAAACAATTACCTTTAAATGTAGCCAGAAAACAAGGAACTCTTTGATTACCTGTGTGTGTGTGTGTGTGTGTGTGTGACACTCAGAAACGCCAAAAAAGAAGCTGTAGCCACATACGGCCTGGGTGTGGTGCTCCTTGTGGCTTTAATAAAGTAGGAATTTTCTTTTGAAAAGAAAGATACTTTAAGACTAGGAGGTTTTCACTGCCCCTTAACATATAGGATGTTTCTTTAGACTTGGGTTACCATCATAAATGCCCTCAACATGCTTCCACAAAGCACAGGCGTGACGGTGATGACAAACTGGGCCACAAATGATGATTGATCATTGACGTATCTCTGCTCTGTAACTAGTGATCTAGTATCTCTGCTACGTTCACCAGCTAGTCTGTTATTCTTTTTGTCTCCTTATTGATGTCGAGCAAGTGACTCGTAGTTTGAGGACAGTTAGTGAATCAAAACAGGGAAGTTACACTTAGAAAAACACAACTAACTCCTTGAAAGATGAGTCTATAATTCATCATAATGTTGAGTTTACACAATGAACGCTTCCCTTTGAGAGTTCACATGGTCATTTGATTTGTGGTCGAGATCAAAGTATTGCTCGGAGCACCTTTCGGTACCCTATGGTACAATACTTCATCTTTGGGTCATCATAGAGTGACATATTTAAAACACTACACCAAAACCTAAACAGTTTCCCGTTAGCCGGCCAGATGTACAGAGTTGTTTTCGTACAAAGAGCACGAGCCAACGAGAGAGAGGCCACAGGGATTGACGGGCCTACCAGGCTGTGTGGATGGCGGACGCCGTGCGCGTCTCTCGTCCCTCCTGTCTGCTGATGTTCTTGGCGGCCTCCACCACCTCCTGTGTGGTCTGGTAGTCCTTCAGAGACCACTCGTGGACAACTACCTCGCCGTACTGCAGGATGCCAACCTGAATGTGCGCACAGACACACACACACAGACAAGTATTTCAACAATGCCACATATTTATGGTCGTGCTGGCACATCGTAGTGGAAAGCAACATCTGTGGCTCTTGTTTCTGGGTCAATTATCTATTTGAGTAGCCATCTCATTCTTAAAGCAAACAGTGCTCTTGGAGAATTTCTTAATTCATTCAAAAACCAGAGTTATTTCCTCTTCCCCTCACTTTGCCCCTGACCCCTCGTCCCCCCTTTTCAAAACTCCAACCACCTCTTTCTCCTTGTTGTTCAACTCCGAATAACGTTCCCAGCCCCCCCTTCTCCCACCCGACTTTCATTCCTCCTCCACCTCAAGCTAACTCGCCTCACGTCCTTTTTTACATCACTAAAGAAATTCATTCTGGTCATATTTGCCAAAATGGTTCTTCTGTCACTCGCTGCATGTTTCCACTCAAGGGACCAGCTTGTCTTACTCTTCTGGGCCACAGCGCTCACAATCCAAAACCCACAAGTTTACATCACTAATGTAAAAAGTATATATCAGCAGTGCAAATAGACATTGACTTGCACTCTTACCTGCATCTGGTCCAAGCTAATGTGGAACTTGCTGAGGATGTTGCTGAGGAAATTCTGGACCTCGTACCAGGGGTAGATGCTGTTGGAGCCATCCAGCACGATCACAATGTCCATGTATGTGGAACACTCTGAGGGAGGTTTTTTTTTTTTTTTTTTTTTGAAAGAAAGAAAAACGAGTTGCTAAAGGAAGCCTGCCCAACATGTACTACGCCTGTGTGTGTGTGTGTGTGTGTGTGTGTGTGTGTGTGTGTGTGTGTGTGGTTACTTTGCGCTGTTGGGGCGATGGGCTCTCTTGGATCTAAGTTGTCGCTGACGGAGGCACAAATGCCGGTGCTGAACAGAGACGTACCGCACTCCTGAGACCACAGAGGGGCACAGGCCTGCCAAACACACATCGGAACACATCAGCATCTGTCTGTCAGGTGAAGCAATTTCGGAAGCAGCGCAATTTGAAGCGGTTGATTTTTGGTGTTTGCGTGTCGCTCAGTGTGAGTGTTTTCTTTGGACGGCAGGGATTAAATGCGTTGACAAAAATGGGGTGACGACTGAATAAACACACACAAATAAGGCTGAGCTAGAGCATACTGGTATCATATAGAAATGAGAGCGCGAACAAGTCATGGAAAAAACTACAATAGTGTGGTTTGGGGAGCAGAGGAATGAGGGAGAAGCGTAGAGATGGAGAGTATTGTTGACATGCTGGCAGTCACTTGTCATGAGTGGTTTACCAGAGCTGGAACACCAGACCAGTACAGCAATATAAATTTGATTGTGTGTAAGGGGGGGGTGCATGGTATAAAACATATTTTTATCTTCAAAGCGTGGCTTTTATTTGGCTTTCATGCCGAGAGGGAGGAAAAAAGGGGAAAATGTGGAAAGGGAAGATAAAAGAGAAACTCGTGCACACAGCAGAGAGACAAAAGAATGAGACCAACTGAGTGGGGTTGGATGGGGCAGAATGAGAAAACGAGAAACATCCCGGTACTGCCCCCCGCCCTGTCATTATCAGCGGGTTTCTCTTCAGACGGGTCGAGGGGACGGGGTGGAGGGATGGGCGAGAGACAGAAAGCAGGGAGAGGACGGAGTGAAGCGAGAGAGGTGCTATGGCTTTTGCTCGGTCTGTCATTAACGAAGGGCCAGAGACGCATTCCGATCCTCTTATAGACCTGACCACTGGGGTTAAGATAAACACACACACACGCAAGAATGGAATAAACCGAAGGACGTTCATGAACTGTGCTCGACTACACGGCCGGAGCAGCAGTAAAAGCCTGGCACACGCCAAAACACGCTAACACTTGATGGACACAGTATCTAACATACAATCACACGCACAGAACGCACGTTTCTGCTCGCTGGCTCATGCAGACGTGTGTGTGCGTGTGTGTTCCTCTGGAAGCCAGAAGCCTCAAAATTGTGTGCTCTGAATACTGTGTGGAGAACCTTTCACGTCACAGACATGAGGACTTGCACTTGAATGATGTGAGATTTAACTCGGCACAAAAACGTATAAGTCTCAAATCAGTGCCTCCTACAATTTGGCAAAAATAGAACAGAAGTCAGCCAGAGGAAGGCGGGCTTCGCATATCTGCAAAAACTTCCGTAATTACAGCAATCACACTGTTGTGTTTATTCATTGAAGCATGTTGCCAGTTCAGTCGGCCAACTCCCGTCTTTGTTGTGTGAAAATGTGTGTGCGCGTATTAAACTCCAAAAAGGTATCAAGAAAGTATCAGTGAGTCATTCAATTCTGTCAAACAAGCACAACTCGATGTCATCACATCCCTTCAGTCCTGTTTGTCACTGTTGAAACCACGTACCAAGAAGCCATCAGGTGAGTTTGGAGTCAGCGTCATTCCCAGGGAGGAATTTCTCAGGTTTTTAGAAACGTTCTGAAGAGCGGTCTCACCTGAGATAGACAGATCAGTTTAGTGTAGCATTGACCTGAACAAGGAGAGTTGACTTGTTACACATGTTTGTTTCTCTCACCTATATTCATTTTGCTGCAGTTTGAGTTCCTCTCCTCTCCCACGGTGCATTTGTACACGTCTCCTTTCCTGTTGTTGGGGGGTCCGTCCCAGGGAGCACCGACCAGCAACCTTCAGCAGAAAGTCCTTCATCATCAACACACTCAGTGTACATCTTGAAAGTTCAGTCCAGTCATGAAAAGTTGAATTATTTGTTGATCTTTCTTGCTTCCAATCAACACGAACGTACAATTTCTCCCCGTCTGCTTCATGTTGTAAAACGGAGAAGCCGAACAGAGCGTCCTTTGGACCGGTGAAGATGCGCGGGCGCTTTACATCTATGTTGAAACACTGACAAAATACTGAAAAACAAAATAACAGAAAAGAAGATTAAACAGTTGCATTTTTTAATTGAATGGAATTACGATGTTTCCAAAGATGCCAAATACGTCAGGCTGAATTTTGAGAAATCTATATAACATGATACATTTGAAATCTAGAACATTTTCATTTTTGAGGAGATGCTGCAGTCATCAGTCTTTAGTTTGAATGTTTCATGAATATAGTTTATGTCAGTTATATTGTGGAGTAAGATGCATGTTACAAAAGTAAAGCCACCTCAAGGGGGGGAAAAAAAGTTTTTTTCCCGAGAAAGAATGAATACCTCTCCTATCTGTGCTGTAAGTAGGAGGCTGGTCCTCAGATGTTGTGTTCGTGAGAAGGGATCCCTGGTATCAAGGAATACATAAGCTTAACAACGTGGGTTTTTGGTGAAAACATTGGAGTGGTATTAATCTTCTCATCCGACTCTCGACAGGAAAGTGCTTTACGGAGTAAAGAATGCGAGTCTGTGTAAACAATATTCATTTCTGGACAACTGTACAGTCCAAAGCCTGATTATTATTTTTCCCTCTCGGCTTTGGGGAGGGAGATTGGAGGGAGAGAGATGGGGGGGGGCTGAAAAAATGGATAAACAGAGTGACCAAAGAGTTCAGGGGGGAACGGGGGAGGGAAGAGGCAAGGCAGGGAAGGGTGTGGGTTAGAAAAACGATGGAGCATAGTAAGCCCCCTGTTGCAACGCACAAGCCGCCCTTCATTCACCGAGGGAGAGGGGCGAGGGAGACACAGGGGATGAAGAGCAGCAAGATGGTTCCCTGAGTCGTGAACATTCAGGTGCTGACTGGAGCATGTTCATACTGGCAAAGTTAATGGCTATAAATGGCTATTTAATGGTTATTTTTTCAAAGAGTGAAAAGAAGTTTAACATTTTTTCCAAAGCCAGAAAAATACAAATTGGTAGATAACACACACTTAGTTATGTTAAATGTTGAAACAAGGGTTAACTGATGAATTTCACTGGAGCTTCGCTGACCTCCTCCTCTGTTCTCGCTCACCCAGATCTATAATATGTTCTATTATCAGTTTGCCTGAGTCCTGCTAGTATAAAATGTGCAATACACTGTGCAGACCAATAACCAATGGATCCACATTTTGCTGTGCATCAATGTCAGATTTAGTGTAAGTACACAGTATGTCAAATGCAGTATACCGAAAACACCAGGATACCCTTCTACATCTGGTGGCATTTTGCAGCATGAAAGGCAGCTTTTCTGTCTATTCTGACCCACAATCCTCTTGGCAAGAGGATCAAAGTTCAAGGTGCAAAATTGTGGGAGTAGCATATCCCAATGGACGGCACGAATGGACCAATGGACCAATGAACGGGACGCCGTATGCAACAGTATTTACGTAACTGGAGTGTGCACTATACGTGCAAAGAAATGCAGACTTGGAATGCAACTTTATTATCTGTTTCATCGTACTGGTAGCTGATACCAGCGGTGGCTCACAGGAAACTACCCTATCTTGCTATTTCCTTAGAATAACTGGCAGCTTAGTCACACAAAACACTGAACTGTGTGACAGTTAACGGGAACCTGACTTGTCACACTTGAGCAGCTCCGGAAAGCAGGCAGTGCTGGGTATGTTTCGTTCAAGAGGATTTCTAGATAAATCTTAGTTGACATGTAATTTATTGGCATCCGGAGCATCAGCGACTGTCCTATTGCGCATATCTCCAGTGATCCAGATGGAGAACGAGACCAGAACTCTGCTGCCGTGATAGTTCACCAGTTCCCGAACACACACGGGTGCAGATAGTTCCCCGCAAACACGCCGACACACACAGGCGGTTACCTCGGCCAAATCCGAGGGGGATTGCACTCGGCTTTGAGAAGGAAACTAGATATGTTCAATGTTTCCCTTTCTCCTGCCTTTCTCACACGCTGTTGTTTCTTCTACCTGCGCTTTCATTTTTCTTCTCTGTACAAGTTTCTTCTCACAGATTTACTCAAGGACGTCGAGCTGCAATTCTTTAAAGCGTTACTCTAAACATTGCCACGTTTTGCTGATTGGTAGACCTGTTTGCTGCAGACTTTAATGTCAAACAAAGGATAAATAGTGTCGACATCGAGTTTTGTCCTGATGGTGTAGAAACATAGTTTGCATTTCAATGTTTCAGCGACCACTGGATGCATTTGTCAATGACTTTCGTGATCTAACTTTTCATCTGGCGCCATCCGGTCAAAACTTTACTTTGAATTATAACCAAACAACTCAAACAACAACTGCATTGTGAGCATGTCAGTGGGCCAACAAAGTACTGCTGTGCTTTGGGCCTTTCAAAGAGCACCTGTAGACCTGGAAGTCTTGTTTCTGCTCATCTTGCAGATCTGAGTGAGCGTCTAGTATTCCAACCTGCAGTGACTGTGAGATTCATCCATCTACCTGATTCTACACAGATGCTCAATGCACTTCAGCGGTGGGAATTTGCGTAGGCAAGGACAGATTCATTTCTTGATACTAAATCATACTTGTTCATTGCCAGAGTGAATGTGAAGGTTTCCATCCAGCCTTTGTTATTCTGTCCTCTTCTGTCAAATCTTAAACACTGTGTACTAAAATATCTTGTGGCAACATCAACCAGCCTCTCTGGTTCCAAATTGCTTTCCACAACAAACCGGGGGCCCCTGATAAAAAGCCCTGCTACTGATTTCCTCTTTCATCCTCCTATTTCACTCATTCTCTCATAAACCATAAATTGCTTCTTTCTTTTACCCCCTCTTTCTAAAAACACATATTTAACCACGACCCCCCCCCCTTTCGTTCATACCACAAAACTGCACCTCGCTCCCTGTTTTGTCTGTCCTGTCCTGTCCTCCTTCCTCTGGTTCCATTTTCATTGGGGTTTATATACCTCACCGTACCGCAGCCCGTCTGACCACCCGTCACCATGACAACTGCTGGCAAACATTTATCAAGGCGAACGAGGTCCAGATTCTCTCGACCGCACGTGGGGCTCCGGGTGGTATCGGTGCTGGATCCGCATAGCTGCGAAGTGCCGTATATTTACACAGAAAGTTAACGTGACACGTCAATGTTTTGGATGATTATGGAGACATGCGAGCAGAACGCAGAGACACGGATGTATGTGGTTTTAATTGGATTATCGTATTTAAATGACCTTTTCTCCTCGTCTGTTTCTCTGGTTCCTGAATTCAATTCCCTGACTTATAGCCCCTCTGTGAAATGTCCTGCAGAAGAGGTTATTGCTTGACTGTCTGTTTCTATCATCTTCATTTAACTGACTCATAATGTTTCCCATGCAATCCCCCTCCTCTCTCAGCTCAGTTCACCCCCTTTTCACAGATTTTCTCTCAATTATCTTGCTGGCATTCTGTTTTCATATCTGTCACCCTCTCCCAGGGAATGTGGGTGCAGGGGGAGTAGGATTAAAAGTCCACAAATGGGGGAGGGTAAAAGGATAAAACAAGAAGAAACCCGGGAGAATGATAGCAAAAATATAGAAATGAGTCACACACACACACATGTGTTTGACATCTCTGCAAAGCATAACAGAGCGTAAGATGCTCGAGAGGCCTGTTGTCCACATCAGGAGAGGTCTGCTGAAGCCATTACCATAACACACACTCTCACTCACCGCCATGCTCCTGTATGACACATGCAGCAACACTTACACTAAGGTCACATTGCTACAGTGCAATTTACATCAAATATTGCAGGGTTAAATAGAGGTGGTCGGAGGGAGGGTGGGGGGTGTTAGCCTTTACATGCTTGATCTAACCTGATAATGGAGGGCAATGTGTAGAACCTAACCGCAGGCTGGTGGCGTTTGTTAATAGGTGTGTGTATACTGCTTTGTACGTATGTGGTCCTTGTTGATTCTAAAGCTCCTGGATGAGAAACATTTTGCGTTGCACGAAAACCGACCGCGTGGATAATCACCCCTCGGGCAATATGCCAACGCCTCAATGTTAACTTTGACTTCAGTAGCTGTGTGGTTCCGAGCAGCCATCTCAACATGCCTTGCACGGCATAATATCTCAGCCTATTGATCTCATTTCTCTTCACGGCCATTACGCAGCAGTTAAACGTGTGCTTATCCGCTGCGCAATCACTTAGACAACAATAGTCTTTTTCTTAGGTTGCCTGCTGGTGAGCGGGAATATAGCTCCATGTGGTGTGTGAGGCTCCACGCCGAACATGAGGGCAGGAGGGAGAGCTGATGTTCAGGCTCCGTGTTGAAAAGGCACATGGCGCATGACGCCTTATTAGGGGAACTTCAGACATCAGGTTTAAGCGATGGGCTGATGGCCGGTAGGGTTGAGTTACTCAGCTGCCAGGGTCAAAGGGGGTCGACTGTAAGAGGAGAGCAACCGCTAACCTTTTGGCGGAGGTTACATGCAAATATCGCCGAGCTTTAAGGCCTCCAACTCTGAGAATGAAATTCTTCCTCGGCACTGACAAAAACTGATGGATTTACTTAAGAAGCCAACTTTGAACAAGGAACCATTGCTTTGCGGGACACATGCACAACTTCCTTTTCCTTTGATCTTTTTGGCAAATGGAGTGTGGTCATGTGTTTTAGTATGCCCGCTTCTCTGCTCTCCGGCACACGATCACGCTAGGAATGTCTTCATGCTCACTCACTTATACTGTCACAACACAGAATAAAGCTCTTTGGGTCTCGGGGAGGCACGTGTGACGCAATCATTCACACATGTCCGTTTAGTGCAAGAGTTGTGGAGGTTATGGACCACATCAGCCAGAGAGACAGCGCTGGAGGAAAGGAGAGCAACTGGGGAGTGAAGAGGCATCAATCATGGACCAAGAGGTTGACTTTAGTTCTCCAAAGTTCAAAAGGTGGCTTTAAGAGAGGCACCACTTCGTGCCCTGAGGCTCACCACCCTCTCCTGTTAAAAGTCCCATAAGCAGCCAAAAAACTCATTTTAAAAACACAATCATTTCAAAGTGACTTATTACCCCAAATATAACTTTAGGAATGATAATAAAGGGGTTATTACCTATCAGAAGAAGGATGGACTCCAGACACAGCAGGTATTTACGCAGATCCATTTATGAGAGCGAATGAAAGAAGAGTCTTTTTTCTGTTAAAAAAAAAGAAGAAAAGTTCTCCCTTGAGCTGTGGTAAGCGCAGAGCTTCGGCGTGGACCACATGCACACGCGCACATACAGACACAACTATAAACGGACACGCGCGTCCTCGGGTCTCGCTTTAGATGCGTAAAATCCAGTCAAACGGTCCTCCGCTGGCACGTCTGTTGTGCGCGCGCTCCCTGGTTTGCTAAAGTGGTCTCGTCTATAGAAAATAAAACAAGTCTTCTCGACATCATAATCCCTGAACGTGATTCTGTCGTTTTCTTAAAGTCCTGGAAATCTTCGGGTGACACCACAGAAAGTTATTCCCTGTTGTGGTGCGGCAAAGGCTTCTAAAGAAAAATGGCTCAATTGACACCTCGGGGACCCGCAGGCGTGATAATAAAAAATGGCTGCCGTTGATAATCATTAAACCATCACCAGTGTGTAACACCTTCCCAAACAGATGTCAGCAGCGCGCGTTGTCCTCCTCGGCTCTGGAGCGCGTCTCTCCAGATCTCCAGTCTCTCTGTATAGAGCCAAAGGTTTGTGGAGAAGTTCTTTAGAGTAGCTTGTTGTCCATGGTCCTCTGCGCTGATTTCCTCACTTTTTAAGAGAAATCCGCTTGTTCCTAGAGAGTAACTGTAGGTGTATCTATGTGCCTCTAACGGACTTTGAAATGAAAGAGGGCATTTATCCTCGGAGTTCCCCTCCCTCCATCCGTCCTCCAGCCAGCAGTCCTCTCAGCTGGATCACATCGACAAACCTCAAACCGACATGTCTTACTTTCCAAACTGACGATTTCTCTGTTTGCTCACCTCTGACTGACTTATTTCTTTGGAACAAAACCTTCACATCAGATCTTAAACTTTGCGGAATATATAAGTGCCGCACTTTGGCTCTATCTACTTATTTACTAGTATCTTTATTGGTTAATATCTCATTTCGCCATCGATAGAATCAACCTTCGGGTAGCCAAGTTGTGGGAAATGTTTTCCAATGTTTCTTAATCCCGAGCAAAAGTATCAGTGAAATCATATTTATAATGTTAAGTTCAATTATTCATAATTCAAACCATGAGCTTAGTTTAGATGCCCCGTCCTTTCCTAGGAAATAGGTGGATGGAGGAAAGCATGAGGACATTATTCATTTGATTTCTTAATCACCAACAAACCAATTAACACACTTTGACCAGCAACATATTTATGTTTTGATAAAGGGAAATAAGTCTTTTGACATTCAACATGGCCTGTCAAACACAGGTATTGTATTCTAAGGACAAATAAATACAAATGGGATACAATTTCTAAATGAACAAGCTGTAATCCTTATTGTGTGCAAGCAAACTTACTTTAACATCGCTTTCTAAATTCTAAAATTTAAAACAACTGTCCAATAAACGGCAAAATTATATCCTTGGTTTTTATTCCTTGCCATAAAATGGCATGAAACACCTAAATGTGCAATAGCTGTTTTGATTGACCTCATCAATTTGGTACATTTTAGTTTGAAATTTAAACTCTTCCTCGAATTAGCATCAATTAATCATCCCTACTTTTAAATTTGTTTGCTGTGCGAGGAGGAATTTTATTAGATGGGAGTGCAAAGCTCTGTGGACCGCTCAAAATGAAAACATCATCACTGAAGCTCATACATGAATCTTATTTCTATGCCTTTCTTTGACTAGTCAAAGAAAAGCATACAAGTCAACAAGCGAGTCAACCGGCATCTTAAAGGTCCTATTTTAACTGGAACTGCGGTCAAACTAAAGTCAATAAAAGTAAATCATGTCAACATGGAGAAGGAATTGCATCTGATACACTGACCCCTCCGCAGATCGTTCTTGTAAAGGTCTTTAGCGCCACTCTCAGGTCCCCACAGTTAGTGCTGCAAGTAAAACAAAACACAAAAGTACAGTTATGCTAAATGTGGTGGAAAGGAGCAGAGATATCATTTTGCAGGAGATGGAAACACGGAGGTGTACAAGTACAAGTACCTCAATGTTTTACTTGAGTATGCTGCTTGAGTTTAGCCCAGACCCAGTAGCTGTGCAAGAGGAAACCTCAATCATTTCCATGTGAGCTTGGTGTTGACATTGGAGAAGAAGAATATGAGGAAGAAGGGACAAGACAAAAAAAGATTGGTATAATGGGACCTTATGGTATATGGTTGGAAGGCGGCGCACACATAGAAGCAATTGTGATCTATTTGAGTGAGATATAGAACATGGTGATTGTTTTAAATAAGCAGTACTGTAATTTAATTATTATTGCTTTAAGCTGGTAATTTGTTTGGACAGTTAATAGAAATGATGGCCTCTCCCTCAAAACAATTGATGTATTTACTCAATCCTGCTATCAACACTCCTAACCCTCAAGTCACCAGGGAAAAGTACATTTTTTGGGTGAGCTCGCTTTTACATCATTAATGTCCATGACGTACAACCTCGATTAAAGTATGCATCTAGCCAATGGAAGCCATGCTGTGAGATTTCTCTGTATTGATCCAAAGGTTCATTGGTAAAAATTCTTATTCCAGCTAAAATCATTTCACTTTTGTTTAGTCGACACACCTGAAATTTTACAGGCTTGAACTTGTAAATTTGTGAATTGCATTAATTTGTACTGGTACTATGTTTGTTCAGCAACTTACTCAATCTTGGGAAATATAAATCCGAATAGGTCTTTATTAAAGTGATTAAAGTTTAAAAAGTGTGGGCAAAAAAGTTATTTTAATAGTGGTTTAGAGAGCAGCTTCCCCGTCCACTCTCTATCAATAAAATTTTTTTTACACGTTCTGCCACTAGTTTGCAGGTGTTTAGCTGGACTTCATGTGTTTGATGCTGCAACGTTTTCTGTAAACTTTGGGGATTTTAGAATTTTCGGCACCAAGAAACGATGTCCAACCACAGAATGTAATCTAACAAAACAGCAGATCTCATTACATGTGCTGCTTTTAAATACTGTTAAAACAATTTGCACACGTCGCCACTCGGTGCCGCTCCTTCTCAACTATTGCTCCTCCCGAGCCTGTCTGACCGGGTCTCAGCAGCTCCGTGCTGTGCCTTTCAGTAATGGTAGGCTTTCCTTCTTTTCGTTTTTTTTAAAGCTGATTGCAAGGCCAGTCCACTGATCGGGATGATCAGCTGACGACTGATTTATATCGTGCCGGATTCCACGTCTCAAATTCTTAGTAATGTTGCTGAGTGTCTATTTCTGTCCCTTGCAAATCAGCTCCCCCGCTCGAGACTCATCACGTGGTGATGGATTTCTGCCTGGACTGGGGTAAAGAGTGCAATGGGTTTGGTGGCTAACACATGGCGAAATAAGAAGACCTTCATTGGCTTTTGATTTATGAACCCTGTGGTTGGGAAGATAATGATTATTGGATAATTGACCTCTGTCTCTCCTTCGTTACTCTTACAGTTACTGCCTAACTGACGCCATTTGGTCGCCATCACCGTCGTTGCCATCACTGCTCCCTCCTCTTCATCTCCACCTTCCTCTTCCTCTTGGATCTTAGTTGTCCCGGTTCTTGACTCATATCACCAAAACAACACGCACACTTTGGGTTTCTTTTTTTTTGTTGGCCCCTGCTGTTGCTGTAACTCCTCTGGCAGCATAGTGATGCAGACTGGCAGCAGCATGTTAATACAGATGCCTTTGCTCCTAATTATACAGACTTCACTGAACACAAACACAGATCCCTGCACAGAAGCGGAGTCAGAGTCAAAACACACACACACACACAGTTTCAGACCAATGAGAGTTATGCGGGGGCACACATTAACGTCATAAAATCTAACTTTGAAGAGTCACGCCGCTGTAACGAGACCATTTCAATCAACAGGGAGGACATAACTTTTACAGCTTTTACATACTGCACAGTAGAGTGAATATTGGATACAGATGTAAAGGGCACTCGTTTTTTTCTGTGTTACCTCAGGAATTTAACATTGACTTGTCTTAATGTTTTGGGTTTTCCACACTGACTTTTAAAAGGAAATATGAAGTATTAAAGCATTTTAGTCCAGATCTATGATTTAATTATATACCGGATGTGTTTTTTCTGGAAAAGCACCACGTGAAAATCTACTCTTCGTGTGAGCCAAATCACAGAAGACAGCCGGATTCAAACATTGAATTGACGTCTAATGCTCAGTCCGCCGAGTTCTCTCTTTCACAGCGAATGCACATTTCAGGACGAGGAGCAGAAGGAATGTCTGTGCGTACTACTTTTGCTGGCACGTCCGTGGGATATTTTGCCTGTCGGGTGATCAGTGAGTCAATGTCAGACATGGAGCCTGGCTGCATGGATGGACGGATGGATGGACGAGCAGTAGAGCACATAGCACACATGTGTTACATATCATCAGTGCAGTACAGTAGCTGTGATTTGTGGAGGAGACGGACGGTAGTGGCAGCGCAGTGTTAGCAGACCGGCCACCACGTGCTCCTGCAACGTCACTCCTGCTCCCGCCTTTGCAGCCGCCGTGACAACACGTCACGCCCGTGGTTACCGTGATGATCTTCTGTCAGCGTGCAGCGCTTCTAGTGGTGGGCAGCAGCTAACGTGGCTGCGTTTCTTCACAGCTTCCTTCACCAAACGATGGTCCTCTGCCACCAATCAAGCGACACCACGGCACAACTCGGTTGATTTGACCGGTGTGTGTTGGCTGGGCATCGGTCTGGAACTTGTAGAAAGAGGAAATAGATGGCGCGAGGAAAAGAAAGAGAACGTGTTAAACCGCACCTCATGTATGAAGTAATACAAATGCAGGCTCTTACCACTGATGTGACTCCAAGTATTAGCTTTCCTTTCATGCTCTCCCTCATTGAACCTTCTCTTTGACTCCCTGAATGCTCTCGCGGATCCCTTTAAAGCTTATTGTGTTGAATACACTGTAAATAATCTGTCACAAAAGCACAGGAGCTGTGTAGAGTTCACGTTGACAAAACAAAACGCCCGTGGTGGAATGGACACATGTAGCGTGTGTTCCTCCTGGGTGCCTCTCTTCCGGTTCTCTTTTCAACTTAGATGGTTAATGACTGTGAATAGTTTGGGGCGGTAGTTTGGGGAAGGCCTGTTTCGGCACGACAACGTTGTGCGCTCAAAGCGAGGCTCCGCCCCGCGGAGCTGTGCTACTGGGTTTGTTGTGGAAGAACTTGTTGTTCCAACATGTTGCTGGAAACCAGAAGAGCAGAGGCTGCTGCAGCAGCATTTTACTCGCCATGTTCTTTTGATAAAAGTCATTCAACAATCCCATTTGGGTGCACTGTCAAGACGAAGCAGAGATACTGAATACTGCATCATCTTAAAAATTCAATGGTTGCATCAGGAAAAAAAGCAGGATGTGTTGGTGCAAACAAATATGGCAGCTACTGCGGAGATCAAGTACACTGGTACAATTTAAAAAAAATGCAATACAGGTGTACTGCCATAAAGTTTACTGTTATGATGCCGAAAATGTTCGGGTTTTTGACACTCAGGTGTTAATAGAATAGAAACATATTCATGTAATGTAATCCTCTTGACGACCTTTAACTTATGTTGAACTCCAACAGATTGTATTTAGTAATTTGTCATTGATAATGCTTTTGTCTTGCACCTCTACCCAACTGGGTTCAAAAGTTCACTCCATCCACTTTCGATGCACTATTTTTGACTTCCCCTGTACTTATAGTATTTATAACTAGAAATAATGTCCCCTTGTGTAACAGTTCTCTCTTTAACTTACACAAATCTCTTTAGCTTATTCTGGCTTTAAACAGTCTTCCATATTTCCATCATCTCCCTGTGTCCATCCAGAGTCTGTAATCAGATTTAATATTGCATTCTCCATCTCTACAAAGGCTTCATTCAGCCTGGTATACTGTGAGACCATTGTCCCACACTAAGCGGAGGAGCAGCAGCAGGATGATGATGATGATGATGATGCACATTGGGGAAGTTATCCACTGAGATCCCAGTACATCTGCAGATTTCTGAGCAAAGTACACGCCTTCCTCCTCAGCGCTCCTTCAGTCAGTGACTCAACAGCTCCTGGTTTCTTCGTTCCGCTCCTCTTTAATTTTATTTCCCCTAATAGAAGCATTCTCTGCCCAGACAAGACAGAAAAGCGCTTTGGGGTTAGTTTAGGTTGAGTATCCTGTGCGTCCTGTGTGTAGGCATCTTCCCTGTGTGTGTGTGTGTGTGTGTGTGTGTGTGTGCGGTATGCCCTCGGGGCTGCCGACTATTCTTGACCAATGTTTTACAAGTGGCCTCAAACGTTCCTGGGTGGTCTAATTGCGTTTGCCAAAGGAGACGGGTGCACTTACCAGGGCGCGTGCGCCTGTTGGCCGTGTGTATCAGTTCGTCCAGCCTGGCGGGTGCGTGTAAATCAATACCTTGGACGGAGACACCGCAGCACGTGAGTGCAGTTAATGACAATCACCTGTCATCACACTGTCGCATGCATTCTATATATCTATGAATTTATGTGCGTGAAGACCCGTCTCTAAGACGTGTGCCTCTCGCTCCCCATCACGCTCTCACCCGCGGGGAATTCTTCTACGAGTCGTCTCCCTCCCTCACTCTCTAAGCTAGACCGTGGCAGACCCGCGTGGCGGTAATTGCTTCAACCAGATCACAAATCAACTGTCCTGGCTTTTAGTGACATGCCCTCAAGTATGCAGACAAGTACACACACTCCCTGCTCTCAAGTCATCCATCAAACTGTAACCCGACTCAGTCTGGGCCCTGCGGTACCTAAACTAACCTGATCTAACACGGTTGAAATGTACTTCAATAGTTACTACGGTTAGCTTGTTAAACACAATAAAGTGAATTCTGTGAACTCACTCAGGAAACAGGTGTTTTTTATTTCATGCATGCGTCTGTTTTTGCTCTTTCTGCAGAGTGTCTCTGTTTATTTCTTGATTTACAGTGAGAGAGTGTGGAGTCAAGTATGTTTGTCCCGATGTTGCCAAACCGTCTTCTGTTCTTTGTTACATTTTTCTGCACAGCCAACAATCTGCAGGGGTAACGATGCATTCGGGATGTCATCAGCAGAGATGATGTGCGGGGTATTTTTTTTTTTTGATTCTCAGTCTTTTCAGGGGGTTTTGCAGGTTTTGTGCACCAGGCAGACACAAGGGTGTCTGTCCACCCTTCAGGGTGAGCCACTGCAGTGTACAGAGTGTTTGATGGTATGTGTGAAGAGTTCCCAGAATGTGTGTTTTTAGTTTGGTATGTCAATGTGTGTCTACGTGTGTTTTTTTTTTTTTACAGGGGTCCGGCGTTTTGAAGGAGGCCGGACAGCTGCCTTTTACTGCCCCAGGGGGTAATAAACAGTGAAGGAGGGGTAGTTATTTGCCCCTTTTATTAGGGCGGGGGGAAGAGAAGGGGACTTTATTGGGGTCACACTGTAACTACACACAGCCGCAGGGCAAAAAGTGAAATAAAAAGAAGAGATAAAGAAATAATTTGTTAAAGAGAAGTTTAAGTATAACAACATTCCTCCCTCAGAAATCTATTTTCTTTCTTGTTCTATGACAATGTACGTACATTTGTGTGTGTGTGTGTGTGTGTGTGTGTGTGTGTGTGTGTGTATGAACTTGGGGTCATCCATCTTTCTCCCCAGCCCCTTTTTCATTTCCCTTAACAGCCCGCCCCTTGTTAAGCACATCTGCTGTCAATCCGTTGTACCCTGTAATCTAATTGGCATTTCCTGCCATCGTAGACACGCCCACTGATCATTAAAGCGATTGTTCAGGTAGTTCACTGTCTGACCCACAAGTTTACAAGTATTTGTTTTATCCACTTTGGTTGCCATAACAACAGATGTCCCATAAATTAGGAAGATTTTGGGAAATGCTTTTCTTGCTCAGAGTTAGACGAGGAGATTGATAACATTCTCAACCTATGTGGTCATTTCGGTGAATGAGAGCCAGCAGCCAGTTAGCTTAGCTCACCATAAAGCTGAGAGTCCCCCGAGGCTAAATATTTAGCAAGCTGCAAATGTAATTCAGGGAACGCAAAGGAGGAAAACAATGAGGCTATATCAACATTTTCCTCACACATCAACCTACACAACTAAGATTACAATAAATGAACCCAACATCCATCAACCCAAAAAATGAACTCCCCTCCCCTCCACACAGAAAAACATTCTCAACTCTTCTCGTGAACTCGGTGAACACACATTTGAAAAACAAAGACTTCGGGACGGTCAGGCCAAGAAATAGTCCGGCACATCGCCTTTTGTAAAACAGTGAATTGTCTTTTTTTTCAGTTATTCTCAGAGGTGCCAGATTCATTTTTTTGTAGTTGTTAAGCTAAGCTAAGCTAACCGCCTGCTGGCTGTAAAATCTCTGACGAAATCTCCATTAGAGCAGCTTAGTGGCCTTAAGAAAGCAAATGGCGTATTTTCCTTAATGTCAAACTACTATTTTGAGTCAAGGAGCTTTTAAAGACTTTTCGGAGAAATATGAACCGAATTTAACGAAGTGGCAAGTTAAACGGAAATCAACTGTGCAGCGTCCCATAGTGTCATTCCCACAGCTGGCTTTCTGCAGGTTGCCTCACATGCCACAGTGGCTTTCACGATGAAATGTGAGATAAACGTGAGCAGACAGGGAAAGAAAAAGTCACACGGAAAAAGTATTCAGCCATGGTGCTTTGCAGGGGGAATAATGAGGGCATGTGGCGGAGAGATGATTGACAGAGGGAGACGAATGGGACGGATGGGGAGACTGAGAGCGAGCGAGGCAGACCGAGAGGGAGGGGACAGACAGGTTATTCTAGTTGCCGACAGCTGACAGAAAGCCTAAAATAAGATGGAGCCGTCTAATGTGCACATGTTCCACAACTGCACTCACAAAATATACAACGCGTGCACTGTTAAGTGCTTTTATGAACCTGATAGTCTTTAGTAGGAGGATCAGGAGTCGACGTCAGGCTGAGTTAATATCGTGCTTTATTATCTCCCCACAGAACGTGTTGTTTCCTATGGTCACATATTCATATAAAAGAGACACAAAGTAAAAACGTGAGCGGTACTGTAGCAGACTTCTAGTGTAGTAATAAATATAAACGTTGTCGTGAGATAGAAAAGGTTAGAGTTGTGGGCTAAAGGAGCAGAGAGGAGGTGCACATCAGAACTGACCTGCTCAAAGATTGGTTTACACGTCTACAGATATAGTCACACACTTCTCCTGCCGCACCACACAATGAAGCGCTCACTCATCGGATCCAACGCACATGTTTCATGTTCGAAAGGACCACTGAGGAGCCGACACACAGCCATGCAACAGAGACGACGGAATTAAACTAGGAACCGCGATCTCCGAGTGCTGCCATAACAAAAAGGGGGGTGAAGAGATGCACGTGGTGACGCAGGACACGGAGGGTGGGCGGAAGGACAAAAAGGGGGAGAAGTGCTCTCGTTCATTGTCGCTCGTAGACTCTGGTGCATATCACATCATCCGCTGCCATGGTCTGAAAAGAGAGGAGAATGTGGATGTTAGATACCGACACAGTAATTGTTGTTAAAAGTTTTTCAAGTCATTTATGATTCTTTCTTCACCTGCGAATTGAGTTGTTTTTTCATCACATATCCACCAGTTGAGACCAACGTAATCTCAACAAACTGGTTTGAACAAACATTTACGGAAAGTTGCTTATTTAAACAATGGTAGTTCTGCCCCGTAAATACAGCATGCAGCCTGCTGGCACCGCTCTATGGGCCTGATTCTGATTATTCCGGTAGAATTACTGAAACATGTCTTATAATAATTATGTTTTGGTCGCTTTGTTTTGTGTTTCTATGTCAGCCTTAAGAAAATAGATTTTGGCTTTAGATGATAATTATTGTTTTTATTCTGTTCTGATCAGGTCGGATGCTGTCTGCACACAAGCTTGTGTTTTGTTCAGCTGATGATTGTGCGTGCATATGTTATTCCAACAAAATCTTCTTTCGGTATATTTACATCATGGTGGTCAGAGCTCAATAATGTAATTATCTACTCAAAAGGCAATACTTCAGATCATAGCCTGTGATTTTCAGCGTAGTCTTGTTGCGCAATTGTAAAATATACCAGAAAGAAATGTCTGCATAACTGTAAAAACATAAAAAGAGTCGCATAGTGAAAAATATCCTGCAACTATTAAGTGGGCAACGCAAGATACAATCGTGGAATTCCTCAAAAAGTTATTAGCAATACCAATATTCCTGTGATTTTACCGTTTAGTTTGGGTATTATTTATTGAAATACACAAAACTAAGCTACACTTAGAAAGATTTTATATATGGTGGACAGAGTATTGCATAACTAGTTATTCCTTTACCATGTTACATAATGTTTACGTTGCTAAATTCATTTTTTTAACTGTGGTATCGGGTGTGTTATTTTGATCTTAAGAAGATAAAATTGAGTTTTATTAATTCACCAAGTGTCCAAAAGAATTACTGTACTTGAAAATGTACAGCAAAGGATCTCTAGATCTAAACCCTGGTTTAGTGGATCTTTTTTGTGGCTTACCAGGATCAGTTTGCCGTCATTGGTGATCTCTCGGGTCCAGGACGTCTTTGGCCCTTCTCCTTTCGGCAGAGTCTGCTCACAAGTGATCTTGCTGTCGGTTTCCCAACGTGGAAAACTCTGACAACAGAGGGATAGAAAATACTTAGTTGGATGTACCGGCTGGATGTGGTGTCACAAGAGAGTATCCGATAAGAGGGAGAAAACAACAGCGGTGGAGCAGCGCGATCGCCGAGAGGTGATAACTTGTGATGCGCTCATTGCCACTAAAGCGGAGCGCTGGCCGCCTGCGCGTGTTTGCTTTGGAGACGGCCAAACAGAGGCCACGTATGGGAAACGGGGGAAACCAACGCGGAGGAATAAGGGAGGGACAGGGGGCAGGGAAGGGCGAGAAAGGGGGAACGGTGGGAAGAGAGGAAGCTGAATGGGGTCGTAAAGAGTGTGAAGGAGCATAATGTAGCATGATGGGCCTTCAGGGACTAAGGGAGGAGTAGAGATATGCTATCAGTCAAAATATGATGAAAAGCCAAATCAAACAGATTGATGTAATCTGGGCAGTTCCCTCCCCAAACACCCATTTATTATCTGCATATGTGTGTGCGTGCACAGAGAGAGAAGTGCTGTGTACCGTGCAGGGACGTCCGTCCACAGTGGCCTCGTTGAACTCCTGCCCCACAGTGAAAGTGATGTGGGTGGTGCGGACTGTGGTGGAGGTTTTGATGGACAGCGTCTCTCCGTCCTGCGTGATCTCCACCAGAGGCTTGGAAGCGGCCTTCACGGCAATTAAACGCAGCATCTTGTTCACAGCTGGAGAAGACAGGGACAACATGACAAAACCTTTTTGAGATTTGCACACAAGTAAACACTCACTCGCTGTTGCACAAACTGGTGTCGATACTTTGAAGGGAAATTCTCATGCAAGCAGCACACAAATGCATTGAGGCAGACATTTTTCTGTGCCACTGTTTGGTTTATAGGATCCAGCCCTCAGAAGCAAGAAATACTAAACGTATTACTAACAAATGATGCACAACGGGCTCTAGGCCTTGTGTGTGTCTGTGTGTGTGGTTAAGTGTTGCGGTGTTGAAGCACACTCGGGGTAAAAGGAGAAGCCTGTGCACAGCTCCATCCAATAATGATGACAGAGGAAAGAATGAGGTCATACGCAGCACATCTGCATTCTCATCGGACTTGGTCATCTTTGCACACACACAGAATCAAACACTCGGACAAATCGGGGGGGATTTTCAACTGTAATCTGCATTATTATCCTTTGTGTAACCAAAGACAGTTCACACACTCGGGTTGCCATTGTGTGCTGCAGTGAAACTAATTATGCAGCCCCAGGGGGAAAGAAAAGAGAGGGAACCAGGAGCAGACCGGTGTGGTGGGAGGGAGGGAGGGAGGGGAGGAGGGAGTCAGACAGACACGGGGCAGTGGTCTGTGTGCGTGAAGATCTCTGTCCAAGTGTGAGGCGAAGTTTGTGTACGTCGTCCGGCGTGTATCTGTCGTCGAGTTGGGTTTCGCACTTCTCACCTCTCGCACATTCCCACCTGTCACCAGGGGTAAATATATACAACTGCTGAAATGCACAGTCATCCAGCACGCATCTGGATGCCACACACTCCTCAGTATTTATGTGCATTGTTATTATTATGGATAGATTATTTTGATTATTTTTGGTATTACAATGGGCAGGCGTCTGTGTCTTATTAACGTATTTGATATATCTGATTTTCTAGGAGAGGTAATCGGATTGAAAGTAAGAAAGTTTATATATAAACTGTATGTATTTTTTTTATTTTTTATTTTATTTCAGACCCAGAGGGATCCATAATACAATACAAAGCAGACACACATTGTAATAGATACAAAAAACTAAAAATAAATAAAAAGAATAGCAATACAACGTATAAAACCCTTCAACGGTTCATTGTCTAAAATACAGATATGTTCTTTTAATAATTAATAACTCATGTTTTAATTAACTATTATTTTAATTATTGTATAGTTTCATCTTAAGATGGAGTATTTTACACTGTGACATTGCACATTTTATTTAATGTGGTTATGTTTGTTTTTAATGGGTTTTAGTCAATCAATATAGAGACAGAATGTGGACCATTTCTGTTCCCAGTTTCTACTACTGCATTAAAATACAAAAAATAAGCAAAAATTACATTTGCATCCCTTTGCAAGACACAGAATGATGTTGACCTAAAAGAGGAGTGAACTTGAAGTTGGGCTAAACACAAAAATAACATAACCTTCTTATTTTGCTCCAGAAATGCTGGAGAATGAGAACGTCACCGTCACAAGGCGCATGTTTACACAGACTAAAGAAAGGAGTAAAGTCCCAGCCAGAGGCCCGTTTGGGAAGCTTTTAGAAAAACCATTAGTTGTTAAAAGATATAAATGACCCAAACAGACTTTCGCAATCCTGCGAGCAAAATGCTTAAATTCACACGGACCACATGAGGACACGCAGATAGTCACAAGGTCAGAGTCAGAGGTCAAAGAGCAGAGGGCAGAGGAAGCATTTGGGACACGGGGGGAGATGAGGGAAGAGGGGAGAAGAGAGCAGGAGTGAGGAAAGGAAGGGAAGATGGAGGGTGCTGACAGGCTGCATCCAGCTGCGCTTTAATCCCCAATGAAACCAAAGGGCGGCCCTCTCTCCGACATCCGTGCCAAAGGAATGACTAATGCAGTGATGGTTTTATTTATTTTTTGAGTATGAGCCACGGCGGTGTCACAGAGCGGCTTTTAACCTGCATTCCTGTTAAAGTTCCTCTAACTTTTGTGCACAAGTATATGAAGAAACCTCACACATTCACAGACCCAACTACACACTATAAACCTGTAGTGCATGCAGCCATATCCTGGGATCCCCCCTCCTCTCTCTCTCTCTCCTTCCATGTAAAGGGAGGCGTACATGAACATGTATATTAACGCCCGATTGGTTGTTCATTGTCACTGAGAAATTTGAATTCACATTCCTGGCCGTTGGAAAAATACTGCCATACTTTAGTTATTTCAATAACCCTGTTTAGACTGTGTGTGTGTGTGTGTGTGTGTGTGTGTGTGTGTGTGTGTGTGTGTGTGTGTGTGTGTGTGTGTGTGTCATCGCCCTGTGTCAGCCGATGTGATGATATGTATTTCAAGTGTGCACCGGCAAGTCATGTCATGGGAATTGGCTTTTAACGACAGACGGCTCCGACGTTGTGGGCGAGCACGCACGCACGCACACACACACATGCACTAACACATCTCCATCGTTCATAAATAGAAGTGATGTGAAAAAAATTGTGTAAACCTCAGCAGCAGGTGATTATTCTGACTGTCACCTCCAATCATAATTTGGTTGTCTTGCACTGTATCGTGTCATAACGGTGGTCTCACACACACACACACACACACACATATACACACACACACACACACACACACACACACACACACACACACACACACACACACACACACACACAATCTGCGGCTACAACACAGACAGATGTGCCGCCGTTTGTCTCTATTGTGTTTGGAGGCCAAAGGGGGGAGGAGAGGGAGAGTGGTGATGCTGGCTGGAGGCCAAGCACCGAGTTTTGGGTTCCTCAGAATGACAAAGACCCCCCACCGATGCGGTCGAGGGGGTGATCATCCATGAGGCGCGGATGAAGATTTGACCTATAATTGTGCTGAGGAAGCTTGAGCCGACACAAACTGTCACATCTGATCTCGTTATGCACCGAAATAAAAGCTTCATTAGAGACCACTCTCCCGCAGAAAAACACATGGGCCAAGCTGCCGCATTCGCCGACGTTTAAAAATTCGGATATATATTTGATCAACCTACCCAACTTTTTCAAAAGTTCCTCGAAGTTTTCAGAGCTCTTCATCTCCCAGGTGCCGGAGAAATCGGGGATTGCGCGCTCCATGTTAAGCCGAAGGTAGTGCAGATGAATGGAGGTGAACTGTCAGGTCCAAGTGGGGTCGGTCCTCTGCTGTCTCTGCGCGTCTTGCGCCAATAAAGCTACAGCTGGTCTTTATGACTCTCGTCTGGGTTCGCGTGCGAGACGGATGATTCTGACGATGCCCGTCCAATTTTACTTCTGTTCTCCTCGATGCGATGAGTGACCGACTGGCAGATCCCCCTTTTGCTCACCTATGAGCCGGTGCAATATAAGATACAAATGAATGGCACGGAGAGCGGAGATACTCTGCACTGGGGCGAACACGCCCCTTTCTCCGAGGACACGCCCCCAACGCCAACAGATTACAGGCAAAGGTCCCCAGTGCCTCAACCTGACCCCGCCCCTGAATGCAACATGTGCATTTTGGAGCTGCCCAAAGCCCGCTTTTGGAGACGCTTCTCATCCAAGCTGCATGCCGTGAGTCGCCTGTGCGCTTGATATAACAATTTAATGTCCAGGGCTACGGTGTTGTTTTGGCAGTTGTTCGGTTCAATCAGTGACTTCAATGCGGTGAACATTATTGGTATAAAACAGGAAGGATGTCAGCCAGGCTAGACTGTGGCAGAGCGGTGTGAAGGAAGGAGACCGACTGGAAAGCAGAGCTGTTGTGTGTGTGATAGAGAGAGAGAGAGAGAGAGAGAGAGAGAGAGAGAGACACACACACACACACACACGCACAGAGGCCAAATGCACCCCTCTCAGCCTCCAGTGCGCCATGAACGGCGGCGTGTCATAAAAATAAAAGCGGTGGTAATGGGATACAGCTTCTGGCCTCGACCGGTGGGCGATCCATTTAACGGTGCCTGCGTCACGGGGGGGGGGGGGGACACCCTGCACCCATTAGGGAGGCAGAGATTAAAATAAGGGGTGGGATCGGCGCAGGTCGTCGGTGTGTCCTCAAAGCGTTTCGACCCCCCCTCCTCCCCCTTCCTTTTCACCCCCCGCTGCTCGGAAGGAAGAAAGGGTACAGAGGAGGAGGTGAAGGAGGAGGAGACGCCGGAGCATTTGGAGCAGCGCGTCAGCCGGGCCAGTGGGGCAGGGTCAGGGGCCCGCGGGGTCGGAGGTATAGTCCTATGAGGAGCGCGCACAACTCACACGCACGCTGTATGTCTGCGCACACGCACGCAGGCAATCGCACGCACGCGCTGATGATGGATGGCAGCGGGACAAAGCCGATGTTAACTATTGACTCTTGATGGATGATCCCATCCGCTACACTGCACGGCGAATTAGCGCGAGGTATACCGGGTGACTCGGGAGAAAGGGGGGGGAGTCACACACGCACACACACACACACACACGCACACACAGCTGATACACCGGATCAGTGCTAGACCTAACACAGACTAACAAAGGTGAATATTGGCCCAAAATTGATCTTTGGTAACGCAATACGCGTGTTTACGCACAGGCCTGCGTCCAGATCCTGTGGTTTCCAGCAGGTCCTTCGGCTCTTTTTGATGCCAACAAAGCTCTCACATTGTCTCCTTTGAACACAAACACACACACACACACACACACACACACACACACACACACACACACACACACCTTATTGGCCACACACCATGCCAAAATTGCAGCGTGCCCACACAAGTTAATCCTGGTCCAAACAACGGGGTTGAGCCATCAGATCAAACGGTCACAACTGTTGCGAGTTGGGTAGCATACAGGCAGTGTGATTCTTATATCAGTGACGGCGCTTATTTCACCGCTATAAGCATCCGCCTGTTTGCCTCTCCACCTCCACGGTGGTCGATGGAACACGGCCTGTTCAGAAAGAGCGGGAATTGATCATGCTCCCAGTTTGAAAGTGACTAATGCAAACACAAAGGTCACAATGGAGAGCTGTCGGGTGTTGAGCAAATTAATCTTCTGCCTCGCCGCTGTGCATTAGCATATCACCATGGCACAACAAGAAATGCCTCAAAGGCCGCTGAATCAAACAGGCAGCCGTTTGCTGCACACAGCGACAGCTTCACCCATCGTGTGTGCCTGCTGTCCATCGGGGGGGTGGGGGTGTGGGGGGGGGGGGGGGGGGGGGGCTTAAAAAAAACCCTAAAAAGGGGGGGAAGGCCCCTTTCCCCCCCGGAAGAAAAAGGCCCACTCCAATTTTAAACCCCCCCAACCGGGTTTTGCCCCTCTCAACCTTTTTCTGTGCGTTCAATCCTTCCTTCTATTCCCCCTTTTTCTTTTTGCCTCTCCTTTACCCCCCCCCCCCCCCATCCCCTCCTCTTCTCCTTTTCTTCCTCCTCCTGCTGTCAAGCTTTGTTCTTTTGTGGTGCTCTGACACATTCCTCACAGACGCTGAAGAGAGGGAAGAGGGGAAAACAGAAGGGGAGAGGATGGAAAGGCAGAGAAAGAGAAAGGGGGAAGCGTTAATGGGAAAGTTAGAGTGTAGTTAATGTTTTATCTTTGTGGAGGAAAAGGAGAGCGAGAGTCACCAAAGGGAGACGGTGACTTAGAGAGCTGCAAGATGAAAGCAAACCAAAAGTGACAGAGATGGAGAGGTTGAGACACAAAGAATTAAAGAGAGACTCCTCTGTCTTTGGAGGCGAGAGAGGTATTAGTTTGCTCCTTTGGTGCCAACTTTAGTTCACTCATCGGTCTCCTTATACCGATTATTATTCCTATTACCCGCCCGTATACTGTTCACTTCTTTTGTTCCGTCATCTTCATCTGTCTGTTTAGTCTCATATCGACGGCCACGCCGGTAACTGATATCGCAAACGGCAAAAGATTCACACGCCGGAGCACGTGCAAGCAAAACAAAGAGTACTTAACGGTTGACTCTTATCTGTGTGAGTTCACGACAGAAACACACCCGACCACACCAGAGCGGAGATGCTGTACATTGTGATGTAATATCGCTTCTTTTGCAGCTTTTTGTTTCCTAGCAGCTCTCCTCTTTCCAATGACACCGATTTGAATCATATGTGTGGCGCATCCGCTGCTGTCTGCAGACTACTCATTGTCCCAGTGTGATCTTATCTGGGTGTGCAATGGGAAACTATTGTGTTTTACTTATGTTCGGTATAGTGGTCCCCTTCCATTGCAATCCTTTTTCTTTTTTTTCCAAAGGAGCAGCTTACTTGCATTAGTTAAAGCTCGCGTGTGAGAACGTGTGTGTGATCAAGGCACACTTCAGTGGCATTCTCCACTTTATCATCCAGATGACCTCCAGCAATAACGGCTCCCCCCAGTAACCCTGGTGATCCCAGATGTGAACTTGACCCTGGCCTTCCTCCCCACTAACTCCTGGAAGTCATTATCACTGGCCTTTAGCCTCAAAGGAAGCCAGGGGCAAATAATGGAGACAAAGGTGTAACCAATAACTGTAGCTTATGATTCATTTCTGTTCCAGTGGGAGGGTTATGACCTCCCCAGGGGGTCGTGTGACACATCCGAGGCGTTGAGAGAAGATTAACAGGAAAGAAACTTTTAATGACTTCTCTTTGCTTTCAAAATACTGCACATTTCTGTCTCCTCCGGCCTCTGAAAAAATTATATGCAGAAATCCATCACGGCTCCCAGTCTCATTTTAAGGAGTCTCTCGGGGGGGGGGGGGCAAAATGTTTGTGAGCCACTTCTCTGTTGGACCTGCACAACAAACAAAGCCAGCGGCTCACGTACACATTCACAGGTCCGTGCGTCACTGAGGGCTGCTGTCACGCCGACCCGCCGACCATGTGGGTTCCATTAGAGCAGAGGATACCACCAGCGAGGAAACGAGAGGAAGAGAACGAGGGAGACCGGAGAGGGAGGAAAAAGATAAGAAAACGGGAAGAGAACCCAGACTGAGCGTTTGCGCGCGCATGAGTCTTTGTGTGTTTGTTGTGCTGTTGATGTAATGTGTATAGCCCAGCTTACCAAAATCAAAAAAAAAAAACTCCGGGGGTCAAAAGTTCCTTGTTTCACGGCAAGATAAGGCCAGCTTTGTGTGAATGCTGTAAATGCAGCTCCGTCCACATGATGGTGTGTGTGTGTGCGTGCGTGTGTGTGTGTGTGTGTGTGTGTGTGTGTGTGTGTGTGTGTGCGTGTGTGCTCTCTCACGACTGTGTGTTTAAACCTTCCTCTACCAGACATTTGCTATTTATTATTCTGTTGCGGAATATCAGATACACAAGAATCAAACGGTGTGTCACACATTTTCTCCAAATCTTACCCACACACATGGTTTCCCTGCAGACGTTTTGTTTTTAAAGGCTGAGGGGACAGTTAGTGTGTGTGCGTGTGTGTGTGTGTGTGTGTACATGAGTCAAGCTGAGTGTCTTGTGTACATGAGACTAAATCTCCAGATGCCCGAGCACCCAGACGCTTGTATTACTCACACTCTATTCCCTTTGTCCTTTACCCCCCCCCCCCCTCTCTCTCCACCTCCTAAAATCTCTCCTCCCTCCCCCTCGAGTCTTTGTGGTTCTAATTATCGCGCTCATTTGTTATGAGTTGGTCTGGACGGAGAGGGAGCGAGAGCCGGGAGAGATTAGATTAGAAGATGGAGAACTGGAATTTTGATGAACCTGCATGTTTTGGTTCTCTCTCTCGATTTGGTCCCGTCCCGTTGCCCCGATCTCGCCTCGTGTTTCTGCAGTTCCTCCACTCGGTCTGACACCTCCAGCCTAACGAGCCCACGGGCCCCTCCGAGGTGCTACGTGACAACGGCGCAGTAAAACTGCATTGTATGGGCTGAATGAGGTCAAACGGCTCAACGCTCAACAGGAAGATAGAGGACAACAGGAGGGAAGGAGTCAGAAGAGAGGAAGTGAAGTAGATGGAGATGTTCATGATGGCGGTTGTGTGAAGTGCAGTGAGCCGACGTGGTCTGAGGTCGAGGGGGGGAGGGGGAGAGGGGGGGGTGAGGGAAAGACGAGAGGAAAAACAAGCGTTGGTTCCCAGACTCTCGCTGCTTTTCACCTCATTTTGCGTCCGTGTGATGTGTTTTTTTTCTTCTTAAATCCGCCAAAAAAGTTCATTAAAAGTGCAGCCCTGTTTGGTTTTTTTCATCAGGTGGCCCCTCCTTCTTGCATCCTCCGGCTCGGCCCCTCCACCCTCACACCACCTCTCACTCTGCACTCATTCTTTTATTCCCCCGTTGCCTTTCCTCTTTGACCCGAGTCAACGATTGTTGTCCGATATTGCTTTTTCCTCAGCAGAGTGTGTGTCTGTGTGTGTTTGAGAGACCCTTTGACCCTAAAGTCCCCAGAATTCACTGATGAAATGGAAAGTTGTTTATTGGTTTTACTTTTTTAATTGTGATTGTGTGTTTTCTTCATGACCACATAGTGAGAGAATGAAAGCATTAAACATTATGAAAAACTGTCTCTGTAACACAATCAATGAAAAAAAAACAATGAAAGCAAAGGATGGAAAAATGGAGAAGTTTTACAAGATCAGGGCTGCATATTTTCCGAGGGGATTGTTAGCGAGCACTCGAACACATGTGCAGGCCCTGCACCAAAAAACATTTAACCAACATTTGCATAAGAGCTTGTTGGTGACCTTAAAGTTTCCTTTCTAACATTATTTGTGATTAAGTTTCAATGATCAAAGTGTGTGGAGCTATTACTTGTTTTTTGCCACTGGAAACATATTCCACCTTGGAGGCATTAGAAGGCATTAGAGAAGGCATTAGACGTCAGGTATCAGCATTTCTCCTGACTTTCTTCTTTTTTTAAAACCCGCAGTGTTTTGGGGGGGGTTTAGGACATGGATGTAGGAATGAGTTTTAGTGCAAAAGTGGATGGTCAAGGCTTCGGGTTCAGTGCAGCAGCACATATAAATTAGTTTGTAAATACTTATGCTGTCACTTTTTATTTGAATATCCGCTGCAACTAATGCAATATTTATTGACCTCAGTTAACTAAGCTAAAAGTTAAAGGATACTGGAACCTTTCATAAACTGAATCGATCAAGTTAAATCAACAACTACCTCATTTCAAAATCTCATAGATTTGCACTCGATCAAAATCTAGTTTTTAAGCCTTCATTACTTGAGTAAATAGTGTGCTTACGTGCCCCATTTTACTAAATTAAACTGTGCTTAACCAACTTCTTGATTATATACTTAATTCAGAATTATTTAGGTTATATTTTAAATGTCAGGTTAAGGGGATACAGAATTACTCAATGTGATCTTCTGGAAAGACGTGAGATAATCTGTGTGGAGAAATCTGTTGGATTCATGTGCTCAAAGTTGTATTTCTAGTCTGGTGGACGCAAACAATGCAAGAACCTAAACAACATCAGCCGACATCGTCAGTTAGTCACATGCATCTAAAAAGTCAGTTTACAGAGAAATGTTTTTTCTATAAATTATGTTGGTAACAAATTTGTGCAATGCTGCCATCACCTGTGTGCCGACTGTATCAGCATGTTGAGGCTAAGCGAAAGTGTGTGTGGGAAATAGTTTGATTTCATAATATTCTATATTCCTTTGGCTGTCTACTCTGTTCAATAAAAGCTACGGTGACTTTCAATACTGCAGAATTATTTAACTTTAATGTCTTCACTTTGGGAGAGACAAAATGCTCCTGAGGTCAAAGCAAAGAAAGATGACTTGAATATCTTGAATATTAGGTTGGAATTTGTTTTCTCATCTGCTTACGTTGTTAAGGTCACCTGCGGCCGTTTCTTCAGCTTTCACTGGCATTTTTGAGTATAGCAACAATTATGGATTAAAAGTTTTACATGATTTTGATTTTGTTTGAATGTCAGATCTCACCAGAGCATCAGTGACAACAGTAAAACAGGCTATTACTTTTCTTCACGTAGGATTTAGTACTTCAAGTAGTTCAAATATGAATCACAGCCTCTCAGTACTAATTTGTTCCTCAAACCATTGTGTTCGGATGAAGAACACAATGGTTTTGGTCGAGTTTGTATTTGAACAAGCTGCTCACGTGAGCTGCGAACAAATATTTGGGAGGCAGAGATCGAGCCAACACTGATATCTGTGGGTGTTGTTCATTGGTCATAGTTGGTTTTTCAGCTGGTTTTTCTTTGTTGTGAAGGTCGTGCTCTATGATCAAGGTTAAGTTGTTACAATGATCTCTATCCAATGTTACACACTGAAAACAATTCTTGTGGAAATATCTTGTTTATTTAAATCATTCCATTAATGTTTAACATTTAATCAGATGCATTTCATACAGAAATTAAATTGATGCCTTTCAATGTCAAATACACAACTGTGCCATTCTTAGACATTGTCATATTAAATAAAGTGAAATGCATTTCGTGCCTTCTCATTATCTCCCCGTGATGCAGCCTGAAATGTAATACTTTTCCCTTTCAATACATATGGTTGACCTGTTGCTGATCCAACATTAAAAATGATTTCTAAAACAAACACTTTTCAAATTAAGATTTTTCTTGAGAGGTCTCAATGCCCTCTGTCGTTTCTCAAATCAACGTTGGTAGCCATAAACAATAACAAGAACCGCCAATAACAACCAGATCCACGTCATTTTAAAGCTGGGAGCGTCGTCACTGCTGCGCGTCTCCTGGCAGCCTCTGGCGTTGTTGTCCGGCGCTGCACTCGTAGGGTTTCCCTCAAAATGGACCGGCAGGCACTGGTTGCCCAACTCCTCACAGGCCAAGATCAGATGTTTGGTTTCCCTGATGACGCTCTTGATGCTGCACGTCCCCTGCTCGCTCCTCACCGTGACGAAGGTGAAGGGCTGCCGGCTGATGCACAGGTTGTCCTTGTACACCACCCCCCCTTGGTTGGTGCACACGGCCTTCACTCTGGCCTCGCTGCTTTCGGGCAGGAACGACTGTGTGGGTCTGCCACACCCCCCGTTGTTCTTGATGTAAACCTCCCACTGGTTGTGGTCCAGAGAAGATGGGGTACCAGAGCCCAAGTGGCGTCTGAGAAACGTGTCGAAGCCGTTGTTCCACTTGGAGAGCTGGCAGGGAGCGTCATTCTTAGCAGATGTTTGATGACTGATTAGGAGACAGAGGGCGAGTGGGAGAAAAGCTGTGAGAGAAGCCATTGCCCAGCCGTCCTAGAGAGAAACGAGAACAGACAGTTTAACACCGTTCACCCCTATCGTCAATCTGTAACCTCTGGCTTTTGCTTTTTCACAGAATAAGTTACATTACGCAGATGTAAACAATGAGCCCAGAAGGGCGAAGCAAAGCCACGGCTGTCTTCAGTGTGTAGATAGAGAGGAAGTGGAAACAGCTGCTTTATTAAGGAACTTCTCCATACCTTGTTTCTGCAGCAGTGGAGTCGCGTCTAAGTGAAGTGACCTAAAAGCTCCACATGTGTGATTTTTTTCCTTGTACTTATGTCACGCTTCCCCTTTTCCCTTCCTGTTGGAATGGGGAGTGGCCTAAACTGTGTGTGTGTGTGTGTGTGTGTGTGTGTGCACTACTTAAACGTGACCACAGGGCTGTGCTTTAGAGCACTGAGGGATCCAGTAACAGCTAAAAATATCTGTTAGTGGCACAGTGAGCCATTTATGGATTTCTCACTGTTCATGTTTGTTTGTTTGTATGACCATGTGTAGTTGTGTATGTAATACATACAAGTGTGGCAAGTGAACACACACACACACACACACACACAATGAAGAAATGGAAGGAGATGAGGTTGCCATGTTTGTTATTTTAATGAGGTGTTCATGTTGAAGAGTTGTATACGACCAATAACCAATCACACATAGATATTATCTGCCATTGAAAACTATTTTCCCAATAGATTTTCCACATGACCATAAATATAACTCAGCCATTTACAATACAATCCTATAAATTGAGTTCACAGACGTCATGTTTAAACAGCAGCAGTCAATACGTGGCTCTTTAAATCCCTTCAAAGCGTAATCAAAGATTTTCAATGTTTGTCAAGTCCAAATATTACATTGAATTCACAGGTAAATGTTTCAGAGGTCTAGTACATGTCATACAGTGCACTGTGCTTGTGTTTCAAAGTCACATCCAAACGTGTAACAAAGAGAAAACAGCAAAATATATCTTACAAAGTATTTACATGAACTCATCGCGCATCCCAGACACCCACGCAAGAGCCCACGTACGACTCAGCAAACCGACGTAGTTACACCACCTGCTCCGGCTGGTGCGTTGCTTCAGCTAGAGCTCAGTCTGAGGAGACGGCGAAGGCTCTTCTCTCTTTTCGGCCTCAGGCGTCGGCTTCAGGGCCACGTCTTGTGTTTTCTCTTTCCTCTCTTTCTCTGGCTCCTTCGTCCTGAACAACGAAAGGGAAGAGCGTCATTCCCCACCGCCAGCGCCGCTGACGTTGTCCAGCAGAGGTCCTCGTCGGTGGTAGAGCTCAGCGGGAGGTTGTGCATTAGTACGTATGGCTTATAAAATAACTAGTGGAGCGCTGAGGGTTGGATTTAGGTTGACCGTGAGAATAAAGTTGCTCTCAGCTGTGTTGTATGATTGTAACATTGATTAAGTACAAATCATCAAGCTTAAGTAGCTGCACAAGTCTCCTCCACAGTTTGACTTTCAACTGGAGGCTTTTCACAAAGTTGACATTTTTCCAACACAGTTTTGAGTTGTTTTGGCAACATGGTTCCCTAAAGCCCTTAAAAATCAGCCTTCAGCGCTCGTACTAAAGAGAGGTGTTAGCGTAGAGGATATGTCTCAAATGGAGGGTTAAAGCAGGGAGAGGTGGTTAGAGGTTAAGTTTTTGAGGTCAAAGGTTATAATTCTTAACGTTGACCTTGACAGGGGAGCAGGCCGGTTACTGGGTAGGACGTCCCAGCTAGAGGTAGAGCTGTCACAGACCAAAAGACGTAATCACATGACCAAAACAGAGAGAAAAGAGTCAGAGTCATCGCACACGGCCGGTGCACATTATGAAAGCCAGTGGTTCCCAAAGCAAAGGGGGGCGTTGGGTCCTCCGGAGATCTCAAGGGGTCCTTGTGAAGGGGGCGCGAGGATCATCATAACAACCCTGTGCTCTCATTCAAAGATTGAATCTCTAATCAGACTTCTCACTCCCCCCCAATCTTTAGTTTAAACTTTAGTTCAATCCAACAATTTAAATCATGTTTTGCTCCCTCAGATCAAGAGTGAAATGAAACCTACTGGAACATTTATTTGGGACTTTGGGAACCACTGGAGAGGTTAAATCACCGACTGTCTGGAACCAAAACATACCTTCATTAATCAGGGGTTATTATGAGAGAACATATTGGGGAACAGCCAAGTTATTGACGGGTGTGAGAAGCAGATCATCCTTTGCGCTGATCTTGGGTTGTTTTTAGGTTTTATGGTAAAACTTTACAAAGAGGATTATTCATCTACTGACTTTTCCGTTAGAGTTCATCCAGGTGAAAAACTTAATTTGACCTTCAAGTGATTGTATGTGTGAACTGTTGTACTCCTTGTTATTTGCTGATGCTTGAAGAGTTTCCTTGTTTCCAAGTTTACACCAATTTATTATCACTTGATATTAATAAGGATCAACTTCAATGGTAAAACAATATTACTTTTACTAAATTAATTAATTGGTCGTTGATCTCTGGTACACTATGAACTACAAACAATGTTTCCGTATTATTGCCCGTTTTCTTCCATAACCTTTTGTTTGTGACGTTTATTGATCAAAGATCTGCGCTAAAGGATATCTGCACAAGAAGTAAGAAATCACACTGTCAGTGCAAAGCGGAGCATCCTTGTCAGTAGTGAGATCAGGTGAACCACCTGTTTACCACGACTGATTCACGGCGCAGGAGTGTAAAAAACCTGTCAAGAGATGGGAGACGGAGAGTGAACAGAGGCGCCACACTTTTCACGTTGACGGCTGCCTCCGTTCTGGTCGGATCGCCCAGTCACCAGAGCAGCAGGAGGCCACTGTCGGAGAAAATGACAGAAAACGGCTCACCGTATCGTCTTCACGATGAAGCGAACGATGACCGCCAGACCGACGCAGCCGCACATCACCCCTATCACTATGGCTGTGACTTCACCTGCAGAAGAAAAGGAAGAAAAGAGTACTTTAAAGTACCAGCGGTATCAGGCGGACGCTTACTTTAGTTCTTTATAGTACAGTAAGCACATGTGTTCTTACCGGAGGAGAGTTCCTTCCCTGATTCTGCAACAACAACAAAAATATTTATTTAATTGATAGAAAAGTAAAAAAGAAATTTTTGGCTCATCCACATTTATTTGTTGGTAAATCTCAGCTAAATCTGCTGTTCGGCTGTTTAAGAGTCGTGTTGCCTTTGCCTTTGGTCTTCCAGTTCAGTCACTCACTACAATGAGGACTTTACACAAATTCTTTCTCCTTTGTCTTTGTCTGCCACTCTGGGTCCCTCTTTCATTTCTCTGTGTCTCTTTTTCCTCTCCCCTTTTTTCTCCGTTAGACTCTCGTGATAACAATGGAGTCACTGTTTGGTTTCTGCAAATCCTTTTTTCTCTAATCAGCTCGCCAACAAACACTGGGTCCCCCTTTACTTTTCCACCCCTTCCCTCTTTAATTCTGTCACTCTGTCGATTCCTGCCGTCCAAAGGCTCTTTCACTCAGACAAAGTCACCGGTAAATCCTCAATATTCCCACATTTCTCTGCACATTCCCGCTCTTCCCTGCATGAATTGTGCTAATTTCTGTGTTCAACATGGTAACTTACCGGCTCGTTATTTGGGGGTTTGTAGTTTACAATCCTAGAGCTCACAGCAGATTTTCTCTGACCTTTTGCAACTTCAAATTTCTGCATCCTGCATCGTCATCTATCCCCAATAGTAAGTCATTTTCAGGCAAATGATTTCTAACACAGCATGTGCTCTTCTTTCTCGCTTTGTCCGTCTAACCTGCAGAGAAGGAGGCGAAGGCGACCCTGTGGTTGATCGGCTGCGTCGCGCGGTAGTTGTCCTGCAGCAGCATCCTGTCTGCATCTTTAGCTTTACTGGAGTAAAGTATTGTCTCCAGCTTCAGCAGCTGGTGAAGAGGAGAAGAATGGGAACAGGTAAAGTCTTCCAGAGCAATGAAAATATTGTGCTATCATATTCATCTGACAATGATATTGTTTTTTGGTCTTTCGTACAGTAAATAGCCAAATAGTTTCATAATTTAAAAAAATGAAAAAACCCTCCAGAGGTTTGTTACAGAGTAAATGCACACCAGCAATACCAATGCATTTAAACACGAGACAACATTCCAGTGCATGTTTGGAATATAATCAAAAATGAAATCAATGTGGCTGTTTAAACTAATTCAAAAGCAGGTGACGTGAAACAGTGAAACAGGGTTTTTTACCTAGCCAACATTAAGATGAGAAAATAAAATGTCTTTCCCATATGTTTCCCATAGCCAAATATTAAAGGTTTAAATATAAATATATTTAATATTGTTATTTTGATATTTTGTAAATGCACACGAAAGCACAAAAAAGCTAAATCGCAGGAAAATAATATAAAATGAAACAATTGATTCATTGATGAAGAATTTGACTTCAAATGTTTGCGTAGTAAAAAACCTGGTAAATAATACAATTCTCATAACGTTTACATTGCGGCTCCATGGATCCTCCTCTGCAGACGTGAGCGATTGAGTCCTAATGTCTTAGCTCTACCTGTGCCTTTGAGATTTGAACCCTCTCGTTGAACACGGTCCACGTCACACTCTGGTAGCAGGGCGGCGTTGTCAGGGAGCCGTTGTACCGGTAGTAGCGTCCCAGGTCCGTCGGCAGCAGTGTCTGGACGTCAAAGGCCGGAATGAACACCTTCTGATCTGCCGGTGGGTGCGAGTATGATAAAATGAGTAAGTGACGTCTTACATCAAAAAAATCTATGCAAATATAAACAACATGCAAATATAGTTTACAAGTAAAATTTGTAAAGAAATTACACTGTAATTCATTTGTCGTCCAAGGCAAAAATGGACAACTCCAAGGGGACGTACCAGCGTGTCTGATGCGGCTCAGGTAGTTGAGGATGTTGTTAAATGCTGCGTTGGTCTCCTCGCCCGTCTGGGAAACCAAAACTCAGGCTTCAACGTTCATTGCTTTGCTCCAAACACAATCAATGCTGCCGTTGGTTGTCATTTAGTTTTAATTACCACAATGAGAATTCCTAAAACAGCCAAGCCGTCACTCTGCGTCATTGCCGTGGACACGTTGGGGTAGAGCTCAGAGTTGTAGTGCACCACATGTAGCTGCAGAGACCAGGAACACTGGTTAGTTTGTTCATTTGCACTCATTAGAAAGAGAGAGGCCGAGGGGTTAAAAGAGGGGCGAGGGGGAGAAACCGGGAGCTTCGTGCAAACTCGGTTCGCATCCAGAGAGACTGACTGAGGGGAAATAAAGAGCGAGAAGACTGATGTGAATGAGAAAGAGCTTAATTGCCTCATTATGTAATAAGACCACTCATGCAAGACAAGTTCCAGTTATTAACAGTTGTCCCCTCGTCCCCTTGTCGTGTTTGTGATTATTTTCATTTTGCCGATTTTTGTCTTTTCAAATCTGCTTAAATACTGAGACGCTGGGCCCCCAATAGCTCACCTGTTGCGGCCGGGGCCCCTGTAGGGAGACTGACTCTTTACCCGAGTGGCCTGGGCTCTCTTCCCCTTGCCTGTCTCTTCAGCTGCACTATCAAATAAAAGCAAACACAGCTGATCCCTCACACTTCTAACCCATTTAAGCATTAACGTATGGATAGGATTAAACTAGTAGTGGCCAACAATTACATTTTAATTGTGATTAATGTGAGGGTATCTGTGGCGCGGATTACGTTCTGACTGGCGCATTTAAAGATATCATAGATTGTATGTAAGTGTTTATATGTTAAGGTATTCACACGGCTACGTTTCTGAAGCCTTGAGTTCATCATTTTGGCTGTTGCTGTCTTCCTTTTTTGTGTGAGGACGAGCTGAATAAAACCTGAAGGCTGCAGAAGACATTTTTAAACGACCAAAAATGTTATAATTATGGATTTATTTTACTCTAAATGGCACCATGTTCACAAAAAGACCATCATGTTTGTATTGAAGGCATGAAATTAGAGTATTCAGACAATGAGCTTCCATGGATCCATGTTAATTTGCTGTTTGATGTTTTATAAACGTTCAGTTAAATCATTATTCTTCTCTTTCAGAAGGTTACTAGTATAAACAACACACAAATTCTTTAACCTGCACGAATGTCACCTCATTAGCTTGTAACACTTTTTTATCCTCTATTTACCACAATGGACAGAAAAACAGTAAGTCTCGATTAAGAGTAAGAGCCTTTTAAACCGATTTCATGTTTCACCTTTGACATTGTGTTAAATCTTCAATGTAAAGTACATCCGATTAGTCATAATAACAAGAGCTACACTTTCCGTTTGTGTTCTTGCATACAGTCTAATAGATTTACTGAAATGACACCACTGTTTAAACCTACCTCTGCATCTGCACTCAGTCCGTTGATGGTGTGTTCACTGCCCCCGTGACTCGGGCCGCCGCTGCCCCAGTGCAGGTGCATTTGCACGGCCGTGAAGAGCCAGGGCAGCCCCCCTATTCCCATCCATTCAGGCAGCTCAATGACCACTGATAGAGAGAGAGGAGCAAAACAAGGGCTGACTCTATGAGTTCAACTGAAGGACAGCTGTCCATGGAACACTAGGAGGAAAATGCATTCTAAAAAATCTAATCTAAACATTTAGAGCATCTCCGGTATTTATAAGAAGAAGGTTTGCTGCCTGAGGATGGTTTAATATGGAGAGATCAGTGGCTGTTACGTACCTGTGTGTCCACTGTTGTACATGGTGAAGGGCTTGTTGCCGTGCTGGCTGTAGCCCAGCGGGGTCAGGGGGGTCAAATTTGGGTCGTATTTAGTCTGAGTGGTAATCACATCAACGGGGGACTGAGAGGTGCCGGCGCAGTCGGGGAAGTACTGCGACCACTCCGACTGTCCCACCAAGCCTTTGAGAAGAGAAAAGACGGGAAGCGGTGAAGTCACCACATCACACAGCCGACTGGCTTCCAGTCCCCCAGCGAAAAAGTCTCCATTGATCGGTCCCTAATTATGCAACAGGACAATTAATCAGGCTTCCCTTTCGCTTCATACCCTCATGGTGAAGTAAAATTTATAATGACAAAAAAACTTTTTGAAATGAGATCTCTGACTACAGAAGGCATTTTAAGTTTGGTCCATTAGGGTTATAAAGGATTCATCACTGTTGTCTTTATTCTATTGATGCTTTGGAATAATTTTTTCAAAATTAATTTAGCCATTATTTCTTCAAGCGATGCCTTTTGTCGGTCAACACTAGTATCAATAAGAGTATTGATAGTATCAATAAGAATCAATAAGTATCAATACCTAGTATCAAAAAGATTTGTGGTTGTGTCTCCACAACCACAAATGCTATCATCTCAATAATAATTTCTAACCACATTTGAAATATTTTTCTTGAATTATAACTGATGCTGCTCTGAAAATAACTCAAGACTACAATTTAAATTAATTCAAAACCAGGTGACGTGAAACATAAAAGGTTTGTTTTTACCCAGCCGACATTAAGATAAGAAAATAAAACATCTTTCCTATATGTTTCCCATAGCCAAATATCAAAGATTCAAATATAAATATACTTAATATTGTTAATTTGATATTTTGTAAATGCACACGCAGGAAAATAATGTAAAATGAAAAATTTGATTCACTGATGAGGAATTTGACTTAAAATGTTTGCGTAGTAAAAAACCTGGTAAATAATTAACAATTCTCATGACGTTTACATTTTTAAAGCTTCCAAGAAAGACTATAAACAACATATGATTTTAGTTACATTTTAACACTAATCCTTATACAGATTTAGTGTTTGTTCAGTAAATGTATTTTCTATTAAAAATTCAACAAATCATTAGCATGTGAAAAATGAATAATAAATAAATGATGCAAATCACAGATGAATATTGAGGTGGTATTTGCGGGAGAGGAGAGGGATTCAGGCGCTCGTTCACTGAATAAAAAAAGAAAAACGGGTCTCTAATTGCATAATAAAAGAAAGTTGGAGAAAAGAGAAAAAGAGAGAGTGACATGTGAATCAAAGAACCTGAATTCCAATACAAGGAGTGGAATGCTTTAGAAAACAGCCGTTACTAAATACATACACTTGTAATTACAGATTTTGCAAATGGTAATGCAGTCAATTGCAAGCTTGCATGGTTATGTGAAAGGGCCGAGGAAAGAAGAAAGACCAAATTAACCCCACAGACCGTATGAACACTCTCTCTCTCTCTCTCTCTCTCTCTCTCTCTCTCTCTCTCTCTCTCTCTCTCTCTCTCTCACTTGCACACACACAATGCATGAGGGGCCTTTACATTAGTGATGTAAACACCAATTCTCATCTCGCTTTCCCAGCGCCTGCGACCCCCACCTTGTACCTCTAATCAGTTTTCTCCCCCCTTTGCTCTTCTCTGCAGCAAAGCCCCTCACCATGACCCAACTTCAAAAGGGAGTCCCGTGGCCCCGCCGCTGGTCGTCATGGAGGTCTCCATGGTAACCGGAGGGCGAATATTCTGACCCTCTGTATTACCTCTCCTAGCACGCCATCCCTTTTCATAACACAAGCAGGATCACAACCACGTATCAGATCCCAATTAGATCACGATGACAAGAATGAATGTGAAACCGACTCTCTTTGTTACTTTAAGATAAAATAACGTATCACACGCTGCAGACTTTCGTGTGGAAAAATGCGTAACAAAAATTCCACTTCGCCGCGGCCACTTTGTGCGATGCCGCGTTGCACAACAGGCCTCTCGCACACAGCCTCGCTCAGAGAATGTGGATGAATCTCAATGACTGGCATTTAAAAAAAAGTAAAAGAAAAACCGGAAACCAAAACACATGTCACTAAACGTACTGGCAACCAGTGTGAGATCACACCCCATATTTCTGCCCAATGCACGGGCCTCCGTGTGTGAAAGCCTGAATGGTCGACGCATCGAGACCATTCGCTCCAGTCACGGCCTGCGTGGAGCGCTATGTGCTCCGTATGTGCTGCACACCGGCCGTGCTCCCCATGCAGAGACGGGTGGGTGGTCTGTGTACCCCATTCATTCCTACAATGTCATTGTCCACTGCATAGGCAGCCAGTGTGCGTCCGCAGCACAATCAACACATGAGTTATTGTGCGCCGCAACAATACGGGGCATGATTTGGTTTGCTTTGGTTTGCTTCGTCCCATCTCCCTCTCTCCGTCCAACGCACTCGCCCTCGTGCACCTGCCTCCCTCCCTGCGCCCGCCTCGCACTGCCTTCTTCCTCTGATTCTCCCTCCACCGCTTCATCGTCTCCGTGTGACCGCTGTGCTCATGCCAGCTTGTTGAGCTGTTACTAACACGGACAGAGAGAGAAGTCGGGGGAAACAGAGGGAGAAGTGCTGGGAGATCCAACGCCTCTCAATGCTCAGAAATGTTTATTGATGTTTTAGAGGTTAACGTGGTAAAAACTTTGCTCGTAGTTTTGTTTGGATGGTTGCAGTTATTTTCAGTAAACTTTTTTGTTTCTGTTGTCAGCACTCAAGATTAGTCCAAATGATCCTGAATTAGGACAAAAGAAATCCAACGCCTTCCTGTTTGTTACAGAATTGACTTTTGGATTCTGCTCCTCGTCTTTAAAGCGGTTAATTAACAAGACTAAACCCACAGATATCCAGAATATCAGACTTTGTGAATGTGGCTCATCATTTATCGTTTTCTTTTTTTAATCAGGCTGTGCCACACTTGCCTCTGCATGAAATGATGTGTGCTACAAATGAACTTGAACTCACCATAGTAGGTCCAGGAAACCTCCTCTGAAAAATAAACAAATTAAATGCTTAAAAAATTAGTTCACAGTAATTCTGGATTTTATTTGAATTTTCATTCAAAACTGGCCTTTATCATATGCATCACATCTGTAAAATCAACCATGACATATTTCACATAACTCCATAATCTGTATCTATCTACACTATTCTCATCGCTTTTAATCATTAATCACTGATGCCATTATAGTACCATTTAAAACAAGTGTTAAAATAGCATTACTCACTCTGTAACACCCAAACAAACCCACAGGAGCAATAACACAGCAAAGCGATCTCACATGATGCTGATTATTTTGTCGATTAAGACCTTACCGGCAGCGGGGGCAGTTGTCCACTGGAAACACTGAAGCGTTAGAAGGGCAAATAGACCCAAACAGCCCATGTTGGCCCTCCTTGCCCATGCACAGCAATGAATAAAAGTCAACATAGAGATGAGGAGCAAGTGAGGGAGAAAGTGAGAGGGGGAGAGAGAAAGGGACGTGTGTGTGTGGGGGGGGGGGGGTCGGGTGAAGGGGGATCGACTGGGTTCAGCGATCCCACCTGCCAGCGCTCTGTCTAACAGCCGAAGTGGGGATGTTACATGGCGGCTCCACTCCTGCACGCAGGGGCAACAGAAAGAAGTCTATCGGCGGGGGGGAAGATGAAGAGAACGTGTGAAGAGGAGAGTGAGAGAGAGAGAATGAGAGAGGGATGGAGGGGAAGGCAGAAAGGGTCCATCTGGTGAGAAATTATTCAGTGTTTAATAGCTGCCGGGAAAAGGACCCTGAGAGGGGAGAGAAGGGGACAGAAACCAGCGCTGGGGAAAAGGGGGATGTGTGGGGGGGGGGGGGGGGTTACTGCTTTGTAACGGTGGCACACAAAAGAGGGCACGAGGGGCCATGTGACACACGGAACAAAACGCACACATCACAGGGGAGAGATGTGTGAACCTGAGGTGTCCGAGTGTTTCTGAGTTCTCGCTATAGGTGAGAGAAAGCTTGACAATGAATTCCGCCAAATTTCTGTTATTGTAAGTAGAGTATGTGAGAATAAGAAGAACAACTGACCGAGAAGAGCGGATGAGGATATGCATCCAATAGTGGTTCTATATATTGCTCAATACAAAGGAATAAACATGTTTATCTTCCTTTCTCAGATAGTTGCCACTCATACGTCTTTTACTTTGGCCTGTGTGGCTGAATGTGAATTTGTATGCATCACTTATCTATGGTCTACGCTCCGTGATCGATTCATTCTGCTGTAAATCTCATATTTCTATTTTGTAATGTTTTGCATTATTTATTCTACATTTCTGTTTCTCAATTTAGGGTTTCTAATCAGCCGCAAGTGAATATTTTTCAATAGTTCTCCTGCCAGGCGTCCTCACTATGAAAGAGTTCAGCTTCTTTGCTGCTCAGCTGGGATTTTGCACTACAACTCTTCCACCTCTTCATGTATCCAGTATGTCGCGGTTGCTAGAACATGCAAACATGTTGAAACGTGATATGTTGGTCAAGCCCAGTCAACATCTAGTACATCGGATGATGTTTGGCACATAACACAGATTTCCTTTTACGGGAAGGCTGACTTTGAAGTGTAAAAAGGCTGTTCAACAATGTCAGCTGGAGATGCAACCTACGTAGAAATAGCTCATCATCTTGCCGATGGCCTCTTCTTCAAATGGACTTCACATACTAGAGGCATCTGTGTTCATTTAAAAATGTTTCATAACCAGTCAAGTGTTCCTCATAGTAACTTGAATATTAAGAATTTGTAATATTATATATTTTTTAATTTAAACTTTATTTGATATGGACATCACATAATTAGATGAATTGTGTTTAGAAGCAAAGCACTAATTTACAACAGCTGTCACACAAGAGGCATTTTTAAAGGAAAAAAAATAACGTAATAACATTCCTGCTTTTTGCAAAATGTCTGCTAAAAATACCTGTTTTTCCATCTCCAGTTCTCTAGGTTTCCAAATGCATTTAAACTTGCAACATTCTGCGTAGGAAAATATTCTATATAGTTTATGTCAAAACATATACTGGCAGTGAGTTTATTCTTTACACTATTGAGACAGGTAACAAACTGCACATCAGGGACTCTGATGGAGGACTTGTTCAGGTTTGAACACCAGGGGGAGCCCTCACCACGTGACATGTTTTAGGTGGATTCCTTGTAAAGATAATCCACCTTAAAACAGAATTGTTTCATTCTTTACCATAACATTGTATAACCGTCAGTTAATCCTCGGGTCTACGATTGCTCCACACTCAAATATTAATGGATCAACGGGGGTAATTTGCATTGTAAATAATGGTTAATATTACACCATTACAATACAATATTACAACATAAAATGTGTGGAGTTAATTGGTATTTAATTTTAACAGGAACTTCTACATACTGCAACCTCATTACCAGTGTATTTTCTGATGCAGTGATGAGAAATGGAAAAATAACTAAATAAAGGGAACGTATAATGGCATCCCTTTAGAAAAAATAAAGGGAACATAACCACTGCAATTGATTTCTCATATTTCTTTCAGAAGTTTATTTTTGGGATTTATGATTCCTTGCTTTATTTATTATTTTCTTTCATCTCACTATGCGTCACATGAAAACCTACTAAAACGGATCCTGATTAAAATTGTGTTTTGTTAATGTGGTTTTACCCTCTAGTTTCTAGAGGAAATCCAGCCGAGCCTTTTGATCTGAATTACATAACATTCAGGAGTCAAGGATTCAAAACATTAAAATAAAACTGCAAAGGGTTACATCACATACTGCATTGAGCATGGTAATTATAGAAGCAGGTGATTTTATTCGTTGTAATTCCTGAATTCTATTTAGCGGCCTAGTCAAAGAGCAGGCCTATTAAATATCTTTGATTACTGAGTCGTTATCAAACTCTTGTATGGTTTTATTCTTGTGGTGACCGATATTTCTCACATGATCTCAAATCTCTGGCACTATAAATCCACGATGTGACTATATTCTCCATCTCCTCTGTCTGTCTCTCCATCTCTCCACACGCTACCAAACGTGAAGCACTCCGTGCAAATTATGCAACAGCGAAAGCCCTCGCCGGCCACCCATTGGTCGCTCGGCGTTCCATTGATGGGCGTGGTTAGAGAACGCTCACATACACCATTGGCCGCGTCTTGTCAGTGGGGAGGGGGGGGGGGGGGTCCTGTGATTTCATTCACAAATCTAGCTGGGGGAGCTCAGACATCCCTCTGTTTATTCTGATGAGCACATGTGCCGGATCCGCAGATGTGGGCGGACGGGGGGAAAAAAGGCTGCAGCTCAGAAATGGGACCTGGTTTGTGAATAGCCGTTAACACTTGTTGTAATCTGCGGCCGTTTTATTACAAGCATATCATTATACATAATCTGTGGTAACTGAAATACGCTTTCAATTTGGAAAACAACCATTTAACAGCAGGTCTTTGTCACGGCAGTAAATAGGAACTGCAGGCTACTGTCCAGGTACTGAGAGGTTTTACAAGCGTGCATTGGAAAAGTGGGTCTTGGTGGAGGTTGTTTAACTGCACTATGCCAATAAGAACACATTTATTTTCATTTAAAGAGAGAAAACGAGCAATGAACAAATGCAGAAATGGCAGCGACGTGTCACTGTTTCCCTGTTGAAACGTGATATGTTCCTCAGCTTCTGCAACCGGAGTGGGTGGATAGTTTACTATTTAGTCTCTCTAGGGCCTCCGTCTTCCCCGGGGGGGGGTCACATTTCTGTTGTGGTGTCTTGCTCTGACCACACCTGTTTGCCGCCGTTGGCCCGACAGGAACTCCGGCGTGCTTTCGCTGCATGAATGCTCGCATGCTTTCACGAAGTCTCAGAGAGACTTCAAGGCAAATATCTCCTGCAATAAGCTAAGGTCATCTGTCCATGAAGCTGAGTTCAATCTACTTATACTCCTTGTCCTGACATAAACCATAAGATAGTTTACAGGCCCTACGTGTCACGTAAGGACATGGCCTTACGTGACACGTAGGAGCCTACGAATCAAACAAATGATTAAAACTGTAATGGAATCTAATCTTCAACATATCTGGTTTTCTTCCAGGTGTACAAACATTTCCGTCTTCAGTGACCCAACTGAAGCAAGCCGTGTGTTTTCCATAACGTCGACCAGTTTGACACACCAGTTTTGCTCTTTGACCCACTTCTTTGCCTAAAGCCCCATCCAAAGGCCCGGCCTTCACGTGTTCACTCGTATTGAATTCTCAAGCATGTCAATACAAGGGGCTGATAATGAGAAGAGGATGGAGTACCAAAAACACAGAAACCAGGTGGGGGATGGGGGACGGGCGGGGGATGGGAGGATGGAAAGGATGGGGGGGGGGGGGTGTTCAACCCACGTGGACTCAGAATAGGTTGATCGGGTTCATGTGCTCCAGAGGAATGCTGTGGGGGGGGTTCGGAGAGGTTTTTTCCTCCGACCTGGTCCAACCAACCTATAGACAGAAAACCTCGCCCCTGGTTTGCTATTACCAAAGGTTAACCTTTATTGTGTTTTGACAAAAAGAAGGGGTGGTGTTGAGTGTTGAGTTGATGGTCCACGGTCACAAGGCTCAGAGACAGGCAATGTCAATCAAACAAGGACACAGCTTGCTGTGTGTGCGTGTGTTGAGGGGGAGGGTTCAGTGGGTTCATGTGTATGTTGTATGTATAGTGGGGGATGGGAAGCTCCTTCATCCCTGACTCTAACGTGCAAAGCGCTTAAAGACATGCACCACTCACCAACTGGCATTTCACATCTAAAAAACACCAATAACAGCCAGCATAATGACTAAACTACAGTTAAGGTCTTGTGAGGAGTGAAAATACCAACATGATTAAGGAATAGGAAGTGTGTCAGTGTGTGTTTGGTCCGGTCATGTATGGTGGTGGTATACAGCACTGCATGTTTCACGTGAGGGTCACTGGGTTTGCTCTGTAGTAACCTGGAGTGGAAGGATAAGCTGCTACGTGGCCATAAATCATAGGTATGTAAACGGACTTGCTGCATTATGGTCATGTCTCGCTTTGTGTTTAATGCATTAGTCACCTTACTTCAGCAAACAGAGCCACGGCAATGTTATATTTCATAAAATATTACATTTCTTATCAAGTAAAAAAAATCTAACCCCTATCTTTTGTCACTGTTCCAGTTGTGCAAAATTTTGGTGATGTTTGTGTCACAAACTTTATAAGTCGGTTAAACAGCTGATTAAAATACAGAAAAACTGCATTGGTTACGTGCAAATAAATATATAACAACATATTTTAAGTGAGCATTATATTAGCTGAGATATCTCAGATAGGGTTAAAGAATTATCTTGTAATAATAGGTCGACCTATTCCTGGCAATGTCGCAAAGCCATGTGACCGGCCTGCTCCGGAAAATTTCACGTCTTGAATATTTGCCCATGTAGGAGTGAGGAACAGGCTTATTGATGGCTGATCAATCTTTACATTATACATCTACTGTGTGATGACATATGCATTATGCTGCTTCTGATTCTTCTACTCACATCTCCTGTTTGTATACTGTGTGACTAATAAAATATTATTTGTATGTTGTCTGTTCTTACATCTAGAAGAGCCTTATTTGCAGCGAAGGAGGGCACTAATGAGGAGTGCAGTAGCATTACTTAGATATGAAAGTTGAATTGTGTCATTGAGTCAGATAGCATGCTGTGGATTAACTGCATCCGTGTGATCCATGTGAGAGAGCTCTATTTCACTATAATCACATGTAAGGGTCAACGGCATGGTGTGTGTGAGGGGGGTCTCTAGACACGAGGCCATTTGTTAAGTCTGTTTTTCAGTAAGAACACCGCGGATGAGATGGGCTCTGACCGACTCTTCTGGCTGAAGATCCGCCAGTTTACACCCGCTTGCTGTAGTGGAGCAGCCCCCTCCCCACCGACACCATGCACACGGGCGACACATGAGTGGGCGGGACCCTGAGTGCCCCGGTCGCTGTCCAATCAGCGGCCGGCTGAGCGATCACTGGCCGGGAGGCTCGGCCAATGGCGCGCGACACCGCTGGGCAGGCGGCCAATAGAATGCGCGCAAAACGTGGGCACGTGGATCCGCGCACATGCTAGCGCCCGTAAACCGCCGAGAGAGAAAGAGCTAGCAAATACACAAACCGAGTGTGTGTTAGTGTGTGTGTGTGTCAGCGTGTGAGAGGGAGGGACAGACCGAGAAGCCGAGGCCGGACGCCCCAATGCTGCTCCCGTATTGACCGATCTGCCCCATCAAGATAGGAGATAGAGCCGGAAAGCATCTTTTTTTTTCTTCTGGCTGCTGTTGTGTGTGTTTTCTATCCTACGCCGCTGAAGGTGAGCATTTCCTTTAACACGACCCTTCTTTGTATTGTTTTTGTTTCAACGTTTCATAAAGTTGTGCCTGGAGGAATTTCCTGTGTCGCTGTATCCTGTATACGTGCTACTCTCATATACGTGCTACGTGCTATAGTCACGAGCTTCTTCTTCTTCTTCTTTTCACGTGGCGTTTCTTCTAACTAGAACTGGTTGTTGTGTCATTCATTTGTGACGATCGCCGTTGTTCTTTCATAATGGCAGATCGTTGTGATCAAAACCTGTTCTTGGTCTGTATTTGTTATTTACTTTGTGGTCATGCGCTTCTATTCTGTTGCATCTTTGTCTCACTTCGTAAGAATCGTGCTGTGTGTGTGTGTGTGTGTGTGTGTGTGTGTGTGTGTGTGAGTGTGTGTGAGAGAGAGTTCGTGGGAATCGTACTGCGATGACACACCGAGACCAACACCTGAGACGTAGCCTCAAATGGTCCCTGCATACCTGTGCAGCCCGTACCGACAAATGCACCATCAGACCCACTCGACCTCCACCCACCCCATCCACCGTAGGCTTTTTTTGGAGGGGGGGGGGTAGTAATAAACACCACATTTTTGCAGCTCACTCGTACAGATGCATACAAACAGGTTTTAGGAGGTCGCGGTTGGCCCGAGGAGATCTCGTCCACCAAACACTAACAACGTGTAACTGGAATGTGGTTGTTGCAACAACAAAAAAAAAAGCGTCCCGGATCGTTTTTAAATGTTCCATCTCCTGAAAATCGGACGTTTCTCTGGACTCGCCAGTGTGTCCACGTTGCGATAAAATGTGGTCCTGTCTTTTGCGTGATTTTAGACTTTATTTTTCTCACCATAATAATGGCGTTGTTGTGTGTACCCGTGTATTCACGTGACCCCTACAACCCCCCCCCCCCCTCCCACCTCCCCTTTACTGTGTTGGTGGGATCAAGACTCACCAGGCATTAGGAGATTACACACCCAGAGCAAAAAGGGAAAGATGAAAGCGTGAGAGGCACATGGCCGCAGATGCAAAGTGTAAAATGTGAGTAAGTAAGAGAGGAGGAGGAGGAGGAGGAGGAGAAGGGTTTGGTCTGTGGAAGACGAAAGGAAGGGCAGAGCGCCGGGCGTGTGTGCATAACGAAACAGGATGAGCTGAAGGGAGAGCAGGGAGCGATGAGAGGCATACAGAAATACACCCGTAGAGGAAGAGGTTTGTGCGTGTTTGTGAATTCGAGGGGGGGGAGGATGGAGAGCAAACCCGAGACAGGGAGGAGGGGCTAGAGAGATCACCGGAGGCAGAGCGAGAGAGAGAGGGAGCCTATTCTGATTTCACTACTCGCTCCCATCCCCCTCACGTTTACGCTCCCTTCCAGTCTCCGATCTCCTCAATGGGAGCCAGACATGCACTACCATTGTGCGCCCACTGCTTACCCCCCAGTCCCACTTTGCAACATGTTAAACTAGGGCACTGGTATAGCCACCATTTTGAGCAATTGGGGTTATTATTTTTGGGAGGGAGAATTGCCAAAGCAGTTCTTTGCTATTTTGTTTCACAAGTCTTCACATTTTGTCCGTTTCGGTGCTTCACCCTGCTGGTTTCCGGAGTGTTTATCCCAATAGTTCACCGTTAAAACGACCTGGACCCTCTTGTTTCTGCCCGGACAGCAATGCAGTCCCAGGGCAGCACGTCGTCCCAGCCGTCCTTCGATTCCCAGAGCTCGAGCGACAGCCCCCTGTTCAGCGACTCGGAGCAGGCCGAGGACGACACGGACGTCTTCCTGACCGACAGCTCTTCCTCGGCCATCATCGGCGAGGTGTCCGGGGCCGCGGCCGACGGAGACGGAGGGCCGGGGAGTCCCGCGTCCAAGTGGGCGTGCGATGACTTCACGGATAAAGAGGAAGAGGAGGCCTACAGGTCGAAAGGCGGCGGCGGCGGAGGCAAGGCAGCTCGCGTCGGTTCGGACCAGGCGGATCCCACAAGCCACGTCCCCAAGTCACAGGGAGACCTGCTGTTCGCTCAGAAGGTAAGGGACCGGCGAGAAGATTCAGATGGCGAGGCCTGGCGGCTCGGGAGTAATCTATCTCCCTCTTCCTCTGCCAGTGTGCTGAGCTGCAGGGTTTCGTCAGGCCGATGCTGGAGCTGCTGAACGGACTGAAGAGGGGCCGGTTCGATCGAGGTGAGAGGACCTCATGGGTCCACGTGAGCTGCGCGGCCCGTTTCGATAGAGAGCGTTTGCTTTTGTGCGGCGGTCCGTAATGACGCAGCCAGTTGATGGAGTCCAAAGTGCAGTTTGTGTGTGTGTGTGTGTGTGTGTGTGTGTGTGTGAGAGAGAGAAAAAAGAGACAGTCTTGTGGCTGACTCATCAGCTCAATCAGAGTTTGCTGATATCACAAGTGAAAGGGATGCGTGCGTGTGTGTGCGTGTGCGTGTGCGCGTGTGCGTGTGTCTGTGTGTGTCTCATAGAGGAAGGAGAGCTTATTGGTCTGCATGTGCATGAATTATTCCTTTCTTTTGGTGAGTATGGAGTCTCTCTGCACTAATGCTGACTGGGGGGGTTTATGTATTTGGTCGGCAGGTCTGAGTAGTTTCCAGCAGAGCGTCGCCATGGATCGAATCCAGAGGATTGTGGGTGTTTTACAGAGACCCAACAGCGGGTAAGATGTTGTCCACGTCGTCCCACCATCCGCCCTCAGTGTTTCTTTTACTCACTGGGCGCTGCGCCGTATTCAGATTGTTAGCATGCAAGTGATCATTCATTTGGCGTAAGTAAGGATCGGTGGAGCAGTTTTCCATTGCAAGCCTCGTGTCCTGCTCCGTGTTTTACTGAACCGTGCTTAAGGGAGGTGCACAGCTGCAAAGAAACTCCGAACTTGAGGAGAAACTGTATCACGATTTCTTCCAACGCCATGACACAATAGAATGAATGACACCGCTCACTTAATTCAAATGTGTGGTGTGTTTTTTCTTGTGTGTGTTTGTAGGGAGAAGTACCTGAACACTCTCCTCCAGGTGGAGGTGATGCTGAAGCTTTGGTTCCCTCAGATCCACGCTCAGGCTGCATCTGCGGCCGCCGCCCCCTCCGCCGCCCCCCTCCACAACGCGCCTCGCTCCCTCCCCCCTCACAAGCACAGGGATCAGTCGCACATTCCCGTCAAGGTGAGATCACACGTGCGCCAGTGTGCGTAATTGCGCACACGCGTCAAGATCTTCACAAATTGAATGTCGCGTTAACTCGAGTTCTCCTCCTGCTCTTTTTCCCAGAAGCGCAGACTCAGCTGGACGGACGCGGACTCTCCCGCTCCCTCCCCCGCGCTGCCCACGTGCGCTCGGATCGGCGCGGAAGTGAAGAGGGCGAAGGCGGGCCGCGGCGAAAGGGACGCCTCCCCGTCGCCCGCTGCGGATCAAAATTCCGCGGCCGGCGACGACCAGCGGGGCCCAGGCGGAAAAGGCGGCGAGGAACTCGGCGAGCGATCGAAATACAAAGCAGGCCAAAGCTCCGAGCCGAGCCTGACGTGGGTCCACGTCGCCCCCATCCCGTCCCCGGGAAAGGCCTGCGTGTCACGTGAGAGCGCGGCGGCGGGTGACGGTGAAAAGCGGCCCGTCGCTCCGGTCCTGCCGCTCAGGAGGAGGGGCACTCCGGAGACGCAGGACAGCGCCGTCTCTTCCACCACGCACTACAAGCACGCGCAAAATCTGAAGAAGCCAATCCGGTGCCAAAGCCAGACTATCACTGGACACGAGCGCGAGAGCGCCGAGAAAGCGCCCCAAGTCCCGCTGGCGCCTTTGCCAGAGGCGTGCCCCGCCCCCCTGTAGACCCGATGTAACACTGGGCTAAAGCTGCTTTTTTTTTTTTTTACGCTGAATGCCTGTGATTTATAAATGCATCAAGGGATGGAAAGAATTCTAGGCCTCCTTGAAACCACAGTTGCTGCCATTATTTCAAAAGCCAGGAACGCATCGTCTTTTTTAAAATAAATTGAACCAATAGATCTGAAGACCACAGTTGCATAATAATTCAAACGTGCACAAATGCAGTTGTGGTTTAGGGGAAAGGAAAGAACACCGAATTCTGAGAGGGTGTTTTACTGCTTATTGAGCAGTGATGGTTGGGGAGGTTTTGAAGAACTACGAGGAGCAAACGATTGTTTCTCCTCGGCATGAAGGCAATCACTGTATTAAGAGAGGACGGTTTCTACAGACGTCTGACCTGAGGGACTCAATCGATACCCAAAATATTTCAACATCTTTTTGTCTGTCGCGACGCTGGTCTTCGGGCAGGAGACCCGTTTGACGTTGCCTTCTCCTGTAGAAAGAATTGAGGCATCCGGCCTATTTGAAGTTATTACGAATCTCGTAGCTAGAAATGAGAAAAATCCAGTGGACAGAATGCAGCATTATACTGTACGTGTGTCGTCTGTTTGACCATGTGAGACTGGATGAAAACAAAAAAAAAGTGATGATGATGATCCACTCACGAATGTAATCAACACCTGTTTGGGCACCTCGGCATCGAGAGGCGCATCGTCACGGCAATCGGATCAGACTCCTCTGCCTGGTTCCACCGCAGAGCGAACTGACCAGCAATCAGTGTCGGACAGATCTAGTTAGTAAACTAACCAGAAGAAGAAAAAACAAACAACCCAGATCACTCAAAGACATATGGCTCTCGAGTCCCACTGTTAATTTATTCACTTGTTGATCGGACACTGCGTTTTATTTATTGTTTGTATTTATTGATCGGGCAGCTCAATATTGCCTGCTGTGCGCTCGCACAGTTTGGCCCACACTTGTTTTGAGGGGATCTGGGGGGGGATGCCGTCAACTGTTTTTTATTGCTATCAAAAAGGGGGCGGGGGGTAAAAAAATGAAGGAAGCGGAAATGCTACGTTTGGACTGTTGGACTACTGTGCCTTTTTTTTTATTTTATTTTTTTTCAACCAAATGTGTTGTTCAGAAAAGCATTTGGTGCTTTCAGTGCATTCATACTGCGATTTGATTGTTTTGCTTGACTTTCACAAAACCAGTACGCGTTCCAATCATGAAAGCCTGCATGTAGTCGTTTTCCTTCAAAACGCAGCAGCCAGACCGACACCAACAAAGGGACCTGGCGTCCAGCTGTAGTATTCAGACATACCGAGGACCCCCACCCCCCTCCACACACACACACACACACACGCACACCAACGGCAGTGGCTGCTGTTTGTCCTGCGGTGCTGTAGCGTGTAGCGTGTAGCGTGTAGCGGTCTTCCCTGATCAACAGAGGACCAGGCTGCGCCGCATGTGAAGCCGGTGCCCTTGAAGACTCGCAAAACAGAAAACCTAAATTGTAAGGGAGGAAATCTTTGTGTGCACCACCGTCTACTGCTGCTATTGTTGTCGTTTTTGATTCCAGTTCCAACGTTTGAGAGGAGGAATCCGCTTACGTTATTCTTCTAAATGTAGGCGGGGGTTTTAGCGATGTGACTATTGCAAAAGTATTGTAAATATTGAGACTAAAATATTTTTTAAATTTTGGTATGATGGGTTCATACACTATTTACAGAAGGGGGGATCAACGTACCTGTCTCCTCCAAAAATAAGTGAACACCGAGCCACTGGCCGCCTCCATTTTACTGCCCGTGTGTGTGGAGGCTGGAGGGAAACGGCTCGTCTCACCCCGTCTCACCCCGTCCCACCTCCCAACACGACGGTACCATGTGCCGGGATTCTCCACCAGAAGCTTCGGGGTTTTTTTTTATATGGTTACAGAGTGACAGAGAAACCAATTGCACTTCTTTTACATTGTTTGTGTCCTATTTCCATGTTTTCTACTGCACTGACCACTGCTGATTGGTCTGGAATACTACTTCTCGTTTGTTTTAGCTGCTTCGACTGTAAAAGCTGACCGTAGTTCCCTCCTCGCCTCCCCTCCCCCAACCCTGCTGCATCCGTCTGCCCTTCCCCTCCCTCCCTCCCTCATCTCCCCTCAATCCCGTTTATTATCTTTTCTATCAGGAACTAAACTCTTGTCTCTTTTTCTCTCGACTCATCTGGACATGATTTTACTCGTACACTTTTTCAACAATGATGAACAGGGGAAAAAAAAAAGAACTTTTAATAAATGACACATTTTCAAAAGCTGACGTGTCCGTGTTGTTGTTCTCGTCTGGTGAACGTTTACACGTTTGCCCTTCTTTCTAATATGCGACGCCGTGGCTGAGACCCGTGTTTGGGTCGGCGGCTCCTGTCAAACAGATGTGAGTCTCAGTGGGGTGCAGATTTACAGACCTTACATTTTGAGACTACAGTCTCAGTAATCTGACTGGGGGGTTAGAGGAGGGGGGGCTCATCCTCCAACCAGCTGCCTCTCCAGAGAGCAACACGGCCTTCGTGTGTGTTGTTTGTTCCAGGAGATCACAATGAGGAAAGGCCTCCTGTAGGTGGTAGAGAAGAGCCGGGCACCGTCGGGTCTGTGATGGAATATTGGCACCGCAACACAAAAAAACGGGCTGAAATCTGATCCCACGTACAGTCATTTTAGCCCCCCTAAAAAAAAAGTATGTATATTAAAAGGGGTCAAATGTAATCCTCACCCAGCGCCTGTGCGCTTGTACTACTTCCATCCGGTCAATGTGTTGCCAGGTATTTGTAGACAAAACACAATAGATTATAGAATAGACATGATTGACAATTAAACTTATTCTATTTTTTTTTTTTAAAGGAAAACATTGCCAATGTTTTTACAGTTTTGTATCGGTTTAAACGCACGTATTTGGGTTCTGGATTTATAGTCTCCCCCAAAAAATGATTTGCTCTGGACGGGTAGAAAACCGTCACTTCATCTGACATTTTATGGACTAAAGAATAAAAAAAGAAATGCTGGAACCTTCACATCCACAGACACACAAGCACATGGGCACAACATTGGCACATTTTCAGAGGGTGTGGTTTGGTTTCTCCCTCCTCAGACATGAAGTCAGCAACACGCAAACACACACGCACACGCGTGTGCCACTCCCCTCTGCACGCACTGACTGGCTGATTTGGTGATGGGCCTTTCTCTGACACACCGACTGTGGGCTACGTTATGACAACAGAGACCGCCTCCCCATCCCTCCTCCCCTCTGCCTCCCTCTCAGCCCCCCCTTGTATCTATGCAGTTTTTAGCAGAGCAGCACTTGCCCTCCACACACCCCGCTCCACCCTCCCCCTCCTCTGGAGGATGTAAGAGAGGGGCAATAGCAAAAGGACATGAGGAGGATGTGTGGAGGGCAAAGGGAGGAGACGTGACCTCACTCTGGGGTTTTTTTTGGGAGCATGAAGGACATTTTTGTTTTCACCACTTGTTTTCAATAATATTTTTCTCTTTTCAGCGGCCACCTCATTAGTTTGGATTTAATGTGTTTTTTTCAGTTTCCGCTTCCTACAAATTGAAATGTATATAAATAAATAAAAAGTTGAATTCTTCTACTACATTACAGCCAAGTTACCTGCGTCTGTATGGTTTCGCCGCATAGATGCGGGGGGATTGTTATCGCATCACAAACGTGTCTGAGTATTTAACCAGCTTGCGTTGGATTAACTGTCGTTGTGTGGGTGTTGTGTGTGGGTGTTGTGTGTGTGCGTGCATCAATTGGATTGCACAGAATGAACCTATTGCCCCTTTCGTCCCTCGTGTGTAGGTTTCTCCCTCCGCTCCCAAGTCTCCTTATTGGCCGTAACAGGTTAATGATTTAATGGTGTCAGTCCTGCCGCGTGCGCTACGTGCGCGATGGAGGGGAATGACACAATGAGTGAGGCTCTCCCCCACACCCCCCCCCCAACCCCCCAACCACACACACTCGCTGCACTCCAGCAGGACTCACGTGAGGTGCAGCCCAACCGTGACTTCTGCAACTACACACGTTTGTGCACACAAAGAGTCCCGAGGGGCGTTTCAGTGCAAACGAGTCCCCCGAAACCGCCGCGATGTCTATTCAAATTGCACCGTGGCGAGTGGACGGAAATCGGGGGTTACTTGGGCGTCACATCTGCCTCGTTGGAGCAGAGGGGGGGTGGGGGGGTCCTCGATGTGCCGTGTTAAGACGCCGCTCTGCCCAGCGTCCGTGGTGCCCACCGGGAGGTCACGCGGCGAAGACCGGGCACGCAAAGACCGCGTTCTTTAAAGGACGCGGTCTTTGTAGGACGCGCGTGCCTCTCCGGACATTGTGCGCGATCGTTGGGGCGCGGCCGAGCTGCAGGCAAATTAGGTCCTCGTCCGTTTCTGTGGCCTGAATGTGTTCAGCGGGAGCCGGCTGGTGATGACGCCATCGCACGCGCATGCTCAATTATTCAAGTGCACACCAGCCGCACCGAGGAGGGGATAACAAAACCAAAACTCGGCCAAAGTGTGGGTTTGGAATCAAACTAAAGTGAGAGGTCAAAGCGTTTACTTTTACACGGTAGTACACAGTTTGGGCTCTAGGGACAGCACACACACACACACACACTGAGGTCCTGGCAGCCCATGTGTGTGTGTGTGTGTGTGTGTGTGTGTGTGTGTGTGTGTGCGTGCGTGTGTGTGAAGTAAAGACCCCTGGGATTATATATTCCAAGATGATTTGCAGCCAATGTCAGATAAAATGAAATAAAACTGGGTCAGCGTGTTGAAATGTATCATAACCAAACACTTGATGAGTCCAAAAACTGCGTAAAGGAACATGAGGAACGTCTTTAATGAGGTGATAAATTACGCTTTTATGTAATATTCACTCAATCGTTGCAATAGTGAACATTAATACACCCGACACCACATCGTTATGTAGCAGGTTGAGGAGGAAATTGTTCGGCAAATGAGAGTAAACACAGTAAGTGTGACTCAACAATTAGTCCTTTGCCAAAAGTGGACGTGGAAAAAATGCAGAATAAAAGCCTGCTGGTCACTCGACACCGGTTTCAAATCATTAAACAGGACATTTGTTAAATAATGTTTGCAAACAGGAGACAGAATTGACACACATACAAGCCAATGCCATAAGGTGTCCTGAACAGAGAGGTTTTGCTCACGTACAACGATCTCATTATACGAGCACCCTCATGTTCTTTATCCTGAGACACACATCTGACCATCACGAGACACCGAGTGGCCTTCTGGACACCGGTCACACACGTCACACAGATTTCATACATCTCTGACCATCACGAGACACTGAGTGGTCGGACCTCTCATCCCAGCTGACGCGTCACACCCAGATACCATGGTACAAATACAGACTCGGTCTTGTCTTCTTTTGTCCCCCTTCCAATTATGACATTATGGCAGTTTTTCCAACAACATCCCACCCCACGCCCCCATGATGCTGAATTACACTTATTTTAACTGCAGGGATAAATGGTGCAAGAGCATTTGTGTGTGTGTGTGTGTGTGTGTGTGTTTGCATGAAATATCTGTGGTATTGTCACATTATGTGCTGAGGTGTCATTGCATAAAAGAGTCTGCTGCAGAGAGACGGGCAGACAGGACGTGTGGTGCCAACGAGGTGGTTGCAGTCGGGCAAATGTGACCGTTTGTGTTGTTTACTGGCTCGCTAATGTGTGGGTTACAAACATTGCTCACATGGAAATGTTTAAGCAGGTTGCTTTAGCAAAATTAACTGAAACTTTGCATAACGTTTAAACCACTTATTCAGCAAAAAGTTCTAATTGTGATTGACGCGATGGTTGCTTTTATCTGATTTCATCTACCAATAAATTTCTTGACTAAGTTTTGAGTTCCCAGAGCAGATGGTGGCGTCTTAAAATGTCTTTACCAAGATGTTCAGTCGACACTCACAGAAGACAAATAGACACAGTACATATTCCCATTTGCAAAGTTGGAAGGATTTCTTTATATTCATGCCATCGTTACACAAACTAAATTGTTTCAGGAAGTCATCCAAAAATATTAACAAATGAATCAATGAGACAATCTGAGACGCATCCTTACACTCTTTTACGCCGTACTCTTTTTCATGAGTTTCAATTCTGCAAATGCTGCACACATGAAAGGTCACGGAGTGAACTGGGTCCAAAGTTGCGTCTTTAAACACAAAGAGGCTTGAGTTTGTAAAGAAAACTCAAATATTACAACCCGTCAGCTATTAAATATTCTCCCGGATACCAAACTCAATTTGATTATTCACATGAATCTGGCTGCGGTGCGCACGTAAACACAAAAGTAAGCAGTGACTAAGTGGATGAGACAGGGAAGGTACTTTTTGGGGGATGTCTCCTCCCTCCGATCAGCGGATGACGGGGTGGATGATGAGCGTGGGGCAGTTCTGAGGGATAAACTGAATGTAGCGATAACAAATGGCTCACCCCTTGATGACTGCGGAAAGAACATGTTTGGCAAACTGTCATATGCTGTGTACCTATTCAGTTCACCCTGACGGACACACACACGCAGACACACACACCACTAGTGGCTGTAAGCAGACGTGGATTGTTGCAGAGGGAGCGGTGGGTCGGCAGACTGAGCCTCGGGGCTCTCGACTGCATTCACGCTCACACGACTGCACTCAGTTGACCCACTTAATGCAAAGAATTAGGGGGCGGTTCTGCAGAGGAAGGAAACCGAGATCACGTGATAATGCCTGTTTAAGGGGAGGGTATTTATGACTAGTATGTGGTTAGTTAGGAAGCTTGCCAATGTTTCACTAGACTGGGTAGTGATTAAAGGAAGTTATCACCAAGGTTGGACTTTTGCCATGTTATCAAGTTTTGAGACAGAACCTTTGGGCGGGCAGTAGGAAATGTAAAGCAATTTAACCCACTTTGCGGTCAGTTGGATTCAGTTTGTCGGTTCATTTTCTGATCCATACCCAATTTAATGCATTTAATTCTGCTTTGTGAGAGGGCCCAAACATCTTCTATTTGCGGTGACAACTTTTACAGAAGAGACATGATATTTAGAGATCATCGACAATTAGAAAAAATAATAGTGAGGGTACATTGGGTACGTTGAAGTAATATGACGCTTTAAAGCCTGATGTGGTACAATGTTGCTTCAGACAAACTACAATATTTCACCAAGAAATGTTTACTCTAATTCCACCTGAATAGTAAATAACATAATATTATTGTTATAGAAATATATACATACATATGAATATATACATTTAAACTTTAACTAAGTCCACTTAGTTTTTAAAGGCTGTTGTGTTTTATCTGAGGGTTTTAAAAACTAGCCTAGAAATTTCGCTATTGACCTTGAACCGTGTGTATAACAATTGTACAGTAATGCTGCAGTTATCGTCGGCAGTGGTTGAAACTTACAAAGAAGCCAAAGATGTAGAGACTAAATACAATTTGTATGGTGATTATACTCTTGAGTGGTTATTATTATTTTATTATTATTGTTATTATAATATCTACTATACTTCAACTTATATAATAGATGAATATGGTTAGGGTACAAGTTAGGCAACTTGATTAAAGTAATGTTTTGTGTCTCTGCTTTGTTTTTTTGGAGAACATTTAAAACGGTTTTACCCAATGCTGTCATAATAAACCAACAACCCTGTTTAACATCCTATTTTATAGGCGTTTTCCGTTTTCTCCTGTAAACCTCACCCTTTCTCACAATTTCCTAAAGAAAGTGTTGCCATCACCACGGAGGACACGCGGGACATGTCCCCTCGTGTGCAGCTAGGTGGAAACCACGAGCATTTGACCGATACGACTGCGCGGTAAAAAAGGCCACGAAGAAGAAGCATTTCCTCTTCCGGGTCCTGGACCACAAACGTCGTGTAAACGGCGCGTCTAAACAGAAAGTTTTACAGAACACTGAGAACGTTGGAGTGTTTTACGAGTTTTGAACAGTTTTTTTCATTCGACTTATCACACGTAAGTCTAATAGCGGATTACAGCATAGTTGAAAGATATGTAAATTAATCTTGGGTGGCATTTGCTGATGTTGTTAGCTCATAGGCAGCAGCGTGCTAACGTTAGCCAGGGAGTTTTGGCGGATATAACGTGAATTGATTTGTTTTACTTGTGTTTTGCTCCTAGTTCGCTCATTTGTAGAGCGAGCCTAACTTTGTTGTCATCTACTGACAAGCAACAGCTACTTTTGTGCTGGTGGAAATGGGATTGTTTTTGAGTAGTTGGACGTGTGTCTATGTGACGCTGTGTATGTGAGGTCATGAGTCAGTCCGTGCTCATGTTATGAAACAATATGATCAAATCAAATATCTTTAGAGCTTCAAATACTTCGGTATTATATGCAACTTTAGGGCCATCGCTGTGCTGAATGAGCATTTCGCTTAATTTGGTGCTTTGGTTTTTGAATGAAAGCGGTGACTTGACTTTGTATTGTGCTTCACATAACTATGTATTCTAAATGGTTTTGTTAATTTAAATTAGTGTGACGTATCTGTCCCAAAGAGACACTAATGATCTGGTTATTCAACCTACGTTATCTAAAGAATGACTTTTTTTGATGTTCTGCAGGACTGAAAGATGTCTCTTCCTAAGCGGGAGGTGGAGGAGATGAGGCCATGGGTGGAGCGGACTGTGAAGAAGGTCCTGGGTTTCTCAGAGCCCACAGTGGTTACTGCTGCTCTGCACTGTGTTGGAAAAGGACTGGACAAAAGGAAGACCGCAGGTAACTACTGATCATTTGAGGCTGTATTTTAGCCAGTTGTGCAAATATTTTCGAGATCCATTTACGACAAAATGTGTTACTGTATACCACTTAGGATAAGTAAATATCCTCACCATTGTTTGTTTAATCTGTACGGTGCAACTACGGTTAGACAGAATAAAACCATGATCATTCACTTAACTGGATGTTTGATCTTCAGAAGGCTGCCCAAACTATCAGCGTTTGGAATGATTGTCATGCTGCAGAATCACAGCAGAGTTGAGTCGGTGTCCTTTCAAGTGATGAAAAAATCATTATAAACTGACACTAATGTGCCATATAATCTTCACTGGGATTAAAACTGTCAAGAGCCAATGAAAATTCATTATTAATGTCCTGATGTTAGCACTGCGACGATGGCTTTTGCGTGGAAAGTGATGGATCTGTGCTAATTGTTTATCACTCATTTCCACTTCAGACCAGCTTCGTCCCTTCCTCGACGACTCTGCTGGAAGTTTTGTGGAGTGTCTCTTTGAAGCTTTGGAGGAAAGCCGCAGTTCACGTGGCAACAAAGGAGCAGGAGAAAAGCATCGCAAGAGAGACCTCAAGGTAAGCAGACGGACACAAACTTCAAGCCAACTCTGTATTTTCACTAAAAAAAGCTATTGATTATTTTGGTATCTTAAATAATAATCGCATTAACTAATCTCTGACCACATTCACAAACAGTATCATGAAACTGTGGGATTGAGGGAATCAGACATTGCCTGTATACATGCTCAGCGGGATTACTTAAGATTTTGACAACATCAGTATTTCATATTCGGTAATATATAAACACACATGTTTGGCTTAAGTACGACGTATGACATTGGTGTTTTGGCTGTTTGTTCTCAGGACGTATTTGGTGATGAGACTGAAATTGGTGTAGTGCGAGAAGCTCCAGAGGTCGGAGAAGTAACGGCACCAAAGAGGAAACGAGTCCCTCGCTTCCAGGAGGTGGAGGAGCCCGAGGCCGTACCTGCACCTCCACCAGAGATTCCTGCTATGCTTACCAAAATGCAGGTATGAGATCATTTGGTCTGTTAATATTGTAAATATATATATATATATATATATATATATATATATATATATATATTCCTTTTTATGATGTGTTAACTAACCCTTTCTTTGTATTATTAGATCAAACAAATGATGGAAGCAGCCACAAAACAGATCGAAGAGAGGAAGAAACAACTGAGCTTTCCCTCCTCCGTCAATGCTGCACAAGTAACAACATTCTTGCTGCTTGTTATTTAAGTACCAATAGCATTGATTCAGAATAACGTCAAATAATTTCTCTAACGTTTGCCCTCTTCCAACACCACAGCCACAGATGGATACTCCTCCAGTTTCTCGGCTTCTTGGCCAATCCGTTGCTGCGGCTGGAGGTGGGTCGTCTATTCCCCCATCACAGGCTGCCAGCTTCATGAATGATGCTATCGAGAAGGCTCGCAAGGCTGCAGAGCTACAGGCCCGAATCCAGTCCCAGTTGGCCATGAAACCTGGAATCCTCGGAGCCCTGGGGAACACTGGGCCCCACAACCTAGTGGCACTAGCAAATCTACACGCTATGGGAATTGCCCCACCGTGAGTAATAAGAGTAGTAAGGATTTTAAAACCAGAAAAGAAAAACGTCAGAAGGGATTTTTCTTGTTGATGTGTCCGCAAATAGAATGCTTTATCTGTGTGTGGCATCTTATAGGAAAGTTGAAATCAAGGAGGTGAACAAGCCAACCCCTCTTATTCTGGATGACTTGGGAAGAACTGTGGATGCTAGTGGCAAAGAGGTTGAACTCACACACCGCATGCCGACACTGAAAGGTATGTGTTCAGGGGTCTATTACCTGTATACACACACACTCAATCCTTTTTTCTTTTTTTTTTAAACCTTGGTTTTTCTCCATTAATTCCCCTCCATTTGTGTAGCTAACATTCGAGCGGTAAAGAGGGAGCAGTTCCGTCAGCAGCTGAAGGAGAAGCCCGGGGAGGACTTGGAGTCCACTTCTTACTTTGACCAACGTGTGTCCATCACACCGGCACAGCGCCTTCGCAGGGGATTCAAATTCCATGATCAGGGGCGCTTTGAGAAGATTGCTCAGAGAATTAGAACAAAGGTTGGATTCAGATCCTAAACTTCTGCAAGTCAACAGTTCTGAATAAAATAACATGACAACTCACACGCTAACATTGATCTTTACCACAATCAGGCTCAGTTGGAACGGTTACAGAATGAGATTGCCCAGGCAGCAAAGAAGACAGGAATCCAGGCATCCACCAAGCTGGCTCTGATTGCCCCGAGGAAAGAGATGGGAGACGGCGAGGTGCCCAACATTGAGTGGTGGGACTCCTACATCCTGCCTTACAACATAGACCTGTAAGAATGTACAGAAACTCATTTGAACTGCCATGGTAGAGCTGCATAATGGAATCTATGCACTAAACGCACTGTAGTTAACTGGTATACTTTTCCCCAATCTAAAGATCACCCGACACAACCTTTGAAGAGTTGGAGCTTTTTGGTGTGACCAATCTGGTTGAACATCCCGCCCAAATCAGCCCTCCAGGTAAGTTTGTAAGCTAAAACATCTTCACACTGCTGACGGTATTTTTGTTTAAAAGGGGAACATTTCTGTCCCGTAAAGATCTTAATCCAGTAGAAGTGAACTCTCTGAGAGATACCAATTGGCATTGAAATGAAAGTAAACCTGGTGAGTAAATGAATTAAATCAAGCCAAACTAGATGAAGAATACAAAAATAGATAATTTATCATTGATATTTATGCGTCCAATTTTATTGCACAACAGACAAATCTACTATATAGGTACACAATGATTTTTACTGTTAAAGAAAAACTTTAAACTAACCAACCGTGAACCAAATTGCATTTATAGGTTGTTCCATTTCACTGGTGAATGTGTGCGGTTATTGCATTACATTACATGTCATTTAGCTGACGCTTTCATCCAAAGCGGTTATAAATGATCATAAGTCATAATGATTTTTGTCACTGAAGCCAGCACCCCAGGACTTACAGGGGCACTCTGGACGAAAAATGTGATTATTTTTCATTCATGCATTACTTTTAAAACAATGTTTTGATGTTACATATTTCATTTCTGTTTGTCCTGTATGTGCATGCTCTAATAGTTGAAAGCAATTCTACATATTTATTGTTCCTACCATCCTGACATACTGTCTTAATTGTAATTATTTTAATGCATTAATTCGCTTACAATTTGTAAAAAATAAAAAAAATGTCCTCAGTTGACACAGATAAGCCGGTAACGCTCGGCGTTTACCTGACAAAGAAAGAACAGAAGAAACTAAGAAGACAGACACGTAGGGAAGGACAAAAAGAAGTTCAAGAGAAGGTTCGTCTGGGACTGATGCCTCCACCAGAACCCAAAGGTACCCACGTGCACACTAATTTATCAATTCATTAATAAAGATCGCACGTATAACTGATTTTTGCTTTAATTTTTCAGTGCGCATCTCTAACCTGATGAGAGTGCTGGGGACGGAGGCTGTCCAGGACCCTACAAAGGTGGAGGCCCACGTCAGGGCGCAGATGGCCAAGAGACAGAAGTTCGTAACGCAGTTTGCAGACACACCGCTTGCACTCGCCGCATTTTGAAAAATTCCAATAACTTTGTATGACAATTCAGCATTTTTTAATGTCTTATCCTAATTGTGTTCCTCTCTGCAGGGCTCATGAGGAGGCCAATGCAGCCCGCAAGCTCACATCAGAGCAACGTAAAGAGAAGAAGGTCAAGAGGCTAAAAGAAGACCTCAGTGATGGAGTTCACATTGCAGTGTACAGGTGGGTTCTTTATAGCAAGAGGACACATACTGTGGTTTAAATATACAGTGCAGTGTGTGTCACTTGCAACGTATAAGTGTGTCTAATGCAAGCACCGTACCTTCCCTGTGCAGGATACGTAACTTGCATAATCCCGCTAAGAAGTTTAAAGTGGAGGCCAATGCCAACCAGCTGTACCTGACAGGCACAGTAGTTCTGCACAGAGACGTCAACCTTGTTGTGGTGGAGGGAGGTAAGCGATAACACGGAAAAGTACACCATCAAACCTGTTGGGATTTTCAATAAAACTGTAAATGCTGATGAGGGGGGAATGTTTGGTGCCATAATTTCTGATTCAAGGAATATTCTGTTCAAATATAGTAGGCATTATCTTTTTTCCAAACTTCATACAATACAAGCTTGTATCTATTTTCTACTACTGACAACACCATAAAGTGTGGTGTTCATTTCATTTCATTTTGTTTGCATGGTCCTTCACCCTTTTAAGTGTGGATTGTAAATGTTACTTGTATCCTATCACCTTTTTATTTCACCTATCATACATACATATTTTATTTATTATTTCTGGTCATGATCAAAAACAAATCATAGCTGTACTAAATTTGAGGTGTAATGTTTATTTCAAGTGGCTGACAGTTTGCAAGGTTTCTCTGTTGGCCTATGACCGATGAAAGCCGTTAGATAATCTTAGTCATGCTTAAAATCTAAATTTTTCCCTCTTTTCAGGTCCCAAATCCCAGAAAAAGTTCAAGAAGCTGATGTTGCATAGAATAAAATGGGAGGAACACAACAGTAAAAGAGATGGTAAGAGCGGCTTACCTTTTGCATCTTAGGCGTGTCGTACCTTTTGTGCTGATTTCAGGGAACTAAATTCTTAATTCTCAATTAGATCCAGACGCGGACGATGATACAAAAAGGAACAACAAGTGCTGGTTAATTTGGAACGTGAGTGTGATATATATAATTAGAAATAATTTAGTATGGTTTTGTTTGTGTGCTCATCATTGAAGTCTAACGTTTCCTCTTTCTTCTGCAGGGCACAGCTAAAGAGCGTAACTTTGGGGAGATGAAGTTCAAGCAGTGCCCAACGGAGAACATGGCCAGAGAACACTTCAAGAAACACGGCACAGAACACTACTGGGATCTAGCTCTCAGCAAGAGTGTGCTGGACCACCCAGATGACTGAAACCCTGATTAACTGCCTCTCCTGGAAGACCCGCTGCTGACTGGCCACCGTTAACTGAGGACAGACAGACATAACCAAGAGAGTCTAACATAGAAAAGGAGGAACAATAAACCTGTGTGGATGCTTTTGCATGAATGAATTTGTGTGTGTGTGTGGGCGCGTGTACCTCTGCATCAGTGTTTCCATCATTTTGTCCGCAGGCTATTCTGTCACAGTACAAAGTGACCGATTGCACTGCCATGTACATCACTTACCTAAAGTGATCTCACATGTATGTTGACAATAAACCATGTTTTGAGTTAAGCAGTAAATAAACAAACGCCCTGTTGGTGAGATAGTGTTTCGACCTTGTTCCCTGACTAGAAGTAATTACTCGTACATTTTACTGAATTGGACATTTCCAAATTAAGTCCTTGTTTTTTTCTTTTTTTTTTTTTGGAGGGAGAAATTAGTAAATCTTTAACTCCGCATGTAGCTAACGTTACAGTCACAGCCTCAAATAAACACAATTCAACTGACTTCTGTCTGTCTCTCCCGTCCGTTGGAAACGACGTTTCACGTCGCTCGACGGTATATAAAGATGTTTGACTCGCAGCCGTTCGCGGGTGACTTTCGCTCCCGCGTGCGGTGACGTCCCGCTGATGGAAGAACGTGTGGGCGTGTTCGCAGCCGTCCTCATTACGTTCGCCCCCTCGTCCCCTCCGCCAGCGAGCCGTCGGTCATAGCTGGAAAAATGGCGGCCGGTTCAGGGGCCGCGAGCGGGCACGCAGCCCGCAACGCCAGCGTCGGCCTGGAAGCGTCTTTAGACCGACGTTTTCAAGGAGTGTCCAACACCATGGAATCCATACAGGGACTAGCGAACTGGTGCATTGAAAACAAAAAGCACCACGGCCTAATCGTCCGCCACTGGATGAAGTGCCTCAAGAAATGTGAGTAGCTTCGGCGCTGAGCCTGACCCGCTAGCTTAGCCCCCCCACACTTGAGCCAATTCCACGTTTATCTTTCTGCGTTGTCCCCGATCGACCTTCCAAATGCTAATGGAAATATAGCTTTGCGTGAAGTGCGAGGCGAGTAAGCGCAAAGCTAAACTGGTTAAGGTGTAAATGTATCCTCGACTGAATTCTTGCAAGTCTGGCGTTTGTAATCGCCACCTAAAATTAGCCGCTAACGGTAGCTAGCTTAAGCTAACGTTTTGCTAGCACTGTTTACCGTTGGGCCTCCCGGGGCTCGTGCGTCTTCACGCAGAAATCTGACCCGCACTCCCGCAAATGTCGAAGAATGAACAGTTAAAACGAAGGTGGTTACGCGGTGCCTAGTTTGATTCAGTTAGCCGCTAAATAGGAGATTTTGTTGCCGTTTTTATAGTTGGATCCTTGTGCAACTTTTGTTTTTGGATGACTGTCTTTATGATTGTTTACTTTTTTTTTATATAATACTCTTACCATGGAAGTGCACTGTAACCTACAATTATATAAATGTTCTACTCAACATGTCACTAGATACATTCAGCATTAACACGCAGCGATAAACAATCCGCTTTTCTCAGGTTTCAAATTGTTGATGCACCTGACAGCTGCACCGTAAACCCATTGCCTCCATCTCTAGCGACTCGATTCACACCGCTTCATAATGGTTTATTACCAACCCACAGTGTATTAATATAATAGACGTATTTAAACGTGTTAAGTAAATAATGTGTGGTACAGTGACTAATAGACTATATTGAAACAGCAGGTTTTCACGTTCCAGCTATTTAACCTGTAAAGCTTGAAACAAAGTAGGTGTTTTGGACCAGGGTTATTCATCCATGAATTCATTCATTAATTAGTAAAAAGTCACCAGAAGTTGCTGATGTGTCACTAGAAAGTTTTGCAAGCCGGTGGGGCTGGAATCTGTTGGTTCTCATCTGTGGTCATCTCTATTATGATGGATTATGTTTAAAATCCCTGTTTGTCTGCGTACTAGTGATATATTGATCGTACCTGTCGAGTATTCCCACCGTTCTCTTTAATAGACTCTACAACACAGCGCTCTGACCGTATTACAGTGTCAACAAATGTCCTTTTCATAGCTTTCCTAGGAGGTCTTATGAGTCCCGCAAGCAGCATTTTAACTTCTCCAATGATGACAAGAGGGCAAACCTGACTTTTATGGTTTAGATTCTTTTTTTGTGTTGCTTTTGACTGCTACTTTCGCCGTCTTACAATATTTCTGCAATAATATTATAATTATATTATAATAATAATGCATTTAGCTAATAATAGATTTACAGACATTTACATGCTTTCTAACAATATTTCCTTAAAAATAATAATGCGTGGAGGAACGTGTATGTATGTGCACACGTTTTTTATCAAATCTTGAAATAAATGAATGATTTGGTAGGTTTCATCGGCGTAGCTGCGTGTGGGCAGAATACAGAGGCAGCTCAGTAACCCGGTATTTTGTGCTTCAGCTGTTGACGTCGGTGACTGCAGGAAGAAGTGCGATTTGATGTTGTAACTGTTTGACTCTTTATCGTTTGAGCTTTTATATTTTTTTTATATCTGCTCATCAGTGGGCTTTCGAAAGGTTTAGCTTCCCACCTGTTTTGGGAAAGAGGCGGCAGGTAGTTTTCATTTTGTGTGGAGTATTGTTTGCGTATTATCATGAAGTTAATATCACAATGGTGTTCTACAAGTTATACCTAATGTCACCTAGTTGGTTTGAGGTGGGATTTTAAACAAATATATTTGGTTACATTTGGTTTCATCACATGTTGCGGGTTTGGGTTTTTGGAAGACTATGATATAGTTGTAAAAACATGAACGATCATAAAGTCTTTTACGGTCATTTATTATATAGTTATAGTTATAAAGTTATAAACGGCTTGCAGATTTGACCCCTAAATTTGTTTTGTTTTTAAACGGTTGGAGTTAAAAGTTTTTTAAAAACTAGGTCTCTTAATTGTCTCGGTGAAATTGTCCCTATTGTCTGTCAAAATTTTTGTTGTGATGACAAATTTTTTGACTTTATGATATAGATGCTTTTAAGGTAACAGCCTTTTTTTTCGCATTCACAAAACAAACAGAATGTAGTACTTTTTCATATTAGATTCAATGTTGTATTTAGATACAATTTTTAAGAACAAATTTTAATCCTTAAATAAAAGCCTCTGCCAATGCATTTGGGAATGACCGACGCAGACCTTTCTTATCTCTTTACATCGCTGCCCACATGATAAAAGCTTGTGCTGACGGCACGCTGCAAACCACTGTGTGCATTGTTAACTGACGGACTAACCGAGAGTCTCTACTGGTCGTCATTCAAACACAGTCCATCGCAACCAGTTTTCAAAGTATACGACAGGTCCAGTATTTTATTCTTTTCTGAATGAAATTTGGTGTGTCAGTTTTTTATTTAAGTTAATATTTGATTACAGCAGCAAAGTGAATCGTACAAACGAGAGACATAAGAAGAAAAATACAATTCAAGACAAGTATAACAAATACGCAATTACACAATTACCGTACAAAAGCTATGTACGGTAAAACATGTTAAAAATAATGGGAAGATTTATTTTTCATTGAGGATCATAAAAATGGAAAAGATAACTTAACTTAAAAAGGTTCCACGTAGGTTCATGTTCTGGCAAAAGAAGAAATATTCTATTTATATTGTTTATGTTAATTGTATACCTTTTGATGGTAAGTTTGAATGCATGGCATATTTCAATACGACTTTCAAAAGAACTATAAAATCTATTGATCAAGTGATTGAAAGTATTGAGTTGATATATTTAAGGAAAGCACTTTTCTGAAATTAAGTAGAACAATATTAAATGCAGTATTAAATTAGTTCATTCATGGGAACATACATGTATATAATCTCATAGTTTTTATACGTTGTTTATATAAAATAAAGCCCTCCTCCGTTTCCTGCTTCATTCAAAAACTACTAGATTTTTTAAGTGTGAGCAAATTTATTCCCCTCTTACACATTTTACTTGTTTTGGCCGGAATAATACCTAACTAAAATGTGTCATGTTTGATGTACATGAGCCTAAATGACGTTGCAGCTGCGTATTCTGTGAATATTGAGGATCGAGTCACAAACCTCTTTCAGTGTTTCGATGTCATTCTGGAGCCTTTCTGATGGCTTTTACAAACGGCCTCAGCATTTAATGGAGGAATAGAAGTGATAAATGCAGTGTGCATGAATGTGATGACCGAGCGGTTCAGTCTGCAGCTCATCGATACTCAAGGGGCCGTTTGTACAACTCATGTCACCATCATGTTAATGGCACAATTGTAAAAGCGTGAAATCAGTCTCGACCGGTACCAATGACGGCCAGTTATTGTGACTAAAATCTTTTTAACGACATGTATTTGTTTTGAACGCTTCAGAGTCAGCCTCCACTTCATTCCAAAATATATATTTTCCAAAAATGTTTTTAGCAAGGATCTCTGTGGGTTGTCAACAGCGATGAGGATATTTGCATCTGGTCTGTTTATGCCCGTATGAGAGATTGAATCGATTTGTTTTTTACCTTTTTTGGAGCTGGTCATTAGATGAAGATGGATGATGGGGACTCCGCGCTGATTGAACTGATGGATCTTGTATCTTTAAACTAACAACACTTAAGATTATAACCTCTGCTAAAATGTAACACAATGCAATATAGGAGACATTTTGTCATTATTTCTTTTTTGTGCCAAAAATCCTGTTTGCAGACTGAAATTGAATCCTGACCGGTAAACCCGTGATACTTAATCTATTTTAGGGTACAGTTGAAGTCTTTGGATTCTTGAATAGCTTGTATTACCTTTTCACATGTAATCGTGTGACTATCCATCCATCCATCCATTGTCAAACCGCTTATCCTGCACACAGGGTCGCGGGGGGGCTGGAGTCCACCGTGTGACTAATATCACACAATATATCTCTATATATTTTTATGTTATTTACAAAGACACAATGTATGAAATTGACTTTTTAAAATATATTCGGAGTGAGACATTTTACAGCGGAGATAAACAAGTGAAGCATCACATAAATGAGCTCAGACTTGATTTGTCTTTTTCAGCTGACAACAATCACCGCTTGAATCTCTTTTACGTCGCCAACGATGTCATACAGAACTGCAAGAGAAAGAACGCCATCGTCTTTCGTTCAGCGTTTGCTGAAGTCCTTCCTAATGCGGCCCAGTTTATCAGGTAAGTACACATTAAAGTCTTATACCCCCCATCCCCCCCCCCCATCCTTCTGGTATTGAGATGTGCCGTGTCTCCTTTGTTGTGTTGTTTTCAGAGACGGGAAAGTCCGCAAGTCAGTGGAAAGGATTTTCACAATTTGGGAGGAGAGGAGCGTGTATCCCGAGGAGGTCATTTCTCAGTTTAAAGCTGGCATCAACAAAAAGGAAAAGGAGCGAGAGAAGCAGAAAGAAAGGGAGAAGCAGAAGGAAAAGCAGAAAGAAAAGGAAAAGCAGAAGGAGAAGCAGAAAGAAAAGGAGACTCTCCCGGCGACCGGTCAGTTTGTTGATTCAATGCTTTTGCTTTTAAATCAAAGTGAAAAACTGTCTAAAACTGGAGCCACACCATTTTAGGTTTTTCACTATTTTCAGTTGTTTTGATTTTTGTATTTGAGTCCATGTTTTCCTTTCACTCTCCAGCCCCAGCCAGCACCAAAGCTGCCCTCAAGTCTAAGATAGTTGCAGAGTTCACTGTAAGTCCTGCTCCTGCCAAGTTGCAAATATGAAAAGCATTATACGTCATGTGACTTATTTCTCTGCACTCTTATATCTTCTCTAGCCCAACTCGCTCATTGAGCAGTTGTCGAGATACAAGCAGGCAGTCGCAGAAGAGGAGTTGAGGGAGAAGCAGCTGGAAGCTCTCAGGGTGGATGTCTGCAGCACGGAGGCTCTTAAGAGACTCAAAGGTCAGATGTCTTTAGGCTTTTTCTGCATCACCACTACACACTTACTACTCTCACTTATTATACTTGTATTGTATATAACTGATATACTGTGTGCCACAAACATACTTGACACTTTCCTCTTCATGTCCCCAGCAGTAGCGTGTAATCCTGCAAATATTTCTTGAAAAAGGGATCCGTGTTTAATCTTTTGAATGACTAGCTTTTATTTACTTTTATTGAATTCTATGGAATGCGTATAAACTGTGTATCTAATTGTTATTATTTATCAATTCCCTCCTCTTCCAGACAAGGCGGAAGGGAACAAGTTTGCAAAGGACTTTGAGGATGGCAGTCTGAAGCTGCAGGAGCTTGTCGTCTTCATGGAGAAAGAGTTGAAAACGGGGCCTCCCCTGCTGGAAGCTTTGGGAAACGCTGACATTTTCTACGAGATGCAGTACAAGGAGGTTAAAATCGTGGCAAATGTGAGTGTTTGGGATGGGGATTGAAATAAAAAATGCTATTAGTTGCTCTATTCATGAAAACATTAACAAAATGATTTTGTATTGTTCCTACGTTGCTTTGCAGCGATTACTGTTGGTTGATTGATGCTAGATGTCACTATAAATGTTAGACAGCTGCAACATCCGCTTCGTCGTCTTCATTTCTCATACGCATCCTCTCTTCTTTTTACTCAGGCGTACAACGCCTTCGCCAACCGTGTGGCCAGCCTCAAAAGAAAATTAGATTCCCTAAAGTCGACTCTACCCGGACCCGAGGACTCTCCCATTCCCTCACCCTCCGAAGACGCCCCCTCCCCCACCGGCTCCGACTCCCCCTACCTGGGGCCCAGTAGAGCCCAGGTGGATCCAGAGCTGGACGGCAAGGCCATGGATGAAGCCGATGTGCCCAGTGACAACAGACACACGGAGGACATGGACATGTCCGATGAAGAGGCCGGCGCTGCCACCGCAGGGGGTCAGTGGCTGCAGAGTGTTGTAGTGGGTCACCCAGTCTGTGCTTAAAGAGTGTTAACGCTCTTTGGTTATTTCTTTTGCATTTTTACCAGCAGATGACATGAAGGACAAGACGCCCACTGCTGTCGCCAAGTCCGACGTGGCGTTAAAGGCTCCCACCACGCCTACGAAAGCCCCTAAGCCCAACGCCACGGCGACGCCAGTGACGCCCACCCCTCCGGCGGCTCAAAGCACCCTGGCTGGCCCGAAGGGCGTGAATCTGGAGAAGGTGGACCTGGGAAAGATCAGCTCCATTCTCAGCTCGCTCACAACTGCCATGAAGAACACAGGTGTGTTCAGGAGTGTAATAATGATACGAACCTGCAGCCCGCCTGACGTTTAGTAAAAGTCCCACTAAGATAAACTGTCCCATGTTTTGAAAAAATATTCAAATTATTGTTAAAGGTTTTCTTTAACCCACAAGCAGCATTTATTAAACAGTTCAAAGAGGGTTGACGTTTTGTAAAGTTGACAAATCTGATCATCTGATCACCCATCTGATGGAACATGACTGCCTGAAATACGTTGATCTACTCAACCACAACGCTGATTAAAACTTTCTGCATCCCTGTGTGTCTTTTTAAAAAATAAAATGTATTTTCCCAGCAGCCACCCCGTCTCCTCGGCCGTCCCCGGGAACCCCCACCACTCCATCTGGCCAAGCAGCAGCAGCAGCTACTACTTCAAGCCCTCACTTGGCAAACTTCTTGTCCCGTGTGGATATCACACCCGAGGGCATTCTGAATGCTTTGTCCAAAACAAACACACCAGGTACGATGCGTACACACCACACGTCCCCTGGATTGAAAAACACTCCAATAACTACGTTATTCAGTACGTTTTACTCCTCTACTTGTTTCCTACGTAATTATGTCTTCCTCCCTTTTTCTGTCTCTGTGCAGTTCTATCTTCTCTCCTGCAGAGTGTAACCAACGCCAACTCTGCTCCTCCCACTCGAACCTCCCCAGAATCCTCAGCCGTTAAAACCCCGCTCACCCCAACCACCCCAAAAACCAAACCCCCTTTGGGGCTCAGCCTGAAACGGGACACACCAGGAAGAACAAGAGACTGGGAGAAAGGGAGGCAGCTGTCCCCTCCTCCTCCTCCTCCTCCACCGCCTCCTCCTCCTCGCATGTCTGCTCCCTCTGTTTCTTCCCCCAGCCTAGAGTCCAAAATCAACAGTTTCCTGCAGGGTAATCCGGGCTTTAGTCTGGCTCTGGGTGACGTCAGTCCCGATGGGGTGGATGGGACCCCAGTGAGAGACGAAGCTGCCGGCACCCCCACCCAGGACGAGATCATGGACACACCTGGGAGTGTGCCAGAGTCTTTAGGGTCTTCCGGAGGTCATAACCTCTCGCCCACCGCCTACCGCAGTGAACCCTGGGATGCTGTGATCACCCCGTCGGGAAGCGGCAGCAATGGAGACTTGCGGAGCTCCTCCGCCTCTTCGCGGTATGGAGCAGGAAAAAAGACTGGCACAAAATCGAAGGACGATGAGGGGACGAATGTGAGGAAGCAGGTATCCTCGTCTCCTAGTGGCGACATGAAGGGCAAGAAAGGACAGCACGGTCAGTCAAGAATGATGGGCAACAGCAGAGGAATCGGAGAAAGAAGAGCGTCCGCGGGCTCTCGTAAGGCCAGCAGTGGCTCCGATGACGGAGGTCTGAGTGGGAAAAGGGAGGGGAAAGCTGAACAGGCTGCGGGTGGGGATGAACGGGACGGACTGTACCACCGCATTGAGACACTAGTGTCTCCTTACACCGAAGGGGCACCCATCCAGACTCTAGGCTACTCGAACCGCCCACTCGCCGGAGAGCGCATCAAGACGGTAGAGAGCATCCGCGTGATTGGCCGAGGTTCACGCCGAGGGGGCGGGGCCGGCAGTCGGCCGGGGGGAGCGATGTGGTACGAAGAGGAGGAATACATGGAAGCTCAGCCTCCATCAACCCACGCTATCCCCTCTCCTCTAAACATTGGCAACAAGGACATGTCCCCGTCCATGTCTCTGCCTCCCCCGCATCTCCTCCTTCCACATCTCCACCCTCCTCCGCCCCATCCCCACGCACACCCTCCGCCCCAATCCCCTTTCCAAATGCCCTACCACACGGATAACGTCCAAACTCCTCCCCCATCACTCCTCCACCAGCATCCTCCTCCTCCCTCCCATTTCTTTGGCCCTCCCCCACCCATCCCGAGACCTCCACCTCCTCCAGGTCCCCAGCGTCCTTCCCCTCCACCCACTCACCATTCGGTGCCCAGTGCCGTCATGGTTGGGGGGGTGTTGGTCCCTGTCGATCGACCCCTTTTGCATCCTCTCTCCCTTAGACTTGAGGGTGTAGATCGCAGCAGAGGAGGGCCCAGAGGAAGTAAAATGGGCCCTCCACCCCTCATGGGGTCGTTGCTAGGCGAGCCCCCTAGGTTCCCCCGTCCTGGCACAGTTAAAGAACCTTTCGTCCCCCGCCACGCGCTCCCTCACCACCGCCCAGGTACTCCTGGTGTTCCCCTACCCTTGCTGGGCAGAGTGAAGGAGCCTCTAAATCTGCCTCTTCTGCCCCGGTCTCCAACACCCTCCACGCCCTCCCCCTCCACGCCCAACTCCCCCGCGATCGACGCTCTCCCCGCCAAGTCCGCTTCCCTCCAAAAGCCCCCCCCAAGTCCTCCGGCTCAGCCACGCGATCAAACCTCTCACCCCGTTCCCTTACTCAACTTGCCCAGCCCTCGGCCCCCCATCCTCTCCGGCCCACAGAGACCTCTGCTGCGGGGCCGAACGCCCTCTCAGCAGTTTAACCAAGAACGACCCATGGGGGGATTCCGTGGGGGCAAGCGGTCCGGTCCTCCGTTCACAGGTGGCCCCTTCGCGTCGCAGAAGAGACCCTTCCTGCCCCCGCGCTACTGAAGTGGTCGTCTAACACATGCTGAATGAGAAGTTCAAGCGCCCCTCTCTGAAGTGCAGAGTGTGTGTTAGCCCTGCTGGTATGAGCCCAGATATCTTTTCTGTTCATTGGTTTGAATTAAATCTATTATAGGTTGTGTGTAAATAGTGGATTTCAGCCATCATCATCTTGCACAGTGCAGCGATGGGGTTATCAGTTAGTTGTGTAACAACCCTCAATCTGTCCCATTTTCTCAAACTTCTTTTCTAACTGTAGAAAATTCAGATTCAATTAGAAATGCCACTATTCTTAATTTAGAGGTGGACCATTAGTGTGAATGTTTGGTTTCTTAACTGAGAGCGAGAGCAGCGGAGTGAAGGAGTGGAGCGGCTCCCAGAGGATACACAGGCAAGAAATAAGCAATATTTTCACATCTTGGGAAACTAGCTTATTAGCTTTTTGTGTTTTGAGGAGATGAATACAAGTATCATACGTGTGCTAAATAAGAAGCCACAGCCAGTTAGCTTAGCTAAGTATTCAAGACAGGAAACGCCTCCACAGTTAACTTGTTAGCATGTTAGCATTGTTGTTTGATCACCATCACTAAGTGTAAAAATGACACGTTATACAGGAGATGATTATTATATCAGGCAAATGTAGCCCTCACAACTCCTCGAAGTATCTTGTTAGCGTTACGCAGGACCAGGCTGCCAGCTGACCATGTTATAATAAGCTAAATGGTGTTTCCCCATATTTAACAGACCGATATATCATCTAACTGAAGAAAATTCCACAAATGTCAAATTATGCCTTTCAAATTGTTAAAACTCCAAAGTGATTTCTTGTGCGTGCGCGTGCGTTGTTACATGGCATTTCTCATTTGAAGTGATGAGTGTTGCAGCCGAGCTCAACGTCTTATCTCCTGCTGTAAATAATGTTCTTCTCTTACACGACCATTTTCAGGTTCCCATCCCTCCCACTGTATATTTCTAAGCTTGTAAATATAAAAATTGAGAGGAAACGGCTTTTTTCTTCTCCCCCCCTCCAAGCTCTCGTTTGTCTTAATGAGGACAAACGTCGTTAATCAAGCACTCGTCTTTACTGCGATTGAGGCCTCGGAAAAGCTTTAGTTCCAGAAGAATTTCTCTGCCGTGTCTGTCGCACCTTTCTGTCCTCCTTTTGAAGTCGCCACGCTGAAGAGGAGGTTGAAGATCATTCTGTATTCTTATTTCCAACATAAATGTCTGCCTGTGCGTGCTTCCACTTACACTGAATCGTGAAGGTTCTCAGTAGTGGGAAGGGGATGGGGGGGTGTTTTTAATAGGCTTCAACATGTACTGACTTGAATAAAATCCAGTTTCAATACAGCTGGGGGGAGGAGAGGGGGGAGGGGGGGTGAAGAGGCATTTTATTTGGTCACTAAGTATCACTTGAATTGCGCTGTTACACAGCTGCCATTTTCATTATGCATTAACATTTTAATGCCTTTTTTTTCCGCTGCCTTTTTATGAGAGACAGAATTGGCAATTTCCCATTTGCAGCAGCAATCACATGGTATCTGGGACGGGTGGGGGGGCAGAAAGCGATTGAGCTAATAAGGATTTTTTTTAAACGGGTTTATTTTAATACCCTAGCTGTAGTTGGCCTCTTTTTCTTTTTTGCTTACCTCATGCTTTTCCCTTCAAACCTGCGTGTTTACTTTTTGCTCACATGGCTTCACTTAAAAAAACAAGAAAGGGTCAGCACAATGGCAGCAATCCTCCATGTTGTGCAGGTATTAATGCCGTGGTGTTTCCCTTCCTCCCGCATGTGGTCAGCCCACGCGGTGCACGGCGGGCGTAGCTGCTCAAACCCTCGTGTCTCTTGTGCTTATCTGATCAGTGTTGGTTTGTCTTCTGTGCTTACAGCTACATCAAGATGCACCTGCAAACGTTCCCGCATAAAGTTTGATACATTGTTAAAATGTAACCACACAGAGTGTGTCTCACTACAGTGTTTGGCCGTTCATCCGAGCGCTGGTGTTTTACTTAATGTTATACGAGTCTGTTACCACCTTCTGTAAACTGTATACCTTTTTTTTTTTTTTTTACTTTTTTTTTTTTTTATCTGATCACTCGCTGAAACCGCTAAATATCGACTCAGACCAGTTTGGTGTGTCCACTTTTCACAGTGAAAGCTAGATTTACTGTTTATATAAAAAAGACTACCTGCTTACAGAGCACTCATCAAGTTCTACATTTCAAGTGTCCCTATAAATAACCTCTTCTCCATTTCCTCCTTGACAAATTGAGTTTGAAATTGATTGAAGATGTGACAAAGCTGATGGTCTGTGTATATATGAGAAGTTTAACTGCTGTTCTCATCAATGATGCTATACCCCAGATCTTTGAGTGTCCAATCCTTTCTGGTGTGATAAACATGCACTCATTCTGTTATCGTCACAGTGAATATATGCATTATTTAACCGTCCTTCTGCATATTATTTTTTTTTTGTTTTACACAAAGAATATTGCAGCTCACAAGACCTCGATTTTAGTGTAGAGGAGTGAGTTGTAGCCAGTTTTCCCTCACACACTTAATGCGGCAGACATCTTGTTTGCACGATTGACTGTAAGCAGTCGGTGCTGTCTTGATCTACTGAGGGAGGAGATGTGCTGTTTTCTATGACTTTTGTTCTGCTTGCTAAGACCTCTACGTTTGTCTAATTACCACCTTCAGAAGACTGATTGTTTCTTCTTTTTTTTATTTTTTTTATTTTGATTGTTGCTAAACATTTGCACACTACGACTTACACTGTTGGAAAGCCACATTTTAGAAATGCCATTTAGTAAATTTGTGACACTAGTGATTTCCGCTTGGCTCAGGTATCCCAGTACACTTAATGCATTTACTGAATTCACTGAGTACATTGTTTGATGATCCGCTTTAACCTCAGTCGCAACATTAACGGAATAACACTAAGCAATGACTGTACACCTATTTGCAAATTATATATATATATATATATATATATATATATATATAATTTTAATCAAGTTGATCTGTAACGATGAAATACTTGATTCATTAACATTGCGCCAGAATCTCCTCAGTTGCCAATCATTCAAAGTAAAATGTTTCCTTATGGCCTCTGTGCCATTCTTCTACAGTTCTTATTGACAATTGCGCTAAGCTAATTAATATGTTGATTTAATAGCCGAGTTAAGTCCTTACATTAGACAAAACCACCATCTCTGTTTTTATGCATCCATCTTGTAGAGAACCGCAGACCTATTGCTTTTGAACGTGTAGCACTCGTGTCCTTTTCAGTGTATTTCATAGACCTAGTGAAATAAGTTTAGTTAAATAAATTAAGGTGATTTTTATAAATATAATATTTATAATACAATTTAAACGTATTCAAAGCTGTCTGAATACTTAGAATAATCAAGCGCGCTTTAAAAGTGTTGTAGCTTCCCCTAGTGGCAGTTCAATGGTACTTCAGCTCTTATGTCCGATGATGCACAAGTGTCGTGTACGTCCATTTGTTGCGGTAACCACAGTACTAGTTATTCTTCGGAAAATGGTGACAATCAATACGTTTTTGTCCCAAATCAGAATCAAGTTGTCTCCTAATTTGTTTAAACTGCATCTAGCGGTCCACCAGAAAATTATTACTAGTTAATAATTATATCCAACGTACCATTTCAAATGTCAAGTTTTGATATTTCAAAACGATGTTGCAGTAGTTTTAGTTTAGTAGGCTTTAACATATAGAAATAATTGGTACGGTAACTCTGGTGACGATGGTTCTTCCACAATATATTAGATGTTTGAGTGGTAACACTTTGCCCTCAAATATCTCACAATTGCTATCTCTTTCACTACACTTACTAATCTCAAGGCCACTACTGCTCTTTGGCACTAAAACAACCGGCTTCAAATGCAGCTGTAGTTTTGATGCGAGGTGCGCAGCTACGTGATGCAGCACGTGACTGCTGTTCATCCTTGTAGCCTGACGTCATGCTGTGGTCCTGTGTGGAAGTACTTTTGGGGTGCGTACTGGTGGTTCTGCACTGCAGGCGCAGTTTAGCTGATGTCCTGTGCGTGCTGGTGGTCATGTGTTGTGCTTCATCTTGAGCCAAGACTAAGAGGAGACTGTGTTTCGTTTAAACATTCACCATAATTACATTTTCTCGGGGTTCCTGATCTAAATGTGCATGGATTGAGGTGATAACATCGCTCTATTAGCCCTCGAACACACGCAGATGTTTATGGTATGTGTCTTAGCGCGCGTTCTGGTATTTGACGCCTGGGTGCGCGCACGCTGCTTGGCAATAGCGTCATGCGTGTGCACGCCGACAACGTCACCGCTGCCTTTTTTTTGTATCTCTGCTTCCGGTGTTATGGCCGCTCGCAGAGCAGGGTGACAGTCAGGTGTGGGAGCTGTGGTAATGAGCGCCGGGTGTTTAGGCAGGTGTGTTAGAGGATGGCGGTGACGCAGCTATTTCGGCTGGTAGTCGGTCGGACAGCGGCTCGCGCGCACAGGAGGTACAGCCAGGTGCGCATGTCTTGTTATTACAGCATGACAGGGAGCACAGCTAACGCTAGCTAGGTGGCTAGCTAACAAGACAGTGCTGAGAGGTAGAGGTTGACGTGGTCAGACAGATGCAAGTTTTGTTCATGCTTTGATATAACTTTATTATACACTCAATGTAGTTTATAAACAGTACAGTGTTTTATATCTGTGCAAGAGACGCCACAAAACCTTTTAACATGGTCCCCCACTCGTGTGTGCTTTCAAAGTGGTTACTTCAAGTAAAGCATAAAAAATAAACCCAAAAATATTTGAATGGTGGCAAAGAAAATGACCTAACATTTGCCAAAGGCATTTTATTTTTATTTTTTTCATCCACTTAATTACACTGCAACCATTATGCTGAGAAGTCAACACTGAAGGTTAATCACATTGTTTATACCAATATTGATTTATCAATGACTGCTCTGTTAACAGTTTATTAGGTACACCTAGTTAAAACTATTGGCGTTTACTATAACCGCCCAGCAGGAAACCTAACCCTCATGAAGGTTATGACCGCTTTTTATTGCAACTTGTTTAGAAACGTGACCGGTGTGGTGGTATTGTTGAAATCTATTATCCCTGTTATTCTCTCATCCCTTTTCTGTTCTGACCTACAACTTTCCTGTCTTGCAGGCGTGCCCAGCTTCATCCGAGCGACTGCGGATCTTTGAGTCCCTCAGGGATAAACGCTGCAGCCAGAGCAGAGTTGAAGCTACAGGAGCTCCGCTCAGCATCCAGCTGGCTGATGGCCGGACCGTGAAGGGGACCGCTGGTGTCACTACCCCTCTCTTTGTTGCGCAGAGTGCGCGGTAAATGGATTTGAGCAGAAACGTGTTCTCTTGAGTTTCTTCTTACTGAAGTGCTGTAACGGTGTTGTTGCGTCTCTGCCTGTAGTGTGAAAGGAGCCCTGGTCAGTAAGGTGAATGGGGAGTTGTGGGAGCTTGGACAGCCCCTAGAGGCAGACTGCGAGCTGCAGCTTCTGGGGTTTGACACAGATGAGGGAAGACAGGTAATCCCAGCTCCTTTTTTTCTTTTCTTTTTTTAAACACAATGCTTTTGTGGTCTTTTCTATTTTTTGTTATACCCCTAAGTTGTGAGTGCTTGCAACAAAAAGTGAAAGGAATAAGTTGGTTCTGGGTTTCTCAGGCCAAAGGATCATTTTGTTTTCTTCAAGATGAAATCATGGCTAACCCGCAGATGCACAGGCACTTAATGTTGCTCAATGTGCACTTAATGTTTCAGAAACAACATACGATGTTACTGCTGATGTTTTTTTAATTTGAATTGTGTTTCTATACTATGTTAACTGATGTTACTCCATCTCCTATCCAGGAACTACATTTGTAAATTAGTTTACGGTTGACTCTGGTACAGCAAAGCAGTTGCGCACTGTCTGTGGTAATTAAATAAATAAATCTCTACTCCTACTTCGTCACCTTCTCCGTCTTAGGCGGCATGGCGGACAGGAGCGTGCGTCCTGGGTGGAGTGTTGGAGAATGAATTTGGGGCCGAGGTTTGCAGAGAAGGAGCGTCCGAGCTCGGCCTTTACTGTGACCATCTACTACACGACGGGTGAGTAAACGCTCTGGACACGTTTTTTATCTTTGGAAATTCAGTCTGCAAAATCTGTCAAAATATCATCTGGTCTCTTTTGGACTACTAAATAATCACTGACCTCAGTGAATGAATCGTTACACCCCTAATTATTTTGCATAATAATGTTTGGCCTCCACAGGGGTCTTTCTGCTGCCCCTTTTAACATTATAAATACAATAAAAAGATCTCTTCACTACTCTGTTCTGCTGTAATGTCCCCCTTTCTTTCCTCTGCACACAGTGCCTGGTCTCTGAGTGATGTGGAAGAGAGATGTAAGAAGGCTGCAGCACTCAAGCTTCCTCTGTCCCGACTGGAAATCAACTCTGAAGAGGTCCGACAGCTCTTCCAGGTCAGATATACTAGTGTCTCATAACGATGCACCGTTTTTACATCGGACAGCCTGCAGGTCATTATTCCTTCATGCTAAAGTGTCTGTGTTCACACTATGATGTGTGTTTTGTGATTTGAACTTCTTACAGAACAGTTTGCTGAGACTTCAGCTCGTCGAGGAGCAGATGAACGGTCCCACCATCACAGTCTACAGGTATTAATACACACGTATACCTATACATGTGGGCTGCCGTGTCATTTACACATTTACCTAATCCTAATCCAGTTTTATCCTTTCTGTGTGACTCAGGTGTGGAGACAGCATAGCGGTCTGCAAAGGCCCCCTCCTCCCACACACAGGCTTCCTCAAAGTGTTCAAGACACTCCAGGTGTGTGTGTAACTGTCCTCTGCTGGGCTCTTTAGGGTTTAATGTACTTTTACTCTTGTGTAATCTTCAGTTTCCTCCATTTGAATTGCGCGGATGCCCTTCAATTTGTCATTTCATCCAGCATTAATTTTCTCAAAGTGTCTGTCCCGAGTGTCTCATGCTCAATGGAATGTTTCTTTGTCTCTTATGATTGAGCAGCAGGGAGTAGTTTCCCTACTGAGCTGCCACTGGACAAACTGTGATTCCATGGCAGTCAGAATTATTATCAGCAGCAGGATGTTGTGTCTAGCAAAGGCCAGTTTCCTGTTCTCAGCCACTACCAAAACATCACTATCCATCAGTGCCGTCTCTCATCGGTTTACCCTTCCTCTTCTGGCTGACCCCACTCCCCCCTTTTCATTTTCCACCTCCTGGTTGGCTTTAAAAAATTGTTTTTACACCCCTCTGCCTCTCCTCTCTGTGCATCTGTACCAACCCAGCTGTCACCTGTGACCCTGGCCAATCAGACGGAGTCCTCCGGTTTGATGCGTCTTTTAGGTGTGGCCTTTCCAGGAGAGAAGGATAAAGAGCAGTGGGAGAGCGAGCAGGAGGAGGCGAGGAGGAGGGACCACAGACGCATCGGGACAGTAAGACAAAATCTAGTTTAGGATACATTTTTAAAAAGTGAATTATTATATTGAGTTTTCTGATGTGTGTGTGTTCTGGTTTTTGCGTAGGACCAGGAGCTGTTCTTTTTTAACGATGTGAGTCCAGGAAGCTGCTTTTTCTTGCCTAAAGGAGCCTACATCTACAACACCCTCACAGACTTCATTAAGGTGAACACACACTCTTTACAGTCCGTGACTCTGGATTTATACTGACATCTATATCATTTCATTACAATGTCAGAAAACCCTCAAACGCGACAGCTGAGCTTCTACAATAGAATGGCTTTGGAATCCTGTGTAACCTACTAGTCCGTATTTGACCTCTGCCACATTGAATCTGCAGCCGCTTTTAAACCTTGTTCGGCACGACTTGTGGACCCAAGAGATACCGTATCCACACGTCTTGATTCTGCAAACCCAAACTACGCCCCGAGTCTGGGTTAAGGTCATCAGTGTTTCCTTCTTTGGGTGAAGATTAAATATGTTTTCCAACATCTTGTGCACATGCACATATAATAACAACGTAACATTACATTATACCTTGTGATTTGTATCCCGCGGACCCACACATCACTCGTCAGAATATTGCTCTTGTTACTTCCGTTATTCCGCTGTTGTGACCGTCTGCTCCCGCCCTGGACTCATTGTCGCACACACCCTTCCTTCCTGACGTCTTACAGAGTGAGTACCGAAGGCGAGGATTCAACGAGGTCGTGACCCCGACTTTGTACAGCACTGCATTATGGGAGCGCTCGGGTCACTGGGAGCACTACAGCGACAACATGTTCACTGTGACATCAGAGGGCTCTCAGACCTACGCTCTCAAACCCATGAACTGTCCTGCACACTGGTGAGGCCCCCTTACCTCAACCATTGCATTTAAACGCTTCACCCCCCACCCTAACTTTAAAACCAAGTCCAAGCCCTTTAAAAAAAATATATAATGTACCCTCAATCCAAAAATGTCCTTGCTTGAAGGTCTGAAGCTCTCAATTTGTTTTTCGTGGAGAAAGCTTTGCGTGCAGACTAAGCCTCGCTCTCCCCCTCCCTGTGTTCAGTCTGATGTTTGAGCAGCGCGTCCGCTCGTGGAAAGAGCTTCCTCTACGATGGGCCGACTTCGGGGCGCTGCATCGCAACGAGCTCTCCGGAGCGCTCGGCGGTCTCACTCGAGTTCGCCGCTTCTGCCAGGACGATGCTCACATCTTCTGCACACCCGAGCAGGTACAGACAACACGTATGGAGCTGCATCGTTGCGATGCAAACTTTGTTCTCCTAGGCCGCTGCTTTTGTCCTCGCGGGGCCGTGAGTGCGTTGGAAACAGAGCGGGATGCATGTGCCACTATATAACAGTCATTAGATGGGCTGTGCAAATACCTCCCGAGACATTCCAGCAGGCCAGCGTCTGGATGAATGAAGGTCTTTGTCCCGTTCAAACATTAAACCTCCACGTGTGCATCACTGCGGCTCCACCGTGTGTAATCCTGATCCCCTACACAGTGATCCCATGATGCTCATGCAGATCATAGTCACAGGATAATCATCAGTCTGTTAGCTTCTAAAAAAACTGATTCAATCTATGGAGGCTTTACAGCAAATACATTGTCAGCTACCTTTTTTTTTTTTCTTGACTGACCCTGGTTGGAATTTTCAACCCTTATGTCCTCTTGTTGCCCTCGTGTTCAAATTTCTTCTGTTTTTCCATTCTGTCTCTCCAGCTGGAAGAAGAGATCGGGTCTTGTTTGGACTTTGTGAGGAGTGTGTATCAAGTGTTTGGGTTTTCCTTCCACTGCCTCCTGTCTACGCGTCCTGCACCGTGCCTCGGGGAGCCTGAGCAGTGGGACAACGCTGAGCAGGTGAACGCACACACGTTCCACTCACATTCCTGGAGTTCGCCAAAATCGTACGTAGTCTTAGGCCGGCCCAGCTGTGGATATTTGTATGTATTGTAATCTAAATCCAGTTAATCACTGCTAGAAAACCCCCTCTTTTGAACTAAATGACACGGTGTAATGAAATCCACAATCTGATACACGTGTGGTACTTTTCAGTAGCGATGTGCGCCGGGCTGCTGGGTAAATGTTTATCCCTAAATCCCCATGGACATCTGACAATAGGCACCGCGGCAGTTGAAGCTTATTCAATTGAATAGAATTGAATTGTGGAACCAAGCCCCCACACAGAAAGACCAACATGGCTGTCATAATGTGCATTAACAGTTACATTATCTGTAACTGTATCTGTATGTGTGTGAGCAGCAGCTGGAGAGGAGTCTGCAGCACTTTGGTGAGCGTTGGGAGTTGAATCCAGGAGACGGCGCCTTCTACGGACCCAAGGTCAGTGAGAAGGGCGACACGCAGGAAGCGTGCAGACTCGTGCTTTCTGCCACAAACTGGGCAGTTTGCCAATTCTGGAAGATTTTGAAACGGGCCGTTTGGTTATTTAGAGCAAACGTCCGCGTGAGGAGGCCGAGCAGCAAGGCGCCGCTCACTGTCTGGAAGTTTGCCGTGATATTTAAACACTTAAACACAGCTGGGATGGTAAAGACTCTTGATTTTGTACTACACACATCGAATGGAACCCATAGTATCTGCTAACATCCAGAACATTGATTAAGTGATATTTTCCATAATGACCTTTAACACGTAGCAGGATCGGCTTCTCTTGGAAACACATCTGTTTCCATCTCTGTCCGCAAAAAGGCAGTTTGTGCAAAGCAGCGTCAGGATAGAGAAGCGACGGCTGATGCTAACGCGCTCCAACATGTTTCTTCATAGATTGACATTCTGATTAAAGATGCTATTGGCAGACAACACCAGTGTGCCACCATCCAGTTGGACTTCCAGCTGCCAATCAAATTTGACCTTCAATATGTTGGGTGAGTGGTAATTTTTTGCTGTTTGCTTGCAGCATCTTAAACAATCCTACGTCTGTTGGGCTTTCTGTGTGTGATGTTCTGTAAAGAGAGCAGTCTAACTTAATTAGACCTGATTGGATCATGAGAGATGAGTCCTTTTTATTTAATTGACCTCTTCAGGCCGTGTTGCTCCCTGCTTCTGCCTTCAACCTCTTTTTATTCTCTTAAAAAAGAGTTGTGCCCTACTTCATGTTTTTTTTTTTAAATGTCTGCATTGATATTTGCCCTGATTATAGTTAATTTCATGGTAAACCATTTTATGCAGAAACGAACCAAACTGGTAGTTCTGACGATGATCCCTGCCTGTACAGGTTTTCTCCCGTTAATGCAAAATTCTAAATCAATATTGCCAAGTGAATTGTGTCTGACGAGCCTTGAGTCTCGATGTTTATTGTCTTCCTCAGTCGGGACGGACAGTTGCGGAGGCCAGTGATGATCCACAGAGCGGTGCTGGGATCCCTGGAGAGAATGATCGCTATACTGGCCGAAAACTTCGGAGGGAAATGGTGAGGCGACCGTGAATGATCACATTGAGTCAAACATTTTGTCAGGCTGTACAGTCGATGCTCACAAGCGCCTGACTTGTCTCTCCACTTCACCCAGGCCTCTGTGGTTGTCGCCGGCGCAGGTCATGGTCATTCCTGTGGGGGGCAACAGCGAGTCGTACAGCAAACAGGTTCGGGCCACGATGACTATTTCCTTCTGTTGCATCAGCAGACCAAGTGTACCTTCTTTGTGACTCGGGTTCTATCTGTCATTATTCATTCGCTTGTTATAGTACAGACGTAGTCCTAATAGAACTGCCTCTCTTGTGTTTAGGTGGTGCAGCAGTTCAGTGACGCCGGCTTCAGGGCCGATTTGAATGATGATCAGGGAGCGACCTTAAATAAGAAGATCCGCTCTGCTCAGCTCGCCCAGTACAACTACATATTTGGTAAAGATGAATATTGGGGGGGGAACTGAGGCTACCTAATGTGTTGAAGCTGAAATTGAAGCAATTTTCCTGCTACTGATGTTACCATAACTGATTATTACGTCATTGTACTCGTGTCCAGTGGTGGGAGATAAGGAGAGCGATAGTGGAGCAGTGAACGTGCGCTGCAGAGGCGGCGTGCAGCTGGGGAGGCGGCCGACAGAGGAGGTGCTGACATCCCTCACACGGCTACGAGACACCAGGAGCAACTTGGAAGAGTTCTGATGAAAAGGTCCTCGATAATGAGGAGTCCCTCATGTAGTAAGTGTTGTTGTACATGTTCAAGCTGGTATACTTTGGCTTTGTTCAAAGAGATGGCTGCTAAAAATTTGTAATAAAAGAATATCAAATCTATCTGACTTGTTGATTTGTCCACTAATGGCTTCTCCTGTTAAATCCTAAAAGTCATACAAAGTACAGAAGAGCTTTAATGCCATTATATGATCCCTATCAGTCTAATATCAACATTACGTCAATATAGCTGCTTCACAAAAACCATTAAGTATACGAAGCTCCCGCTGGCGTACGTCAGTGTCGGGATGTCCGAATGGAAACCAGGCATACCTTTAAAAGACTGGAGCAAAGAGAGGACACGGAGGGGGATTTGACTAAAATAGGAGCGAGAGCAGCGGTGTCAGGACTGTGTGTTTTCATGTGTGTTTAGTGGAAACAGCAATGTCAAGGTAAAGGTCGAAAAGATTGGGAGTTTTTTTCCTTGTTAATTGAGAGAGGGCAGCAGGATGGAAAAGACATCAGTCACAACAGTGACACAGAGGGAGCCGTCTGGCCCGGGGGAAACAAACCGAGATGACTCTGACAAAAGCCGCCCCTCCTGCGGCGCTGGATGTGAAGCTGATTGTGTGGTTAGTTCACTCAGTGGGCCGGAGAGAGAAAAGGTGAGGCGGGTTAACGGAGAAGTCTCCACTGTGAGTCACACACGGGTCACCTCGGATTGAAAGAGGGTCTTTAGTCGGGCGAAGATTTCACCAAATAGAAGTTGAGTTCGTATGTCTGTACAGAAAAGGGGAGATTGTGTATGTTTTAAGGAATGGAACCAAATCCTTTTCTCCAGGCTGTAGCTGCTAGGTGGGTGGATGACAGGCGTCCGTCAGAAGACCTGAGATGCGTTTGGTGTGTTGGCATGGTAACGTTTGCTACGGCTACACTCAGATGGGAATGTCTTTAGTTTAGCAAGTTCTGATCTTGAGGTATTTAGAAAATGTCAATTCTGACACCATGGATGAAAAATCAAAGGACAGAGTTGTTACGCTTTATCTTGAGAGGACGGATGTCTGTACCCAATGAATATCATTCCATTGAGATGTTTCCAAACTCTAACCCAAAGTCTAGCCAAATATGTCTGAAAACCAAACAATAATTTTGGGAATTTGGGAGAACTGCCTCTAAGTTCTTTCTCACTGATGCTTTCTTCATCTCATACTATAACATCAAGATGATGTGTATTAATAGTACTCTGCTGTTGGCCTGTTGCTAAATGAGAAGATAAAATACGGCGCAGCTACCAGCCAGCATTGCACAGTAGTTGTGTAGTGATGACCCGGACCATTAGCTCCAGTAAACACTGAAATCCCGACATAAGAGATAACAAAATCAGGCTCTTTGTGCCCTTCTGCACCCACAGCCCATGCTATCTGTACACACACACACACACACACACACACACATTCAACTGGTGGAGTCGCTCAGAGTTCATAGGAAATTATTTTTAGCCTAAGGGTTTACTGAAAAAGAATGCTGCTGTGTGGGCAGCAAAGAAAAAAACGTTTTTTTACTACAACACGATGTGAGAGTAATTAATTCAGGGAGACAGATGGATATCTACTGAAGTTTAATATGGGAGCAACATATTCATGTGAAAACCATTCAGAGCTGTTCTTCTCCTCTGAGTGGAAAGTCAGGAAAATGATGCTCTGCAGTTTTGTTGTTTCACATGAGGAAATATTGTTTCTCTTTTTGTCTGTAGGTTTTCAGTGGGAGAAGTTATTACCACGGCCGTGCGTTCGCTGTCAAGGAACAAATTTTGGAATCACCAAAATAGTGGCTGATTTTCTGTCCATTAAACTCTTTAATGCTTTTTCAACATCTCGGTGGAGAAGTCCTGCAGTCTTTTTAGAAGCTCTACGTGTTCGCTGCATTGACACCAGCAGACTGAAAGTATTTCCAGATTTCGAAAAATCTTTCAGGATTGGTTGTGAAGTGACAGACTTTGGGACGACTGTTGTAGCGGAAGTCCATTTTTTCCTGGAAGGAGGCGGTGCGACGGTCACCCGGGCGGGCGGCAGAGCCCGACAGGCGGGCCAGAGGAAGATAAAGCGGCTGCTCCGTATTGTTCTCCTGGTATCACCGAGAAACTGTCAGCCTGACTGATTGAAGGCTCAACCTCCCAAAATAGGCCCTATGAGCCACGGGCTGCCTTCCCTTTCCACCCCGTTATAAATAACCTGTGTGTGTGTGTGTGTGTGTGTGTGTGTGTGTGTGTGTGTGTGTGTGTGTGTGTGTGTGTGTGTGTGTGTGTGTGCGTGTGCGAGAGTTAGAGAGTTAGAGTAGGGACAAAAAGAACGATGTGATCACTGCCAGGGCAACTTTAGAAGTGAAGCCACTGAAAACAATAACAGGAGGTCTGTGGGACTCGGAGCCAAACAGCGACAGGGACCCAGCGGTCGAGACCCTCCACTGACCTCCTCTCAACAAACACACACTTATTAGGACCTTTTAGTTCACTTAATATCCCAATATCCAGGGTCCATGCCTTTGTTCCGATAGGGCTTGTAAATGCCCACCTGAGCGAATAGCACTTGATTAGTTGGACTGTTTACTTGGCTTACAGGTCACTTAACAGGTGTGCCAAGGGGGGGGGGGGGATCCTTTCCAGGCAAATATATACGACGGCGGTGCGTCGCTAGCACACACATAAAATCCACAATGGAGGCGGGAGGGGACTCATTTGCTTGTTTACAGCGCCGAACAACAATTCAAAAAGAAGCAAAAGAAGTCTTTTAAACGCTAAATGGCGGCATAAAGTTGTGAGACAGCTTTCCTCTTAAATCCCCAAAACCTCGGCCCACCCACGGTGCCGGGCCTAGGGGGCTCAGCGCTCACTGCCACTGGCCAACTCCCCCTCTGTCTCCCCTTCTCCTTCCCCTCGCTGTTCTGGGTCCAGCTGAGTCTCAACCCACAGTTTATGCAAAGGAGTTATTTGGGTTATGTTGCTCCGTATTTGATCTGGCTGCTCTCTCCACCCGTCCCTCCACTTTAACCCCCCCGCTGTGCGCCTGGGATTCAGGCGTGTGCTTGCACTTGGCTTTATGTTTAAAACGCAATTGATGCTCCTGCGTGCGAGGAAGTCACACACACACACACACACACACACAGCTCAACAACCCGGCACAGTAGTTTACAGTCTCGGCCTCAGTCGACACGCCGATGACCTGATTTCCTCTCCCGCTCTCATCACAGGGGGGGGAAACTTAGAAAGAAGAGGGGAGCAGACAGAGGCGAGGAAAAGAGAATCTCACTGTGTGAAAAAGGGCATGAGGTTTATTGTTGTAGCGAACTGGCCCGAATCGCTCCCAGGAAGGAGGAGTTTATGGGTTCAGGGGAAGGTCAGAGGTCATGTTGACGCTCCAGCCAGTTTAGTAAGCGATGAGAATAAACCGACCCCTCGGTATATTCGCCATTATTTACGGTGGCCATTGTCCCTTCTGCGGCTACTCCCTGTAAACTCTGCGTGAGAGGGAGGGGAGGACGGGACGGATCGGGGGACCAGCAGCAGTTTTGAATTTGCTTGCGTGACTTTGTGCCGACCCATGTGGAAGACGCCCATGCTGTGATGTCCCACACTGCTGCTCGCCTTGTTCAAAACTAACAAAATGCCAAAGAACCGAGGAGGGTTCGAGACGTCGTTGGGCTGACAGAAAAACAATCTCTCATTAAAAAACAAATAGTTGGAAGAGAACGTTTAGGATCAGAGGGAAATCTAACTGATGGGATATTTACTGGAATGCTGTTCAAATGAGGTCATTTGCAAACTCAAATTTATTCAAGACAATTTTTAATCTGCTGTGGACGCAGTGTATCCAGAGCATAAATAAACTTTCATTCCCCCTTCCTCATCTCAGCGTGTTGAGTAGAGACCAGCGAAGCCTTTGGGAGTAAGAGGAGCAGACGCTGACTTTAGACTTTGACCTCGGCTTGTTTTCAGGATTCCGGCCCGTCGAGGGCCCTAAAACTTAAACCTGGCCGAGAGGAGGAGAGACGAGCCGGTCAGCTCACAGGAGGCCGGAGGAGGGGAGGAGGTGCCGGAGGACGCGGCCAAGTACTTGACGTGGATGTTTGAAATGTTGCAGGGTTCTTCCTTGTTTACTTTCTTGCAGGGATGTGGACGTGTGTGTGTGTGTGTGTGTGTGTGTGTGTGTGTGTATTGGTGCCGTTCACGTAGCGCTCCATTCAATCTAATACCAAGATACCGAGGCTCTGTGCGCTCTCCTAATTCACGCCATTTTGGTTTTCCTTTGGTTATTTGATTGAATGCAAATTTGTGTGGGAATATGCAACGTCCAGACTCCGTATGGACTGAACCTATAGGGGCCTCTCTCTGCGTCCTGCATTATTAATCACTCTTTCGTCTTTGTTGTGTAGAGATTCGGGCCCCTTCATACAACTGTTGATAGGGTTGATTGTACATTTCCACCATGGAGCTGCCACAGCTACTCTGGAAAGAGTTTTTATGCATAAGTAAATAGGTAAGGGATGACCTTTATTAGCATTTTTTGTGTGTGTGTGTTTTTTTTTTTTAAACCAATGTTGAAAACAAATAGTTGCATTTTTAGATGTTTAACAGGTTGAGGGAAATATCCCTCCAACAGATGAGTGCAGCTTTCTCTATATCTAAAGTTGTTCTGATTATGTGAGTTAGTGGTAGCAGCGTTAACAGCGTGAACACATAAAATTCAGGCTTCGATACAACAAACAGTCGTCTATAGCCAATCGGGCGTGAACATACCGAAGCATTTGTCACCTGGTGCGTCCGGTGCTTACATGCCCGTTCACACACACACACACACACAGACAATGTTGTTTATCGTCGTCATGTGTATACAAGTGGCCCAGTGGCTTCTCTGAATGGACCAACAATTGCCCTTTGTGTGAATAATCGGAACACGGTTATTTCAGCCGCCAGGTTCCGACTGAGGTGACCTCTCGCTCTCTCTCGCTCATGCCGTTGTCTTTTGAGGGAACACTATTGCTCCTCGTTAGTGCTACGCCCATCAATCCCCTCATCTCCTTCTTTTTACCACTTTTGAACCATTTTAACTGCCTTTCTACGCAAGCTCCATCAATGCAGCTTTTGCTTACAGTGCACTGAATTAAATGCTTTTAGTGGAAACATATCTGTCTGGTTTCTCCTTTAAAGATGTTGCCCGTTTTCTTCTCTGGCTCCCTGTGCCCTTTTCAGAGCACACATGCCTCGCTTTGATCCGGACCCTGGCACAGGATCGGTGGAATGGAGCAAATATTGACTCCATCTGAGCCAGACAAATCGCACCCCATTCCTGCGTTCTTTCGCTTTCACTCTGCTTTACACTTGCTTAGTTCCCGTCTAATCTGCCATTGCCTCTTTCTCTCGAATTCCCTTTCATCCCCTTTCTGCTGCTGGCTTTCTTTTCCCTCCCTTTGTGTCCCCGTCTGTCTTTCTCTCCCTCTCGTCTCTACTCGAGGCTTCTGAGGCCGTCTGGGCCGTTTGGGTCAGGACTCCACGCTTAGTTAGCAGCCTTCACAGATATCGATCCATGACGTTCTCTATATAAATGTTTGGATTTCTCCTGTCCAAATTAAAGTCGGTCACCTTCCTTTGTTGAACAATGTGTTAACGCCTTAAACCGGAACATGCTTTTGCATTTGGCAGTTTTCTCACATCCCATGCAAGACATTCATAACGGCTTACATATACATATTTTCATGTAAGTGTCATATGTGCTGCAGATGACTGCCAGATTTGCGAAATCCGACATACAGAAAAAATTTGAAAATATTCCTTATCTTATGTGTCTTTTTGGTCCTGTTTTTCTTGCATGATAAAATAACCGTGATGCTGTTGGATAACCAACTAATCAATGCATGTTTGATTGAAAAAGGACAAACCTGCTCATGGCATGAGAAGATATGTCAGGGGGATCATCAAAGTAGTCCTGCTTCATCCTCTGGACACCATGAATTGTTTGTAAAATATGTCATCCATTAGGGCCCATGACTACGTCATTTGTCCCCTAACCCCAACCCTTCTGTCCCCTAAGCCTAACCCTTCTGTCCCCTAACCCCAACCCTTCTGCCCCCTAACCCTAACCCTTCTGTCCCCTAACCCTAACCCTTCTGTCCCCTAACCCCAACCCTTCTGTCCCATAAGCCTAACCTTCTGTCCCCTAAGATAAATCCTCGTGGATCGTCTGACATTGTTACCCAAACATGGACGACTGTAGCCAGTGGTCTGTAAAGGGTTAATGACGACTATCATATTAACGTCAGTTCGTCTCGCTGCTGTCTTTGCAGCCTGCAGAGGCGTCCACCCCGAGTCCGTGTGTGGAGGAATTATTAACTTCAGTAGTAAAAGGGATGCAGGCTTATTGGGCCCGAGGCCGAACTGTGCGCGTGCGTTTGTGTGTGTGTATATGATTGGGAGGCAGTGTTTGTGTGTACATGCAAAGAGTTTTTCGAGTGATGTATCGCCCCCACGGGCCCCACTGCGCTGATCTGCAGGCCTATTACTCAAGTCAACCGCCCGAGACGCGTCGCAGATCGGCAGCTACATGCAGACTTCCCCGGATACACACACACACACACACACACACACACACACACATCTGTGTGTTGGGATGTCTACTTGATACAGACATTCTGTTAATCAGGATTCTTTGCTTGGTGTTGCGTGTCGGCAGGCCAACACATTAGTTATTGCCTCTCAGGGATCCAGAGAAAAGGTGCTGATAAAGGGGGGAGGGAGGAGTCGAGCACAGGGCTAAAAGTGTTCACGGACCACTGGTGGCCACGGCAATGACCTTCGGCTAATTGTAGTTACTGATAGACATGCTGCTTAGAAGTACAGAGATATCCATTTCACTAATCACACACACACACAACCCTGCTATGTGTGTGTGTGTGTGTGTGTGTGTGTGTGCATTGACTTCTAGAATCTACCGTCATCATTCTGGGTACGCCTTCAACGTTTTATTTTCACAGATCAGATCTGAAGGCCGCTCTGTAATGTGGTTTAAGATGTAAGTCGTCGGCTCGCAGCCAGCTTTGAAGTCGCAAATCTCCTTCGCCATCGCCGTGTCCGCGTTGGAGGAAGCATGTCCAAGAAAAGCAGCAGCCGCTTGGCCCTGGGACGCCTCGACCCCTGGGCGTGTGTCCGACCATAACTTATGGCCCTCCCTTCCACTACAGCCGCCTCTCCCACATTTCCACTATCTCGCCTTGCTTCTCACCGGGAACAGGGTTGGAAATGTTATGCTGATGAGTCGGGCTCTGATCTTTTCCCCAGTAAACAATGTTTTTAGTATCGTATAAGTTTCACTTTGCTCTGGCTTTTCTCATCACCTATTTATACTTCATCTTACTCTTTTACTCTGACATGCACTGCTTACGTTTTTTCCCCTCTTTCTTCTTGTCCATGTTGATCATGTCAGCTCTGTTTTCTTTCTGCCTTTTTTTCTTGATGAAGATGTTTTATTTTATTTGTCTAGCATACAGCCACCATTATTATTATTATAATTATTATTATTATTATCCTAAACCATATCCAGAATGCAGCATGTGCATGTTAAACAACGCATGCAGAGTCCAAAAGCAAAGCCCGTTCACACAGATTTTTTCCCATCTAGACCATGTTTACAACAACATTTGGAATGTTTATTATGATTATAACACATTACTCCTGTAACAAGTCAAAGTGAAACACGCACATTTTGGACAGAGTAAGTGAACTTAAACTCTTTGCATTCTTGGTTGTCTGACACTATTTTGTCACTATAACGTGGACGCCCGCGGGGTGTCTTCGGTAGACTGGGCCGGTCGGTGGCTTACGACCAAACAAATATTCTGTAACACAAGTTGACATCTGGCAGGTTTCACATCTGCTTCAGCCCGCAAGCAAGACGGGTTCCACCCTCCCATCGATGGACACACACCCGGAGAGACATCATTCCTGCTCAGATGTGGGTCGTCTCTCGGGTGTATTTATCTGGCGGAACGTGTCCGTTTGCAGGCACTTATGTGATTACACAGTTATGAGAACACACAGCGATGTTTGGATCATTCAAAAATATATTTTCTGTCATACGGCTATAAAGAAATATGGAAATCATGTTTTCCTTTGAACACTCACTCACTACGTGAATGAACAGTTGGTGGTTGCTTTGGCAGAATGTTTGGCCCGTACACCTTTGTGCTTCCCTGCTGCAGATGCTACCATCAATACTACTGATCAGTGCGAGCTAGAACAATGTAGTGTGTGTGTGTGTGTGAGTGAGAGAGAGAGGATGTGGCAGTGTGTGTTGTATGCGCGTGAAAGGGAGAGAGGGAGACAGGGAGAGTTGTGTAATCCGTCATTTTGCGTCTCCTCTCTTCCCGTTGGCCCCCTGGCTGCCAGGCGTCACACCAGTTTAAAGTAAGGACCCCAAAAAAAAGTTGCCGAGTGAACGGGCTGAAAGAGAGAGAGAGAGAGAGAGGGAGAAAGAGAGAGAGAGAGAGAGAGGAAAAAAACTCGAACCTTTCCCACTCTCGGAGAATCCCGGGGAGTGACTGTGACAGGACGAAGGGGACTCGGAGAGCTGAAGAATCGCACGCAAGATTTCACCACAATTTCTTTCAGGAGCGCGCAGACCGGAGCAGACCACAACCACAACCCACCAAGCCGGGACTGATCATCAATAGTTCCCAAAAGTCGCGCAGTGGGGACCGGTGTGACTCTTGGAGGAGCATGCGGCTCGGTTTACTAATCAGGTAAAAAAAGAAAAATACAACACGTTGACTTTTACAGCCGCAATCTGCTGCCTCTCAGTCCGCTGGTACGCAACATCACATCCACCTTTAAAGCGGGCATGGTGTTCATGTTGCGCGTGGAGGCGATTCTATCAAGTTTTATAAAGTTTTTGTTTTTACGGCGAAGTTTGGACTTTTACGCGCGACGCCTACTCGTTGCGCGCTGCGCTTCGGGATATATGATATGATAGGAATTTTTACCCGAAGACATCTGGGTTTAGGTTCGAGTCTTCCCCCCCCAGGGCACATTTCTTTGAGTCTCCCCTCTGTTGCGTGTCTCGGCCTCCCTCTCTTTCCCCCTGTCCCTCGGCTCGCACTTTATTCTACAATGTGCCACTGTAGCGGCCGCGAAAACGTGGACTCCGGGTAGGGGGTCCTTACTTCGGCCTGAGCGGCTCTGTTGTGTCGGTCTGTGCGGGACCTTTGTCTGGGTCCTTCGGGGTAGTTATGTAGTCTGATGTGGGGAAGCTTGCAGGGACCACGGCGGTGCACCACACTGGGAAGAAAGCACCAATTACCCCGACTGCATGTGGCTTGCGGACTCGTGGTTGTGGTGATGGTTTTGGTCATCGTGGTGATTCGAGCCTAAACGCGCATTTTAGGAAGTCGTTTATTATCGTGTTCAGGCTGTTTTCTTGGCAGATGAAGAGATGGTTATTCCACTTGTTTCTCGTGCACTTGTGTCGGCAATTGCTGGTGTTCTTTAAAACTAGTATATTTGTACGAAAATACACTTGACGACTCAATATCAAGAAAATATCATGAAAACCTGCTCTAGTGGGTAATGTGTCCTAAAGTAGGCCTACAAATGTAATTCAATGCCATCACCCTTCATGACTAACTTACGGTCCTTTGAACACCGGAATTGTGTGTGTGTGTGTGTGTGTGTGTGTGTGTGTGTGTGTGTGTGTGTGTGTGTGTGTGTGTGTGTGTGTGTGTGTGTGTGTGTGTGTGTGTGTGTGTGTGTGTGTGTGAGAGAGAGAGAGAGAAATGTTTGCCTGTGAACCCTGAAGGGAAAAGTAAACGTGTGTCCACCCCTGTAGTGGGTAATAAAGTGGCATAATTGGTTGCTGGAGTAGAGTTACGTCATTGGAACATTCGATAGGGTGTTCACTCAACACAGTTACTAAACTAAATTTACGTTTAGGGAAAAATAGTTCAAGAAAAAAGATGACCATTGAATTGAGGACAATGGGCCTCTGTAAGTGTGCAGAGTACATACAAACTCAACATTTAACTAGGTCAAGGAACAATTATGGAACAACCTGCTTAAAGTCTTGCAGAGCTGCTTTTAATTTTTCCCCTCTGCTCTTCATCCCTCCAGGCTCTATGTCCTGTGGGGTTTTGTGCTGGTCACGACCTCCGTGACTAAGGCATCCAAGAGGAAGGTAAGTCATTAGCTCATTATTCCATGAGATCGGCATTCCAATTGCTTCGCGATAAAGGGATCAGAAGTGTGGATTTAAGGATACATTCACATTATTTAATGTCCTAAGACAATCCTACCTGGCTCATATGTTCTCCAAGATCCAATCCAAGAGTTATTGGATGCTGCAAATGTTGATACTGGCTGCAAACAGATTGCATTCTGTCATTTTGGCCTTTATTGGATAGTGAATTATACTGCGATCAGGGGAGAGATGGATGAATGAGATGCAAACAGGTTTCCTGGCTGCAGACGGTTGCTGTTATGTGTTGACATGCGCGGTCACCATTCGTTTACCAAGGTGCTGCCTCTCTAACATCAATGAAAGGGATTGGAGACAAAGTCCAAAGTCCTCATACATTGCAGAAATACATGCCGAGTTTCCCACAAAGCAATTGCAAGGCTTCACCACTCAAAGACAGTCAAATTAGGAGGGTACCGTACAGTCTTTTTAGTATCAGATTCTATTTGTGTTAGCATCCCACCAGTGCAGCTATGCGAGGAAACACCGTCTAAGAAAACACAGAGGGAATTTTCTGCTTAAAGGACTGTAACCCAGTCGTTTGAAGCCTCATTCAGCTTCCACTGAACTTTGGAAACACATTTAGTTGCAGATAACAACATCTAAACTAAAAATAGCCGCTGTGGTAATGCATTTTCCTGATTTAAGTTATAAATAACGTATTTAGCTCAGTATATAGTAAGTTTCAGCTCATTGGTTTGGTCCACTCTTATCTTCTTATATTCACGGCCCTAGACGGCAGATGTTACATTACCTGCTCAGGAGGACATAACATCAGACTTCTTAGCGTCGAGCTGCGGCACAGTTCAACATTAGTAGCTAAAGATGCAGATATTTTTTTCCCCTAGAAGCTGGTGGAGACCAAAAACAGAGCTAAAAGAATGTTGGCGTCACATTCATCGTGTGGCCAGAAAAAAAAGTTTCTATTGCACCGAAGTGGAAGACATCTGTTGCTGAAGAATTAGCAACATTATTTTCCCCAACCAATGAATGGCCACTCAATCCTGAAATCTACCTGAAATGATTTTACGAATTCCAAAAAAAGGGATGTATGTAAAAGGATGTAATGGTTAAGGACTTGACCTCTTCACTGGCAGTCTGCAGTGGAAGGTAAACACAACAGTGTTTGTGTATTCGCAGCCACACTGCGGCCTGGATCGGCTCACCAGCACAGTGTCGCAGGACTCTAACCAGTAGCTCCAGTTCAGCGGTGGCGGCTGCAGGTTCACCGCGTGCAGCTCATTACGGGTCCCAGTTATGTGCCAGCTGTGTGTTTGATGTCACTCATTACATCGGACAACAACCGCCCCTCTAGAAACACACACACAAAACCACTCAGAGTCATTAGGCCTATCTGGCTTGACCCCCCCCCCCCCCCCCTCCTAATCTCTCATACTCCTTTCTCTATACTTTTCTCCCTCCCTCCGGCCATTTCAGCCCGGACACTGATAGGATCCTTTTAATCTGGATAATACAGCGCTAAAGCACACATGCAGAGAAACACAAACACACACGCAGGCCTCTTACCTGTCCTCTCTCTCTCCACAAACCCACAAACAGTTTGTACAGTATGTTTACCTGCATATTTTGGATTTCGGCCCTATGTACACACAAATGTTCACACTCAAAGAGAGAAGTGGGTGGAGGGGGAGTAAGTGGAGGGCAGATTTATGTTTTGGTCTCTTTCTGAATGGAAACTTTTGTTCGACTCTCGTGTTTGCCGCTCTGCCAACCAGCCAATACTTCACTTATGGAATGAGCGGGGAAACGTGTATTTGTAGCCGCAGAGGAAGACATCGCAGCCCGACCTGGCACCCACACGCTGCACTCTTTCCTCACAAACACATACGTATATGTTTAGCAAACGGCCAAATCAGTCACCGTCTTATTGTTTCTGCGGCGCATTTATATGAAAGCAACTGCTATGAATTTATCCATCTGCTCATAAGCTGCTGGCAGGTGACCGAATCTCCTCAGAGCCCGAGTGAACTATGAGACTTTGAGGATTTATACTTTAGGCTCAGAGGAAGGAAACTCAAGAGGCCGCAGCTCAACAGACTTAGTTTCTGGGAAGAAATAAGTCCCTCCGTATATTTTTGATTTTGCATTGGCAATGTTTTTGCTAAATTAAGTACATCCTTAAAACAATGCAATGTTTCAATTATGACCGTTTTACAGAGGGGTTAAAGTTTCAGAGCAGTCATTTTTTAACCAGCCAAACTTTTTATTTTTAAAAAGAACATATTGGCCAATCATATTTTCATTTTAAAACTAAGACTACGAACTGTTTTTGTGGTCTCAAAACAGATTTGCTGCTCTGCTCAACCCTGAAAGGGTGAACCAGTTAACTCACAGACAGACAAGCCTTCCTAATAGCACAGTAATATACCACAAAAATATTCTATGAGCGCTTAAATGAATTTGATGGAAAATGTAACTACTATAATAACTACTACTATTGTGAAGTTGCAATAGTCAAGTTTCTCAAACGTCAATATTTGCCTGTAAGCTGAATTTGTGTTTTTGGTTCGGTTGGTTGAACAAAAAACAAAGAGCTGTTGAAATATTTTCACATCCAAACTTTTTGTTGACATGCTGTATGGAAAAGGGTCAATAAAACAATTCATGAAATTGAACTATTTTGTGATTAATTAATTATTCAATCATTGTCATTATTCAATACAAATATAGATTCAACTTCTCGATTCAGAGATTTTTCTTTAATTCTTTCCGTTCTCTCATATATCTCAATATCTGTGTTTGTGTCTATTTTTGTTTGTACCAGGTGACAGGCAGACGGTCCAGACAGGTGTTCGAGGCGGAGCCTGTGGAGGGGGTGTGGTCTGTGTGGGGGGAGTGGTCTGGCTGCTCGCAGACCTGTGGCGTGGGCGTGTCACAGAGGAGCAGGACGTGCTTTCCTCCCCCACCTCCCCTCTCCCACTCTCCACCCAACTGGGCAGGTTATGTGCCCGGGGGCATGGGCGGTCCTGTGCACCCGTACTACCCCCCTCGTTACCCCGGGCCACACCGGCCTTATCACTCCTCCTCCATCTCCGACAACCACAACCAAGGGGTGTCTCTGTATCGGAATACCAACCCTGGGGGAGGAGGAGCTCCTGTCCCGGGGCAGGCCAATCCAAACCCTCCTTTTTTCCAGCCCGAATTTTCCCCATCCGATCAAGACCATGCGTCCGTGTACCGATCGCCCTACCACGCTCCTTCTCACGGCTACAACCAGCCATCACGCACCATCAGGAGGCCGACCAATCCGGGGGGCGGGAGCAGAAGGTCTATCGGCCCAAATCGGGAGGGTTTGCCTATGAGGAGGTGAGTGAGACTGAACAAGAGAAGCAATCAATTAGAGAACTTCTCACACATATAAGTTCATCTTCATCCGTAAAAACGTTGCTGGTGTTCTCCAGGAAGAAGATTCTAGCAAAGAGGAAGTGAGTTTTCCCTTACTGGCCAAAAATTGCAGAAGGCCATAACCTCAGAGAACTGTGTCACAGCCTCTATGACTCATCAACCAAACGCCACCAAACTAAGTGATTCCTCAGAGTGCACATGCTCAGGATCCATTCCGTTGGTCAAAGTGCCGACGTTGATTCAGTATTAGAGAGTTTGTTATGATGTTTTGAGTGTCAGAGGTTGGAGTTTTGCCCATATCTGGCGTGTGCTGTGCTATTAGATCATTATCTCTGGCTTTTGTCGTACCAACAGGCACTAAGTTACCTTGCCACTCGATGTCGGTTAGGATTATGTTGGACAGCTAACGTGAAGTCCATCTAAAATGTATCCTGTTTTACTGTTTTGTTCATTTCTGCCACTGCCTCTCGATCCGCCTGTAAGTCTTCCTCACTAAAAATACTTCTTGCTTCTGTCTTTTTTTCGACTCGCAGGTCTTCCGACATCCGTCCCGGTCAGTTTGGGTACGGCAGGGTCCCGTTCTCTCTGCCTCTGCACCGCCCCAACCGGCAGGCTCGGCACACTGTCAACGGCACCGGCGCACAAACGTCCGCTGCGCCCAATGAAGACGACGCAGAGAACAACGCGAGCCAGGACAAGGAGACGCGGAGCGAGGGAGCGAAGAGGAAGCCAGCGAGACGTGACGTGGAGGAGGCGCTTGAGAAGCCTGTTGCTGAGGAGGTTACCACGACAACCGCCGCAGCTGGAAACCCGCACCGCCACGTTGGCCACTGGCCGCAAACCAATACGGAGCACGGGAGGGCAAGAGAGCGAGCCCCGCCTCCTCACTTCCTCTCACGCTCTTCCTCGCCACCTCTCCTACCCAACCGCCACAGGTTTAACTGGCACTCCGTCACCGCGCCGCCTCCTCCCGTCCCTCCGCTCTCCCGCCCAAACCCCGCGGCCGTCGCGCCACCCTTTTCGCATCCCCTCCGGCGCTCAGGCCCCGCGCACAGAGAAAGGGAGCTCGAAGCGGGCTTCGGCCCCCACGTCCCACCCACCGGCGACATCTACCCTCTGCAGCACACCCGCAACCCACACCTGGGGGTGGAGTCGGGCAGTGATGGAGGAAGAGCTGCTCCTCAGGTCTTCAGATGCTCTGGGCCGGAGAAGGAGTACCGCAGGTGCTTCTCGCAGGTAAGGCCTTCCCCCAGGGGGAGAAAAGTCATTATTCCCCTCAGCCCACTGGCTTCACGTCATATCAATCATCTCAGTAGTTCACTCTCACACCTGCTTCTCAGCTCCAACTCTGCTCGCCGCGTGGTGGAGGGAGCAGTTGGGCGGGGCGTAAAGTTGAAGGTCACCAGAGTGTGTTTGATAGGTAGATCATTTCCCAGCTCCAACACTACCTTGGTGTCTTTGGGCAATCAGATGGAAACTCACTGCAACTCCCTCCGCAGCCCCGAGGCGTGTGTGTATTCTGGGTCGCAAGCAGAATACACACCTCCGTTGTGAAGCCTCACGCGGGTCTTTGCGACTGATTGCACATACGCGTGGGAAGTAAAACTAGCCAGAACCAGCGTGAATGTGTGTGTGTGTGTGTGTGTGTGTGTGTGTGTGTGTTTAGGCTTAATGTTCTGTCTGTCTCAAGGCCTGTCTGGTGACATTACCTTGCGGCTCCATGGCTGTCAGTGCGAGATTCAAAGTCTCCACTCGCAGGTGAGGGGCTGAGACGGGGGCAATAACTCAGGTTTCACTATGACAGGAATGCCACGCTTGATTTCACTCAATTAAATGTGAGACTGAGAGTGAATATTGGGGATGGAGAGTTTTTAGTGATCGGGCATGTTGCACGGAGATTGTTTTCACACTCTTCTTTTTATTTATATATTAATATGTGGTTTATGTTTGCGCCGTAGATTTTTTTTCTCAAGACATTTTTTAGCAGGCACCGGTCCTCGCAATAACTCATACGTGCACATTTCCCCCCTTATTTTTTTAAATGGCTGCTTTAAATTAACAGCATGTTCTCACTTACTTTTCAATCCTCTATCAATCAACCTTTGTCCCTGGAGAGCAACAACCTGTGGAAAGCCAATGATTTCGTGCTTGACTACATTTTTTTTTCCAAGCACAAAAACACCTGTGAGATATCACACATGGAGGGACAAATGAATGGAATAAACAGGAGGAAACTAAATCACAGCCCCTTTTTAAAGATTTGATCTTGGGGACAAAAATACACTTGATCCACTTGCAGCAGGGCTGTTGGTAGAGACGATAAGAGCAAAGTTAAATAACACACACACACTAACAGACTCATACATTTTCAATCTCACACGTTTCTTTTTTCCACTACTGGCTCTAATCGAGTGGAAGTTGACACTTGAATCTGGCGCCGGGTTGGCACTCACGGCTCTTGACTTTTCTCTCTCTTTAGATAATTTGGCAGGCTCCCATGCCCTCTTTCACCCCCCCGCGCTCTTTCTTCTTTTCTGTCTCCACCCGGCTCTGTGTGATGGTCTCCGTGTAAAAACAGATTTAGTAGCTGGCAGAGGACTCGCCCTGTGTGTGCCAGCGGCGCTAATGGCGGCCCTGTGACGGCTCAGCCTGACTCATTGCGTTCCATATTTACCCAACATCAGCCTCTGCTTCAGCCTCCTTTGCTCCTGCAGAGGCCACTTTTTTAAATATCCATAGTTAAAATATCGGTTTACGTTCTAATGAACGCAGGACTTTGCTCAGGCTTGTATGTACTGTATACATGTGTGTGTGTGTGTGTGTGTGTGTGTTTGTCAGTGATTTAGGGCGTGAGCCAGACTGAGTGTGACACTTCCTATTATCTATTAGGTGTGTTTCTCATAACACAGTGCGCCCGAGGCCCATCACAAGTGTGATTGGCTTTGTGTGCGTGTTTTTACTGTTGCGTAGAAGCAAGAGGGGGAACCGAGAGAGGGACGCAGGAAATGAGGAGGGCAAAAGTGCACGTGTGAGTTAGAGTGAAGGAAGTGACGCAGTTAAGTATTAGTGAAAGAGAGCACTGTTTTTAGAAAATGTGAGTAGTGGGAGGAAGAGCTATAGGGGCGAGGGGAGAGAACACTTCGGGGGTGAGGCCAAGAGGCCAAGAAGAAATTGAGATGAAGGCTAGTGAAGACGAGGGTCATGTTGTCTTTGCAAGGACGGAGACGGTCCTGTGAGTGGAGCAGACAAAATAGAGAAGGATGGAGGAAGAAAAGAGGAAGTCAGGTTCAGAGGAAAAGAGAGATTCATGGAGTGTGTGTGTGTGTGTGTGTGTGTGTGTGTGTGTGTGTGTGTGTGTGTGTGTGTGTGTGTGTGTGTGTGTGTGTGTGTGTGTGTGTGTGTGTGTGTGTGTGTGTGTGTGTGTGTGTGAGCGCAAAGTGTAACAAGAGAAGTTATTCTGTCCGAGGGGGGAGGAAAAGGTGGAATTTGGAAGAAGAAAGAAAGACAGACTCACCAGCTTGAAGTAGACACTTCACATAAAGACGGAGCTTTACTCCTCTTCCGTCCTTTCAATTCACAATTCTTTGATGGTCATTTCCTCCCTCTCTGACCTCCTCTTCGGAGTAAATATTTGCAAAGGATCACTCGCAGTGCCTTCTTTTCCAGCTGCATGTGAGGCGAGATTTCAGATGGATGTATTTTACAGTCACACAAAGTGTTTAACAAATACATCCATGGGGATTCTCTATTTTCCAGATGGATTGATCGCTGTGATTGATCGCTGGGCCTCCTGAGCAGATATAATACCTCCATAAACATGCAGGACTATAACTACGCACTCCAATGTCATCGATCTGGCTCCTGTCGCCATACCTGAGGAGTTTGTGTTGTGACCACAGGGCAACGTGGCTTCAGGATGCCGCATAATTCAAATGAACAAATCACAGTCTGTCATTTAACAGGCGTTTATACGAATTAAAGATATTATTACGGCTGTCAGCGCGCAGCCAAACTCTTCAACTTTAATATCTGCGTGCTGTTATTACGCTAACAGCTCCCACGAAGTGACAAACCGGCCCAGGTGTTTTTACTGAAGCAGACACGCAAACACATGGAAGTATTCATTTCTTTAGTCATTTCCCAAACAGAAGCACCTGCTTCTCTTCAAAAACCAGGTACCTGCTTGTTAAACATTTGAACAGCTTTAGTGAGTTTTCTCTCTTTCATCTGCTTATTCAGGAAACAGGGAAGCAGCCTGGTCTGTTAAAAAGTTTTTAAAAATTCACTAACCAGCAGCTCTGAAGCTCATTAATCAACATGTTTGATCATGCTTGTCTAATCTACACAAAACCTGTTAAAACAGAAAGAGAAAATAGGCCTTTTCCTGAATGTAAAAACAGTTTCTCTATCCATGAATCAAAATCTTCTCATTTGGCTTCCTGACATTCCTGATATTTTGGCAATGACACTGAGTCAAAGGTCTGGAACATTATACAGATAACACAACATATGCCACACAATCAAGAAATGTGACACACAAACATACAAAAAGACCACAACATTGGCAGTTGGAGGACGGAGCAAACTGCTCAGCAATGACTTGTCCAACTTTTGTGAAAACTTTGGATCCGGATCCAGCAGCGTTTCATTTGGACGACTCCCGACTTCCCTTCCTCAGGGTCGAGTCGCCCCCCCCGAAGCGCCGACACACGACCTCGGTCACAAGATTAGCCGGAGAATGTTAATCGCTGAGGACAAACACACACGCACACATCTTCACGCATGTCACGGATTCGTGTGCTTGGATCCTGTGATTAGTTCTGGCGTGTGGAGCGTGTTGATTTATGGCCTCGGGGGGCGATCGGCCACTTGTTGTTTGTTTCTGAGTAACGTCGCAGTAATGCTGCAGGAATGGCCGGCCAGCCTTAACCTGCGTCAGGTACTGCTCTCGATGCGGCCGGCTGTGCAGGCGCAGACTTGCACGCAGAATGCCGACGTTTCACCGGGGCTTTTCCCTCCGGAAGCACACACACATGTGCTGAAAGGTTCCCGCTTTTCCTCCAAAAAAAACTCATTAGTTCTGCCTGGGCCGGTGTTTGTGTTTCACGCAAGAGTGTTATGTGCAACCGGGATTGACTGGCGCATGTTTATACGTGTGTGTGTGTGTGTGTGTGTGTGTGTGTGTGTGTGTGTGTGTGTGTGTGTGTGTGTGTGTGTGTGTGTGTGTGTGGCATTTCTGTGTGTGTGTGTGAAGAACAAAGCTTTTGGCCCTCGAGCAGCAACCCGGCCCCCCCACGCCCCTCTTCTCCTTCACATGCTCCACTATATATCGCCCACAGGCCTTTTTCTCTCCTGCCCCCCTCCCCGCTAGTAAAACACATCTAAAACTTACACAGCTCCCGGACAAAAACAAAGACCGTCGGTTTCCTTTCACCTGCTGATGTCCACCGTTCACGCTTTCCACGTGTCGGTCGGGGGGCGTCTTTCACTTCTGGCGACCTTACCGATTGTATTTCAGTTATGAGAATGCTGGTGGGAGGAAAGGTGGGTCTCAGTTTACTAGTTTTAGCAGCATTCTCATTGACAACAAATCAGATACAACGGAGCAAGAAAAACGACAAACAAATCCATGGGTCATCTTGACTTATTTGTAAGAGAAAACCTTGGTAAATGTTTTTGACTTTCAGTGGAAACATCCGATCCAGTTTACTCTGGTCTTCCTGTACAGGATTCTTATTAACGTTTTGGTTTCGCTCACTTTGGGTTTTCCCTCTAAAGTGGTTTAGTTTACTCTGACTAACTTTTTACATGCTGTTTTAAAACTAAAAAAGGACTTTGTTGTATTTAACTATTTGTCATTCCTTCAATGAGCCTGATGTTATCTGATTGATTACCATGTTGGGGTCAATACAGTGACCAAAATAACATATAAACAAACACATTTTTATAGATTAAGTCATTGCCATTCAAATATGCACTCTATGAGTACACAGTTTTTTTCATTGCTGCACCTTTTTCCACAGAAAAAAACCTTTTTAATTTAACAAAAGAATATTAAATCCAAGGACAATCATCCTTGCAAAATGAAAAAACATTTGGATTGATACAATTTCTGTAACCGGCATTTGGATATTCTGTGTGCTTGTGTTTTGATTTCTCCCCACATGCCCAGACTCATCCTCGCTACCTTTCCCTCACCCCACATCACCTTCCTCATTCACTGTCACCCCTGTCTTTAAGTATTTTACTCTCTTGTATCCCTCCCCCCTGCTCCCTGTCATCATCACTCACTTCTGTTCACAGGTTAGACCCCCCTAACCTGCACTCATAGGAAAGGAGGGATCACCAAGGAACACCAGACATTCTCCTCCACCCGCGGAACACCCGTTTTTACTCTCACTTTACCTCCCCTCCCTCCGTCTTCCATTAGCCCCCCGGTGTTTTTACAAACCCTAGACTCTCTTTTGGGGGGAGGGGTGCTGCGTAGCGTTCATACGTCCACCAATGCATGAAGACACACACTTGACTTTCACTTGGCATTCTCTCATTTGCTTGTACATTCCTCTTGTCTTTGATGGAAGCCCCTTTCTTTTTACTTAGGGGTGTGTCGCATAGCTGCACAAACACTGTCCTTCTGTGTGTGGGGTCCTTGATGTTGTCCTCTGACCGTTTATGGTCTCACAGCCACACGCACAGACACACAGACCGTCTCCAGTCGGAGATGGGGCCAAATATGTGTACGTCCTGCAGAAATATTTACAACCATTACCAAACACATTTCACACACACACACGCACGCACACACATTCAGGCAGATTTAGAGGGTTACTTCTAACATCAGGTCACATAACTGCAGTGACCCTTAATCGCCCACCTCCGTATTCAGCGGATGTGGCTCAAACACACACTCTGGTATCGGAGGCTTGAAGCGGAATACAACTTATCGCCTGTAAACAACACAAAAACAACACAAAAACAAGTCTGTTTTGAGCGCTGGAAAACTGTTGCGTAGCGTGTTACGTAATGTTTAATGAGCTGGTTTCACACTCAACGAGAAACAAACAACAGATGATCCTTGTGAGGGCCTTGTGACATTACAACGACACACAATCATTCACTGTCACACACACAGTGACAGTGTGAATTTCAGCAGGGACATTGAGTGCATTCTCTGAAGTTGTATCCATTAATGTCTTTTAGTTACACTTTGTCCCAGAAGCTTGTTCACATGGGAACTGCTGGTCTGTGTACGTGCATGGGTTTGTGTGTGTGTGTGTGTGTGTGTGTGTGTGTGTGTGTGTGTGTGTGTGTGTGTGTATTAACTTAATCCCTTACTCTTGTCTCCGTAGACGAGTGACTAGAAACTTTCCAGCTGTTTGTGACAGCTGGGAACGTGGATACGGATCCACACAAAAAAAAACAAAAGACAAGAGGCCCGAATCAAAGAAAGAGAGTGAAAGACAAGATGATTGTGGGGCTGACCGAGATTATCATTCTCGAGCTTTGTGAGAGCTCTGTGTGCAGCATGCAAGAGTGTGTGTGTGTGTGTGTGTGTGTGTGTGTGTGCGAGTGCGTGTGTGAGCCAGCTGCATATCAGAGGGCGTTCAGACAGGATGGCTCTGCCTTTCAACAGTAATGATACCCGACAATGTGCGTCTGTGTGTGTGCGTGTGCGCTCACCTATTTGCACGGGGGGAAGTAGAGAATATATTAATATCCCATTATAAGTAAGATTCCTGCATCCAACAACATAAATGTACTTAAACACATGTCGTGTACAGCTGCATGAGCAGCTCCGTGCGGCTAATTTGAGCTTTGAGCTAAATGCTACGGCTAGCACGACAATGCTAACACACGGGTGTGGACAGTAGCAGAGAGACTGGGGCCACGTGAGGTACGGACCAGCAGAGTTGTCTCCGCCTGATGTTTCAGCTGTCTTTGAAGCTAAAACTATTTCCACTGTACGCTCCATAAGGACTCAAACGAGCACAAGCTGGACATGCGCTCAGGCACGCACACACACACACACACACACACACACACACACACACACACACACACACACACACACACCACATTCTGTGGTCATGCACTTAAAAGCCACGTTGGATTGATGTGAACAGCCGCTTCCAAAAAATCTATTATGTCCACATGGTTCTAATATTGTACACTCACCGACGGCCAAAAGCAGCACGTAGTCTTTGTGTGTTTTCTGTGCTTTTGTTTGCGTTCGCTTCCATGATCTTGGAATGAATTTAATGAATTCATTCATTCCTTCTTTATCAGCTGCGTTTTCTTTTGCCGTCTTTCCTCACAACAGCCCACTGCGGCCGCGAGGCACAGCCGGCAGTTTATTGGCTGGTAGATTTCGTGGCGGTTCAATGTGTGCATTTTAAACTCTCCTCCTGTTTCTGTGCTCCAGGTGTGTGAAGGCGGCGCGTTGGAATCCAGAGCCGAGCAGTGTGCTGCCTTTGACACCCAGGAGTTCATGGGTCGCCTCTACAACTGGGAACCTTTCACAGAGGGTGAGGACTGAGTTCACACACACACACACACACACACACACACACACACGGTAGTTAAGGGTTTAGCTGCACGGTGCTTCAATTTGATAATACGCTTACTGTGAGAAGGAAATGCTAGGAGAGGGGAAAGGGGCCAGGCTTTAAAAAGTGTTTGTAAAAATGTGTGATTAAGTGAGTTAAACGTTGCTCTGGTACAAGTGTGCGTTGGCAGTCCTTTCGCTGCATTCCCATCCCACCGCGACCACTCCGCTCGCTGGCCTCAGCGTCTGCGAGTCGAGAGGAGAAGAGAACGACGAGAACTCAATCTGCTTTTGTTCTTTGCACAAAACACATCTCCCTCGTCTCATTTTCCTCTCATTTGTCCAACTCCTCCCGTCCTCCACGGCCAAGCTTCTCCTCCCAGCTCTGACGGAGCACACAGATTCCTACCCGGTGAGATAAAGACAGAAGGAGAGAGACAGAGAAGGAGAGGTGAGAGGTGATGGGACGCGAGTGTTTGCTCATGTGACCAGTGGCAGCAAAGAGAGACAACGCGGCAAAGGGAGACAACGCGGCAAAGGGAGACAACGCGGCGCGCGCGCGTCTCTGTTTCTCCGTGCGCTATTTTGTTTACCTTTGGTTTAAAGTGCACAATTGTTCACCGTCTGTTAATCTTTGTTTTCAAATGCTGGAGGGAAAAGAGAGAGAGAGAAAACACTAAACAGATATTTAAGGAATTTGAGAGCAAAAGAAGAATCGTGGGTTTAGGGAGTGAGCGATGGGGGAGACGGGGGAGAGTTTAGAGAAACACAGCTGTCTGATGATATCGAGCGTATTTGTTTGTTTGCGTCTGTGTATATACAGTATGAGAATATTGGCAAAGTGTGTTTGCTTCTACTGTAGATGAATGTCTTAATGGATAGTTGAGAAATGTTTATTCGTGTTTGTGTGTTCAGTGTGTGTGTGTGTGTGTGTGTCCACTTGTGATCACTGTATCAGCGGGCTGGATGTCCTCGTCACGCACACCGAGAGTGGAGACGCACTCGATCAGCAACGTCAACCGCCATGTGCAGTTTGGGCTTCACGCCGTCTTTAAGCACACATATCAAACGAAGACTCCAGAAGAACGACATGTTTACCACCAATCACATGATACTCCCGGATATATTTAAGAGACAACTACAATATCTCGAATGGTATTCAAATTCAAATTTTGCCCACTACAATGAGGCGACTCTGCAAGGGATAAGTGTTTGCATACGATGAATGGATTGTTTCCATAACAACACAGAGGGAGAAGCCCCTGAGGGACGTACTTATGCGTTTTAGTTAACCTTCAGGCCAGCTTTGGGAATGGAGGCATAGACGAGGTAACATCTGTAACCGGAGTCAGCGCAGAGGTATCAGCTGGAGTCTTAACTGCCTGAGTAAATACACAGGGGCCTCCCCCCCACACTTCCCGCTTTCTGTGTGTTTGTGAGGGGAAAGAGTGAGATTACTGCATTTATCAGCATTCTTTTTCTGTGTTTTGCGTCCTTGCCCTCTGCCCTCGGCCTTATTTTAAACCGACGTGTCCTTGAGATCTGCACAAAAGAGGAGAGGACAGGAAGAAAAGCATGGGAGACCTCTGAAAGGGGTCGCGTGCGTAAATCACGGCTCTGTATTCACTATGACAGCATTGAGTATTTTTGGGGGAGGGGGGGGGGGATGTCAGATGTCCCACGTGCGGCTGGTGATGAGGGGACACAGTAATGCATGTGTTATAAGGTATTTGCACATGACGTCAGCGGGGTCACTTGATCAGCGCTGTAGATAATCCTTTCCCACTCTGCTGAGTAAACTGCATCGCTCTGTTTACTTCAGTCCGGTCCCATTGGCTGCAACCCAAGTCTTCATATCTCGCTTTCCATCAATACACTGGAGGCTACACGCAGTCTGGCTGTGTGTGTGTGTGTGTGTGTGTGTGTGTGTGTGTGTGTGTGTGTGTGTGTTACGGCAATGAATGGTGTGTTAGTCATTTTTCTCCAGCTGCAGCCATCTGTTTAGGACTCGTACCAGACTGCACATATAAGTATTAATGTTAAACCGTCAGCTCGTGCTACTAGAGCGGGATTTACTTATTTCTTTGCCTCCAAGGTGAAGTCCCTGTTATGTATGAAGTGCAAAGTGTTGTGGCCTTTGGTTTCAAACTGGAAGCTTAAACTTTAAAGCTGCCACCGAGTTATAAACCGCTGAAGGGGATTGATTTTAATAGCGTCGTTTCCCCTCCGGAGCTCAGCCCTGAATGAAGCCACCTCCAGTTGTGTAAGCGCTGCACGTGCAGGTGTTGTTTTACTTGAATATTCCCTTTTTTTTTCCAGGCCTCATCCCCATTCTGCTCACCCATCCTCCCCTCTTCCTGTCCCACTGCCTCTCTCTTTCTCTTTCCCCGTTGGAGTTTGTTTAGACGGAGAGATAGTGGGGAAGTATATTCAGACAACATAAGCTCAGAGAGGGAGGGAGAGAGAGAAAGAGAGGCCCGAGATTGGAGCGAAGAGAGGAACAGAGAAGCCGCATCAAGTAGCAAGGGCCAAATGAAAGATAAAGGTGCACAAATAGAGGGATGATTAAGGATGATTACGAGTTGGACAGGCGGCAAATGGAAGCATTTAGAGAGAGAGAGAGGCAGAGTGCATGAGTGACAACATGTCTCCCCCTCTCTGCTCTATCAGTGTCTCCAGTCTAATCTGTCAAAGATAACTATGACGGACGGAAAGAGAGAACTGGGTGGAGAGAGAGCGACAGAGAACTGCCTCCCTTTCTCTTTCTTTCTTTCTTTCTAAATATGTACTGTATGTCCGTCTCGCTGCAACCATCAGACAGCAGCAATGGAATAAGCACGTCAGAGTAACAATAGAAATACATTTTTGAAGGGTTTTAAGTTGTTTAAATCAGAAACAATGCTTCATTCTTATTTACTTCACTCTTTTTTTTCTTATTTACACTATATAGTTTCCGCTATATATTGTTTCTTTCTACTAGGTTCATTCGGACGTCCCAGAGAAATACTCCAAGCATCTAATTCCTGTTTCCTGCTACAAACCATGAAATGAAGAACATCTTGGCTTTGAAAGAGCTTTGGGTTATTTGCTGATGACTGCTTATTGAGGCGGTCCTACAGTAAAACAATCTTCAGTAGTATTATATGAAAAGAAGTTGGCATTGATTTGATACCAGAACAACACTTTAACTATTATCAAATGTAAAAGGTGTTTCACCAAAGAAACCCTACTTTTGTAACGGATTTAAGGATTATTCAACTATACAACTGTACAATTGTTGGACCACAAGGTTTCATGCTGTTCATGTGTATATATTTAACATTTGGAAGCATGACTCCACAGGGAGAAGTCACAAATTCAGAAGCACAGAATGTGTCCTTTAACCCCTGACCCCTTACTCGGGTTTGGAGCTCATGTTTATAGCTCCATCTCACACACACACAAACACGCACACACACAGACACACACCAGCCCAGCCCAAGGCATTTAAACTCTGTAAGACCCCCAATCCCTCACCTCAAAGAGGATAATGAACAGTTGAGCAGCTCACTGTGCCTTCCGGTCTTTATCACCTGTTTTTTTTAAAATCTTTTCATGTCTTCTTTAAAGGAATAGTTGACATTTTGGGAAATGTGCTCTCTTGCATCCTTATGCCAAGAAGATTATTTACCTCCCTCCTTGAGAAGATTGAGGAATTTAGAAAAATGCTCCATAATAACATTGTCGGACTCAAAACGTTCAGTTGTTACCAAATGACTGCAGCAGAACACTTTAGACTCTTTTATCAAAACGCTCCAACATAATCCACATTGCAACGCGGCGGTTTGTTTTGAGTTTGGGGCGTGTGGAGCTGCCTCAGGCCCTGATGAGTAGTGTATAGTGTATATATGAGCAGAGCATAGCTGATTATAGACACAGGGAGAGCCTGAATTGGTTCAACCTCTAAAGTCCACTATCAAATGCTGTGTAGCCTGTTGGTTTTGTGTTTGTAGACCCGCGAGGTGTAAATATTACAGACATCCGAGTAATACCTTCTTATTTCATGCTCAGAAAGAAACAAGATGATGAAGTGTTCCTTTGAACCTGCTCATTGTTGCACTCAGACGTTCTTCTCCTGTTCTTCTACTTTCTCCTAATGTATTGCCCGGACCCCACCCCCTTACCCTGTGAGATCATCTGTATTCTCTACTCGAGCCACTTCTCTCCGTACTGAAGGTCTTCAATTTCCTCTTTTCCATGAAGCTGTCTACCCCTTTTCTCTTATTCCTCCCATCTGTTCTATTTTTCGTTGTCGATCTGTACCTGCTGTGGGCGCCCATCGGGTTCTTCTCATAAATCAAACCGTCCTCGGGCTCATGTTTACACCTCCCCTCTGGATATGTAGCTCCTGGGAAAGAGCTAATCGCTCTGGTGCTGTCCGACAGTCGGGGGGCCCACATGGAAAGACGTTCACCGCTCGGCCGGGTCTTCTCAGCGCCAGGGCGGATGCAGAAAGGCTCCTCTGTGCTGCAGCCGTTGTGCTGGAGACTCATGCATCAAAGCGATACGTTATGCAATGATCTTCCTTCTCTCCGTGCCTGTGATCTCCAGTTGGTGCAGACAAACAGTGCGAGCTGACCTGCAGGCCTTCGGGCTATCGGTTCTACGTCCGGCAGGCCGAGCGCGTCACAGACGGGACCCCCTGCTTCAACGTCAGCTCCAACGACGTGTGTGTGGAGGGCCGATGTCTGGTGAGTGCACTCGTACGTGCATGTGAGGTGCCTGAAACGGAGTCCATCCCGTCTAGCCGGTGTTGACGAGATCCAGAACCTCTCCGCCTCGGGCTGATTCAAGCCTGGCATTCAGATTCAGAGTAGCTCCCATCTTTCTTTCTTTTTTATTACCCTGCTCTGGGCCTCTGCTTTGCATTCCGTGATTTTGGCTTTATATCGCACTTCTGCTTTTGGCATTAATCTGGGACGGCAATAGTTACCAATTAAATAAACAACGGTGAAATAAACACTGGCAGTGGACGCGAGATTTCAACCATATCGGAATAGCTTTTCTCATCTTTGTTCCCTCCCCTCCTCCCACGTCTCTTTTGTTCCCGTACCCCCACTTCTCTCCCTCATTGTCTGACCCATCACTCACATCTTTTCACCTCCCTCCCCTGGCAGACCGAGGGCTGTGATGGGGCACTGGGCTCCGGCGCCGTGATTGACAAGTGCGGAGTGTGTGGCGGGCGGGAGAGCGCCTGTCGAAAGGTGACGGGAAGTTTCCAAAATGTCACGGTTCCCCTTGGTTACCACAAGATCCTGGACATTCCACCCGGAGCTACATTCATTAACATCACAGAAAGACGAGCCAGCCCTAATTACCTGGGTAAGAGCTAGAAGACACAAACCAAATCATGCACACACACACACACACACACACACTTTAAAGGTTCTTACGTAATAACAGTTGGAGCACCAGTTAAAGTGAGATGTTGGAACGGAAATCGTAGATCTGGTCATGAGATTTAGCCCACGAGCATGTGTGTGCTTGCTCAGATCAATACTGTAAATGTCGTGGCCCTACGAAGTCCAAGCAGATAAAGCTTGTAATGTTGGAGCGCGTAAGAAACAAGTGTGTGTGCATGTGAGTTTTGAGTGTTGAGTGTGGGGTGTTTGGGTTTTAAGGGGTTTTCCTACGAATCCCTCTTATGTAGACTAAACAAGATCTAAATATGGATAAAAAACTCAAATACCATTTCGTTCCTCCTGTCTGCCCTTCTGACCCGCCGACCCCTTTTCTCCAGCCATGAGGAGCGGCACAGGGGCTTCAGTGGTGAATGGGCGGTGGGCTGTGGACCCTCCTGGGGAGTACCAAGCGGCAGGGACCACCTTCACCTACACCCGACCCAGAGCTCAGGCGCAGGGGGAAGAAGAGCAAGGCGAGTCGCTCGGGGCTCCAGGACCAACCACTACACAACTACAACTATATGTAAGGACAGTGTTTGCTTTAACCCTGTAAGCAAACATGGGAAATGTTTGCTTACAGGGAATGGCACAGTTTATTTAATGATAAGAATCACACGTAGACATATTTGTGTACACCAAGTTTTCTAGCATCTCTATAACATTGTTGCCAGCCTCCGGCTAGGATCCTTCGGATCGGCAGCGTTATTTGAGCATTATGGTGGGATAGAGACCGCTATACCAAAGCTCAGCCGCAGACTATGCAGGGCTCAATAATAACAAATCCAAGATCTTGTTAAAGAAAATAACTCATCTGCAGCTTTGCATGCAGAAGTCCAAGGGAAGGAGGGATTCACCTGCACTTTTACGGCTTTGACGTGATTCAGAACAGAAAGATAAGCAGTCCATAACGGCATTGGCAATGTGAGGGCGCATGGCTCATTACACGCTGTGAAAGAAATCGTAGAGCCTTGCGTCTGGTGGAAGAAATTTAAAACAGAAGTGTTTATTGGTAGTTCTCAGGTTACTTTTGCCTGTGCAGCACAAATCACAACCCCCGAGCTACACCCTTTGTTTGCTCTGAACTGCTTTACTTTGCTCCTGCTATCACATCAGTGTGTCAGCGGAGAGAGGTCATTTCCCTCTAATCTGTTGAGTACACAAGGTCAGCCCCCTCTATAGTTATTGAGATACGTCACTCTGGACCAAAGTGCGGCATTGACACAGAGCAGCTGCCTTAATTACATTGACATCTTCGGCAAAAAATAGCGGGTCTAAATGTTGCCATGGGGCCTCCGGCTGATTAAGTTTAGATGACCTTGGATGCGTTGCGTCTTGGGTGATTGTCCGCTTCAGAGTTTCAGAATAAGAGCGGGGACCAGCACACACCCCTCTGAGGCATCCTTGTGCGTGACACTGTTTCCCTGCCAGGGCCTCAGTGGCTCGTCCTGACATGATGCCATTTCTCGATGAGGATCTCCAAAGCTGTTTTAGGGTGTTTTCTTTTCGTTGGCCAGTTTTTCCCTCTAACATTGTATGTCTCTCACCCTGTTTTGCTCCCCAGATCATTTTCCACAAGGAGAATCCAGGCATCAACTATGAGTTTTATGTCCCCGTGGAGAAGAGGGAGGTGGAGAGAGAGAGGATGGTGGAGAGAGAGAAGGAGGCACCCCGAGAGAGGCCGAGGGAGCGAGAGCCCGGGAGGGCGCCCCTTCGCAGTACGTCTCTACTGTTTCGCTCACTTTTTTGACATCCGTGTTTTCTGCGAGTTTTATCCAGTAACACAGAGACCCACAGTCACGTTCAGCGCATAGTTGAGTCTTTTCAGTTGCAGAATTGAACCTAAAATTGAGCATCTCTAGATGCATTCTTTCCAAATTACTCAGGCAAACACTACTGTGAGCCATGGGAGTGATGGGAGTTGTTTATGGATTAGGAGGGGTGTGGTTGTGGGCCAAGTGGGAGGGATTGTTGTGCAAGAGTGTTTGCGTGTTTGTGCGTGACCTTGATGGGAAACCATCGGGTCCACGTGGTCGCTGCCATGAGACCCTGACCTCACCATGACATCATTGGCGTCTGACTCACTGCATCGTCCCAGTCTTGATATTTCAACATTCACGTTTTTCCTCTTTCTTCACTCTTGCTTGTTCTTTTCTCAACGTCTCCTTCCTTGCCTTTAGAAACTGTCTTAATGTCCATCTCCTTTCGTCCCCTCTCTCCCAGGTCCTCTCACCGTGTCCATAGAAGACTCTCCTCCTCCTCCTCCTCCTCCTCCCATTTCGGTCCCTTCTTTCCCTTCCTCCTCCTCCACCTCAGTGTTTTCCCCCCCCTCTTCGGGCCGACTGACACCTGAGAGGTCACGTCCTCGGGGCTCTGCGCCCAATAGGAATGCGCGGATCCCCCCTCGCACTGACCTGCCACCGGACACTCAGTCTCCCTTTGTGTGGAGGAGAGGAGGGCTCACAGAGTGCTCTGCCTCCTGCGGCAAAGGTCAGAGTTCATAAACCCCGTCTAATTTAAGTGGGATTTTTTATTTATTTTTACTCCATGCTTATGGTTGCTTTCTTAGGTCGCATTGTGTGGTGTCTCCCCCATGTGGCGTGTTTGTGCAGGTACAAGGACGTCCCATCACTTCTGGTGTTTCTCTCTTTGTAGGTTCTCAGAACAGAGTCATTCTGTGTACAAACCGCCACACGGACGAGGAAGTCCCGGAGAGAAAGTGTGACTCTGCAGCCAGGCCGGGTCCTGAGGAGGAGCCCTGTAACACACACGCCTGCCCTCCATTGTGAGAACACACGCAGTTACTTTGAATACTGTATATTACTTTATATTTGGCTCTTCAAGAAGAGAGATAAATGCAGTTTGTCTTTCTTATAGTAAGCTCATAGTTCACTGCATGAATAAGTCTTTTTTTCTTCCATTTTCATCTGCAAAAAAAGATCTGCCTGTTTATGTTTAAATATTTTCATTTACTTCCCTGCTATATTTAGCTTGAACATTTCCCTTTTTTTCTCTGTCCCTCGCTCGCTGTTCCTCTCAGCTGGGAGGCCAGTTCGTGGTCAGAGTGCAGCGTGTCATGTGGCCCCGGGGTGCAGCAGAGGCAGCTCCAGTGCAGGCAGAGCTTTGGGAACCGTTCCACCATGGTCCACCCGCAGCGCTGTGCCCACCTCACCCCACCCGGGTCCACACAGGCGTGTCAGCTCGGCCTCTGCTCCCACTGGGAGGTCGGCTCCGCCTGGAGCACGGTAGGTTCAACAGTACCGGCGTGCTACCGGGGGACGTGTCTGCTGATGGGTCTGTGGTGAGAAGAGGCCGAGCGATGCGTCTCACAATCTGAAAACAGAACAGCCTCAAAGCAAAAGGGGTTTCATTTTGGACTCATACTTTTAAATTGTGTCACTGCGTCTTTATCATTTATTTCAATAATTCCTTCATTGTATCACTTTTTATTCCTCTTTTGAATTCATATAATGTATTTATGCGTCTCTGTCTTCCTGCCCCTTCTGATAAAAAGAAATGATGAATTCATTGATTTTTGACCCACTTCATATTGTAATCAAGTAACTGGCTATGATGCGCTTTAATCTGTTTATTTGTTTTTTTTTTTTAATCATGGCTGTTGGGCTCCTCTCCTGCTTGTCACAGTGCTCGGTGGACTGCGGCGTCGGGAGGAGGACGAGGAGCGTGCGCTGCCTCAGCGATCAGGGCAGCGTGGTGAACGAGGAAGAGTGCAGCTCCAGGGCTCGCCCGCAAGGAAGTGAGGAGTGCAACATGGGGCCCTGCGTCACCAACTGGTACTTCACTGGCTGGTCCAACACTGTGAGCAACACACACAAACACACACACACACACACACGGAAGCAAAAAAGCGACCCACGTCCTCAGCACTTGACAGTAAGCCTCAACGTCATCTTCCGCTTTGTTCCTCAGTGTTCGGCACAGTGTGGCCCCGGGGTGCAGAGGAGGGAGGTGGTGTGTCTGACTCGAGGCGAGGTCAGAGAGGGTGGAGGAGGAGGGGACTGTGTTGGGGAAAAACCGGCAGAGATGAAGGCCTGCAACGGGGGTCCCTGTGTGCCAACAACCATGTGGTACAGCAGCCCCTGGACACAGGTAGGACTGAGGGAGAATGGATGAGACACAGACACGAATGGGCGAAGAAAAACAAGATTTGAATTTAGATTTGGTACGGAAATAAAAGGGCATTCGTATTGCAGTGACAGATCCAATAAACACAGATGCACTATTCTTCTTTCCAGTGTAATGTCGCCTGTGGGAGTGGATCTCAGCGACGAGACATCATTTGTGTCCAGAAGACGGGGAATGATTTTACTGTCGCACCGGCCCACGAGTGTGGTCATCTGGAGAAGCCCGCCGCGGTCCAGGAGTGCGAGATGGGAGAGTGCGAGCCCCTGTGGTTCACAACGGAGTGGAGCGCGGTGAGACGTGATGACGATGCTGAGGATGTGACGCAGCAGATGAAACCTGCAAATAGTTCATTTAACAAACCTTTAATTTACGCTCTCTTTACTCTTTTTTCTCAGTGCTCACGTTCCTGTGGAAAGGGCTTACAAATGAGGGAGGTCCGGTGTCTGGCACCGGACAGAAAGCACAGCCATGAATGTGATTTAAGCACCAAACCTGAACAGGAGCAAATCTGCAACACTATACCCTGCAGTCCACAAGTAGCAGGTGTGTGTGAGAGTGTGACCACAATATGTATGCATATGAGTCTCTTTCTCTTTTTACCACATAACCTCTCCTCCCACAGACGAAAACTGCCGGGACAGACATCCCAACTGCATGGTGGTGGTTCAGGCCAGGATGTGCGTCTACACCTACTACAAGACGGCCTGCTGCGCCTCGTGTACCCAGAGTGCTCAGCGTGCCAAGCGGCACTAACCCGCCAATCAGCACAGACAGCCCGGCTTGCGAGAGAAAGTCGAGGGTTGGGCCCAAACGAGCTGGTCGCCCCTGAAATCAGAAGTCTGGTAGACATGGAAAGGCCGGAGTAGACACACCGCCCGGCGGCGGCCGTGAGATGGCATTTCGCTAATTCCTCCTGATTTTTCAGGTTTAAACACTGTGAAAGCAGCCGGTTCCTTTTTCCAGTTCTCTGTGTTCGAGTAGTTTTGTCTTTTAGAACCACATATTCCACTGAGGGATCCGTTTACTCCTCACGTTAGCTTCAACACGTTCATAACATGTCGCAGGTATGAGTGATGCCTTCTCCGGCTGAGAGATTATAATGGAAGAGGACGCCGCTGCAAACAGCAAATTTAGCCTTTTGCTTTTTAATCAACAGCAACTTACAACAATGCAAACCACTAATTCTGAAAACAAACTCAAATAATTACCATTTGTGCCAGATACACTGTGTATGCTGTAGTGTACGGAACAGCTGCTGAGAAAGTGTTTCTGTACACTGCGGACACCCAACTAAGCTAGAAGGAGTTACAACATATATTGTACGTCTTTTTTTTATAGTTTGCCAAAAATGTTCAGCACAATATTTGGAAAGATGAACCAAAGGGGTGAGGTGAACATTGCAGTTTAGTGACCAAATATATCAGAGCGTGAAAGAAGTGAGATTCTTCCCAAACGAGGAGGATAATTAGACACGGAGAGTAAACAAGCAGCAGACTGCCAGTTGCAGACGTGTCTTTTTAATGAGGGCTGTTGGAGCCGTGTTCCAATCCACAGGTTTGAAGACTCCGAGGCGCAGTCGTGTTTTAACTCTTACACGACACCGCTCAGTAATAAGACAAAGTGATCATGTTGTACTTTTCTTCCTGTCAACAAATCCCACGAAAAGACGAAAACCAACAATGCGTCAGCCTCATGATGTAAATCTTTAGAAAAAAGGCTCAGAAATATATCATTTATTTTTTCAAACACTTTTTTATATTAGAAAAAATTACTCCAACAAGAAAAAGAGCGTTGTGGGCTGTTTTCCGCTGTGGTTTGACGCACATGTTTGTCTTAATGAAGGAGCGTAGCATCCAGTGCATACGTGTGCAATTTGTGGGAATTACTGACGGTAACAAAAATATAGAATAAGTCTGAAGTCTAAAACACGAGCATTTTTGCTTTTCAGTTGTAGCACCATGAATATTGTGCAGAGGCATGAAACATCTTTATGTCCAAGAAATGTATTTAAAAGCATGCACATCCTGAGAGGAAATTCTGAGGGTCTGACTGAAAATCGGTAGGAAATAGTGTTTGCACTCTAGACGATGCTTCCATTGACAATTAATGACAGCAGTAATCAATTAACTGTCCATGGGAACATTACTTAGTGCGAAGACTCTTTTCTCACCTCATCCTGATGTCTTCTCTGTTGTGCATCCGGCGTCACCTTCATGGGAAGAAACGATGAATCTGTCCTACTAGAGCAGGCGAAGCCGTAATTAGAAAACCCGTGTTGACTGAGAAAGCTGCTTTCATGTAATGATATTTTAATAAGTTAGTTAATAATACATATCAAATGCAAATAATTCTGCCACGACGTAAATGTTTTGCATTCTGAGGTGGCAACCTCTGTATGTGTGTGTGTAGGTCCTTTTTTTATACCTTTTCTGTCTCCTTCTCATATCGACTGATTTTACTTGGTTCTTTTTCTCTGCTTTTACCTCCCTAAGAAGACGTGCACACGCACACGTTACACCCGGCCCGCTCAAATGAGCGGAGTGTTTATGTTTGTCAGATATGTTTTAATGTCTATATTTTCTTGGAGCATAGTAAGCGCTTGTGTTTCGTAGCGAAGTGTTGCAGACCGCATTTAATCACATCTAACTGTCATATAACTGTTTTGCCTTTTGATAAGAGAATCAGTGACTTCCTGACGTTTGTGAGTTTTAGCTCTGTGCGTGTGTGTGTGGTCATTTATGTGTGTGTATGGTTGTGTTTTGTGATCCTTGCTTTGAACGCGTCGTTGTTGTCTAATCCCTTGTAGCTGAAAATGCTTTTTATATAAAAACAAAAGGATGGTAATTTATCTATTATCTAAAGAACATGTAATTTATTTTCTTGTTTTAAGAAGCTGTAGCAATTATTTTTGTTACCACCAGAGTATATAAGATTGTTATTGTTGATACACAGATGTTTTTTTTCATGCAGAAACAAAAAAAAAAGAAGTGTGGAAAGATTATTATTGCAAAGCTTCATTTTAAATAAAACAACACAGAAATCAAGTAGTGTCTTTTACTTTTGCTCAGTGATTAAAGGTGACGTAGTTTCCTCCAGACGGCGGCGCTGTTGCCTTGGTTTTCTCCCCATGAAGTGGCCTCTGGAGTTCATGTTAATTTGTGGGAGGACGCCTACATTGTGAAGTCAGAATATTGAATGAGCACATTTTTTTCAGGAGATATTTTTTTATTAATCATTGTATTTACTTATGTAACGCAGCTGTTTCTCGAGTACATCATCTGGAGAAAATGGCATTATAAAATCTATAATTAAATGAGACACACACACACACAGTGGATTTCCAACGTTCACATTACACATTATAAGAAATTACATAAATTTAGGAAATCCGTTAAAAAAAAACGTTTTTTTTCGTATTAAATGTATTCCATCATCAAGTTAAGTTGAGACTCCACAGCTGAATAAGACATTTTGCAACAAATGAAGGTCAGATGTGTCTTGAAGTGTAGGAGTGGCTGGAAATGTAAGAGTTCAATAAGCTGGGAAGAACAGTTTGGATGGTTAAAGGTTGTAACAACTTATATACTCAACTTTTTGTCGAAAGTGTATATGCTGAAATAAGAGCGGCGTGGGTGGATGCTTGAGAATCAAATGCTTTCCAACAGCATGCAGGGTGGAATCTTAATGCTATCAAAGTCTTATTGGCACTTAGGAGTTCTGCCTTGTAAAAAAGACTCCTCTGTGTGTTTATCGTTAACTTAGTATTTCGGTATTTATTGCATTTTAGACAATTGTTTCAGGCTATTGATAAAGCACCTTTTTCAAAATTCCACAAAGCCCTAACTGCAGAATCGGTACTACAAGACACTAAAGAATATTTACATGAAGGTGTAGTAATAGTCTTCTCTTGTTAAACAATAATTCGGAGTGGCATGAACCAACCTCGCTGCCCTTTATGTGCGTTGGAGCTGTTCCTCCTCCGCCGTGCAGGGGAGGGGGGGGGGGGGGGGAGGGTTTGCCGCTCCGGCGGCGTGCTGTCTGCACACCGCTCACGACCCCCCGGGGCGCCGCTTGCCTCCTCTGTCGGTGCCGTTCTTGTGAGAAAGCCCCTATATAGTGTGGCCAGATGACATGCGAGTGCGTGTGTCTTCGCGCGCGTGTTTGTGTGTGTGTGGGAGGGGTGCAGCGTATATGGTGGATGAATCTGGCGGAGGATATTCTAGGCCTATACCGGCCAAGTGAAACAGGCAGATGGTGACCTTTTGGAGTAAATTACCATGAACCCTGTAAGTCTCTCATTTCACTCGTGCGACTACCTTACAAGACTCTCTGCAAGCACGCACACATCAACGGTAATTTAGAGAAGAAAAAAATATATATTTTGCTATTTTGTTTGGCGTCAAAATCGGACGCCGCTTGCTGTTGTTTCTCAGTGAAGCCCAATGTCGGCCGGTTTCCCACAGTACAGGTTGTAAAGTAGGCCAACTCCGTCCCCGAGCCATCGCTCCCTCTCCCTGTCACACGTTTCACTCCGCGTGGGGGTGTGAGCGCGATTTTCGGGCTCGAGCGTGAACAGCTGTAGCGGTCGTGACCGCGTGCTCGTGGTCGGCGGCGCGCTTCGGGCTTCACGTCAAGAGGCATCGTTTCAGCACCAAGGCCAGAGCTCGCGGCTCAGAACAATAGGCGGCCTCGCGCAACGGTGTAGCCTGGGGACCGCGTAAAAGGGTTTCACCAGCAAAGCGTCGCTACGGGAAATTGTTAAAGAAAAAATACAGTTAACCTTTGAACATTATTCAAAATGTAGTATGGAACAGCTCGCAGCACTGACTTTAACTGGCGGTGACTCAGAGGACGCCTTTGTTGCGTTTTATTTTATTTTTCGTTCGAGCGAGTTCGACATCTTTATTGAGCGTCCCTGGGTGTTACGTCACACGCCTGCCAACGCTTCGGCGAGAGGAGGGGGAGGGAGAGAGAGAGAGAGTCAAAGAGACACCGGCGTTGGACGTGAAAAGCCATCCCGCCGTTGAACGGGTGAGACGCACCAAGAGCACAGAGGATAGAACAGAAAAAGAAAGTAGGACTCACCCCAATCTACGGTTAGAACAATACGGGCAAATACTGTTGTTACCCGCGTTTTACGTGTTTTCACTGTTAGGAAAACAAGAGTGCGCGTTGGTGAAAGTTACGTTAGATCGCGAGCTGGATTTTAGCAGTCGAGGGGGACATCTCAGTGGGACCGGGGACAAGCTGTGGTTTCAGTCTCACCTGCGTGGACTCTTTACGTTACTCATCCAACTTCACACCTCCAGACCCGGGGAACACCGGTGTGAGGGGGAGGGAGGAGGGGGCGTAAAAACACAACCGAGCCTCTAGTAGCCGTACACGGAAGAGGAGGAGGAGGAGCAGGAGCAGCAGGAGGAGGAGGAGGAGGATAGTCCGACTGGCACAAAGAGCGGAGAGCATCCACAGAGCGAGAGAGGGGAGGAAGGAGGACGGGACTGAGAGAGAGAAAGAGAGAGAGAGAGAGAGAGCGCGAGAGAGAGGGGGAGAGAAAGAGAGAGCGCGCGCGGCCAGGACAACAACGGGGACCCGACGGAAAGCATCCCGCTTCAGACGACCCTCTGCCCGCAAGCATCCTCCCAACAAGCAACGGTAAGAGCGTTTCTCCGTGTGGTTTGGTCGTGCGTGCGTGTACGTGTACATTGTGTGTGTGTATGTGTGGGGGGGTCGGACAAAGAGCCAGGGAGCCCCACGACATCCGTGTGTGTATGTGTGTATGTGTGTGTGTGCGTGTGTGTGTGTGTGTGTGTGTGTGTGTGTGTGTGTGTGTGTTGTAACCTACAGCTGGCTAAACAAAGAAACCGCTCTATTGCCATGATTTACCCCCCAATCACGCTGTTTCCTCTCTCTCCTTTTTTTATTTCTAGAGATCCCGAACGCCGCTTCTCCACCAAAAGGTAATGAATGGCCAAAGATATTTTCGATATATATATATATATATATTTATATAATTGGAAAGAGGGAAAGTTCCATCATTGTTTTTTGATTGGCTAATTAACATTTGCATAATTGTTTTACCAGAAGGTTTTGGGGCCCTTTGTCGTCAGGGTAGACAATAAATACTCAAACTGATCAAATTTTTTCTTTATATCTTTAAATAATTGAGGGATATATTTTATAAGTTAAGAGCATATTGGAATAAGAAAGTTGAGTCAATATATATGGATTTTTATGTATTATTAATATAATTGTATTTGTACAATTATTAATGTAACAAATTACATTTTTTAAGCAGCCACCCATGGGTATATTGCTCATTTTATTGTGATAACAGTATAAAGGTCTTAGACGTGTAAGAATTACAAATCCATTAGTAGGGGAAATAAATAAATACCATAAATGGATCATGGATCATTGTTTCTGTGTTTCAACTTCTCTGGCTGTGACCCAACGACTCACCCAGCATTGGTTGCTCCTCTCCAGGCATACTTGCTCCTGTTCTGTTTACCCCCCCACCCCCTGCAATACCCAGTCCTCCTCTCCGCTCCGTCCTGATGAAGGAGGCCGACGCCATCAAGCTGTTTGTGGGGCAGATTCCCCGGAATCTGGAAGAGAAGGATCTCAAGCCTATCTTTGAGCAGTTTGGCAAGATCTATGAGCTAACTGTGATTAAGGACAAATACACAGGCATGCACAAAGGTACGTATTGTCATTATAACGCAGCCTGAGCATTGACAGTCAAAAAGACAATAAAAAGACAGATACTCGATAGATAGAGGTGTGACAGGAAGGCAGCTTTATGGGTGGATTTTCCTGCGCTGAGTCACACGTCACCATGGAAACGGTCACACCTCCTCTCGTCTCCATCTCCTGTTAACACTGCAACGTGAGAACACGAAGACAAGGGAAGCCGAGTTGATTACTGCACGTACACTGTAAATCGAAAAACGTCCTTGTGCATGAGTTCGCTTGTGCCAACATTTACTAAGGAAGTCACTAAGGGGTCATACGTAATATGGTGAGTGGAGTTGTGAGACTTCTAATTGTGTTAGTGATTGGCGGGATTTGAATAACGACCTCATCTAACAATAGATAGGTAATAAACAGTAACAAACACCGACATAATCCCACTGACCCGGGGTACGGTGTGTTATGAACCAGATTAGGCTGTGTGCTCCAATCAGTGTAATGGGCCTGTAAGCCTGGGTGACATAGGGAAAGAATCTGTTGTTTTGAGAATCCCCACCGCCACAGTAAGCCCCCTCTTTAAAGCGATGAGATGGACCATAAGATGCATGCGTGTACATGTGTGTGCGTGTGTGTGTGTGTCATCGTGTTGAGTCACTCTCTACCCTTCGGGTGTACGTCCACTCGTGTATATGAATGTTTCCATCCTAAGCTTTAAATCTTCTCTCCTTTACCTCGAATCAACATTAGCGCGTCTGAGATGTCACCGGAATGCTAACCTGCTGCTAATCTTGTTGTCTTAGTGCTGGTGACAGGTGTAGTAAACAGCTCTGGCCAGCCAGCTCTGGTACCTACCCCTCCCTCACACACACAGACACAGGTACAGCACATAGGAAAACAGAGGGAGTGTATTTGGAGTGATCGTGAGGCATGCATAGTGGTTGGTTTAGGGGAGGAAACCTGACTGTGCTCAGCCCGTAAGGCCTTGTTAGCCCCACGCCACATCTCTGTGGTGCTGTCATGTGTGCTGACTCGTCCCGTGCCGTTCTGCAATGTGCCGTGCCGTGTCCTTCTCTGCTCTAGAGTGCATCATCATGTTGTTGTCAAGTTTAATTACAGTGCATGACTATATCTATATATATGGATATATATATCTATATATATTAATCATCTCGCACTTAGCCCCGTGATCAATCAGAGTAGGGGAGATAAACTCAGGAATGGCATCAGATAGGAGACATTAAAAGGATTTAAATGGTGTGGCTGTGTGTGTTTTGGCAGGTGGTGATACAGAGACAGATAGAGAATGGCAGATATTAGAGCTGCTCACTGACCGTTTCTACCTTTACTCTTTCTT